TCGCGTCAGTATCTGGAATAGAAATTCAATCATACACTTGACTAGTTGTCATTTCTTCAAAGATCTTTCAAAAAGATTTTGAACTGATATTGTGCTTTTCAACAATTTTCGTTTCATGTTACAATTTTTTGTTACCTCCCTGAGTTGTGAAAAATAGAAAAATCGAAAAGAAAGTGTTATTGATAAAGTTGAATTTTTAGATTTCTAGTCCGTTTTTCATCGTATTTTGAACGCAATAGAACAATCGTATCTCTTTTTTTGTATTATCAACAAAGATCAGTCATAAGAAGCAGTTTTTGTTCTGGTGAAAACATTACATCTTTTTCGAATCATCTTTGAATGCAATATCGGGTCATTCAACAATTTTAGATCTATTCGAAACTAGTTTTCGTTTCATTTTATTTCTGCAGTATTCGCTGCCCATCACTTTTTGTTTCGCCCGGTGTTCATTATTCGCTCAGAAATCATCCGAGCAACGTGTAAAGTGGGGCTCATTCATTACAAACCAAAAAAAATTGGCGAAACGCACACATACTCGTGATAGAGAAGGAAAAGTCATTATTGGTGCAGTTTTCAAGGGAACTTCTCACTTCTAAATGCGTTTTTTTTTGTTTTGTTTGAAATGTGATCCGGGGAAAAATAGGTGTCATAAAATATGATCACCGTTTAGTGGAGTTTTTTTTTTGCTATTTTCGGTTTTTTTTCTAAAAAAATATGTGGAATGTGATGTTTCGTTTCCCTTTTTCTTGTTGGTTTTCGTGTCTTCAAAAAGTTTCCTTATTTTATTATATGTTGTGCTTTCGCATTCCGATTGCCGGCATTGTTGTGACGACATGACGAATCAAAAAGCAATCGTTTTTTTTTTCTGCATTTTCTTAATTCAATTATAAATACAAATATTAATAAATAATAATCGCAGATGAAAATTTGTAAATAAGTCTAAACTCAGTATCATCATTGCTATAAGGGTAGCATAAGCGTGAAATTGAATGATTGGAAACCTATTTTGGTGTGTCTCGTATAAATTTTGCTTCTCCCGAAACAAACGCTTGATTCGTTTTCTCCGAATCATTTGTTGTTTCTTTTTTTGTTTCTGCCAATGGTTACATTCCTATTCATTTTTTTTTTCTTCTTTTTTTGGAGAAAAAGAAATAAGAAAGTTAATTCCAATTTTTTTAAACAAAACGGAAAAACCACAAACCACACTAATTTTCAAAATTTTTCTTTCATAAAATAACAGACTTTTGTAGCCGTGCTTGGGCCAAATAAAAACTCGTCAATTAAGAAATGTTATTGAAGCTAATGCTATTGTATAGTTTGGATATGAAAATTCTTTACTATTTGACTACTTTTTAATATCGGTTTACTCGAGAAAAATATGACAAAAATGCGTTGCCCTTCGGCCGCCCGAAACAACAAGCCTGTATAATAATATATAATAGACGAGTATTTTTTTTTTAACACAATAGTGAATAATGTGTAAAATTAGTCAACAAACAACGGTTGAAAATAACATTTTCTATTATGTTTGACATGAGAAGTTTTTTAAAAATTCCGCATAAATTGAATATTCATTTTTGCCATATATCAATCTCTACCAGATCGATTATTGAATAAATATATGTCGTTCCGGAGAATTTTTTGTTTTTTTTTGAAAAATGTTTATACATTGTAGTTCAAGCCCAAACTTTCGATTGTTTTAAATATTTTGTAAAAAGTCGCAGAATAACATTAATGAAAGTATTCTCTATGATAATTCCTATCCGCTCTGCTTTACGATAACATTTTCTAAACAATTTCAAAAAAAAAAATAACTTAAACGTTTCACTTTTTTATACCACCGCATCAGATTTCATGAACTCAATCATTTTCATTATAAATCATGCAATGGCGAGAAAATTCGAATGCTCAGAATTGATAAATTTCGAGATCACAGTAGAGATTCCCAGACTACATTCGAGTATGTAAGGGTGACAAATTAATCGTCGGTACCCAAATTTACCACACCTGTGCTACCTTATCAATTTAAACCGTGTTTCAAAGTTTTCTTTTTCAAAATTAGTTTATATGATACTGAGTATGTTTGTGTTGAAACTTGAAAAATTCATATTGGCTACAGTTTCCAATCAATGTCATCATAGTGTGGTCATAAGAGCTTACTAAGATCGTAAGTAACAATTGATAGACCTGCTATGACGATTCTAGTTTATGTGCATACGTCGGAACAATCATTATCTAACTCCGAAGCGGCGATTCTTTTGAATTGTTGTGATTATACCAAACACGACATTTTTTTTACATTTTATTTCAAAGAAGAGGCGAAATTATCACTTTTTTCTATTTGAGGTTAACACTTTGCATCTTCCAGTTATCAGTTTTAAAAACATATTAAACACAAAGAGCACAGCAGAAGAACGTCATCAATGCAAAGTGACATTTGATGCACATATCAAAATCATTTTTTAATCGTTTCAACTCATATCTTGCTTCGTTTTCTCAATTTGATTCGTTGTACTATTTCGCTTTTGTAGTCAATACCACGATTTTATTTCAATTGACAGGTCATAATGTCGGTGACATCGAACAATTCAGCCATTGGAGATGAAGGTTTGTTTATGTTAATGAATTAATCGGAATAGGCTAAAACAGAAAAATATTGTCTCGTATACATCTACTGTAATAATAATAATTTTGTAACTAATTCAATCATATTAAAGCTAATAAGACATTGCAATTTAATATCGAGTAATTTTAGGCAGCAAAAACTAATGTGGTGAAAAAAAACTGAGTTTGATAAGGATTCCCCATTGGCTCATAAAAATGCCTACTGCTTTATTGTATTCATAAATCATATTTCGCCTAGTTTTTCGGCAATTTTTTGTTAGTATGCCTGTTTGGTTTTTTGTTCAACAAAAACAGTAAAAAATTCGATTTAAGATTCAAATTTTGCGCAGCCCATATGTGTGTATGTGTTTTTTTAAAAAAAAGCATGGATGTTGTGGGATTTCTCGCGAATGAAAAAAGCACATCATATCTTATGCTTCTTGAATTGCTTTTTCCTATGAAGACGCCAATATTACACGCAAGCAAGCCGCATTTAAATTTTTGAAAAAATAATTCTTAACCAAGAAAAAAAAACGTGAAATATAATTGGGGTAGATATTCATACTATCGTATATTTTATTTTATTTCATTTTCGTTGAAACCCAAAATTTTCACGCAATGCGTTGAGTGTGTCCTAGAAAGAGCAAATATTGTATGATTTGCTGATAATCTGTGTACACACATGAATTTCACCCCCACTTCCACCTAGCCGAATTTGTGCATTCCTATACAGTTTGAATTGCGAATGCGGCACGAAAATAAAAAGAATGAGCCGTTGTTGCTCACTTCGTCGACTATGTGTCGATTATCGGTTGGGAGGGATTAGCTTGTCAACCGCAAAATAATGTCATATATGTGTAGCAGTGAGGAAACTTGTTGTTTTAGAGAATGTGAAACAATAGTGGCAGAATGACAAAAAAATGAAAAGAATTTTTAATGAGTTTCGATATTGTCCCACATTTCCTGGATCGCGTAAATTTTCGATAATTCGCGACTTCCTAATCTCTAATGAAGGAAGCCCAATTTTCTTCTTCTTCTTCTTAGTTAGTCTACACTACAACATTTCAACGAGGAAAATAGTTTGAGCGATCACAAATGTACATAACCCCCGAATGAGTCTGCACGCATGTGATATGCATTTTTTTTATCTTTCAACTTTCTTCGCGCACTACAAATATTCAGAATTGAAGGTTCTTGTTTTGGGCGAAAAGTTACGACAAAAAGTAGGATTCGCTTTCTTTCAATTTTCCTCATCTCCTCAAGAGTCCTGATGGATCTCCATCCATGATTTGATTGTAGAGCCATTTGAGCATGTATAAGCGAAAAGTGAGAAGAAGAAGCTTAACCTAGTTGCTTTTTACTGCATTCACTTAGTTCCGTCAACAGCTTCTTATCTTCTTCTTCTTCTACTTCTTCCTACTTCTACTTTGTCTTCCTATTTTTGGCAACTCCTTGTTTTAATTATTTTTCTAAAACTTCAACAAGTCTTGTTTATAATTACATCTTTATAATTTTAACTTGAAAAAGAAAGCTCAAATGGTCATTTGGATTTCAGGAGAAAAAATATGCATTCCCCATATCTGATGTGATATGTATTTAAGATGAACATAAGACATATGTGCTTTTAATCAATAATTTTACAAACTGAAAATTCATTGTTTTCAATTCAATTGTAATTTTGTTTCTGATTACGATCTATATACTTAAACTGATAAATATTTAGATTATTCTTGAAATAAACTAATTTGACGACTCTAATTCAAAAGCAAATTCGAAGCCGGAAGCTTGAATATTACAATGTTTTAAAGCTGCAATAATATGATCGCTAGTAATAAAAATATTGCATTACCAGAACTAATAGATAAGTTGGTGTAATTTGGCAAGAATTATATGAATTTACGAAAAAAAAATGGTAACTCCATTATTATCTATTTGCTCATCATTTCATTATCCATTCTCTTATTCTACAGTAGGAAATGTGCACGTTTCACTCATCCCGTTACTTTTATGAGCTCATAAAAAAGAAATTTCGAGCAATAACGATTTGATGGACTTTGGAGAAAAATCGCGAGAATTACCAATAATTTTCGCAAAAAAATTAAAAATAGGTTGGAAAAACCAAGAATAGTATAACAGATAATTATGAATGCTTCCTATTAGGGATACTATGTACATTTGCTTTGTTGTGAATGTATATATATATAATTTTTTCTAATTGGGCAATATGATACTTGGTCATATTTGGACGCAAATCCCAGGATTTTGAGCGATTGTGGCGAGCGAAAGCCCTCATTCGCTTGCACTTGCCTGGTTTGTCTATTCCGTGCATTACTTAATATTCCGCCAACACAACTCAGTGTTCAAATCGCTTTTCTGCGCCTGTCGATTAAACCAAAATGAGTCTCCGTCCAAAACAAAAGTCGTCTTCAACTTCAAGCTTCATCAAATCGCATAAATTCTCACTCACTTCCCATATTCTTAGGTAATTTGACGTTTAATTTATTCGCTTTTTTTTCCTTTTTTTTTGCGGAATTTCTAACATTGTTTTCAATGAAGAAAAACCAAACGAGCCGACAACATGGATAACGCGGAGAGGCGACGATCGGAAGCGGATCTTGGCGGGAATTCAAGATCAAGTGAAACCCGTCCGAGCCTTGATCTCACGTCAGATCCCATGCTTGAATCCAATTTAGCGCTTCGAAAACTATCAGAAGCTTTTGGTAAGATATTAAAACATTTGTTGGCAGTTAGGTTTCAATTCTCTATTTTTTTTGAAATTTAAACGTGTGTATTGTGATTAACACTGCGGGGAAGGGTATTTTGTAGAAGGGTATTTTCACTGAAAAATCAAAATTCATCTAATACAACTCTCAACAATATCTTATTTCTTTCTAATGATGATGAATAATCATCTAACTACAAAAATTGTGCTACAATACACAATGTTTGAGAAGTTAAGCTCTTTCACATGACATACTTCTCAACGTATGACTGCTATTATCTCATCAAAGCGCCTTTTTTGAATGTTTATCTCAAATCGTTGAAAAATCCTTGTTTATAAAATTATTCACACTTCTTATAAGATTTCTATGAATTTTATGTTGTTGTGAAAGGACAAAAGATTTTGTTTAATCTGTTGAAAACGATTCTTGAATTAACTGAAAAAAAGTGAGGCGATTTTAATTATCAAATTTTAATATTCGATTACCAATTTGGCACTAAGAAAATTGTTTCACGTTCGTTGAATTTTCATTATCTCAGGAAACGCACATTTTGTTTGTTTTGCGCACACGAGGCAAATTTCGTTCGCTTATTTATATTTTTAAAGTGTTTTTCTTTATTTCTACTAAAGACAAAAAAAACTACTGTTTTGGAAATTTAACATGTCACGACAAATTCACAAATTTACCCTGAATTTTAGGAAGAAAAAAATTGAATCTTCTGAATTCATATAAAGTAGTAATTAACTAATACATTCACTAGTTTTTAATCAATGAGAATGTTGATGTCGTCAGCTTTTCAATTGGATCCCAGTTTGCGTATCTCCTCAGTCCTCCCCCCCCCCTTTTTTTTCATTTGCAATTTCGGATAGATAAATCATCTGTCTTCTATTCGCATTGCTCCAAAAGTCATCATCTCTCTTTCGCCACATGGATTCATCGACATCATCTCAATCTTGCTCGGCTGAAGTGCAAAACAATGCTAGACCATTGCAAATCCGCAAATCGATTTCTAATCCATCAAGTCTCACAAAGCACCAATCGAGTGCACCTAGCCAATCGACTAGTTTTATTCATCTGCCACGAATTGAGATTCATCATATTTCGCTGCGGCCAATCTTGAAAAGGCTCCAGGAAAAAGGTTTCTACTTTTTCAATGAATATTAATGAAGGAAATTAGACGTTTACTTCCTCATTATTGAGGAAGTGCAATTAGCATCAGTTGCCTGTAGTTCACCGTATTTGCCCAAAATGTACACAAGTGATCTTTAATGAGTAATTCGAGACCTTATTCATCCGGCTTACAACTGTGTAAAAAATACATTTCCCGAAAGCTTATTTTTTATGCATCGACTCTGTGTTTTTTTCCAAAATTGGCCAATGTGTAATCTGATGCTTCAGCTTGTGTGTCCACAAGTGAGAATTGTCGCGTCGCGCCGCCAAATGGGCTGTTTATAAATTAATCACGCGCGTGTTTTTTTCTGTTTTATTTCTGTTGCTGTAACGCAGAAAAATTGCAAAGACATTTTACATGAATGAGTGAAGTTGAGAATTAAAATGAGATGAGTGAAAATACAAAGAGCCATTGAAATCGAGGAAGTTCTATTTTTCTTTCTATAATTATTCGGGTTAAGGGATAGAAGGATTATAATAATCCTACAAAATACATGTGTTTGTTTCCGGAACAAAAAGTGGAAAAGGTATTTTGGTGTGTTGGCACGTAATTTTCTATTGAAAAAAAATAGATTCTTTGGGGCGGAAACAACTCAAATCTTGACATTACATAATGTTTGTCTTCGTTTCAGCACAAAGAATCGAAGGAAAGGCATTTGTTCGTCGAGGAGCGTTGAGACAAAAAAACGTTCATGAAATCAAGTAATCTGAAATAATTCACTATCACTAAAAATTCAATGAAATTCCAGATCGCACAAGTTCATCCCACGTTTCTTCAAACAACCGACGTTCTGCTCGCATTGCAAGGATTTTCTTTGGGGGTTCACCAAACAAGGATTCCAATGCCAAGGTAATATCTTTTGTTTTTTTTTTTTTTGCTGAAAAAAAAAACAATTCATGAAATTTGTCAAAAACTTTGATGGCCGTCTTTTAGCGGCGAATTCAGTTAAGGCGCTCTTGGGATTTCGTTCACATAAAAAATAAATTAACATTCAAACTTTTACGAGAATTTCAAACTGCGCACTTTATTTACATTTTCCCGATCGTTTATGAGTGAATTGATGGTTTCGGGTAAGAATTTCACAAAAAAAGTTCTATTCCATTTGAGTTGTTCTCCTGAAGAATACAATAAATCCTCGCCGCAAGTAATAATGTAATAAAACTCGCATTAAAACGTTATAATATGGATTAAGTGTGCACGTTGGTGGTTCATAAACGATGTCACGAATTTGTCAATTTTGCATGTCCCGGAGCCGATAAAGGTGTAGATACTGATGTAAGCTAGTAAATCCAAAAATAGGCGAATGAAGATGATATGCAGGACCCACGTCAACAACATAAATGGAAAGTCCAGACATATTCGTCGCCAACATTTTGCGATCATTGTGGCTCTCTACTCTATGGCTTGATTCATCAGGTTTTTGGCACACTCTGAAGTTTTCGAATAGAGATTACTCCGGTTTAGGGCATGAAATGCCAGTCGTGTGACGTCAACGTACATCATCGCTGTGTGAAAAATGTTCCGAATATGTGTGGAACGGATAATACTGAGAAACGTGGAAGAATTCGTCTGGAAGCTTTTATTGAAAACGAAATTCTCACTATTAAAAGTATCAACTAAATAAATAAATGATTTGAAAACTTCTGATTTTAGTCATCGAAGCGAGAAACTTGATCCCAATGGATCCCAATGGACTGTCGGATCCATACGTTAAATGCAAACTTATTCCGGAAGATACCGGATGCAAATCGAAGCAGAAGACGAAAACTTTGCGTGCGACTCTCAACCCACAGTGGAATGAAACTTTTACATAGTTGGTTTTTCATTGTTCTCAAGAATAATTCATTAATTTCAGCAAATTGCAACTGCACGACAAGGATCGTCGGCTCTCGATTGAAGTTTGGGATTGGGATAGAACATCGAGAAATGATTTCATGGGAAGTTTGTCGTTTGGGATCTCAGAGTTGATGAAAGAGCCAGCTGCTGGATGGTATAAACTTCTCAACGCGGTGAGCTCAAACATTCACTTAGTATAATGAGAAAGTTTTTATAATTTAAGGAGGAAGGAGAATTTTACAACATCAATATTCCTCCAGAGTACGAGGAGGAGATGGAGAAGGTCCGCAAGAAGTTTAATGAGCATAAAGTAATATCTAACACTCACAAACCAATTCAGTATGCGATTTGCAGATCACTCGTGATACTTCGGCCCGTTCACGAGAATCGAACCCAGTGTCAACTTCGCATGTTACGATTTCTACTAATAGAGATGTCATTAAAGCGTCAGACTTTAACTTTTTGACTGTTCTCGGAAAAGGCTCATTTGGAAAGGTGTGTCGAAACTCTTTCAGTTCAAAATTGCTTCAATTTTTTAGGTTCTTCTTGGAGAGCATAAGACAACTAAAGAGTTGTTTGCTATAAAAGTTCTGAAAAAAGATGTCATTATCCAAGATGACGATGTCGAATGTACGATGACCGAAAAAAGAGTTCTCGCACTTCCAGAAAAACCACCTTTCTTGGTTGCTCTTCACTCGTGCTTCCAAACCATGGATCGGCTTTACTTTGTTATGGAATTCGTTAACGGAGGAGATCTCATGTATCAGATTCAGCAAGTCGGAAAATTCAAGGAACCTGTCGCTGTGTAGGATTATTAAGCGTTTAATTTTTTTCATTAAAATTTTTAGATTCTATGCTGCTGAAATCGCTTCTGGACTATTCTTCCTTCACTCGAAGGGAATTATTTATAGAGATCTTAAGCTTGATAATGTTATGCTTGAGCAAGATGGTCATATTAAAGTGAATATCCCTAATTGATTATGAGAAACAATTTTCAAAATTTAGATAACTGATTTTGGAATGTGCAAGGAGGAGATCTTTGGAGATGCTACGACAAAGACATTCTGCGGAACTCCTGACTACATTGCTCCAGAAATAATTTTGTATCAACCGTATGGAAAATCAGTAGATTGGTGGGCATACGGTGTGTTACTTTTCGAGATGCTTGCTGGTCAGCCTCCATTTGACGGTGAAGATGAAGACGAGCTTTTCACTGGTATTCCAAATCAAGTTGAGCTCATTTATAACTCGCTATTGCAGCTATTACTGAGCATAACGTTTCCTATCCAAAAAGCATGTCAAAGGAAGCGGTCTCAATCTGCAAAGGTCTTTTAATCAAAAATCCAAAGAATCGGCTTGGGTGCACTGGAGATGATGACATGGCCCGCAGAGATATTAAAGTTCGTAAGCATACAAACAAGAGCACGTGAATCTAACCACGCTGTTCTAAACTTCTTATGGGACAGCAGCAGAAAATTTAATTTTTCTAATCTAAGAATAGCACCAAAATTGTTTTCCATCGCATGAAAAACATTGACATCATTTTTAAGGAACATCCATTCTTCCGCAGAATTGATTGGTACAAAATTGAAACGCGCCAAGTTCAACCTCCATTCAAACCGAAATTGGTACGTGAAAGAAATAATTGTTTTAAGAGGGATTTGTGCATGAGGAATTGACCGAAAATCGGCATAAGATTAGAGCATGAAAATGAGCATGTTGTATGTGGTGCTACCGTAATATTTTGCAGAAGAATGATAGATCAACAGAAAATTTTGACAACAATTTCCTCAAACTGCCGACGAAGATGACGCCACCTGATTGGGAAGTGCTTGAAAATATCAAAGATGAATTCAAAAATTTCACATTTGTCAATCCATATTATGTTAAAGAACTTGACTTGTGATTCGTAATTAACTAACACATTATTTTTTTAGCTTCTTCTTTCTCTTTTTGACAAATCTATTTTTCTAGTCGTTTTGAAGTAACATGTGCAACCACGTTTTTTATGAAATCTTCCCCTTCCCCACCCTCCGCTTCGTAAAAAAATTCGCTGATTTAGTTTCTGATGAATAAAATTGCCATTTCTGTAAGCTTGTGCATTTTAAGAAGTTCCCATTGGTTTATTGCATTTCGATTTAGTTTCACATAAAATTAATGCGTTTCAATGGTATTCCTGCTATCTTGTTCGTACCCATATCCATTTATAATCAACAGAAAAACAATTGACGAACTTATTCATCTAATATTAATTTAGCAATCACCCTCTCTTTCTCTCTATAAACGTATTTCTAAAACTGATCCAAATAAACTATTATTTTTCTACAAATTGACATGTAATTATTGTGTATAATTAAACTTGATAGTACTACTCACCCTTTAGATATTGTGTCAGTTTTCACCAGCAACATTCGATGGTAATTTTGCGTGCAAGCACCGCTCGAAAGCATGTTCTTCTACGAGAATTGGATTATTTAAATATCGTTTGAATTAGTGATTCATATTAAGATTCACTAGACTTTGGTGAGTAGAAGAGGCATTTTGAAACTCTCAAATTTTTTAACGATATAAGAAATTACTTAAAATTATTATCGCGTTTCAGAAATCACCTAACGATGTCTCAAACTTTGACTCCGAGTTCACTCATGAAGTTCCCAAATTGACACCAATCGATCGCCTATTCTTAATGAATCTCGACCAGAGTGAATTCGAAGGATTTTCGTTCGTCAACCCCGAATATGTCCAAGAATGTTAAAATGTAAAACTATTAGTGCCATTGATTAGAAAAAATTTTAAGTAAAACCAAAAGATCTCTTGGACCAGTGTCTACAAATTAAATTTTTATTGTAATGTTTTAAAATTATTTTATCCTCCATTTTTTCTACCCTATACTTTATTTTTTTATTTTTTCTTATAATGTTTATTCCTCTTTTAATAATTAGCATGTAGCAAAAAAATATTGAAGCTCGAAAATAAATATATGCCATTGGACGGTTGTTTTATTATGAAATCTATGCCAGAACAAAGATAACAATGCAATTGATTTTTGCGTTTGCACAGCTGCTGACGACTTTTGCGCAACTCGCAGGAACCGTGTTCATTTCCTGTCCAACCGTGTGGAATCGACCATGTTTTCAACTTCTGACTGTCACCGAATTAATCGGTAGAAACATCAGCAGTTTTTGTTTTCTCAATGAGCTATTTTTACCTTGCCCCCCCCCTGTTTGATTAATTACATTCCAACAGCGTTGCACGAATGAGTCGTTTTTCTAGATTGTTCCAAAAAGAGTGCGCTATCTTTTCATCTAACCATTGCGGAGGATGCCCAAATTTCAGTAGTTCGACCAGTCAAATCATTTTAAATTCAACAAGATCCGACAATTGCATTAATCGAAGTAAGTTTTTTCGTGTTTTTGTTAAAAATTGTTTTATTAATGTCAGCCCGAAAAGAAAAAAATACTAATTAAGGTTATATTACAAGGGTTACTCAACAACAATTATTAGAACCGATTACTCATGGGTTCATTCATTTGTTTAAAAATAGCTTCAAAGTTTCTCACGCGTTATATTAATCAAAATTCCCGGTCCCTCACATTCGTTTTACTAATTTTCAAACAGTCATCAAACAGCTACATCAGCATACCGATGTTTTAGACGTTTTTTGTTATTATTTTATTTTGTTTAAAGAATTGTGTTAAAAATACATTTTTTGTTTGAAAGTGGAACAATATTGTAGTAAGCATTAAGTTCATGTATTCTGAAGAAGATGAATATTTATATTCAAAAAATCAAATATCAAAAATCGCTAGAACAGTTCCATATTCTCAAAATTTTAAAATCGCGCACTACATCATTGACGATCACAGAAAATATTTCATTTCTTGAATCTTCAAAAGTTTTCACTGTTTTCAAAAACACAATTTTGCAATTCATTAGTTAAAGTCACAAATATATCCCACATTATACATAATTATGTATATTATTTTCTCACGTGTTTCCATAACAAACACATAATTATTTTATACTAAAACGTTTGTGTATGTCACATGAAGGTATAAACTTTTGGCTTCTGCATTTGCTATAAAATGTGATGTTTTATCAAGAATTTGAATAATTTACTAATACTCCAGACTTGTCACACATGCAATTTTTTAAACCTAGCTTTATTAATGTTTTATCTATCCATTTATTACACTCCATCTAAATGAGAAAGAGAAAAAATACGCCGATCCCAATGCTCCATGCATAAATCAGTCAAATGTCATGAAACTTAAAAAAAATACTTTTCTGGGAAAAAAACCTACGCTTTCTCTCTAATAAGTGTTTTGCAATTCTCGGAATTGAGTTTGCAATTGGCAATCCCATAATTTGCAATTTCTCTTCAAAACGTGATTCACATGAATTTAAACCGTGATTTGTTATTCTTCAATCTTTAACGAAAGAATTCGATTCAAAAAAGTTCAAATCGCAAAACATAATAACATTTTTTCCTTATGTATACTTTTAAAAGATCCATTTTAATTGAACTTCCAATTTGAAAAATAAAATGTTGATGTGACTGTTAAAAAAGATTTTTTCGAGTATTCTTGGCAATATAGAATCAATTAAACTTGAAACTAGTACACTTGTTTTGCGGTATGTTAATAGATGCGATCTATTCGGCAGATTCTTTATCTTTAAAGCGATTGCTTATCCCGGTATTTTTTCACTTCATCAATGAGGTTATGTAATATGTTTCTTTTCCATTTAAAGACAAAATGGAAAGAGATCCATACTCAATTTTAAGTTTTTGATTACCTTAGCTTTTCCCAAATATGCGGAGTATCGGTAAAATAATGATTTTGCCGAAAAAGTCTTTAGTGGGTTCATTCAAGAGCGCGACGACACTCAAATCAAAAGTTTTTTATAACAAACAAGTTTGGAGTTTTCCGTTTCAAATTTAACTTTCATTGTAATGAAATGGTCATTGTTTCTGAAACCTTGAACATTCGAGAATGGCTTGACGTATGATTTTATCGATGCGAGTGGGCAACAATCAAGATAAGAGCAACCTAAGTGTTGACATTAAATTCCCAACATTTTTTGATTCCGATAATATTCGAATAAAACGCATCATTAAAAAGCGGTTTCAATATTTTTTGTATGACATGCAAGTACATACGTTTCAGTTAATCTTCTACCGTCATTTTAATCTTTGCTATTGGATTTGTTTATGAACAAAACCGTTGGTTTTCCCGTGGTAGTTTGTTTTGCAAATGTATTTCTTTCTTTCTGAAATCTACAATTATGTGAGAATCCCGTTTCATGAAAATTGTTCGTTTTCTTAAGGCACGTTTCTTGTTGTAAAAAGATGGCTATTAGCGTTGTTGAGCAGTCCAAAAATCATAAAAGACATGTATTTCTTTGAAGCTAAGCAACCAATTTGTTGAAAGTTTGAGAAATGACGCCAATCGAGATGTCAGAATTGTGAAATTTTTCAAAAAATTTATTATCACATGACCGAAAAATATTTGCATTGACAATAATTGCTTGCGGACCCAAAATCAACGTAGAACAGCATGTAGAAACGGTCAAGAAATGAAAATGAAAATTAAAAGGAATGCAGAATTTAATTAAAATCACATTTAGTTATAAGTTGAAAATAATTTTTCGAAATTTTTTTCTATATATTTTTACGAAATATTTTACGAACTGCAATAATTTCTGAAAATCACGATATTGAGAACATACTGGAAAAAACTGATAATGTTATTTTCTTATTACAAAAATGTGTATTATTATTGTACTAAATGTTCTTCAGTTCTATTTATGGCGGCATAATCAATCTACTGAACTTTCGCTCAACAATAGTGCATTAAATATTTCGTGAAAAATACTAATAAGGAAGTAGATAGCGTTTTGACAACATTTGAATATTGAGTATTTCTCCAAGTTTACTATTGTTCAGTTTGCAAACAAAGTTGATGTTGGTTATTTTTAGACAAGAGTCACCTTGAAGGTTGGGGCGCCGAAAAATCTCTAAAGGCATCTAGGGCCGATGTTTGACGCCCCCGCGCGGAACATTTAACGGAATTTTTTCATAGAGATTGATGTATCGCCGTGTTTGCTTCTTTCTGCGTTTTCATTCCATTTTTTGCCATTCGATTAATGGGATTGCATATTGCTTCCGCTCAAATTCACACCGTTCTTTAACCCTTAGGATATGCATTATCGAAAAATAAAACAACCAATTTTATTTCATACAATTTTATGACGTTTTTCATATTTTAGTATATCACCTGTCATTATGATAAATCATATTATTACTCACCTGTTTCTAAGAAACCGTTTTTTTTTTGTTAAAAACGCAAAGAAAAAGGGCGTATAAGATTCTTAATTTATGAATATACTAGGAAATTGATCTCATTATCATATAAATAGTTTTTTTTTCTAAAATAAGAAAAACTCGACAAGCTTCGCGATGAGCAGCAGAATGCTCAGAAGGTTTAATTAAAAATGAAGAAGGCTTATTTAGACTGATACAAGTACAATTTACGTATAGGCATGTTTTGGATTTCTGAGTTTTATAATTCAATTCTATTTATTCATGTTCCAACACGAAAACATCTCACAAGTGAATTTTTGAGTTCTCTCGCCTTTCCAATTAATTTAGTCTTGTGATTCAACTATCTCCTTTGATTATGACTAATTTGCAAAAACATAATCATCAACGGGCACATGACTAGATTTTAATTGGAACTCTTAAAGCATTCAATTTGAGCTTTTGTGTTTCGTTTCAGAGAATAACACATAGTAGGTCCAAGGATATATAATTGGTTTTGCTCTAGAAAAGAAATTTGGACATAAAGCTCTGAAATAAACCGAATTAACTTTGAGTGATACATTCAGTCTATATCAAATAATGTCACGTCGTGCAATGTGATTTTAGTGCGGCGTAGAAAAATTGAATTTTTGAACACTCGAAGAAATGATGAAAGCGGTAATTTTATTGGTTCCTTGATTTTGACGGAAGCCAATTCTCCAGCCATTTTTGTTATTTTTTTATTTCGTGCAAATTAGAGAATAGTTTTATTTATTATCATAAAATGAAATATTCATGGTGTGTCCAATCGAATATTCGTTACTTTAAAAACACTTCCTCATAGAAGGGCAATCGAGAACATTATCACACTCATAACAACGTCAGAATTCAATTCAAATGCTCAAATGAATTGATTCGCAAATTTCTCTCTGAAATCGTTTTCGAGCAATTTGCAGGTAAAGAAAATTCCGCTTTCGTTGTTTTCTATGTGTTTTTGTCTTCTGGGCGTTTTCTTTGCCTTTATAAAAGTCTACACGCATTTATTGTGGTTCGTGTAGTTGTTTTCAGCCTCATTTATCCTAAATTCCCAAACTTGGATAACGAAGTCACAAATGATACTAATTTGAAACGAGACGCGCAGTTGTGCAGAGAGTTTGTGTTGATAAAAATGTTTGAAAAGAAAATGATTACTCATGAATCTCATTAATTTCATTCAGTTTGATTTAATCCTTTTTATGCTGAAAGTGAATAATATGAAATTGGAGCAAAAAAACATGTAACTTTGAAAGTTAATGTTGATCATTGATCATTTTCACCTAAATTAAAAACCATAATTCCAATATATATATCGCGTCAAATTAGTCTTTTGGTAATCTTCTTGAAAAGGACATCCCAGCATTGGTCTCAAAAGTCGCATGACTCGCCCACGAGAAATTTCATTAACTCCAGTGGGGTGGCCGCAAGAAGAGCTATGTGTTTTTGCGCAAATCCAATTCGCCCGTTAAAAAACATCGCCTCTCTTTGTTGGCTAATGCATCAAATCGAAGAAAATGCATGCACACGCATTTGTATCCCAGAAACAGAATCCCATGTTTTTTTTTCTTCCAATTCGGCCTATTAGAATCCTGATATATCCCGAGGCATTTTTTTGCGTCCCGTTTTCCACTGGCAACACTTGGATTTATAAGCTCAGCAATACGCGAAATGCGCGGGGCACGTCATTCTCACGAATGCGCGCGCATTTTTTTTTCCTGTGTCGAGTATGTGTGCGTTTTTCTTTTCTTACTCACTGACTTGCAGATGTCGTCGACGTCGCCGTATCGATTGGGCGGCATGAGACGCGGGCCTGCGACTGCTTCGTCGCCGTCGTCGCCCCGCCTATCCAGCGGCTCGAAAAGCTGTTGCGCAACTGCCATCACTATTCGGCCCAGAAACGGCATGGGCATGTGGCGAGCCGTAGCACTGCTTGCTTGCCTCTCCGTCGCCGCACAAGCTTCGGTTTTTTCAGGTATGAGTAGAGTATTACCGTAATCCTCATCAAATATTCAATGAATTTATCTAATAGGAAATAGTAATCAAGGTTTTTTCTGGAAATATCGAACTTCAATAAAACTTCAATATAATTTTTTATTAATTTGAAACGATTTAGTTAAAAAATTGATTTCCGATGTCTTATAGATTTTTTCAAACACTGAACGTATTTTTTTAACGATAACCGGATGATAACACCTTTATCAATTATGTGAAGTAAATTATTATTTTTTAATTAAAACAACGAATCTTCATTTATTGTAATTCTCCCACATAAATGAAGATTATCATGAAGAAATTCGAATTTCAAAATCTTTTTTATGTTGATAATCACATAAATACATATTCGCAAAATACAAAACAACGGGGTAATAGATGAAGAAACATGTAAGTTATGCAGCATTTTAAAATGTAGCCTATTCTGTTCTGCGAGAGACGGAAATTCATTTTTGCCATTATTGAGCCTTATTTGTTTCGAGGGCCCAAGTTGAAACTAGGAATTCTTTGAAAACGTTTACTTCCGCATTTCATGATAATTCTGAGAAAAAGATATTAATCTGTCTATACTTATCATAAATGAAAACATAAAGTGAAACGCAATAATTGCTAAGGTGCTACTCTCATTCTTTCTTATAACTTTTTAAAAATAGTTTCTATCCCATCACACAGGAAATTATTGAAAATTTTGTTTGGTTTTAGAGGGAGGATTGATTGACAAGGATACACTGGTCGAGGATTACGGTAGAGAGGCAGAGGCGGAGGGCAACGAGTTGAAGGAATATGAGCCAGAGGATGTTGCAGCGGTTACTTATGAGCTCATGAAAGCTGTGAAGAATCCGGAGAACTACAATGAGGAGAATTACGTGGCAAGTTCATGCTCAAGCCACCATTTATGGAATTCTGTAATCGTTTCAGCCATTGATCAACGAACTCGTTCGTTATGAGAACACATTCGGTTTTACCGACGCGTATTTCGAGATTCTTGACGAGTTCCACAAAAATGAGATGAAACATGAGACAGAACAGAGACAACAGGAGAAGCTCGGAGAAGCAAACAAAAGTGACGAAGTCGATTCAATTCTGAAAGGTTTGTTAATGCAACAGAACAAAACATTCTGAAGGTGTGAAGTAATAGGAAGTGTACGTTATCTCTTTTACTTCAACTTCTGTTTTTTTTAATTGTTCTCACAGGAAATTGAAAAAAAAAAACTCATTTTAACAAAGCCTTCGGTTTATTGGGGTTTTTTCTGGAAGGATTTCGAAGAATACCAGCAGGTTTCCCTAATTGTTTGAAGGACCGAGATGAAAAAAATTATAGCTAATGGTTAGACTGTGAATAAACATAATTATAATCATTGCCTCCATAATTAACCCTAAAAAGAAATAGGCTCGAAAAGGGATTTAGGCAATACTTTCTAGTCTTGTATTCAAGCATTCCTCTAATGAGCACGAAAGAGAAACATGATTTCATGAAAAGGAAGAATGGCCTGCAATAATTTGTCAGATATATTTTATATTCATGTAAAACTGAATGTACATGAATAAAAATGAAGCTTCCCAATATTTGTAAAACTTTCTGATCTTTATTTTTTGAAAGTTCATGCTTCGAATTCACCTGACGCAAACCGTTAAATTCAAGCTTATTATGACGTGTATTAAGACCGCGTCATCTTAATTACGTGCTATTACTTACGATTTATAAATTTTGAAATCATAAAACACCATTCTAGAAAATTCAAAATCGTTTTCTTTTTGAGAAGTGACTTCCGGTGTGTTTGAATTGATGTATTATTCATAGTTCAAACGTGACACCGAGAACTAAATATACATCATTTCATTCTTTATGTTCCTTTATTTTATGTTTATCATCAAGTATTCTCGATAATGTTTTTTGGCAAGGTTCACAATCCAAAACACAGAGTCATGCGGTCGGAGTTCGTTTCCCCAACTAGAAAAACGCTCGATTTCGCGTGACGCGCATAAATGCTTTCTAATTGAGTTTCCCTCCGTCATTCATCCTTTATTGTGTAAAGAAAAACTGCATTCATTCATTTGTGAAGATTATGCTCGAATACTGGGCATTTTTTTCAGACACTGAAGAATTGATTCTGGAGGAGCTGGCAAAGAATAAAGCGCCTGCGACGAAGATCGAATCGGCACCGGAATTGCCTGACATCGGCGAAGAGGAACCATTGGAGGAGGTCGCCGTAACAGGAGAGCCTCACGTACCACAGAAGAAAGGGCAAAATGAGTTTGTCTCATTTGTCGAGCCCGTTGAGCAGCCTCTCAAGCAAACCAAGTAAGTCGCGCTCGACTTTCTCTCGCCTTCTTTTTTTGAGCAAGGTTCATATGTTATTGGGTTTCCTCGAGAGAATTCGAGAAAAGCATGTTTTCATTAGGGATCGGAGAACGAGCGAATAGAGAAGAACAAAAGCGAAAAGTGCATATGAATGACGTGGCAAATTTCAGATCCGTTCCAGCCGTTGACAAACGACGCCTGTCAACTTCTGCGGAGTTCTCCAGCCACGTGCCACGTTACAGCAGCAGCAGCCTTCTGCTTATCGGTCCGTTTGATCCAATACCCTTTTCACTTCAAGTGCGCTCAACAAAAGAGCTCTTAAATATTCAATTAATTCGAAATTGCTTTTTTTCCAAGATTTCAACGGATTCTTTTCAGCTGTCGGAACTGTGATGTCAGTGGGAGTTGTCGGAACAGTAGCTGGAGGAGCTTACTACTGGAAGTAAGGAATCAAATATCATAAGCTTTGTTAATCCGGATATATTAAAAAATATGATTTGACAATAATATTCCTATAATTTTTTTTTCAATAAACGTAGAATATCAAAAATCTTAAGGCGTCGTCACGAGACCCCAGATGACGGCGAATATGCACCATACGCTGGAACAGGACCCGGATACAAGAAGAACAAGGTGAGCACTGTTAATTATTCACGAATGCACTTTTTACGTCACAAAAGATTTCCGTTAAGAAAAAAATAAAGGAACCAATAATCGTTTAATGAGAATAATTTCATTACTATTCACGCAGATGAGATATTTGTAGGGAAACAAGGGAGATGAAACGCTTGCCTACAAAGCTCAATTGCACCAATATCAACAAGCAAAACAGAAAATAATTTGCGGTGAAGATGCTCCAGGTTGAGAATGAACGGAATTCAAACAAATATTATTCCAATTTTTTGTTTAGGAATAATTGATTCTGACGGAGAGGATTGCGCTGACGAAGAGAATAACTTCAGCGTTTACGAATGCCCTGGATTGGCCCCAACCGGTGATATTGAAGTTTGCAACCCGAACTTCACAGCTCAGCCATAATTGGCTCAAAAATATACTGTCTTTACCTCCTCTTTTCAATGTTCGAAATACTTAAAACAAAAACCCAAAAAAAATTGAAAAACAAAACAAAAATTTTTCAACAAAACTATGATTTATTCCCAGTGAGACAGTATCAATCAATGGACTTACCAATACATACCATCAATTTTGTCCCCGTTTTTTTTCAAATTTCCAATTTTTTCCCTATCGCTTTTTCCTGTAATTATTTTGCCCTATCAATCTGAATAGAAATTGCATAACACCGGTGAAAGAGAGCGAGAACATTATCAGCAATCTTCCATATTTACCAAAATTCCATCCCAATCCAATCCAATTTGAACCGAACTGATTCAATCAATCCCAATCCAATCCAATGCGATCCGAGCCGAAACATCTAATAATATAGCTATCCTGTACAATTCCCAAACTCTTGTTGGCTGATGCAAAACAAACTTTGTTTAGTTTCGCCGCCACAATATCTCCGAGTATGAACACCTATTCCCGAGTGATTGTCAACCGAAATAATAAATATTTCGAATTGTTTTTCTGCGAGGATGTTTTCATAAAGTGTTTCAAGCAAAAAAAAATGCTGTTTAACATTCTGTTTATCAAAATTGTGTGAATATGCGAAACTGAAATATAATATGTATTTTGAAAAATTTGACTAAAAGAACGAAAACGATGTGTAGAGGACGTTGCTGGTTCTGCGTTGTACATTTTTCAATATGGAGCATGAAAAAGTGTTCATTTTTGAATAGAAAATCAGTCACTATGAATAATGTTACCAAAAATTTTTCGGTTTTTTTATTTAATAGGTTTATTCAAAATACGTATTCGTTTATAACAAACTATTTTCGAATATTACGAAATCAGAAACATGCTTATTATGCTTACTTGTACAAGTTGAATAAATGAACAAAAAACTTCATATTATAAATACGCACACATCTACATATTGGGATTCAAAGAAACCATTTATGAGAAGCTAGGCTGTGAATATCTGACATGTGATTGCCACCTTCAATTGTCATACGTCAATTCGCGAAAGACTAGCATCGTTTAATGGACCACAATATATGTCGCACACAATCAATTTAATTCGAGGCTTATGTGATTTATAATTGTCGACGCAAGAGACAAATAAATTTCTGGAAAAACTAAATATATATATTTTTTTCTTTTGCTTTCATATTTTGCTGGTCAATTGGTTATCATGTAAAATTTGTTTTAAAAAATTATCCATGTTTTTTGAAAACAAAAACATTTTTTTTTTGCAAAATCGTCATATCTTGACCCATGCTTCATTCATCATACGTATATTTAAAAATAGGCAAACAATGCTTTATGTGTGATGATTGTTCGCTTTTGTGTACTCAACTGCAATTTGCAGTCAGTTATGCACAGTCAGGATGATATCCCAATTCATTATTTTATTGCTCACACAATATTTCTATTATTGCGGAAAAAATGACGATTTCATAACAACGTTTTAAAATTGGTTGGTTTTTTTTTTCATTATTTGAAACCAGCGAAATTCATTTCATTTTAGCAATGTCATATAATCACCATCTCCAATCACAAGGCTATGTGCCTTCATATACTTCTCAGAATACCGGCGCTGCATATATGGCTAGAAGAGGATGGGATTCTTCGAACAACAGTGATCAGAATACAATTAGCTTCACATCAAAAAGCAGGTTGCAAAAAATTCGTATTAATTTTTGATATAAATTTTTTAAAAGGAAGAAAACGTTTTATATAATTGCCTTTGTACTCTTGCTTCTTCTTTCAATCGCAGCTATCGTGATTATCATATTATTTGCTTGTGGAGGTATTAATTATGTTGTCCACTTTCAATATGTAAAAAGTTCAGTGTTTTACACATCGGATCCATTACAAAATCCGACAACTCCACCCATATTTAATCCTACATATCGGCCACCATTCGATCCGTACTCGACACCACATGCTCCAATATTTGGCCAGGTATCTTTCGGTTTTTCAAAGAATAAAAATGTGAATATATATATTCATTTATTTATTTATATAGAATGCATCATTTTCCTGTACATTTGCTATTCTTCGTCAGGCAAGCGAAACGTTTGACGTCAAAAATACAAACGCGTATTATGCATCGTTTACATTGATACAGAATGCGGTGAGATTCAACGGGGTATAAAAAGAGAAACTTCATAAAAAATTCACATTTGAAATTTGTTTGAGAGAAATTTCTTTTTATTTTTTGAATTTCTGGCGAATTGAAAAGAAAGCTATGTGAATTGAGTGAAGTGACGTTACCAAAATTGAAATAACTAAAAAAAAATTTTTAACTGATTGCTATCCTTTTTTTTAACGATCAAAAATGTAATTTGTGCAAGTTCAGCTAACCAATGTGATATCAACTTCAAGTTTGCAACAATACAATCCTTCTGTGCAATTGAATGACTTACAAAATAGGTATAAACACTTATAATCTAAGCGTTTACAATGATTTTTTAAGGGGAAATGACTTGAGTGTTATTTTTCGGATAACAATGCAACCAAATCCAAATGTGGATCAAAATGTAATCGCGACTGTTCTTCGAAATAACATTTTAAATCTCCAAAACATGCTTGGAGGAAATGCGCAAATCGATCAGAGTAGTATATTTGTTTTCCGTTTGTTTGTTTAATTCAGTTCTCAATCTTTTCTGGAACGTTCCGGGTGTTTGAATCATTCAATATTTATTCAATAAGTACATATTATAATTGTTAATAATCCGCTTATTTAGTTATCTGAAAACTGTAAAAACTGAAAGACGATCAGAAAAATTGACTCACGTAATAATATGAACCTGCGATTGGTGTTCCAAGTTGCTTTCCAGTTTCAGTGCTCAAAAATTCGGTGAATGATGTGTAATTAGCGTGGAAATCATTCCAAACTTGCGGATTTCGTTTAGTTATTCGGAATTTCGTTTTAAATACCAATACTATGTACAACCGCCGAACTAAACATGAAAATGATAAGATACATTATTCCCAATATTTGCCGTACTTTGCCTTGAAGAAGTCTGATCTGATTGAATTGTTAACACACGATTCATATTTCTAAAAAATACACCTTCATCCCAAACTGGGACTGATAGGTCAATTTCTCGAGACAAAGATGACGGTCTATTATAATAGAGGTTCATTGATTCCGGATTTCCATGAGGATCTGATGACTTGATAAATCTGACATTTATAATATCAACCTACTAAAGAAAACAAGAACATGGAAGAAAAATGACGGCATTTGTTCGTGAAAAAGTACCACCTGGAAAATAGCATTTTAATTTTGAATCGAATTGTTTTGAATTCCTTTTTTAAATAAACTGGTTCTCGAAATCGATATGGTAACATTGCAAAGTGATCACCAGTGCGAATTTCAGGCATATGTGCATTTTTATTTGGCACGAACTCGTTTAATACGACCTAAAATCAATGACCAAAATTCAATTCGGAAATTGCAATTGACTGACATAGTCAATTCCGCCTCCGGGTGCATTAGGGATAATTGAAGGAGACAACGAGGTTACATAAAATATTGGCATCGATAGATTCGATGACATTTTGTTGATTCCTACTTTAGTTTCATAGAATACTGAAAAACAATTATTTTGAAAACCAGAAAAGGGACCATCCAGATTTGAATACCATTTTCGAAAGAATCGAGTGTAGTGGTTTTGCAGCATAAATGCATATTGTATGTTGTAAGCATTTGATGATTTACGGCCTAAATATTCTATATGCCTTATATTTAATGTAACAATACAAAAACCTGTTCACATGAATAATCATCGGGGCATGCTTTTTCTTCTGTTGGGTCACACAAGAGCACGGAAGGCAAATCATAGGACGAAGCCCCATAGGGGCAGACTGTAATGTTAACTTTTCATTGGTAGTGTCTCTTTTTTAATTAAAAAGCATATTGTCTTGAAAACTTTGAGAAGTAGTGTTGATCTAACTACCACACATACTTGGTTTGACTTGTTCAGGAACACCAGGAGGATTATTAAGATCCTGTGGAACGTCAGCGCAACATCGATGATCATTTGTTAATTTTGAAAATGTACAAATGGGATTTCGACCGGTACACTCAATGGGGTCATTGGGGGTACATTTCACACCTTCAAATATACTCCTTTTCTGGATATTTCTTCTGCCGAAATACCTTGATGAAGAACTTCCGAACACATAGAATACTGAGCCAAAACGTTCTGTTCGTGTGTTTGCCAAGGGAATGGACAAACTTGAAAAAAATAAGTTGAAAATATATGATTTGAATACAATCGGCTTACTTTCTTCGTAATCTTCCTCCTCCTCCTCCTCCTCTTCTTCTTCAACTTTTTCTTCGACAACCTTTTTGTGTTTTTTACATTCAGCAAGAATACTAAGAAGAAGCAAAATAACTAAAATACGACGCATTTCAGCGGTGAACGTTCAAATGTGGAGAGACAACGATTTCAAATTTTCGCTCGACACTCAATACGCCGCGCGATATCATACCGATTGTTGTTTGTATTTGTGATGATATTTGAATCAGCATCATATTGCCCAACATGGTCAAGATTTGCGAGTTTTTGAGCGGTCACGACATTGTCTCTTAACACCTTGCTCAAATTCCTGGACTCTAGTCTCTTCGTTTTTCTCGGTGCACGATTTGACTGCTGAGTGCGGTTTGGTTTAAATGTTTCACATTCTGATATTGTCAATTATTAATTACGTTTATTCGCAACCAGCTATTCCACCTCCTGAAAGGCCAGGTTGATTGCTTAAAACTAAAATATCATTTTACAAGACTGAGTTTAGAGTGCTCAGCCGGATGGCAATCTCCGGACTTGACGTATGTACCTTCCATCAATCAATGTAACGACTATACCCCAGGTAGAACGTTTCAACTTCTCCATATCATAAAATATTTTCTAGGAGTTGGAATTTCCTGTCAGCCAAATAATCCATTCACTTGTACTGGCAGGAATCCGTTTTGCGCAACTGCCGGAGATCGAACGTTTAAATGTTGCAGTGATATTATTCAAGATTCTGATGAAATTGGCAATCTAACCGACACACAAATAAAACCAAGTCCAACCAATTACAAAAATGTAGACAAAAATACATAAAAATTTCAGTTTGTCCGGCTGGTGCAATTCCATATAAAATGCCACATGTCCTCTTATGCGATCCATCCATTGTGAACATGTGTCCATATGATTATAAAGTGGGTATATTCATTAATTTTAATATTGAACGATGACTGAAAATTGTTTGAAAATTTAATATGAACATTCACGAACATGGTTTATTTCATCGTGCAACTGAAATTGTCTCAAAACGCTCCTCAAAAGCAAATTTTCAAATTTCAGCATATTTTGATAGACAAAAATTGTTTTTCAGTGTGTTGAAGCTGCAAATGGTCATCTTCTGCCCCCGGATGGTCGATCGCTTTGTTGTAAAACGTCAACTTTATATTCATTCGCATCCGTATTTGGCGAAGCCAAAATAACACCACGCATCGTGCCAAATCCCCCGCTCTCCGCCATTGAATATGTGTCGCTTCGTTTTGCTTTTTGTTTAATTATTTCAAATGTTCAGGTCACGTTGAATGTGCACACTTCCGCAAAACAACACGCTCCTGAAATTCGAATTGGCGATCATTTTGTATTAACTCCATACAAATTATATGAACCGGCGTATTTGAAAAAAGTCAAATTGTTCGCTGATTTTGGACATGGATCATATGTCCATGTTTTATTATTTGGTGAAGAGTCGCTATGTGGAATTGTTGATTGAACCTTTTTTGATTTTAGATCCCTTGACTCCTACAGAAACAATGCAACTTTATTATGATAGACCCACATCCAATGGAAAAATGGTGAATTTAGATGAGCCAATTCCAGATGGAGGTTTCCTATAATATTAAAAATAAGCTTATAATCGATTGAAAACTTTTAAGGATTCATTTCAAAAAAGATTTTCAATGCAGCTCCAATTACAAACATCGAAAATCCACAAAGACCTGGTCCAATTAAAGAATGTATAGTTAAATTAATATGAGTCACTCATGTATAATATATACTTAAAGATCGCAAACTGTGGATAGTTCTTGTTTTCAAGACCGTCAATCCATTGACACGACTGTACATTCTTTCGAGTAAAGACTTACACAAAAACTATAAATCGGTAACTGATTTCTTGAAGTCGGACACTGGAAATATGCTTGGCACACCTGTTGCAGGAACGTACTTTTATGTGAGTTACACACTTTATTGAATCATTTTATTCATATTTCAGTTAACATCGGATTGAGAACAACACGAGAAACACCAGATGTCATATTACAAATATTCCAAGCATTACAAATTCTGGAGTTTTCATTTTTTTGTGCAATAATTGAAAATTTATTTAATTGAAGCTTTTTTAATATTTGAATAAGCACAAAAAACTAATATAAAAATTAAATACTCCATTTTGTTTTTCGTTTAAATTCATTATTCGTCTGTCTATTGTGCCTTTATTTAAAATACTCATTTTTTTATTCTTAATATTCACATTATTTATGCTTCATGTAGAAATTCCAATTTTCTTCAATATCGCTATTTCCTTGAGTAATTTTTTATTAAACGTTTTGAATATTCACCAACATTCAAGATTGAAGTTGTTATAAATCACGTGAAAATCATGACCCATTTTTCACGTTCATCCAACGAGCTTTCACGATTGCTCAATTCGAAATTCCAAGTGTGGCAGGATGTTCGAAACGCTCAAAAAATTTGCATATCATTAGAGGCCTTCAATTCTCAAAAAGTGCAGGCCTGGTTGAATGCTTCTCAATATAAATCAAGTAATCAATCAAATATCGAAACACTCTCTATATAGTCGTCCTTTTTTGATTTTCAAACCCAAAAATAGAATAATCTAACACCAACAAGCTTAACAATCAAAATAGTGCTTTGCGTGACAATAAAGATTCGCACAATAAATAAATCTCGGCGTATTGATAACAACAAAGTATGAGTCAAATGTATGGAAAGAAGCAAACAAGAAACGTTCTCTATTCTTTCAAAAGACTTGTTCGCAAGAGTATGAAACATAACATGGTGGCTCATCTGCGACCAGGCGAATATCAATGAATCTCAGGGGAAATGTAATGTCCCGTCGATGGCAGGCGATCCAGTTGGTAGCCCCGCACTGAATGTGTCTTGCATTTCACGCGCGCATCCCGAAAAAAATGTGTCATTTCAGTTGTCTTCGACGCGGTTGCCGCTTCTCCTTCTCCTGTTGCGAGTTACGCTCAGTCTTCTTCTTCGTCTTCTACTTCTTCTTCTTCTTCTTCTCGCCGTCCTTGTTCCGCTGCTGCCACTGCTAGTTGCGGTGTGGAGCTTCAGAGTCGGCCACGCCTCCACATTCTTAGCCGTTGGCGGCATTTCTCGTTAAATAACGAACACCGTCGTCGTGTCGACAATTAAGACTGTCAAGCTGGATTCATGAATAAAACGGTGAAGCTTCTGCTCATCCTGGGCACAGTATTTCTTAAATTCCATTGTGACGAAGTTGAGGATGTCCTTACAAACACGAAAGTTGCGGAATTAAAAGAAAATGTTACAGAAACTCCAAAACAAGGTAAGTTATTTAAATTTTTCGTTTATTTATTTTTTTGAATTGCAAATGAATAAAAAATTGTTCAGCATTAATTGTTATTCCCATCGGTTTTTGCGCGGCGCTTCTCTGTTTTTTTTTATTTATTTTCACATTTCAGTCAGTTAGTTTTCATTCTTCTAAACATGAATAATTCATCCAAACAAACTACGATGATAGTAAAATGAAATTATTTTTGGATGAGGAGAGGTTTTGCCATAATTGAATATTCGCGAATCCGTTTGTCTCAATTTGATGCTGACGGATACAAAAAGCAAGCGACAAAAATTTATTTATTTACTTCCGCGTTTTCGTACTTTAAAATTGCTGCCATTGTTGAGACGCCAAATTTGCTTCCATTGTTTGATTTTTCAAATGTCAAAATCATTTATTTTTCTTTAAAGTGTTTTAAAAAAGTGCGCTCTCAAATTCGGTTCACATCGGCTCTTTCATTCCATTTTCTCACAATAATTTTGGCAAGTTTTATAGCGATTGAATATATAGCGTTTCCTCGTTGAGAACAATGGGAAAATGCTTTTATAATTACTATAAAAGGGCAAAAAAAATATAAAGAAATTTAATTGACCATAGATAGATATTTTGCGGCTATTTGTCAGTCAAAAAATTGAAAACCGGAATTCAAAAGTGTTTTGTCATCTAAAAGGACAATTGCAGTTAATTTGAATATTAATGAGGGATAATTTTCAGAATCAACGGACCCACAAGGAGAAGATGAGGATCGACTTGTGATTGATCTATTTCGTGATTACAATTTCCTTATAAGACCTGTTCGAAATGTTAGCAGCCCACCGGTTGTTGTGGATTTTGGTGTCGCAATGATTCTTCTCATCAATGTGGTAATGCTACAATTTTAAATCAACTAAACATCATAAAAATAGATTTAAATGAACATTTAATCAAATTCAAAAATATAGAAATGAATTATCACAGTTTTTCACAATTATTTGAAAACGCAATTATACGATTCACATCGTTTTAATGTTGGATTCATATTAATCACACAATTGTTTTCTTTGCGAACATTTTGGCTAGATATGACGACGTTAACAAAACTTTAACCCAATGTTTCATTTTTTTTTGCTGCCTCGTTTTCTATCCAGATTCTATTTGTAGGACGAAAAAAACCAAATACTACAAACGAATGTTTGGCTAACAATGAAATGGAATGATTTTCAATTATCTTGGAATCCGGAGGATTATGGTATTCGACATTCATTTTTTTAGGAACAAAGATTTTCAGGAAACATTTCGAATCTTCACGTGCCTTCTGACCGGGTTTGGCTTCCTGACATTGTCCTTTTCAACAAGTAAGTGAACACACATTGCGCGAACAAAAAGAAACTATGGAAAAGGACACTTAGAAAACTCAATCCTCGTTAAGCAGTCAGGCAGTGTATATTGAATCTCAGAAAATTTTCTCTTTTGCATGTATCAGTGCTAGTAACTTGTGTCATCTCCGATATATTCTAATCGCTTCTTTCAATAAATCAAATCAGCTTGTTTCCGCTGTTTTGAGCGCACAAGTGATGAGGTCCGAATTCGTGGAACCTCCTTTTTGCATCGCAATTGTCACCCAAACGTTTCGATTGAATTTGAAGCGATTTACGTACATCTCCGAAAAAGGGACTTCAAAGAAGTTGAGAAGACAAACATCAAATTGATTGCAATCTGAGGAAAAAACTTTGAAATTCAAACACTTTTCGATGCACTTTCACAACACTCGCCAATAATGTAAGAAACAGCCGGCGAAATGAACCAGTTTGGGTGAACATTATTGCTCATCGCTCATCAAACCAACTTTCCAATTGAATATCACACTTTGATGTCTACTAGACCGCACTGGGAATTGTGGAAATATTAATGAAACATCATAGTAATATATAGCAGAAAAAAAAGCACAGGGACGTTTTTGTCAAAATCGAACGAATTCTCATGAGAAAACCGGCATGGCAAAGAAAATCATTTTAAAATTCTGTCTATACTAAAACGTTAAAAAAATGAAGAACATAAACTCCACATTTATCGCTTCCAAAAGTTTCTGAAATTTATTTTTTTGTGTAAAATCTAGATTTATGTTATGCCATGTTAGTATTATTGAGCAGTTTCTTTTGAATTCGAAATAAATGCAGTTTTTTATTCCACGCTCATCCATCAATTCAAGAATTGGTTTAATGTGATTAGAGGAAAAACTGCGAGCTGTATCATGACACGCAACCAATTTGTAACATTGAAACTGGAGATTGATGTGCAACAGAAACTTTCATAGACACTACACACTGAAATGCATGTATCAACGTTGACAAGTGTCACAACACTTTTTTTGGAAATGGCTCACTATTAAAAAAAATAATTTTTCAGCGCTGATGGGAACTACGAGGTTTCATTTAAGTCAAATGTCTTCGTTGATCATTACGGCGACGTGACGTGGGTTCCGCCGGCAATGTTCAAAAGCAGTTGCAGAATTGATGTTGAATGGTATTTCATGGTTGAGCTCCTAATAAAAAAGCATGTTTGAAATGTTTAGGTTCCCTTTTGACGAGCAATGCTGCACACTAGTGTTTGGCTCATGGACTTATAATTCCGAGGAAGTGCGCTTGCATTGGTATAATAATATACAAGCGGTACAACTTCATGATTACTCGTACTCAGGAATCTGGGACGTTATTGGTTAGTGACTACTAAATTAAAATGACGAATTTATGCAAATCAAAAAATAAAAGAGATATAACGAAATTTTCGTTTTCAATTCTATATATAGTTGAAAAATAGAATTACACTTTAAAAATGATTTCAGATGTTCCTGGCCAGCTTATTCATCGCCCTCTGACCAAAGAAAATAAAATAGTGTTTAACGTAGTTATACGGAGGAAAACATTATTTTACACCGTTATTCTAATTATTCCAACTGTGCTTATGGCATTTCTATCAGTTATGGCATTTTATCTGCCAGTTGATTCCGGAGAGAAAGCATCACTCACAATTTCTTTACTTCTCGCTCTTGTTGTGTTTCTTTTGCTCGTATCAAAGGTACCAAAATAGCAAATCTTTCAAAGTTCAAATTTTTATTTATCAGATTCTACCACCAACATCAAACATTCCTCTAATGGGAAAATATCTTCTTTTAGCCTTTGTTTTGAATATCATGGCTGTTGTGGTGAGAGATTTCGGCAATAATTAAAGGAATTGTGCGTCAATTTGCAGGCAACCGTTGTTATTGTAAATATATATTTCCGCAGTGCGCTTTCTCACAAAATGCCAACTTGGGTTCGTGTGTTGTTTCTAGAATTTCTACCTCATCTCCTCGTGATGAAAAGACCCGAGCGTATTCCAATTTTTAATGGATATTTCGTTGAAGAATATTGCGCCTCAGAAATTTTCGATGCTAGTAAGTCATAGTAAAGCAATAATGCTCGAATTAATTGTTTGATAGGTCTTGTAATGCCATCCATGACGGCAACAATGCTTCCATTCCTTCAAGTTCAAACAGCTATTGATGAAACAACATCTTCAAAAGCCAACGCAAATCCTGAATCTGCAGGACATCATGAAAATTGCACAAAATGGAAGAAACGGTTATCAATTCGAATGTCACGGCGACGAGCTCCAAAGGTGAGTTCAAACCCATAGACATTATTACGAAGAAGTATTTTAGGCAACCATTGATGATGATTTGGAAGACATCGTTGACGATTCAAATGGAAATCATATTTCAGTTAATGAGAAAATTAGCAAAGAAATGAAAACAACTATAGAAGCAATTGCTTACATTGCAGAACATATGAAAAGGGAAATGAGTTTGAAAAAAGTAATAATTAAAAAAATTATTTTGAGTTTTATTTTCATGTTTTAGATGAGAGATGACTGGAAGTACGTGGCAATGGTCTTAGACCGTTTACTTTTACTTATTTTCTTTGGAGTAACATTAGGCGGAACTTTAGGAATTATTTGCTCAGGTTAAAACTTGTTTTACTTCCATTGGCTCAATTCTATTAATTTCAGCTCCTCATGTTTTCGATTTCATCGATCAAGAAAGAATTATCGAGGAATTGAAAGCGAAATATCTACCACCGGAAATGTATTCATAATAGCATTCTTTCGAGCAGTTTTTTAGCTATTATCTTTCTCATTTAATATTTTAATTTTGGGTAGAGAATGTGTATTTAACTCATTTTCCATTTTTATACTGGTTTAAATCATTTCAACTGTTCCAATCCGTTTTGTTTTTCGCTAATAAATCGTTTTACGTCAAGTGCAAATCGAATTTCGAAGATGATTAGAAACTTCCAGGGCTCTTCAAACAAATGAATGCAAATGTATAATATAATGTGCGTTTGGGTTTTAACTTTTCGCAAATTTTTTTCATTTTTTAGCATTTTAAAATAATGTTTAAAAGGTTGAAACGCGCTACTTCAAAAATTTTGTGGAAATCTAGTGGTCGAAATGGTCGAAATATTGCGCCACCATTTTGAATGAAAAAAAATTCTCAAATTATAAAATTTTACCAACATAGATTTGATGGAATTAGTTCACACTAAATATAGAGAAATTTCATCTTTATGAGAGACACTATGGCACCACAAGGAATTAAAGAAAGTGAAGTAGATAATATAGGTTCTTCAGATAAAAATACTCAATGAATTTATTTATTGACTGGTTTAGAACTTATATGAATGAGTTTACAAATGAAATAGGCCGTGAGGCTCTTAGATATTGAAAGCTCTCCGCTCTTCAAGCAAAATCGTAGACTAACGCAATATATCAGCTACAATTTGAAGACATAATGAAATCCAATGGTCCCATACAAATATATGTAGATTAAATATAAATCACATCTCACACAAATTATGGTTTTTGCCCTCATTATAAATTTTTACAATTTTTTTACCGTTTTTTTCACGTTCCACTTGACCCGCATTTTCATCTGATGTTTTTCTTAATTATCAAAACTATTTGGACGTAATTAACATCCACTGGTGATGATATTTTGACTGAAACGTTGGATATTGTATCCAAATGCCCTGTGGAAGAAATAAACATTTGATCACATCAAGAACATTGGTTCATAACACACTAACTCATATGATGCAACAGCCTATGGATTCAACAAGTAATTATGTGTTGAATTCATGTATTCGAAATGACGAAAAATGTTTTAATAATATTTCGACCATTTCGATCACTAGATTTCGTCAAAATTTTTGAAGTAGCGCATATTAACATTTTTGACATCTTAAAAAAAAATGAAAAAAAATGATACATTTGCAGAGTTAAAACACAAAATAAACGAAAATAAGCTTTAAATTTTCTTGTAAATGAGAAAAATGAGGGTGCGTGAAAAGGTGCATTTGAACGATATTATATCTATTATTCTCAATTATGGTGTTTACATTTCATTAGGCATATGTTTACATTTCATTAGACATATATTTACTCGTTTGAAGAACCCTGGGAATTTCTAGCCATTGCCCCCACCCACTTGAAAATTCGATTTGCACTTGATGTGAAACGATTTATTAGCGAAAAATATTGAAAACTATGAAGTCTGCTGCAGCTGTTAGTATTATCACAATTTCGCAATTAATACACGGTATGTTTGATGTAAGCAATTTGATGATGACACTAGTAATAACGCACTAGTATCCTTTTTAAATAACCTATCAAGCTACCTGTTATACCACTAAAGTAAATTAAATTTTTGTTTGTATTTTTTGAAATCATATTATTGATATTTTCAGGCGTAAATTGTTTTTCTAAATTATCAGCTGAAGATCGCCTTCTCTCAAATATTTTTGAAGGATATAATTCATTGATACGGCCAGTTCACAATGCTTCATCTCCACCAGTTGTGGTATTATATTTCGTTGAAATTCCTTATAGCGTTATTGCAGGTATATTTCAGCTTAGCACTAGTTCTTTTAATAAATGTTGACGAGAAGAATCAAATAATGCAAACCAATGTTTGGCCAACAATGAAATGGAATGATTATCATATGAAATGGAATCCTAAAGAATACGATGGCATTGAGACTGTTAGAGTCCCGCCGGATAAAGTTTGGCTTCCTGATATTGTTTTATTCAACAAGTTTACCTAATCAATTATCATTTAAATTATAGAGTATTTAGTGCTGACGGCAACTATTTGGTCTCATTCTACTCAAACGTCGTTGTTGAGCATACAGGAGATATGTTGTGGGTTCCTCCAGCAGTTTACAAGAGTAGCTGCCTTATTGACGTCGAATATTTTCCATTTGACGGTATTTGATCTAATATTATCGAGGTCAAACTAATCTCCAGAATTTAGAACAAGTGTGTTCTTTGACGTTCGGCTCGTGGAGTTTTGGAAACGATGAGCTGCAGCTTTCTTATCTTTCGGGCAAACGTCACGTGAGATTTCTATTTTTTGCTTTTTTGCGATAAAAAATTTATGTCTTTTTTTTTTGAAGGCCGAATTGAACGATTATCTTCCAAGTGGAATATGGGATCTGACGGATGCGCCTGGATTGTTGTCACAAAGTCGTTCTAAAATTTCGTACCTAATTAAAATAAGAAGGTGCTCGACTCCGAGAATATGACAACTATCATTTAAAATTTTTAGAAAATCTCTTTTTTATACAGTAATTTTAATCATGCCAACAGTTCTGATGGCTTTTCTATCAATGATGGTTTTCTATCTCCCAGCGGAATCGAGCGAAAAAATTACATTAGCAATCAGTATTTTACTTGCTTTGGTGGTTTTCCTTCTGGTAGTATCCAAAGTAAGAACTTTATTTTTTTTACTAACACAAATTTGACATATGATTGTTGAAGATTCTCCCTCCAACAAGTTCGACTATTCCATTGCTTGCTAAATACCTTTTAATGACATTCATAATGAATATGGTGACAATTATGGTATATTTCATTTTTTGATATTAATGTGTGTAATTTCTTTTATTTCAGGTCAGTGTTATTATCATCAACGTTTATTTTCGAGGACCAGCAACACACATCATGCAAGATTGGGTTAAAATTGTATTCTTGAAGGTAAATAACTCATACAGTTTTTTTTAAATAAAATATCCAATTTACAGTATCTTCCAATGCTGCTGATAATGCAAAGGCCAGATGGGGCACAGCAGGAGCTTACCAGAATGAAACGTGAAAATCGTGAGAAGAGATACCTTCGATCACCATTCGCATTGTTGTTCAAACGTGGTGACAGGGTCAGTAATTAATCAAACATGTATAAGAAACATTTGATTTACTTGTTTATTTAGAATAACAACAAACAAAAATCGGAAGAGAAACAGGTTGCGGTATGAATTTTGATTTTTGTGGTAAATCATTAGTTTTAGAGTAACTCAACGGAGGAAAAATTGTCGGCTGAAGCAAAAAAAGCGATTGAAGCGATCGAATATATCACAACACATTTGACACATGACAATGCATACAAACGAGTTCGTTTATCATTCTTTTTGATAAGTAATCAGGAATTCGACGAATTGTTTCTCAGAACAAAAAAATGAGAAAAAACTAAGATAAAATCAATTTTTAAAATAATTAATTACAGCAAAGAGAAGAATGGAAGTTTGTATCAGGGGTTATTGATAAATTATTGCTTTACATATTTTTTGCAGGTACTATTTTTTGCAAAAACATAATGTCGTGATTTTTTCATTTTTAAGTAACAACTGGAGGAACATTGGGAATTTTGCTATCAGCACCGAATGTTTTTGAGCAAATCGATCAAACCGCAGTCATTGAAATGTTGAAAAAACAAGCTGCTGAGGAAATGCTTAACTAGATGTTGCTTATATATTTATAAAAATAAATTATGATACTTGCAATTCAAATATTTTCTTTACTGCAAAATTCGCATGTACAATGATTGAACTTCGCCAAAATTGTTACAATTGATACCGACATCATCGCTGGTTTCAATGTCAGCAACCAGCGATCATTTCATTTCCTTTTTCATAGTTTTTTTTTAGTTTTCATTATCTGTCGAAGATTATATAAATGGAAAATCGCTGGAAACATTTATTATTATTTGTTCAGGATGGAATACTATATTCCTATCCTGGTTTGTCTAACCTTCTTTGTTTCGTATATTGAAGGACAAGGAATGGGTGGATGGTGGGATCGGCGGGGATTTGGTAGTCCATGGGGAAAATTTGGTATGTTTTATAAGACCCAATAAAAAAAAAACGAATTTATTATAGGCGGTCGAGGATTTCCAATATTACCACCACCGAGAGGCTTTCTGATTCCTCCACCAGTTCCACCACCCGGATTTCCAACAGGACCTTTCGGAGGATTAGAGCGTATATTTTTTAAATTGTTTATTTTAAAGTTTTAAATAGCACATAATTATTAGAATGATCGATTTAATAGTTAAATTATTATAGCGCCACAACCCATTCGAGTAATGGAAATTTTCGAGAGACCTCGCGTTGGAAACGTTTGGGATGATTTAAGGGTTTACTAACAACATATTCCACTTCTTATACTGTCATAATCGTTTTAAGGATATCAGCAAAAATCGTAGACATCTTGGTCGAGGTGAATGGCGTCGCAAGGCGCGCATGTTCTGTCACCGATTCCCTGGTCATCCACATTGCAGAAAAGGAAAGATTCCCGATCAAAACGAAGTATCTGATATGCTGAAAAAAATGAAATACGGAAATATTGGACAATTTTTGAGACGGGTTCCTAGGTAATATTTTACTTTAAAAAACAAACAAACAAATTAAGAAAGCTCACATTTCCCATAAATTTCTATTACAATGGGGAACAAATGTTCAAGGAAAAATACAAATAAAAAAACGTGGATATTTTTTCGAGAAATTAAGAAATATAAGATTACCATGTAATTATATTAAAAGTAAGATAACCGTACATTTATTTACCCGCTTTTAGCAGCTGTTTAACTTCGATTCCACATAAAAATTTAACATAAATATCAATAAACGACGTTCCAGAATTCGAATTGACGATCCACTAAGAAATGTGGACAAAAGACTTCAAGGATTCTTAGGTGGTTTCCATCATCAGTTTGGACACATTGACAGAGACGTATTTAAAAAAATCAAAGTACAAAATCAAATAACTATTATTAAGTGAATTTTAAATATTCAGGACATCTGTAAAAGCAGAAGGTGTAAAGAACAGCCTGAGAATGCGAAAAAGAGCCGAGATATTATTACTGAAAAGGTTAAGCAGATTCAAGCGGCTTTTAAAATTAAAAATATTGCAGATGATTGCTTTTGAACAGAAAATTACTGGAAAAGATCCTAGCGACAGAGTCAACCTTAGACTGGATAGAACTCTTCAGTTAAAAGAGGCATTACTAGAACGCGGAAATCTTACTGCTGATGTAATCTTTCTTTTTTATATTAAAGCAGAGAAGTGTTCCTTTAGATTGTTCCTGTAGATAATGGAATATTTGATCAAGATACTTTGCTTACCGAAGAGCAAGCAAACATTTTATTAAATGAGCTGAATAAAGGAGGAGTTGGAGCAGATGAAATTCCACTCCCGGAAACGGATTCCGATGATAGTGAGGAAGACACAGGTAAAAAACCTGTTGTAAAGACTCCTATTTCTAATCCAAATGCCACGAAAGCCAGACCAAAAAAGTATGAATCCTCTGATTTTCATTTAATTTTTCATTTTTCTCAGGTCTGCCCTTTATTTTGAAGGAAACTTGATAAAGAAGTGGGGATCAGGGTCACCGATCCCCTTCGTACTCGATGATTCTTTAGGTTTTTTTTTCATTTTGGAAGTGACATCATTAATCTTTTTCCCAACAGAATCAATTGATAAGAACGATGTCCGTGCAGCTATCTATGAAATCGAAAAGAACACGTGCATTCGCTTCAGAGAATTGTCGGCTCCACCTAGTGGTTCCCATATTGTTTACTACAAAGTGGACAGCCCAACATTGTAATAACGATGGAATAGTAAAAAAATAGAAAAATAATTTAGCTGCGGATTGTCTTACGTAGGAAGAGCTGATCCTGCAAATCCCATCTATTTGAGTTTCGGATGTGACAATGTAATGAAAATATTAAAAAGTATCTATAATTGGAATATTGTAGAATAAGGGAGTTGCTATTCATGAGACAATGCACGCATTAGGTGTTGCTCACCAACACCTTCGAACAGATCGAGATCAATTCATTACGATTAATTGGAGTAACATTGATCCACAACAATATGATTCATTCGTTGTCGTTGATTCAAAGCTTTACACATCGTAATTTAAACTAACTAAAGTAAATATAAATAATAGTGATTTTAAAGGTATGGAGTAAAGTACGCATATGATAGCATTATGCATTACAACGCTTATACTGCTGCACAGAACTTTGCTGTTGCAACAATGACTCCTAAGGTATGCCATTGAAACAAATCAGCTAATCAATTTTTCTTTTATATTCACCTTTAAGAACAACCCCGCTGTTAATTTGAAATTGCTCGGACAACGAGATAGAATGGCGAAAGAAGATATCGAAATCCTTCGTAAAATGTATTGTATGCCAGGTTGCTCTAATTGTAAAGTTCTATATTTAAACTTTCATTTTCTAGGATGTGAAGATCAGAATGTCTATTGTGGAGCTTGGGCGCTTAGAAACCTCTGTACCAATCCAAGTCACAATCGTTACATGGCCAACACGTGCAAAAAAAGCTGCAACTTGTGTTCAGTAGGATGAAAAAAGTGAAATTGTTACTTCCATGAAATAAATGCTTTCAAACAAGTCAATGATTTGCCAGTTCGCTGAGCGATTTTTTGATAAGATCGAGAGAAAAAATGCCGGGTGTGTAACAAACTGCATTATTTTTTATTTTTGTAAGACGGGTTTTCTACTGATGCCATTCATGGTCGTAAATATACATTTATAATCGGCAACACGTCCTCAGAACGATCATAACAAAAATGATCGCCCACCTGTTCCTGGTATTTCTATTATTTTTCGTTACGACTTCATACGCTCAACTCGACTTTCTGGCAGGTCTACAAGGTTTTATCGAAATATGTCCAATTGCATATGTATCCATTTAGGACGAGGTGGGCAGATTCCGCTAGCCGGGTTAGGAGGAAACGGCCAAATGGTGAGTCAAACTTGAAAATAGTGGCAGAATTGAATTGTTTAGGGAAACCTCGGCGATCTAATTGGTGGAATTGGAGAGATGGTTACTGGAATAACTAGCCAACTAGGTCTTGACTTGAATGACGATTTGATGCATATGGCAAAGGGACCACGCCCAGATGATGCCACATGGAATCGGCAAGCTCGAAGATTTTGTAGACGTTATCCTGGACATCCAAAATGCAGGTAAATCACAGTTTTGATTATTTTGTTGAAATCCACTTTCAGAGACGGATTACCACAATTTAATGACTTGCAATCAATTATTAATGGAATTATAACTGATGCAGGAAAGTGGCTTCCGAAAGTACCATTGTAAGAATATTTTTTTGTTGTTTTTGCTTGACGTATTCTCCTGACGGGACGAAATTAAATACTCTTAATTTGTATTCCGAATACGAGTAGCTCAATTTTTGATACCGAAGTACTAGCAAGTAAATGACACAATTGACTTATAAGCAATTAGGAACTCTGAACAGTTAACCCGATTCCTGGAATTAACTGAAAAATTAAAAATAAATCTGATATTATTTAATTATAGAATTGATATTCGTGATCCGCTTGCTGGAATCAATGACGATTTGAAGAATGTTCTTAGCGGACTTCTTCTTCAGTTTGGTGATCTTGGAAAGAAAGTTACAGGGAGCTTAAGAGTATAAAATAAATTATTCAAAGACTTTTTTAAAAACTATTTTTTAGAATGTGTGCAAACGGCGGAATTGCCTTCAGCAAAATGAGAAAACTCACAAAACCAAGACTGATGTATTAAGTCGAGTAAGAATGCATTTCTTGACAATTCACTCATATTTGTTTTAGCTAACAAAATTCGAAAAAAATATGGTCGGAAAAGATACTACGGACAAGATCAATTTGAGATTCGACCGTACTCTTCAACTTAAACAAGCTCTCTTGGAAAAGGCTAATTTGAAAGGAGTTATCGCACCAGAAGACAATGGAATTTTTGACAGAGACGTCCTTCTCACTGAACAACAAGCAAACTTTATGCTTAATGAGCTGGGAAAAGGTGGCGAAGGAGCATCTTTTGCAGGATCGCCACCGGCACGTCGTGGTCGTGCGTCAGTATTCTTCGAGGAAAATCCTGTTCAAAAATGGCCAACAAATCAACCAGTGCCATATACATTTGATGCATCATTATCCGACCTTGATAAGAATGACGTAAACGCTGCACTTAAAGAAATTGAAAGAAACACCTGCATCAGATTTAAATATTTTGTGAGCGTGTATATCTTCGACGTTAAATTAATTCTTCTCGTTCAGGCAAATACACCAAAAGGAAATCACATCAACTATCAAAAAGTGGATTCGCCTACTTTGTAACTACTAGAAATATTTTAAGATGCCAATGATATATCTTTTCAGCTGTGGATTATCCTACATTGGAAGAGTTGAACCAGCAAATCCAGTATATCTGAGTTTCTTGTGTGGAAATGTAGTTGGACATTATAATGCACGTAATATTATTAATTCTAGGCCCGCGGGATCGCCATTCATGAGACTATGCATGCTCTTGGGGTTAATCATCAACATCTTAGAATGGATCGCGACCAGCATATCAAAGTGATTTTGAGAAAAAAAAAACATATGCAGCCAAATATTATTAAACTTAGATCGATTGGAGTAACATCGATCCACAACAATATGATTCATTTGTCGTTGCTGACTCAAAACTTTACACCACTTATGGTGTCAAATACGCTTATGATAGCATCATGCATTATAATGCTTATACGGCTGCTATGGATATTTCCAAGCCAACTATGATTCCTTTAAAAAACCAACAAACAAATATTGGACTTCTCGGACAAAGGGCAAAAATGAGTACGGCGGATATCGAAATTCTTAACAAAATGTATTGTAAACCAGGTAGAAAATAGCACCCAATATGATTTGATTCGTAGGAATTTTTTAGGTTGTGAAGATAAGAACGTGTACTGCGGTGCTTGGGCTCTTCAAGGTGTCTGCACCAACCCTAATAACAATATTTGGATGGCAGCTAATTGTAAAAAGAGTTGTAATCTTTGCTAAATTGAATTTTTGCGTAAAATTGATTTATTTGTCATTCAAGCGACACTCGAGTCTTTAATTGAACTTCCTCCTGGATACTTTCCGAAAACCCTCTCGAACACGACAACATCTTCATCATCCGACTCGGATTCCGATTTTGAAATCTCTTTGCCATTGTTCTTGCCGTTATTTCGACGTTGCACCTTCGCGCTGCAGATTGAGCGCTATAGATCACGTGAAAAATGAATTAATTCGAATTATACCTCGTAGCTTTGAATGCTTGATATCCAAGATTTCTGAGAAGAATCATTTGATAAGATTTGAATAAAAATACGATGACGGCCAGTGCGACAAATCCAATCTTTAAAATTATAATGAATATTCTGCATTGCTGATATAATAAAACCACGTAGTTGAATCCAACTTTACAAACATTGATATTCCTGATAAACGCGCAAACTGCTGGCTGGAACGTGAGAACAAATTCTTCTTGCTTATCCACAACAAGCATGTAGTGAAAAATTACGACAGAGGAGCAAACAGTACAAGAAATACCAATTCCTGCCTGAAAAAAAAACTTAATACAATAAAATTTTAAAGAATTATTCTTTACCCAGATGTAGAAGGCAAGAAGAAACTTTGACAACATCATTGTGAGCAATCCATACATCGCGTAGACCGTGGCAATCAGGAAAATGAGAAGAACGATAGCGAACCCGAGATTTATGAATGAAACTGAAACAGCTATAATCACTCTATGAATATCATGTTGATTATTTAAAAAAAAAAAACTTACAATATTCCGTTTCAGTGACTTGAATGCTGACGACGTTGAGTAAGCTGGCAATAATCGCCAAGATGTCGATTAAGAGAGTGAGAGCCAAAAGGAACTGTAAAGAAACAATAGCTCTAATGTGCAACTGAACATTTTATTTTGTTGAACTGTAGAATATGTATATTTTACGATGGGAAAATGACTATGAAGGAATAAATAAAACAACAATTGTCTGTTTCGCCGAACAACGCTCGCGATCAATATTAATAATGTGATGTCTTTGACGTATCACGTTTAATTTTTTCTTACAAAAAAAATGAAATTTTGAAGGAATAACTTCAATTGATATAAAATAAGCATTTTTTGAGATTTAGGAAAAACCACTTCTTCAGAACTTTGAGTCAACTCATAGATATCTGATTACTGCAATAATGCAGCTTTTTTTTCCACAGTTCTTCTAAAATCAGCTATTTAAGACTCATGTCTTCTTTTCAAATAATTACGCTAGCATACTGAGATTCTTGTGCTCAAAAAAAAAGAATAAAAAACCGCCGATATACAGATGTTAGCTTGATCATGAATAGAAACTATTGTGACGCACCTTTTCTTTGCCAAATAATCCAGCTTGAATCGACGGATAAGTCTCAAATTCGAGTTTGAAGTGATAATCATCGACAAGTACCGCCATATTTGGAAAATAAATTCCAACACGACGAAACTTTTACGACGCGCCGCTCACGAATGAACAGAATCGATGCAAATGCGTGTGGTCGCCGATTTTGAACGTTCGAGAAAGGCGCGGCACAAAAAAAGAGACGCAATAAAACACACTCATTGGTTATTATTTTTTTGCCACCATATGTCACTGAGAAACGGTCACAAACAATTGCTTTATTTGTAAGAAAACCACTTTAGGAGGCTGTTAATCGGATTGAGACAAGATAAAACAAAGGAAAAAACGAATAGGTTTTTTTTTAGCGGAATTTGGTGTTTCATCAATTAACAAGCACATTCTTCTTTTCGTTTCTCAAAAATATAATGTTAGGTAGCCGCATTCCCATCCTCCTTTTCTCCATGTGCGTCGGGGTATCTTTGAATTTGAGCAAATTGGGAAGTCGTAGACCAATCCGCCTTTTTTCGATTGTCATTTCTGGTTCCCGATAACGAATAAAATTAGGTAATCGAAGTCCTTAAAAAATATTACACTGATTGCAGATTACAACTAAACGGACCTAATCGCCTTTTGTACTGATATCCGTAATCGGATGGCGATATCGCAGAAATCAGTAATGCGAAAAAAATGAAGATCACCCTCATGAGTTGAAATACTGAAAATAAAGTAAAATAAAACATTAGAAGTAAAGTTTAAATTTGCACGAGAGCGGCATTACGTAATGAAGAAAATGCTGTGGAATAATAGATATCACAAGCTTACAAAAAAATTTGTATTCATCGCCACACTTAGAATTCACTTGAATGCTTTGAAGCGCCCCCAAGACTTTTAATTATTTCGAATAGAATGAACGGTGCTTTTTTTTTAAATTGATAAACAGCTTCGAAAATACACGAACGGTATTACTAGAATTGACCCTTATATTCAGATTTAAAATATTAAATTTTGTAACATACAGACTATAAGAAAAAATCATTCAATTTTAATTTTATTGTATGCATGTGTGAATGAACATAAGACATATGTTGAACGGAATTTCTTAATTTCAGGAATATCTTATAATAGCCAGATGTATCGTTTCTGTTTATAATCTTAAACTGTGCGAAAACAGAAATTGTTTTCTTTTAATTTGGTCTCATTCTAATTACCACTACAACTCTAATAAATCAAAAAAAAAAACTAATTGGATTGATAATACGCAAATTTCCAACTGTAAAAAACCTGATCCTGGATAAGTGATGTAATTATTATGCTATCTTATGCCGAGTAGTTTTAAATACTTTATTAACGAACAAATTTTAAAAAATAAAATAACAAGTAACGCGACACTTGCTGGTTTAATTGTGATCAAACACTGAAGCCCAAATAGCGTATAATCTAAACATGACATGAAGTGTAGTTTTATGTGTATGTTGAACATCAAATAAGTATCAGTAATTGCAAAAAAAGTTAGACGTATTGTCTGTAGTCGCTCATCTTCTTGTACTCTTCCAATGACTTCAAGTGAACTTTTCTTCGGAAGTTCACCTCCGTATAGGTATAAGTGCCGACTATCGCTGTCAGCCAGCTTATCCACTCAAAACACGATATTATCAGCATTTACCTAAAATTTACTAAATACCTTGCTCCTTTTTGATAATCTCTTGCCAAAAATTCGATTGATGAAATAATATATCAAGCCAAACATGAAACCGCGTTGAAGGCGAAGTCTGAATGAAATGAATTAGTACTGAGAAGCAACTTCTTTTATTTTATCTTGCCTTGTGAGGTTTCGACGAGCATTAAAAAGTGACTCAAGTCGCTCGTGAAGGATGTACTTCTTGATACCCATTACATAATCGAACAAATACGATTCCCAATCTAGATCACGAATGTCGAAGTTGTATATCTAAAGTCGAATCAAATTCAATCAAAACATCATTGACTTAGTGAACCTTCTTTTCTTCATCGTTTAACTTATTGTACAGCTCTGGAAGTCCACGTGAAGAGAAATTCCATCCGCGAGTGGTGAAAAAGTGCAATGTCTCAATCATTTTCCACACTTTATTGTACAGGCGGACATTTCTGAATAATTGCACTGATAAAAAAATAATTTGAATCAAGTCGTACGTCGGCTTCTTTCCAAACAAAGCAGATAACCTGTCGAGAACCACAGCCGGAATATGATGTTTCAAGTAATAGTTGAAAAGAAACATTTTCCGATTTTGGTGGAACTCGGTTGACGGAACACCATAACATTCCAACATAGGGTAAGTGCGGTAGAACTGTTCAAGGAAAATGACAATGGTCTCCCAATACAACGGGTTCAACTCGCCGGAAGAGCAGTGAAGTATAGGAATCTTTGTGAACCTAAAAAATATGCCTTTGTATTTAGTTGCCAATCACAATCTTACGTGTTCGAGGCTCTATGAGCTCCACAGACAATAATCATGTTGGAAACAACGTCAACAGGAATGATGTCTGCTTTAGAGTGATTGCTTCCACACATGTTCGTCAACACTCCCTTTCCAACTCCAGCAAATATCCCAGTCGGTCCGTTAATGTTGTCGGTCCAACCCGGAAGGGGTCCACCCCACATTGCCCCGACAATGGATGGTCTAACCACAATCACTGGAAGTCCAACGGCTTCATTCTTGAGTTGGGTCTAAAAATTTCGAAATTATTACTAGTCCAATGCATAATAATTAATACCTCTGCCAACGCTTTTGTTAAAGTATAGGTGTTTGGTCGAGCTCCGAGAATCTTTGGAGTGATCTGCAAAAACGTTGCCTGATCGAATCATGTGATCTTGTGTTTTTTTTTAATCAGCTGGTGCGAACTGTTCTCGAAAAATAGGCAAGGAGCAAACATTTATGATAACGCCATAAAGGTTTGCGAGCCTCTAGTCTAGTATAATGCCACAAATTCTTGCATGACGAAATCATGCTCTTCGTACCCCCACGCAATAAGCCTACACATAATTTACGAATTATCAAAGTTCAATAAAGCAATTGTCATTTTCCCGATATGGCTTATTTTAACAAAATATACTTCAACAAAAATAGCATTCAATTTTCTTAATTTTTCTTGCAGCTTTTAAAAATAGAAACCATTTGTGACATATTTTTCCCTTTGTCGCAAAAAAAAAGATCTCAAACCTTTCCCAAACTTTCATCATCAAGCCATGTTAGCGCATCCATTAATTTGGCGGGGGGAACTGGTGGATCGTATATCTGAAATTGCAAATAACACTCTAGAAACTAATTTCCTTCAAATTTACAATTTCTTCTGTCTCAGATCGATCACAGTTTGCATAAGCGGTAGACACATGCACGAATGCTGCCAGGTTTTTAATTTTATGGCACAATGCGATGATCCTGGTGGTCCCTTTGACATTCATATTGACTGCATCACGAAGATGTTCGTCGAATTTTACAGTTGCTGCGCTGTGAATTACAATGCTGACAGCTTCACATATTGCTTTCAAATCATGTGGTTGAATTCCAAGGTTCTCCTCCATCATATCTCCAGTGACTGCAATGAGTTTGTCGAATGCTTGCGGTTTAAATTCGTGAAGACGGCCAAATAGTGGATCCTGAATATGATTTGAAAACCTAATTGACTTCGGCACGTAGAACCTTGATCAGAGACATCAATCTTTCCTGCGAATCTTTTCCTTTTCTCGGCCTAATCACCAAGTAAATTTTTCCGATGTCATCAACTGTCCATAGCAGCTTCTCGACGATGACTTTGCCTAGGAATCCGGTGGCTCCCGTTATTAAAATTGTCCTTCCGGAGTAGACTTCTCGGACCGAAAAAGCCATGTGGTTACCTGAAAATTGAATAGATAGTGAAGTGTACAAAATAATTTTATGAAAAATGAAACGTTTCACGAAACCGTGCATTTAAGAATAAGACGGGCCTGATAAGAATCAACTGATAATAGCTCACGACATCAATTTTTTTCAAAGCACATCAAATCGAAAATTTTTGCGTGACATGATTGACATTGATTGAACAATCGCGCCGTTAAAAGCTTTTAAATTAATAATTGGTAATACAACGAAGAAACGTCGTTGTTTATATACCTGTTTTCATGTGCATGAAGGGGGACTCAGAAATTTTGAACATTGAAAATTAATGGCGACAAATTACCCTATTAAAATAGGCATGACCTGGGTTCTCGGGGGTGTGGTTCATGTAACAGAAGGTTACATTATTGTTTCATAACATTAAAAAATTGTGATAGTATTAGAATTTAATTCCTTAATGATAACTCATTTCAAATATTGCATGCCAAAAAAGAAACTTCAGGAATAATTCAGATATTCTTAGTTCAATAGATAAAAAAAATGAAAAATAAAAAACGTGATGATTTTTCCAATTAACAAAAAATCGGTCCCGAAACAGCAATAAAACGCCGTTCGCTACAAAAAATACCTTATTTAAAATAGCAATTTCATAGTTTTATTTTATTGTCTGAAATTTATCATCTTGAATAATAATAAATAAACGATGCTTGAAAAGTGCATTTCACACCTATCGTTTGTGTACCTTCCCATTTGAAGAAATCACCCCATATTTTTGATTACTGATTACCATGATTTCTCGTGAAGGAAAATGATCGTTTGGCACTTTCCACCGTTAGAGATCAATTAAAATTAATAGAGAATATGAGAAAGTTGTTTCGCTTAAGACTGCTGATAGCATTGACTGCGTTGGCTCTTCGAAAAGGTGGAGAAGTCGATAACCAGGACAATGTTCAGCTTTTGATAAATGTGTTCGAGTTATCAGTTTCCGATCACACCATTGAGAATTGCAATGAATTTTATTATTGTATAACTCTGTTAAAGTAGTAATATTACAACGTAAACTGAGGCTTCCATTCAGATGCGCAAAATACGTCCGATGTTCGCCAGCCAACGGCCGCAAATGATATCTTACATCTCACGTCCTTGTCGCCGCTTTCTCAAAAATGTTCCCAAGTGAAAAAATTAATTTTGTCAAGTTCTTAGATAAAATCAAAAACTGCGAGGAATTTTGTTGCAGATGGTTGATTGAACTTAAATGATTCATATATGCAGGCACCCTTAATCGGTCAAACCAAAAATTGGGCTCATGCTCCATCATTTTGCTAACAACCGAGGCACTTAAATTTCATTAAAAAAATTAAACTCTTTCATATGATTCGTCGTGCTATTTCTGTGCTATTTCAATTTCTAAAAGTGCTATTTCTATTGTGATTATTATAGTTTGATAGAAACAACGGCCTTATTACTGTGCGTTATTACCGCTCGCATTTAAGTCTAAACGGACTATACTCATAGTATTAGTATGCCTATCCTATATTTTATATATATTATGACTATCCTATATTTTAAACTAATTTTATCTTTTGTAATTACTACCATCTTTCACATTACATTTTTCTATTTGTTAAATGTGTTCCAAATCACTTATGACCTTTATAATCTCATTGTTATTATTTTGTTTATTAGAAAAATAAACCGAAAACGCATATGTTCATGAAAAAAAAAACTTGAGAATGTAATATCAACAAAGGTAAAAACGTTGCAGTGATTGGTTTTTTCAGATGTAGTTTAATGCAAAATGTTTAGAAACAATTATTTATTGTAGTTAGTCAATTTAGACAATGCAAAGTCCTTCGGATGCATTGCAAGTTTGTGTTCCGGGACAGTCGGCGTCTTTAGTGCACGCGGAGCCAAACTCGTATATAACTTGACCAAATGTATTACCACTGAATCATTTCATATTTTTGATATGTTTGCTATTAATTGATGTTAGAAATGTCTTACCCTTTATAATATTGGCATATTGAGTAGGTCATAGTTGGACAATGAGCAACAAAACACCCGAGATCTGTTGTTTTATCCCACGCCATCTGAAACCTCATAAATATCAAACATTAGACATCGAATTAAAAATCATTACATTTGTAAAGTGCGCAATATTAAATCGCTGATCTGAAAACACATTGTCAGATCCAAGTCCATATTGCTTTAATTCGGCCCACCACCAGTCCGAGGCCTATTACAATATTTCGTTAAGAATACAATTTAAACCAACCAATTCTCCGGATGAAATTTTGCTGTAGTTTACACTAGTCGTGTAATACAAATTTTCTCCATATTCAGGGCGCATTGATTGTGGTGAATGTAACAATTGACATTGCAAGCCAAAAGCTCTTGCTGATGCTTCTACATCACAATTGTAACGCTAGAAATTCATGATGATTTGCATATTTCCATCCAATTACAATACAAGCTTTGGCATGTGTTTTGCTGGTGAAGCAAAAGCCCCAGGAGCAATTCCGTCTTGCTCCAATCCCTTCGCTAAACGAGAACGATATTTATTATGAGCATTTAAGAACGACATTCGAGCTTGATCAGGCATATCCGTAACACCTGGGCACATTGTATATGTCTTGGATCCTAGAAACACAAATTTCAGTGAACTTTTGAGTGTTGATACCAGGAGATGCTGGATTCGTTATCTCGTCATGAACTACGCAAAGCCCTTCCGAGGCACTACATGTTTGTGTTCCTGGACAATCGTCATCATTAGTGCAAGCTGGACCAAATTCATAAACAGGTTGTCCATAATAATTTCCTCTTGAAACAATTTTAGCTTTGAAAGTCTGTATACGAAACTTACTCTTTGTAATATTGGCAAACAGCATACGTTTTTCCTGGGCAGTGCATTACAAAACATCCAACATCAGTTGTGCGATCCCATACAAGCTAAAATTGATTTTACGTAATTGTTACAAATAATCGTCAAATGTCACGTTAGTAAAATGCCCGATTCCGCGGTCCAAAAGTTCTTTAGAAAATTCCGTCGCGTTTCCAAATCCGTAATCTCCAAGCTCAGACCACCACCAATCGCTGGCCTAAACATTTACAAGCAATATATGCCTTTCTGTACTCGAAAATACCAATTTTGCAGAATGAATTTTGTCGTGATTTTCCATCGTGGTGTAATAAAGATTTTCTCCATACAAAGGGCGCATCGATTGATCAGAATGTTTAATAATACATTGAAGACCATAATTTCTTGCCGATGCTTCGATATCACAATTGTAGCGCTAAAATCAAAGCAGTAATAACATTAATTTTAAACATAATTACAAGTTTTGGCATGTGTTTGGCTGGCGCAGCAAATGCTCCTGGTGCAATTCCATCTGGGGCTAAGCCCTTTGCTAATTGTGAACGATAATAATTGTGAGTATTCAAAAACATCATTCTCACTTGATCCGAAATGTCGGTCACACCAGGACATATTGTATATGTTTCAATGTCTGCAATTAGAAATAAATATTAAAATTTGAAATTTCCCCCTTTTTTAGCACTTTCTGGGAACTGTTTGCGGTTTTCTTTTTTCTCAGCTTAATCACAATCGATTTTTATAAAGGGCAGTGCGAAAGTTGATCACATTCATCTATACATCATCAAGGACTATCATATCCAACATAACACAACCGGGTTAACGGCAGCAAACCACTAGACTTAAAATATACCTGATGGTGGTGTAGTTACTGCAGCTGGATTATTGGTAGTGGGCTGCATTGTTATCGGATTTTGTGTTTGGTTTGGAACTGTGGTCGCAACAATTGGGACGTTATCGTTCATAATGCAAAGTCCTTCAGAAACACTGCACGTTTGAGTATCAGGACAATCTGAGTCTTGCGAGCAGGGCGCTCCGAATTTATAGACTGGCTGACCATAATAATTGCCACTGAATAGGATAGTATTAGATCTCAGAAAAATCAAATATCTGTTACGCTTTATAATATTGACACACTGAGTAAGTGCTTGTTGGGCAATGCATAACAAAACATCCAATATCAGTTGTACGATCCCAGACCATCTGAATTGTTATAATATTTATGTCAAGTAAACATTTAAGTATCACATTAGTAAAATGCCCGATTCCGCGGTCTAAAAGTTGTTTCGAAAATTCAGTTGCGTTACCAAATCCATAATCACCAAGCTCAGACCACCACCAATTTGTCGCCTAAATTGAAAAATTGACGAGATCCCATAATAATGTGATTTCACACACTAATTCTCCAGATGCAATTTTACTATAATTCAATATATTTGTAAAATAAAGATTTTCGCCATATTCTGGGCGCATTGACTGTGGAGAATGTTGAATGATGCATTGTAGACCATAATTTCTTGCAGAGGCTTCAATATCACAATTGTAGCGCTAGGCATTCATTTTTTTAATATGAATGAAAATATCGGTAAGTACAAGTTTCGGCATGTGTTTGGCTGGTGCTGCGAATGCTCCGGAAGCAATTCCATCCGGTGCTAATCCACGTGCCAACTGTGAGCGATAATAATTGTGTGTGTTCAAAAATGACATTCGTAATTGATCAGACATATCAGTAACGCCAGGACACATTGAGTACGTCTCGATAACTACAATGACACGTAAACAGATATTTCGAATTCTCCACTGACCAGGTTCTTTCAAGGGAATGTAACACAAACCATCGTTACAAGTCGAACCCGCATATGTGGTACAGTCGGAATCAACAACACATGGTTCACCCTTCTCATAAATCACCTGATTCGTAATATACCCACTAAGTAAAAAAACATATTGTCTTATTTGAAATGTTCCTACATTTTGTTGTAAAAGCAAGCCGTTACCAGTGTTGTATTACACATATTATAGGTACAAGCAAATTCTGTTGTTTTTCCGTACGCCATCTTTAAGAATACTTAAACATATTTCTTCAACTTGAACAAAATCTTACGTTAGCGAATCCAAAAGGTGCTCCTGTATACTTGTTGTCAGGATCTGTGAGGGGTTGTTGCCTTATTGCTGACCACCACGCATTTACAAATTCCGCTGATTTAGCTAAAGGATCCATTTTAGAGCTTATCCATCTGAAATAATGATTGTTCAATGAGTCAACTCATATGCCTGTTACTTTGAATACATGTGTCCCCAAGAACTTTCAATTGTCTGCATTGTGGATGGGCAATTCTCGGCCCATTTTTGAACCTTTAATTCCATATCGCAACTCCAGTTCTGTTCAAATGAATTTGATTGATTCTACTATTTCTAATTTTACTAATTGATAAATATTCTTGCCCGATGACAGCTTTCCACATTTGTGCGGTTCCTGGCCTTTTGCCAAACTACGTCTGGCATCATTGTGAGCATTGTAGAACATCATACGGGCTCGGTCGGAAAGCTTCAAATTTGAGCATCCAAATGCTGAAATGGAATAGATATATTGGTTCTGGTATAGTTGCTTACAAAAACATTGTGATAAACTAGTAAGCAGAGTGAAAACCTGTAAAATTACATTGTACATTAGCATCGTTAAGAGATGAAACATACCACTCCCGCTAAAATTAAATTCATAGCAAGGAGACTGGGTGTTCAGTCGATTTCTGAACATTTATATTTATATAAATATATATACATATAAAAAGTTTAATCTGATTATTGTTGAATAAATGAATTACGATGATTGACGGTCAATCTCTGTTCAAAGCACATAACACAAAATGTGGATAATGAAACAGACTGTTATTTTTGGTTCCTTTTTATGCGGGGGAAGAGTTCAATAAACTAAAAATATGTGCAAATATTAAAGTGTTTATCCGAATGATCAAAAATTGTGTGAATCTCTTTTTATTTTGAATCTTGTGATTCAATACTGAATGATGATCAACAATGCACATAAAAGAAACTGATTTTGTGGTTTATAAATATTATAACCAGTGAATGTCGAAATATTCAAAAAAATTTTAAAGTAATGTTCGAGAGATATTCTTCTATCGAGAATTTTTAACTATTTCATTTTGCACTTCTGTGTTTTTGCATATAAAAAGAACTTTCAAATTATTAAGAATTCGGCAGATATTTCGGCTACTGATTTCCTTATGTCTTTTTTTTCTTTAATTCTTTTATAGTCGACGTCCGGCGACTGCTGCACACGGTTAGATTTACGCATGCGCCTATCATCACGATCTCACCAAGTGTCAACGCTTATTTTGCTATTTTTACATAAACGGTTAATTTATTTTTTTATTGATGAGTTCGATACTTCCTTGAATTTCCAACGTCATTCGATTAGGAATTTATGGAGCTGATTCATAGAATGCAAAATAACGAGATATTCGATGTGAGACCAAGAGAAACCTAAATTTTGTCACAATCGAGATCACCAAATTTGAATATTAGTAGATTCTAGTGATGAAATTGTAAATCGAAATTAACAGTTGATACTGATAAAAATCTCGTTCATAGTAAACCCCTTGCATTCAGTAAAAACTGTTTTTTTAGTAATTATTTCAAGATTATGCCTACCTGCTCCATTAATTGATAACTTTAAAACTAACTTGGGTTCATCCAAAGAAGATACATATATTCGATTAATTTCATTTTCATTTTGATTGGTTCAAATAATATTATTTCCATTTTAATCCGTATAGTCTAAATTTACTCGGCACAATTTTGAAATAGTGTAGCAACACAGACTGGTTATTTTGGTAATTTTTTTATGCGGGAGAAGAGTTCAAAAGCTAACAATATGTGCAAATATTAATCTTTTCATTCGAATAATCAAAAATGGTGTGAATTTCTTTGTACGGTCATTCAAACTATTTACTGATGATCGTTTTAATACTTGATCAAAAACTGTTCACATAAAAGGCCCGTAATTGTATATTTTCATGTTCTTTTTCCATGGAAACTGTTTTCTTATTTTTAATGACATTGATGACCATTCAAAATAAAATTACTCATCGATGAAAAACTTGATCTTCTGTAACATTCGAGTAGTATTTTCAATCGAATCTTTATTTTAAAAGTTTAATTAAGAAAGGATGCACAATGACTCGCTGACGCTACAGGTTTGTGATCCCGGACAGTCCGAATCTTGAGTACAAGGTGGTCCAACTTCGTAGATCATTTCATTCATGTAGTTTCCACTACAAAATGTTTTGTCATTCAATTATTTGATTAATTTTTTAGCCTACGGTGTATAATATTGACAAACGGAATAGGTCATTGAAGGACAATGAGCCACATAACATCCAAGATCGGTGGTTCTGTCCCATGCCATCTGAATTATTCTATTAGTGGATGAAATAATTCTTATTAAACCTGCGTGTAATGGCCGACGCCTGTTGAAAAGAGTTGTGATGTCATTCTATTTTCTGAACCCACACCGATATCCGGCAGTTCGGACCACCAAGCATTAGAAGCCTAAATAATTGCCAGTACACTTATTAAAGTTTGTAATATCTACATCCTCTCCAGACAAAATTTTCGGGTAATTAGTAGAGCCTCTATAATACAAATTTTCACCACACTGCGGTCTTTGTTCTGGTTTCGAATGTTCAAAAACACAATTGAGAGCATATGTTCTAGCATTTGCCTCGATGGTGCAATTGTATCGCTAAATTTGACTTGATTAATATGTCTAACGTGGAATAGTACCATTTTCGGCATATGTTTTGCCTGTGGTGCAAATGCTCCGGGAGCAATGCCGTCAGGTTCAAGGCCCTTTGCCAAACTTGATCTCAATTTGTTATGAGTATTCAAGAACGCCATTCTAGCTTGGTCGGACATATCCGTAACACCTGGGCACATTGTATAGGTTTCCACAACTGAAATCAACTTTCAAGATGAATTAATTAACAAGTCGCCCACTTGGTCCTGTTGGTTCAACGTAACACAATCCATCATTACAAGTTGAACCAGAGTAGGTAGTACAGTCTGCATTAGAAGTGCAAGCATCTCCTTTCTCGTATATCACTGCGTTAGTCATATAACCTCTAAAAAAATAATTAAAGCAAAAAAGAAATTGACGTACATTTTATTGTAGAAACATCCGATATACAACTTTGATCCACAGGCAGTACTGTAGGCGCATGCAAACTCTGTAGTTTTTCCGAATGCCATCTGAAAGAATTTATGACAATTTATCAATTATTAATTTTACATTTGCAAAGGTGTACGGTGAGCCAGTGTACTTGTTTTCCGGATCAGTGAGTGGTTGTGATCGGACGGAAGACCACCATGAGTTAACAGTGTTTGCAGATGTAGCAACTGGGTCCAATCCTGTCCCGGACCAACTGCAGACTCACATTTGTCTTGTTAAAAACTCATAAATTACGTTTGAAGATTATGACCCCAAGAAGGATCAAAAGTTTGGAATGAGTTAGTGCAGCTGTCCGCCCATTCTTGAACTTTTGCTTCCATTTCACAATTCCAGTTCTACATAATCATGTACAATTTCATTAAAAAAATAATAAAGTACCAATTGATACACATTCTTTCCTGAAGAAAGTCTTCCACATTTGTGCGGCTCGAGACCTTTTGCCAAACTTCGTCTTGCATCATTATGAGCATTGTAGAACATGGTACGGGCTTGATCCGAAAGTTTTGGGTTTGAGCATCCAAAGCCTTAAGGAATTTTTATTTTTTTTTTTTTGTATTTGCATTACTCCTCACTTATGCATTGAGATGAGCATATCAGAACGATGAAAACCTGAAAATTGTAGTTTAACATTGAAATCGAAAAAATTGGACAAACCGGTAAGCAGCTCGACAACCCCTTCTCAAAGAATAATAAATGCGAAAATCGGGCCGTTAAATTTACAACAGTGGCCTCGATTAATCTATCCGGATTATTAACGATTTTTACTCTAGAACGCCCCAAACCAAATGATCATTTACACTATTTTAAGCCGTGTTAATCTAAGTTTAAACCCAACATCAATGGAAATAGTGTGAAAAAAATGCACTAATGGAAAAATAATGACCGTTGTACTCATGTGACGTTGCAGAATCACGTGTTTTAATATTACCCGCGGATTAATATGAATTCAACAAATAATTTAAAGTTCCGATCATTTTGCGCGCATTGTCAAAACCACGAATGCTGTCTGCCTATTTTTTGTTGATTTCGGTGGCATCTCTTGCATCTGCAACTCCGGGAGTATGGACATCCTGGGGTGCTTTCGGAAGTGAATGCACTGTAAGTCTTCAAAGTGTAATAAAAATCTACATGGTATTTTCTATTTTAGGCCTGTCCGGAAGGTACGACTTATGTTGGCCGCACTCGTGTGTGCATTCCCGGAGATGATGGATCTCTCTGCGAGTAAGAAGCACATTGACACTTTCAATTTATTGAAAAATTGTTTAGAGGATCGAGAATTGAAGAAACCACGTGCACTTGTCCAACAACTGGAGAATGGGAAGAATGGGGAGAATGGTCTGAATGTGATAAGAACTGTGGATACTGTGGAACAATGACACGCGAACGAGTGTGCACCCAAGTTCCGGACTGCCCTGAAGTTACTTGCGAGTTCGTAGACCATTTTGTTTATCATGCATATTGTTTCCTATTTTAGAGGAGATGCCACGGAGACTGAAGCATGTAGTACTTCTGATGTTATCTGCACCGGTGGATATGCTTGTTGCAGCTCTCCAACCAAGAGATATGTCAAGAAGTTGGATGCTGTTAACAAAAGACTCTATTGTGTATTGTCGCCGTAAATTTATGAATCATTCAAATAAACATTTTATCAAAAAATCAAAAAATGAGAATTAAGAGCACTAAAAATAACCCGTAAAAAATAAATATCGTAAGTAGAAATATATTTGATGAGCAATATTATTAAATGAGCCGTTCTTGAGGTGGTAATTTTATTACAGTCGGCATCTGTAAGAAGAATTTTGAATTGTTAATAAGTATATTTGAAACTTACAGGCATGCGACTTTGCGTAAACTCATGGGAACTTGGACTGTAATGTCCATGCATTGCGTTGTTGCCTCTTATTACAAATATTAGTAATAGACAACCAAGAATTATTAATACTATTCCAATTGCAACGATTGGCCCAAACAAATATCCAATATTTGTCATTGATTTTTCCTTTATCTGAAAGATCGTAAATGTTAAATTTTAAAAGCTAACGCTATGCCCAACCCTTGATGAACAAACGGGTCCAGTATATCCACGATCACAAACACATTCGTATTTGGCAACTTCTTTATTATTGGTGATCTGAAATAAAAGATCGTATAATGTTATGAAAAAAAAAAAAACAACTCACAATTACGGACGGATTTACACATTTTCCATGAACACATTTTGCTGCAGAGATATTCGTGTTCGTAAATTTCTGGCATGGATCTTCCATCGAGCATCTATCTCCAATATAACCTATAATGTTTCATATTTTCAATAGATATATCATGCACTTTTACAATAAACCTGAATTGCAGGAACATTTGTAGCTTCCAGGCATATTCGTGCAAACTCCATTTATGCAATTTCTAGGATCGCTACATTCATTTATGTCGATAGTGCAATTTTTTCCTAAATATGTAGTTCTCATAATATTTATTTCGACACCACGCAACTTCAGAGAATTAGCTAAATGCCAAAAAAATAGGGTAGCGCACATTAAAACTAAATGTGTGGATTAATGGAATAAGGATATGTTAAAGCACGCAACACACACTACGACCTTTCGTTAACGTTTTTGGACAATAATTAATTATCAAACTATTACCTTCATATCCAGTTCCATCGCAAATACAATCGTAATCATTAACTCGATCCCGACACTTTGCTCCATTTCCACAGAATCCGAAAGCGCATTCGTCAATATCAATTTGACAGTTTTCTCCTACAAATCCTATGGGACAGTTACATTTGAATCCGGTTAGCATGTTTTCACAAGATCCATTGTTCATACACGGGGATGATTTGCAATAATCAATTCGTTTCTGAAGATTAGAACTTTATCAGAAAATCGAAATGAATCAACGGACATTGCAAGTGTCTCCTTCATAACCAACATTGCAGCTACATGTGTGTTTCTCTGGAGTATGTTGAATGCATTCTCCGTGTACACATTTTGCTCGCAAACAACTACCTTCGTGTTCGCATTTATCACCTAAATTTAACGTATTCTGTATATATTACAAAATTCACAAAGACAAACCTAGATAGTATTTTTGGCAATGACACCTAAACGTGTTATCATCATTTAAAGAACAGACTCCATCGTTTTCACAAGGGAATTCTGTGCAGATATTTGGTGGATATTGACAATGTGGACCTCTCCAATTCTATAATCGAAAATGAGAGAGTATTTCAATTAATATCAAAAATTACCTTTTCACAATCGCAAATTGTGCCATTCCATACCGATGTGCATGATCCTCGGGAGCTGCATGTTTTAGCAGTGCAACTATTCAACAATTTTTCACAAAATCTTCCTGAATATCCAAAGTCGCATTGGCAAGCGGGACCGCTGATCGTTATGACACAATGCCCATTGTTACAAACATGATGATCACAATCATTTTTTAGTTTTTTCTCGCAAAGAGTTCCACTGAATCCATCCTCGCATACACAAATGAAATTTTTCTATAAATATTCATATCATAATTATAGATTGATTAAACTATACATCGTTAGATTGAATGCATTTTCCGGAATTCCGACATGGCGAATCTTCACATCTCGTTGTTGCCGTTACATTACAGAATTCTCCCATCCAGTTATCTTCACATTTGCATGCAACATTTTCGTTATGTTTCTCACATTTTCCACCATTATGACAAATTATTCCTTCACATGGGTCAGTTAAAATTTCGCAAAAGCTTCCAGAATATCCTTCATTACAATTACATCTAAATTTGTGAATGGTAATAAATCGCTCCAGTTTTTCAAACATACGTTGCGCCGTCAATTCCATCAGTGCAATAACCGTGATTTCCACAATCAATGTACTTGCATTCGTTTATATTGACTTCGCAATTCTCTCCTGTGAAACCATCCGCACATATGCATTTCCTCTATAAGTTTTGTTCTCAGTTGCATATTAAACCATTTTTGAGATTACCCTATTCCACAAGTCGACACAAGTAGCTCCATTTAAGCAAGTTGAAAACAATCCGCATTGTTCCGAAGAAACGCATCCAGTACCAACCTGCAATTGTTTAGATAGTTTCATTTTTAGTAAAACTGTTGACTAACATTTTCCTTCTCCATCAAAATTGCATGATTGTTTGATTGTTTAGTAAATGGAAGCCTTGGCATGTTTCCAATTTTAAAGTTATCAAGACATGCATGAAGGGAGTCTTCTGAATGATCTCCAACGAAGAGAGTCGAGTTACCATTTTTGACAGTGATCAATTCCGTATGAGAAACTGAAAGTTTCCTGTAATTGATTTTTCTATCATAAAAACGTACCGAAACTTTGGTCATCAATAGTAAGTTTGAATGGTCTGATATGGATTTGATGCCATTTACCATCGCTAATCGTTTTGTTGAATTGTGCTCCACTTTTGTTAAAAACAACAAGATATTTTCGAACAATCATCACTTTCATCTCATCATTTCCATTTGACTAAACATTTAAATTAGTTTAGTTAACTTTTCCTTCTTACAAATGTGAAAATATATCCATTCTCTGAATGTGTTCGAATTGCGAACGAAATTTCTTCCACGTTAGGCGTAACAAGTTGATAGCGAATTTTACTCTTTTCCGATATTGTAACCGGATACGAGCAATAATAACTTGTATCAGTATTCTGGCATTGTCCACCAGGTAAACATTTAGCCGATAAGCAATAATCAGTTTTGTCACAGTTGGTTCCAGTGAATCTGAAACTGTAATTGATTTTGGAAGAATCAAAAATAAATTTCTACCCTTCCGAACATTCACAATAGTAATCATTAAATGTCTCTACACATTGTCCATTCTTGCACAGTGAATCTCTACAGATTGGATCAGAAACAGCCCCTCTCATTATATTTGATGTTGATTCAACCGAGCCAATTGAATCAATAGCTTGGTTTGTTTTTTGAATTATTATTGATTTTCCATTGAGTTGAATATCTTGGAGGAATCCTTCAAATCATATTTTCTTTTAGAATGAACACATTTATAATTGTCATACCTTTAAAGTAATCTTCAGCACTGGAGTTCATTGAGCCTATAAGGATTTCCTCAGAAATGAATTCTTGATATATACGGTTATTAAAATCTTCGCTATATTCGAGAAGTTTGTCCAAGAAAATCTGAAAATAATCATTTGGACACCACTAAACTCGATTTAAATACTTGTCTCTTTTTACGATTCAGAATGATTTGAACGTAATGAACTTTATTATCATCAATGCGATTTTTCGAAGAAATCTGTATTTCTTTTCTACCACCATTTCTCGCTTTTACTGAAAATATTGATATAAACTAATATGGAGTATTTAGAAGTTTACCAATAATTTTTCCGTCCCTCAAATGAACAGTGCAATAGTTTGTTGCACCATCTGCTTTGTTTTGTTTTTCTCCGATGTAAAATAAGAAGGCATCCGATTTGCGTGTGGCCATTAAGAAGCTCAATGCGATTTCGTCATGGAGCAGGTGTCCTTCCGATTCACTTGTGCTGTGAACAAAAACATAAGACATAAATTAATGAGCGTAATACCTTAATCGCACAATGGACGGCGTGCCGGTGTGCCCGAACGTGATTTCCGGTAGAGCGAACGCGCAATTTGGTTTCAAATACGGCGGCTCGCATTTGCAACTTGAATTCTCCCAATTATCGACACATATGCCGCCATTCTGGCAATAATCCCTCGAACATTGTTCGTTTCGAGAGCATCCTTTGCGAATATCAATAGCCTTTTTGCTTTCAGTGAAAATCACAAGTTCATTATCAATACGGACATCAGCAAGGCAACCAATGAAATGGTCGGAATTTGATATCTGAAAGTAGCTGAAAAATTATTATAAATAGATTGCAGTACCTTTCCAAATCTCGTAAGGAAAACTTCAAAATTGAAAAAACTCTTTTTGGAATAAATTAATGTTCCATCAGAGCTGAAAAGCTTAATCTCCATTTCCTGCAATATTCGACATGTTTCACTTTAATCAGATGCCGACTTACATCATTTTCGCAATGAACCGTCAATGTGTACCAATGAGCATCGTTTAGATCAATTGGCACAATGTTATTGAGGAGTTCACTAGTTGTATTGATATGAAGACGTCCAGATACAAGTGAAATTGACAAAATTTTCTCTCCAAGTATGTTTTCACTACTCGCTAAATGAGTATCGCCCACGGTTGTTCGAAACGAGAATTCAAGCGAGTATGAGGAATCTTCGTCATTTGAAGATCTGCAACTTTTCAATAGAAACTTTAGTAAAACAGAATTTACCCAAGAGAGAGTTTACTGCTGTGATGAATGAAAATACTAGATGATGAAAACGTTGCCGACGATACTTGCGCACAGTTTTCGCCATATGTTCCAATTGGGCATACACAAGTGGCATTTTTGCTACCGTTTGTTTGACAAACATAATTTCCAGAACATTGAAGAGAAAGGCATTCCTGAAATTACTTGATGAATCATAATGTATTTGTTGAAAGATATTACATATTGTTTTCTATCACATTTCATGCCCGTATAACCTTCTTCACAAAGGCAAATCGCAGTTTGTTCCAATTCAACACATTTTGTGGAGTAGACACATTCATCGCATGTTAGTGACTAAAATCATATAATTAACTAATTGTGGCTCATTAAAAACAAACTTTATTTGTGAAAACGGATTCAGTGAATCCAGTGGAAAGTGTTGGAAACGATGTGCTTGACTCTGTCGGTATTTCTGCTAGACTTTCGCATTGTAAACCGGTAAATCCTGGGGAACAGTGGCAATAAAACTGACCATCTGAAAAATAAAAAATTATAGATTAATTTAATACGTTGATTATCTTAATACTAACCAACATCCTGACATGTTCCATCGTTTTTGCATGGATTTAGCATGCATGCTGATTTTGGCTCACAAAATGGCGGCTCAAAATCCATTGGGCACTCACAGTAGGGCTCACCGGAAACATCTAACAAGCATTTTCCTGGAATGAAATACATCATTTTCTATATATTTTCAAGAAATTCATACCGCCATTTTGGCATTTGATATCGTTGCAAGTTGGGTGAGATTTGAAAGATACTGGTTTTTCGCAATTATCTCCGGTAAAATTAGTAGGACATTCGCATGTTGTCATTGCCAGTGACCATACACAAGTTCCACCATTTTCGCATTCTCTTCCATTAACTAAGCATTCAACAGGCTCCCCACAGTAAACTCCAGTCCAGTGCGGCAAACAGAAACATGTAAACAGATTCGCTCCATCATCGACGCAATGCCCACCATTCAAGCATGGCTCCATGTCGCATGGCTTTGACACTTTTTCATCACATTTGTCACCCTAAAATATTCAAAAAGAGTGAACTAATGAAAAATAATTAAAAATTACCGTAAGACGGTCAGGACAATCACAAATTTGAGATCCGTTGATTTTTTGGCATATATGATTTGGGTTATCACAAATGCAATCGCGATTTTCTACAGATGTTTGACATTGTTCTCCTTCATATCCGTCCGGACATTCGCAGGTAAACTTTCCGCCAACAACGTTACAGCTACCCCCGTTATTACAGTAATTGGGAGCACAATCTAGTGAAAGAGAATTCTCGCAATTTTTTCCTAAATTTTGGATGTTATTTATATGTTTTGATTTAATATTTACCATCAAAACCATCAGCACAGTGACATTTATAACTGCCGTATGAGTTTTCGCATGAGCCACCATTCAAACATCTATTGGGCTCGCACTCGTTCACATCAGTTTCACATGCTTTTCCGGTAAAACCGGATAAGCAAACACACTTCAAGTCTCCCTAAACATAGAAATATTAAAAATACAGTTGACATTTTTTTTTTAGTTTTTTTTACTTTTTCAGAAATACAAGTGCCATTGTTTTTACAAGTGTCCGGTGCACATTCATTACCTTCACATGAATATGTGCCATCATTGGATTTTATGCACCTTAAAAAATTTATCTCACTACTATTGTTTAGAAAATACAAACGTTTTGTTCTTCGGGCAATCTGGAGCACAAAACTGATTGTCCACAACCGATTGATCACATAGAGACCCCATCCATCCTAGAAATAATAAGCGGTAATATCAAATTATACAACCGTATTCAATATTAAATTTCGAGTTTTGTTGACTTATAATGTATTTTATAGAAGCGTCGAATTACCCTCGAAACATTGGCATTGTTCTTCTCCAAAAATGCCTTTCGCACACGATCCATGTAAACAATGCAGCGAGCAATTATCCTGACAAAGCAGCCCGCTAAACCCGGGTGCGCATTCGCATTGGAACATTCGAGTCTCATCATTCACAATACAAGTTCCGCCATTCAAGCATGTATTCCGACTGCATAACCGACTACCAATAGCTGAAAAATCAAGTTTCAAATCAATTTTTGTTTGATTGATAGTTTTGAAAAAATTCCCGTGACAGATGGCCAACTGAGATAAGTTTCAATGAGTGACAATGAGTCAAGTGGAATTCGTTGAAATTCAGTAATCAATCAAGAAACTGCTATGCGATTTAAATAAAAGTACAAATATTAAAAATCAAGGCAAAAAGTAAATTAAATAAAATGCAATCGTAAAAAAATTAAAAAAAAAACTTACTCGAAATTATTTGCAAATGAATGACAATTAGTATCAAAACAGTTGAAAATCGCATGTGTGCATTCGAATATCCAAAAGGTGCAAAATAAAGGGGCGATCCACACGTCGTCTTTTTCCGTATTAGTGCGCTAGCCTTCGCCGATTTCCGGCCCCGCTTTTTTTGGCTGCCCGTACGAGCCAGGTGTATTGTCGACGATAATAAGCAGGTAATTAGAAGAGCGTCCGACTCGCAATCACGCTGGCAATTGCAATCGGTGGTAATAATTTGCGGGTTGACGGAAGGGTCACCACAACCACAACCACACGAATCGTTGATGCGGATTTAGCACTGGTGTATTCGGTCGCCTATGTTGAATATTGTGCCAATTTATGACTAGTTGAATGACGCGAAATTCCGTTTTTTTTTTTGGCGGGATTTCTGCGGTTGCTGCTTACTTTCTGTAAAAACATTGCATATATGAAAAAGCGATTACTATGAAATTGCGTACAATTAACTATGACCTTTTATGCGCGGGTAAAAACAACAAATAAAATATCAAAATTTAAAACACAAAGCATTGAAAAGAACCGACATCAGAAAGAGCAAGGTCGAACATATTAGTATGAATAAAAAAGGTATTTCCTGTTGTTTTCGTAACGCCAGACATTGAAAATGTAGAGGAGGCGCGTTTTTGACTAAAAAAAACAACAACGCTTCTTCACAGATGTTTAAATTTGCTCATTATAAAATATTAGTGGTCAAAAAATAATAATGTTTTATATTGTAAATCAAATTACGGAAAAAACTCATTGCCAGAGAGTGGAATTGAAAGCATAAGCGTGGAAGGAAACCCATTGCTTCTAATGTTAATGTTGTTTAAAGGAATGATTGAATAAACGTAAACGAAAGAAATAATGAAATTACTAATCATTCAATCTCGCGTATCATGACAACGCCGAAAATCTTTTAAGACGTTCAGATTTGTGTACATTGCTGCGCAACACATACATATCTTAAACCCGATATTTTTTTTTGAATGTGCCGCTCAGTCTCTTTGACCATGTCGATGAATGATATATAAACAAATACGCCAGGTCATGATAACTGTATGTAATGGCAATAGGGAAATAATACCAGTAAAGGAATAAGTCGATGAATGGAACAGGAAATGATTAAGTAAACAAATGCATATATCCATCATAAGGGAATTTTGAATGGGACAAAAGAAACTATGCAAAAACGTGAAATATAAATGTCTGAGGGGTCCATAATTAGCAATCATTGCCTAAACAGACACGAAACAACATTTGAAAGCAAAAGGAGATGAAGAACAACACTCGAGTTGGATATGACTTTGTTTGGGTAAGCGGTGCGCCTCCCGGGAAGCTGTTTTCGCGGACCCACTTAGGGTTCGCAAGGAGGCAGCTTCTTGAGTTCGTTTGCGCATCGTTTGTTCAAGCGTTCATAGTTGACGGTGAACGAAACTTTCCAAAATTGTCAAAATAGCGGTGAATAGAAGTTCTCGTTTTACATTCGGCCGACAACGCGCGCAGCTTTGAACAATATTTTTGCGCGTTAATTAACTACACTTACCGGCAAACACTTCGTTTGCTCTGATTTTGTCACGCTTCTCCACGATGTAAACTTTCTCCTTTTCCATTGGTCAAAGCAATCAAAAACAACAACCCAATGTTTCTATGAATTCGCATACACATATAAACGGAAACAAATTGGGAAAACCGGTTAGAAATAACCATTCAAATCCATTAGCGGAATTAAAAGATAAAGGATTCTTCTAAGTAAATCATTACTAGAAGAGAAATTATTGGGTATGCTACGAGAAAAAAATGCTGAAAATTAGTAAATTATAAACATTTTTCAATAATGGATTATCAAATTTTAAGCCATTACGTCGCCACTAGAAAAGTTCAAAACAATTTATTATCTACCAGCGTGCAGTTTTAAAACTGAACAAAACCCGAGATAATTTTTTAATCTCTTCGGGCTCAACAATTATTTTGAACACATTTAGGTGAAGCAAACGAGCATTACACCAATAATGAGCCTTATGTTTTCATCATATGCCACTAAAATATTTCATTAGTTCAACATGCACGTAAAAAGATTTATGATCGAAATCGTAATAAAATGGATGTCAACGTATGTCATAATAATATTGTTTTTCTGACACATACATCAGTGGAAAATGATCGAACAATCTAATGAATCGTCTCCGAATGTCATCAAATACTCGGGTTGTGTGCGAGCAGCAAAAGGGTGAAGTGGTTTGTTAAGTGTTCGGTTTATTATATTCAAATACATATTGTCGATGACGGACTAATTTAGTAAGGTCTTGCTTGTGATTTAAATTATCGGGCCACAAAATTGAAATTATTTTTTCTTGAAATTAATATGAGATATAATGAAAATTGCAGTAGTAAACAAATGCGCAAGAGACTTTCATATTACGGTATGATCAAATGAATGATCACATTTATTAAATTCGCCCAATTTTAATATCTCGATGTTGTCATTTTTCTTTTCTAGTGGTTTTAAGCGGAAAACAATTTAAACTAAAAGCAAAAAGGAAACAATTTCAGTTCTTGCGAAATTTTAGTCAAATTTAATTTTCCATCTTAAAATTTCTAAATAAAACCAAAATTTTGAAAACCGGAAATAATAATGGGCATAAAAAGACTGTATCTATTTTATTCTAAACTGAACATACATATATTATATATCGTGTAATGCCGATACACTAGAATATAAATAAATGTATTTACTCGAGATCAAATGAATGAGCTGAGCAAGCATTATTCGTCAGAGTGGGTAGAGTAACTGAAGTCTAATACGTTCATTTGGGATATATGTAAACATTTGGTAATATATATTTTTTGATATTGTGAAAAAACAGTACAGATATATTCACTTGTGTATAGAACATCCACAAATAATCATTTAAAATAGTGTTTTATAATGAAGAAATGTTGGGAGATCACAATGCAAGTTTTCATTCATTACTTTTTTAAAACAAGTAGAAATTTTTACTTCATGCATAAAGCCAGTTTTATTATTAAAATCGGTTTCAATTCCAGCTATTTTATTTTTCCGTATTCCCCATTATTTCTTCAGTAAAATTGTTACACTTTATCTTTAAAATACTGTTATGTCTATGTATTTTTTTAACATGGAATACATAGCTCATTTCTCATACGATTTAGTAAACAGTGGCTTTTCACAAAACAGTTCTGAACTTTCGTGTTTACCATTCACATATGCATTTGCATTCAAATTTCCCGAATCATTCCACTCCTATGAAAAAACGTTGGTGGTTTTCTCGGAGTAAACATACACTCATATCAAAATTTCAATCGAGATTTATTGTGCGGTGAATGAAAAAAGAAGCAATTTGTCATTTGAGATACGGTCTCAGTAGGCCTTAGCTATGGTCAGTCTGGTAAACACGTTTCTAGAGGGCTATACAATTTTTCGCGCCTTCAAAGAGCGTACACCAATTCATCAAGAGAACCCCCAAAAGCGATATAATCTCGTTTTCTTCTTCTTCTGTCAAACGCATACACATACCTCTGTGATAGTCCCATCTATTTTTAAGTTTGATTTCACTGAAAAAAAATGGCGCTACAGTTCGTGTGGACTTTCGAAGATTGTATGTAACTTATTTGGCGAAGAACACATTTATTTAAAATGTTGCCGAGAAATTGTCATTTTAAAAGGGCCGAAATGAAAGTCGATTAACATCAACTTGGCTGATAGTTAAGAAAAATGTTACACTGTTAAAAAGTCCGTATATCGTTGAAAGCCGTGCTAGTGTTGTATTCTTCTGATATAATATATATTCTTGAACATTCTATTGAAATAAGTAGTATATATATATATATATATGGAATATTTATTGCGATTGCGAAGCTTTATTCACGTATTCATCGAATACAGGTTGATACAAAAAAGTTGCACAAACCAATACATTACAGAGGCGAAGTAAGACACGAAGGCTTTTCAGATAAATAAGACAAATAATACATTTTTGGGGGAATTGAACAAATCATTCGCTCAAAATTGTACTGTCTGTCGTTTAGCCATTTTCAAAGCTGTGGATGCATAACCAGAAAAAGAGGTTAGAGATCTTAAGACCTTAAGGGAGCAGCGAAGCGGATAGCGATTGAAAACGATATGATTGTTAAATATTGAATGTGTCAGTCTAATAGTTCCGCGCGCACTAAGAAATTGGCTCAAGTACAATTTTAGCAAGATCCAAAAACTAGGCGACGGTCGGTGTCATAACAATAAATGCTAATATTAGGGAAGTATGGATATATATATATATATATATATATATGTACAACTAACAAGAATTCTGCTGTAGTCGTTCCAGCTTAGTACTGGACTTGCTGGAACATGGTGCACTTGTTGTACCAGTTCTGGCAGGTCTCAGCCATAGCAGCAGTTGATGGTGGGTTGCACATGACGTGGACCTTTGGATGGGTGTGAGCGCACTTGCATTCATCAGTGCAGTGAGCGGCGGTGCAGTCTGGAGTGCACGAGGCAATGATGGCGGCTGTGAGACGGGCAGCCGATGGTGGTGATTGCGAAGATTGGCGGGAGCGAGCTTCCTCTCCAATTGGCAAGTCGAGAAGGGCAAAATCGCTGCCCTTTGGAAGCGATGGTGGCATCACAAGCGGGGTTCCAATATCTGGGAGCTCGACAGTTCCGGCCTTTCCAACAGCGCAGTGCTTTTCGTAAGCTGGACAGAATTTGGCGAGCTTGGCAAAGGTGTTGCGATCCATTTGGGCACCCTTATTGCTACAGAACTTGTTGAAGTGCTCAGCATGTTTCTGGCAGTATCTCTCAGTGCGATCATCTCTGCGAACTCGGGCAGGGTTGGCTGAAAAATGAAAATTATGAATATGTCCAGAGCTTGTGTTGCTTACCTAGTGCCAAGGCAATGGTGACCGCGATAACGAAAATGGTTGATGAATTCATACTTAGTTTCTTTGAAGTTGAGTTGTGGAGAAGATTCAATTTCTTCTTCTCGCAAAAACGAAGATTGCGTGCTGATTCTTCAAAGATCGCGCCCTTATATGCAATGCGACGAGTGCCCGCCCCGTTCGATTGGTTGCGACCTCCCCGAGGCGGAGGTACCCACCGTTTCTCCCACGTACGGACGCCCCGCCCAGCGAATTGCTTTCTACGCGAAACCTTTGAAGATCGGGCCACATTATGTCTGTTGCTAAAAATGGAATCTTTCAATGTCTTCAGCGCTCATCAGAACGATAACAGAGTGCGGCGATTTTTGATGGATAGCGTTTCCAATTGAGCGATGTATATGAGCGAGTGAGTGATTAGAGATAGTCGGCCACAAGCAGTTTTTCTATATCTTTTGCATTCTGCGAACCGATCATCATCAACGTAAAATGAAGAAGACGATGCCGTTTGATGAAAATTAAAGGAGATTTCGAACACACTCACATGTACCAGATGATAAAGCGACGAAACGCATGTACGTATTTTTGGTACAAACAAACTCATTTAAATCTTGTGACCGTAGAAAACGAACCCACGACTTCCTATTTTTATCTTTTCACGTCATTAGTACTAAACCAGAGAATGTGATCTCTTGAAACAATAAGAATGACCAATCACATTGTTGGGAACCATTGTCACAAACTACCATAGATAACCAAATGGCCTTTGTCACGGTCAACGAAGCTTCGTAGAGTGGCCGTTCGGTGGACACAGGCTGCATTGTTCTCGAAAAACTTTTCTCGTAAGCCTACAGAAATTGTTTTGTCCATGACTCCAGAGAACAATAGAAATCAAAAATTATTTTTACGATAGAGTTTAAAAGAAATAGAAATATGGAAGCAGTACGAAACAAGTTTTCAGTTTCGTTTATGTATATATTTTATAATTTCAAAAGCGCAGCGAGCTTTTACTTTACTTTTTTTCATTTCCTCATAACAGTAAAAAATATTTTTGGCAGTATATTAATTTATGATAAATCGAATAGTTAAATAGTTTTCAGAATAATTTATTTTAAATATAATAAATTCTCACAATTATTAAATTTGCGGAACATTGGATATATTTTGGAAACCATTAAATTAATTTTGTTTTTCTGCTTTATATGCTCCAGATTGTAAATTGTCTTGAACTGTCGGATCACGTGAATACACTCAAGGCTTCTCTCACGTGTATGTTTGTTGTAATTATGATTATTGTAAAAATGATTTTTGAATTTTGAATTCATTTGTTGCAGAAATTCAGTCACACGGAATCAATTAAAAACTCAATAATATAATTGAGTTATCCGAGTTATCCCTTTTTTATCCCTTTTTGAAGTTTCCTAATTTGTTAGAATCTAAGTTTCGTGAATTATCAAATTTCAGAGATGATCCATAAATCTTTAAAGATTGAAACAAAACCTCTCAAAATTTTCAACATTGTTTTATTTTCAGAATGCCATAAATTTGTGTTTCCGGAACGTGTCATCAATTTAGAAATGATCACCAAACGAAAATGGAAGTCGTCTGAAAAAGTAAAGGGACAACATTTACAACACATGTCAAATTTTTGAAATGTGATTTTTTGAAGTACTCAAACTGTTTTATCAACATGTACCCACTGTATTAAAAAATTATTAGTACTTTGATGTTAACATTCTTCGAAACCGACGAGAGAATGAATGCCGGTACAAAAATAGACATGTTTTTCGAAAAACCTCATTAGTCTTCATTGAGTGAAAAATCACAAAAAATCAATCAAAGTAGAACGATATAGTGGCGCACATTTAGGAATGAGTTGTTTTCGAATTACATAAAAATATCATCCAATTATGTTTTTAGAATTTTCGGATATTTTGGACTAAGAAACAAAAAATCATTCTTGACGTTTAACCTAACGAAGAGTAGTGCTAAAGGATTTATTGTCCAGACTTTCATGACTCTCATATTTACACAAACGTTCCGTTACTATTTCTGTTCGTTATCTGACCAAATCAGTTAAAATTGATGTTGACATTGATTTCGCAAAAAACTTTCGAAAATTCCATTTGACAAGGTGCGCCGCTTCAAATGTTCCACTCCAAACGTTCGTCATTCACTGAAAACTATAAAATCTGCAAGCTAAGCGAATATGATTATTGTACCAATTGCGTCAAAAAACCGCTGTCATATATTTTTTCGCGTTGCCATAGTTTGCTTAGGACCCATTGTACACAATCGCACGCGCACATTCACATACAACACAACTTTTGAAAATCATTGCCAATGTAACCAAAGAATCATGTTCTTTTTTGATTATTATAAAACGAATCGTCACAATAAACAAGCAGAGATACACAGACAACAGGAAGCGTGTTTTATTAAGAATCTGTCGACTTTTGTGATATGGTTTCTTCAGATACGGGGAAGTTGCGAATATTGGGGAGTATACAAATTGGATATGAACTTTCTAAAGCCCTGAATGCGTGAATACATAATTTTCCTGAAGATCATGTGAAACGATTTTGCTTTTATCTAATACATCAAGGGTTTTGATTGAGGAGTTTATTTCTAATGCTTCAATTTAGAAATTATTTTCAACAAAGAGAATATTGTCAAGTATACACTATAAATTGTTTTATCGGAGGATTGGAACAATATGCCAATTGACTTAAAAACTCCACTACAGAAATGATCTCATCCCACGAAACGGTTCCTATCAGCTGCAACTAAAACTGCAAAATCTTGCAATGACCATTCAAAATGATAACAATTGGGTCACTTCCGATGTAAAATCTTTGAAATACACTGATAATCTTTAGAGGATACGGTAGTAACTTTTTTTGGGTATTTGATATCAATTCAGAATCCTGTTCGTTTGCGTTTTTCGCCATCTTTTTGCGAATTGGGAATGCATTTTTGAACAACGATATTTTGAACTATTACATTATGATCGGTTTTCAATCTACCAACGCCAGTACATGCTGAAGACGAAGATTCCTTGTATCGAACCATTTCCCCATTTGGCAAACAAAATTTATAACAGGCAGAACAATTCGGTAGCGAACTTGAAATAAACCGCGGCGAGTTGATGAAATGACCACGTGTCTGTTTCGAGAAATCGACGAGCGACCATATCACAGGAATATTGGTCTCTTCTATCTAAGTAGACGATCTTCACAAGAATTCTAGATTGAAGTCAAGCTATCTTCGAAAATCAGACCTAGTCGATTTAGAAGGTGTCTCTTTTGGTGCGCCGCCGTGTTTTTGTGCACATTATCTCTAGAGTTCGTGATTTTGAAGGTCTCTAGAGATGGTCGTAGAAGATAATTTGTTGCCGATCTATTTTTGTATATTTGAATGTTTTTTCGGAGATGTTGTATCTCAGAAGTGTCAATCAACCAGTACTATTTTTGGTGGTAAAATTTAAAAACACACATCATGTGCCCAAAGCACAGAACGTCCATTTTTTCTATGAGCGAGGGAAGTTTGAAGGAAATCACATCATAAATTGGCTTTTTGAGTGAAGTGTTTGAAATGTTAGAAACATTTTTGAAGGTTTCTGTCTACGTTAAAGATCTCAGTTCAGTGGGATTAAAATTTTGGTGTAATTCTTCATTAAAGAAATTTTTTAATTGCTTAATATATGCGTTTCTAATATTTCTTCAATGAATTATCGTCTAAAACAATTCAAATCTAAAATTTTCTTTACCTCGAACCCCAATCATCATTAGATGTGAACGTGAATTTTTGTAAGAATCGTCAAATCCAAACTCTTGCTGACAGGAAGAACTAAAGCTTCGGCTCATTTAGCAATTGACGTAGTACGCACAATTAAGCGCTGCTAAATTACGGCTCTACACTGAGATAAAAAGAGATCGGATGCAGATAATAACTCATGAGAATAATGGGATAGAACTATGAACCGAGCAACTGCTCTTGGATGAAAAAAAAACGCGATAAACGCTCTTGCATTCCAAACTTTTGGACGGTGAGTGATCATCAAAATCCAGATAAAGACCGGAAACTGTTTGATCAGAAATTATATTTTTGATTCTCAATTAAGAAATACGTGTTAATTCGATGAAGTGATTTCGGATAATTCTATTTTCGAATTTCCAAATGATCTCGAACGTATTTTGAAACACGTTTTACTTCAGTCGTTCAATCCGTCAGCGGATTGCAACACGATTATCAACTTTTTGTGTATGCTTATAACGTTTTTCAGCAATAAATAGCCATTTGTCAACGTGGTGTTAACCTGTTTCATATGAATTACAAAATACATGTCAAAGAACATTCATATGTTTCTTTTCAATGAATTGATATTCATTATCTTCTGCAAGATATTACTGCGAGAGAAATCAAATCAATTTGCATTCAATATTTTTTCGTCACAGAAAACACGATTGCGATTGTCATTGATAACGTTTTCAAAAGACACTAATTCTCTTTGAAGATCTTCGAAGGTTACAAAGCCAACCGTCGTATTTCGTATTGCCTTTTTTTGTTCATTGCGAATGAATGGTCAATTCCGATGTCAACCTTTTCTAAAAATCACGAAGAGAAGAATGCGTAGTACCGTGCGACTGCTATACACATTGACATCAATTTTCGAGAATCGTAGTTCCGATGAACTTGCTGATACTGCTATTAATAGAACTTTGATTCCAAAACAATTTTTCCGTTTGTGAGTTGAGGGAACTAGAAAATCTTCCCCTCCCCCGCCTTTATATATTTTCTAATTCAATCTGGAGCGCCGAGGAGATTGCAGTCCATTATTTTGAAGCGAATGCGATAAAGAGCATTCAGTTTCGGCTAATGGTGTGCGATAATGCGTTCATCAAATACAATTTTTCTAAAGATTTCATTCGAAGAGTGTGGCTCTTTTGAAAACGAAAAGTTCCGGGTATTGAGATCAATCACTGAAAAATCAGTGCGAAAACGCCACCGTCGCCGTCTTTGCAATGATGACACAGAGATGTCATAGATTCGGCGCCGTAAACAGATGCGAATTCGATTGCAGATAAACGCTAACCCATCGCCGCCGATGCCGCCACCTGCATCCGCAATCAATTGTCGACAAGATATCGAGATTACGGTAGTCGAATACGTTGAGAACAAATACTTATTGCCGCTAACAAGAGTAAACAAGTCGCATCATTAAAAAAAAAAGGATTAATTAGAATTTTAGATTACCGAGCTCTGGTAATCCCCTATATCCCATGATGATGGTTTGAGGAGTTCATTTAATTGTTTACAACATTTTAACGAAAATGCAGGAAACCACTCATTTCTGTACGAAGAGAGTTCAAACTCAATAAACGTAAATCATCAAAAAAAGAACACCGCCGTGGCGGCAGAACTCGTGGGGTGCTCATCTAAGCTAATGTAGTCGCAATTAATCAATTGTCACTTTTCCCTCATGTTGAATATCGAACAATCTCATAGATGAGATAGATGCAATGAGTGCTTCGAAAACCCCATAACTCGATAATGGGCTCATGATGTACGTTAATTGTTTTTGCTCGGCCTCCGAAACCGCGCCTCTTCGTGCAATTTCTCAGCGCTCGCCTCAAAGAAATTCGAACTCAGTCTTGAGCCATCATCGCCTTCATTTTTCAAATAATGAGCGCTACCAGATGGTTGCTCATTTTTTGCGCTCTAGCCACTGCTATACAGGGCGAGTATTACCAAGGTAAGAATATATTGATATTTATATAAACTATCTTATTATATATTCAGGTGCATCAAGCCGTCTCACAAATTACCTGCTTGAAAAACATGAGAAGTGAGTCACGTAGTCAAAAACAAATACTTTGTTTTACAGTGAAGTAATAGCAAATTGCAAACCTAAAGAAAACAACAGTTAAAAAATAAATAAAATCAAAACGACATCAAATAATTTGATGAAAATAATTTCAGAAGCTCACCTCCGGATGGTATCATTCAAGTCTCGCATAACATTGAACTTGTTCACATTGTTGCTCTGAATGAACTACAGCAGAACATGCAAGTTCTTGTTTATGTGATCGAGGTGATGAATTTGATGAATTAAAAAAAAAACAATGAAACACAACATTTTAGGAATGGGATGATGTTTCTCTCTCGTGGAAACCGCATGAGTTCGCCGGTCTCACATCGACATGGCTTCCAGAAAACGCAGTTTGGGTACCTGATGTTATTGTCTTCAACACGTAAGAATATGTCGTCTTAAATTAAAATATCCCTAATTTTAGCTTGGAACACAAGAAGTTGTTGGACGCCGTGCGTGCTCCAATCCGCGTCTCATCATCTGGAAGAGTCACCTACACTTACCCAGCCATCTACACTGTTTTGTGCCCAATCGGTTAGTCATGAATGGAGATACTACGAAGGCTCTCAGGCTATTATTTTCAAAGTTTAGGAATTGCAAAGTTTCCATTCGACACGCAAACCTGTAAAATAAGGGTGAAATATTTAAAAATTACATTTGTATGATTAATATGTTAAATTTTAGTTTGCGTCGTGGGCATATGGTGAAGACAAAATGGTTTTGAACGCTACACACAGACCGCTTTTGAATAACTATGCTCCAAATGAAGAATGGGCTCTTGAGGTTTGAAGATATAGCATATATATATATATATATATATATATATATATATATATATATATATATATATATAAGTGTAGACACGAATAATATTATAGGAAGTGGACGTAGTTCGTAAAGAATACGAGCACGAGGAAACAGTTGTCAGCGAGATTATTTATTCTATCAGAGTCGCTAGAAAACCGTTTTACTACTTGATTAGTCTCGTTGTTCCTAGTTACATCATCTGTGTTCTTTCAATTGCCGGACTTTTTGCCAGATTTTCCACCAAACATGAGCGTCAAGTAAGATTTTAATGAGGACATCTACCAAGAATTAATTTTAAAATGATGGTATTTAATCGCAAATTGTTATTGATTTTATTTGTGTATTTTGAGCCTCTCTTATTTGTGTATTTTGGGCTCTCTCAAGCATATACTTTATATATTTCGAATTTTTTTGTGATATCATTTGTTATAATTTGTGTATAATTGTTAGGAGCGATTCACCTTGGGAGTCACTGCAATTCTCAGTATGGCGGTTCTATCATTGGTTGTTACTGAAAAAGTGCCACATAGCTCAGAAAGCGTGCCGCTTATGAGTACGTAAAAGAAATCCAGAAAATTTGAAATTAAGCATGTTTTTTACAGTTATCTACATGCATTTCATAATTGTAATGGTTACTATAGCTACAATTCTAACATCAACGGTCATGAGAGTTCACGCAAAGGTGCGCAGTATGAAAAAAATTCGAGAATTGAAAAATAATGCATAATTCGCATTTTAGGGTTTTCGCGACACTTTGAGACCACCACCAAACTGGATGAGACGTCTTCTCATGGTAGCCGAAGAAAAAGCCACATTTGCTAAACACCATGTAGGTTGTTTCCAACGTTGGGCCTGCAAAATATTCGAAAAATTGACTAAATAATTACAATATGTATCTTATATCGTGATTTTGCCTATATATCTTCTTTTCTTTTTGATTGAATGAACTGTTGATAGAACGAAATCGTTTGTGAAATTATAGCAAATTTAAAGAAAAAAAAATGATGATGAAAAGACTAACTACACTGAAGACAGATTAAACGAAAATAAATATGTGTAAAAAGGAAATAATTTATATGATAAAAAATTGAAGTTAAAACTTTTTAAAAGGAAATTGGACTTATTTACAAGATAGGAAAAATAAATATGTTCAAAATATAAGAAAGAAAAAATCCTGTTGCGTTACTGAAAAAAGAGCGCCAACAAAATCGATTGTGTGGAGGGATAGACAGGGAAAAAAGGTCTTTTCGAAAAACATTCTTATCAAATTTCCCCTCTTCTCTGTTTTTTTTGTTACCTAAAATCCACATTCTGAACAGTTTTTTTAGCATATTTCATTCCTAAAAATTTTGTACATTATTATATTGTAAAAAAAAATGAACAATATTTTATATTTTAGGGAGTTGTCGTCGTCGACATCCATACAGTTGCGGAACAATGGGGAGAAATCTCGAGAAGAATGGATTATTTGCTCGCTGTCATGTTTATCATAATTATATCTGTCCCAACATTTTATTTGTTCTACATGTGGAATACGTACGATCATGAAGCTTCCGAAAAATCGCTTCTTTCTATGGAAATGAAGCGCTTAATGCATTACTAAAGTAGGCAAAAGAGGGAAAATAAAACATTGTTTCCTTTTACGTCACGAATTATATTTTTAAAATTGTCTGTTGATGCGCTTTTGATTTTTTTTCTTTACATTCATTAGAATGTTAGGAGTTTGCTTCGAATAAAGTTTATTTTGTTGAAAAATGCGTTGTTTACTAGCGCGCACTTGCAACGCGCCAATCGTCTTGCAACACACCTCACTCTAGTGCTACAGTAATAAGTGAGCGTGGCGAGAGTCGTGCAGGCGGCTCCGCGTGCTTGCATACTGAGGTTGCGTCGCACGCAACATCTGGCAAATCGCCTTGAATTTTCGTCAATAGCGGCGTCACTAGTACTTTATATTCGTTGTGTCCTGTTGGTTTTATGGGAAAACCAACGTTATGTCATCAGTAGGAACCGTAGGAAACGAACAATTCAGTAACGGCCTACATCAATCTCAGGTAAAGCGATGTTTATTTTGTATTATTTTTTAGTATTGCCTTTTATGAAATTCACAATATATTATTTTTTGCAATGATATTTTAATGGCAATCGTTCAATAAATAAAGAGACTATTTTATGAATTTATTGCATTTATTTCAAAATTGATTCGTATTGATAATTGCATTTTAATTTTTGAGAACTCTTTGGTGTATATATTATATATATTGAAATGCAATGTATTTTTGTTTATTGAAATAAGACGTTTATTTATTGGTATTTATAATACGATTGAACGCGTTTTTATTTTATTACATAAAAAAGCCAATATTGTTTCTATTTTTGTTCAGCCATTGACATCTGCCATCCAGACAGCAAACCTGAAGCGATCACAAGAAGAAAGCGGGCTCGACAGTACGACCATTTATTTTTCTTATTAATTTCCGATAATCGTTTGTTCCTTACATTATTGGTATTTTCCATTTCATTTACAGCATTTTGTCAACTTTCGAGTTCGTTGCTTTAATATTCTCAATTTGCAGGCGGCATCCCGGCAAAACGGGCAACTATGCAGGGAATTGACGGTAGCTTAGTTCAAATTGGAGCGCCATACCTCGGCCAAATGACCGACAACCTAACAGAGCTGTTCCCTGTGCCGGAAAACACTGTCGGGCTCGGTACGTTGCCGCTATTGCTTTTGCACATTAATAATTATTTGTTCAGTTATTGGAAGAGGAGGCTCTGAGATTCAGAACATTCAAAGCATGTCGGGATGCCGCGTCCAAATGTGTCCAGATGCCGACAGTAGTGGCTATAGACAAGTCACTCTTCAAGGAAATCGGGCAAACATCGAAAAAGCGAAACAACTTATCAATGACGTTGTTATGCGCGCTCAACAACGCCAACATGGGGGGTCACACGGCCAACAAACGTTTGATGCTAGCCGGTCTATCACCATTGACATACAAATTCCCGCTGGAAAATGCGGCTTGATCATCGGCAAGCAAGGCGAAACCATTCGCCAACTTCAAGTATTCCGTTGCGACATAATAAACATTAAGTTATTAATTTTTCTAGGAGCAAGCTGGTTGCAAAATGCTCATGATTCAAGATACCCAAGAAGTTACCGGCGTTCCAAAGCCGCTTCGCATTTGCGGTGAACCGGAAAAAGTTGAGATTGCCAGGCGCCTTGTTGCTGAGCTTCTAAGCAAGGAAGAAGGAAACAATGGTGCCTCACGTGTTGGACAAGATCCTGCTTCGTCCGCGAAAGGAGAAGTTGTCGTTCCGAGATCCAGTGTTGGAATGATAATCGGAAAAGGCGGCGAAACAATCAAGCGGCTCGCAATGGAAACGGGAACGAAGATCCAATTCAAACCGGACGAGGATCCGAATTCGGCTGAGCGTTGCGCAGTAATTATGGGGACTCGTGATCAGATCTATCAAGCTACTGAACTGATCACTGAGCTTGTTAACAAAAGTGCAAACAATCAAAATCAGACTCAAGAGGTGCTGAAAAATTATGGAAAAATTGAAACTGGCGAATTTCAGACTTTTTTCATGCACATTCCAGCGAATAAAACAGGTTTGGTTATTGGTAAGGGCGGAGAGACCATTAAACAAATCAATTCGGAAAGCGGAGCTCATTGTGAGCTATCTCGCGAGGCGCCACCTAATCCTCAGGAAAAAGTATTCATCATTAAAGGAACACCTCAACAAATTCAACATGCTCAACATATCATAAAAATCAAAGTATATTTGTGCACGAAAGAAATTATATAAATAACATTCAAAAATTGCAGGTTGGAGATATTCCTCCAAACACTCCGGTTCCGATGATTGGTGGTGGAGGTGGTGGACCTATGATGGGTAACGGAAATTTCCCACATCAGGGACAATTTAATGGACAATATGGTGCCCAGCCAGTTCATCAACAGTGGGGTGAGTTCTTATTTCTAGAGCTTCAAGAATTGCGCATAATTTGAAGGAGAAAATTGTTACTTTGTTGTTCAGGTCAACCTATGCCTCCAAATGTTCAGTACGCTCAATATCAACAAACCGCTACTGGAACTGTTGTCCCACAGCCATACGCCCAACCGCAACCACAGCCTGGAACAGGACAACCAACAATTAACCCGGCTACTGGACAGCCGGATTACTCTGCACAATGGGCTGAGTACTACAGGTGTGTTTTGTTTTATTTGGGCTTTTAGTTATGCTATTATTCCAGAAATGTTGGATTGATGGAACAAGCGGCAATGGTAGAGAATCAAATGAAGCAAAATGCGGCTCGCGCCCAAGCTGCTGCGACCGGAAGCGCGACATCTACTGCATACGCTGCTGGATCCCAGTATCCCACTGGAGTACCTGGTCCAGTTGCTGCGCAACCAACTACAGGTGCAGGCGGTCAACAATATGCACAATATCAACCAGTGGGAGGATTTCCACCAACCAGTCAATTTCAAGGCCAGGGGCAACCTCAACCATTCTAAGTAGTCATTTTGATAATCAACTCACATAACTTTCTTCAGCCCTTTTCCCTGTTTTTTTAATTAACGATCTCCAAATTCATATGGCAAGAGCCCGTACGAGTTACCATTCACAACATTGTTTTACGTTGCTAGCCGTATATCATGTCACTGATTTGGAATTGTTCTCATGTTGTTTAAATGTTTGTGAGGGAATTCGAATCGTTCTTTTCGCTAGGCGAGAAAAGGGTGAAATCATTGTATAATTTATTTTTGTAATCTCGAAATTTCAATTTTAATTAATTTTATTTTTGTGATTCAACCGTTTTTGTTTACGTTTTATCGTTAAGAATTGTTTGCAATACGCTGTACTATGAGAATAAAATCGTTGTACGTGTACAGATGTTATACGTTGAAATTATTATAAAACATAATCGTAAAGAAACAACAAAAAATCCATTCTGATTCATTATACGGTTCTAATGCAGCTTGTGGCTATTACCTTTCTTATTCTCATTTCTGTTGCGAATTCCCTTGATGGAAACGAAACCCGCGTGGGGCTAAAAACGATTCCGCGATATGCACGTTATGTACATGCATCGTATGGAATGGCCCCGTACAATCCGACTTATAAAGGACCAACGGTACTTTTTGAAAATATGATTAAAAAAATATATAAATATAGTTTCCTAAAAAATTTTTGTAAAATTGCAGTAAGGCTTTAAATGCAAAACGTATGAAAACAAACGACACGGAAAAACGTATTGATAATGTTTAGTAGTTATTGCTTATAAAAAAAGTAAGCTGCCACAAAAATTATTTGGGTTATTGTTTATTCATGAACGACAGTTATATTTCTCAGAATAAAGCAATAATATGTGTTCATAAAGATATCAATTTGAAAAATTTGAATTGCGCTGGCTACCAATTAATTAATTTTTTTTTTCTGAAAAATAGAATAATCTTAATTGATAATGAAAAAAATCTTAATTGATAATGAAAAACCGAATATTCTTATAATCCACAATATCCTGAAAATTCATTTTAAGAAATTAAGCTTTTTTACTTAATGATGATTTAATTAAACGAGTTTTCCAAAAGATTCTAACTGAAATAATATTGTTTTCAAAAACTTTACTTACTTATTTGTGAGTTCTAATTATAAATATGCTATAATTGAGTTTTTGATGACAGTTAAAGAAATTATTTTTGATATTCTTCAAAATTATTGTACACAGGTAAAATGCGGCGCACCCATAATGAGACCACCGAGAGACACAACCATATGGGCGCTATATGTCTTCTCAGCTTAGTGGTTTCGCGTGAATTCTAAATGTTTGCGATCTCACGATGAGAATTCCGTCGATAACATCTGTTTTGTTTATGGACACTACGTGGTTTCGTTTGAGTACTATATGGTAGCAAATTTCATTAATGATGTTGTCTCTTATATTGTCTCTTGTTAGATTGAATCATATACGATTCATGTGGATGTGTCCGCCGCATTTTGCCTGTGTATCTAAACTGAAATATAAATCAAAATTGCTTTTGAAGATTTCACCGTCGGCGACGTCGCAACAAAACATAACAGTCGATACAATTTTCGGTTTGCCACTTATTTCGGCAAGTGGAAATTATTTTAAATAATTTCAGGTTGCCCCAGCAATCCATGCTATCCGGATGCAGATGGTTTTTCTTCGAAAGTTCTCAATTAAATCGAATTTCATAGTTTCAGATTCGTGGATTTTCATTTTTGGGATTTTGCTCATCCTTATTGCCGTCCTTTCGTGCATTGTTTTATCAGTGGTTCTCAAATAAGTTGAATTTGCATTTGCAGTGCATTCCTTTTTTAATTGTAACTTCATGAACTTCTGAATGTGTTTGCCTTTCAAACAGCTGTATTTATTAACGAGTATTTTGTATAAACGGAAATGAACAGTTTTGCAAAGTCAAAAATTTCCAGCAGGAATGATCGCGAGCTTTGGACAAATATTGCAGTTTTGCACCGTTTGGTTAGTTTTTTATGCGTCTCTGCAATTTTGAATTGTGGATTCAGCTGCATGTAAAAACCATGTTGACCGTGTTTAATTTCAAATATAACATGAAGGGTTTTTTGAGAACAGCTCTCAACTGCCGTTTTCATCAATACCATACCAACGCACAATTTTTCTTGTTGCAGGTTTTCTGAAACTCAACAAAGTGTGATGGTTACAAAATTAGGCTATTGCCTATCACTGGTGTTTTTATGTTTATACTGTTTTCCGGAGTACTCGCAAACAGCAAAGTCTCCCGGCTTCACATATTCTGATTTTTTTGCAAAACAGCAAAACAGCACGGTTAGATTAATTTTAAATAAAACAATATTTAAATGAAATATCAATATGATTGAATGATATCGAAAAAGTTTGACATTTAATATAATTTCTGTTTCAATTATCTCTTTTTTGTAAGAAAAAATATATTCAAGTTTTTTTAATTCTGAAAATCTAGTTGTTTGTAGAAATCTAAACTAATTATCAAAAATATATTGTAGAACAAAGCAATCAATTATGACAATTATTTGAATTTGTTCAGTTCAAAAAGGATCTGATCAATGCTTTTCGTGCAAACCAAACTATCTTCAAAAGAAATAAAGAACGGAACTCCAGCATAAATGGTACTGCATTAACACACCGAAAAAAAGTTTGTTAGATTAGTTTGTACGTCATGTAAATTTCAACTTTAGCGACAAGCGTGCGGATCAAATTGTGGTGATTTAACTATATCCGGAACAGCAACTACAGACGGTTTGACACCTTCCGATAATTTATACTTCATCTATGGAACGGACGCCAATGGATGCCAAACAGCTACCATTGCTTGTACGGGAGGAGAAATGGTCCTTCTAGGATTTTTCCCAACTGATTGTAGCGACGATGCATGCTACATTGCTGTATAAACTGAAGAATATAACTAAACTAAAAAAAAAAATTCAGATCGACATGACAACAACCACTGGAACAATTGAAGGACAAATGACGTGCACTGCAGCTGGATGGGGTGAAGCTGGCAGTGGTACAGGAGTGGAAGGAAATTCGATATATTGCGAAGGTGATCTTATTTACGAAATAAAAAGTCAACGATAGTTAAAACTTTAAGTCCTTGAATTCATTCCTCCAACAACAACGGTGACAACAACCACAGCTACTAGTACAACAACTCAACCAACGACAACCACTACCACTGCTACTAGTACAACAACTGAACCAACGACAACCACTACCACTGCAACCACCAAGACCACTGAACCAACGACAACCACAACCACAGCTACCACCACGACCACTGAACCAACGACAACCACTACCACTGCAACCACCACGACCACTGAACCAACGACAACCACTACCACTGCAACCACCACGACAACTGAACCAACGACAACCACTACCACAGCTACCAGCACGACCACTGAACCGACAACAACCACTACTACCGCTACTAGCACAACCACTGAACCAACGACAACCACTACCACAGCTACCAGCACAACCACTGAGCCGACGACAACCACAACCACAGCTACTAGTACAACCACTGAACCAACGACAACCACAACCACCGCAACCACCACGACCACTGAACCAACGACAACCACAACCACTGCAACCACCACGACCACTGAACCAACGACAACCACTACCACAGCTACCAGCACGACCACTGAGCCGACGACAACCACTACTACCGCTACTAGTACAACCACTGAACCAACGACAACCACTACCAGAGCTACCAGCACAACCACTGAACCAACGACAACCACAACCACAGCTACTAGTACAACCACTGAACCAACGACAACCACAACCACAGCTACTAGTACAACAACTGAACCAACGACAACCACAACCACCGCAACCACCACGACCACTGAACCAACGACAACCACTACCACAGCTACCAGCACGACCACTGAGCCGACGACAACCACTACTACCGCTACTAGTACAACCACTGAACCAACGACAACCACAACCACAGCTACCAGCACAACCACTGAACCAACGACAACCACAACCACAGCTACTAGTACAACCACTGAACCAACGACAACCACAACCACAGCTACTAGTACAACAACTGAACCAACGACAACCACAACCACCGCAACCACCACGACCACTGAACCAACGACAACCACAACCACTGCGACAAGCACGACCACTGAACCAACGACAACCACAACCACAGCTACTAGCACAACCACTGAGCCGACGACAACCACTACCACTGCAACAAGCACGACAACTGAACCAACGACAACCACTACCACAGCTACCAGCACGACCACTGAGCCGACGACAACCACTACTACCGCTACTAGTACAACCACTGAACCAACGACAACCACAACCACAGCTACCAGCACAACCACTGAACCAACGACAACCACAACCACAGCTACTAGTACAACCACTGAACCAACGACAACCACAACCACAGCTACTAGTACAACAACTGAACCAACGACAACCACAACCACCGCAACCACCACGACCACTGAACCAACGACAACCACAACCACTGCGACAAGCACGACCACTGAACCAACGACAACCACAACCACAGCTACTAGCACAACCACTGAGCCGACGACAACCACTACCACTGCAACAAGCACGACAACTGAACCAACGACAACCACTACCACAGCTACCAGCACAACCACTGAACCAACGACAACCACAACCACAGCTACTAGTACAACCACTGAACCAACGACAACCACAACCACAGCTACTAGAACAACAACTGAACCAACGACAACCACAACCACAGCTACCAGCACAACCACTGAGCCAACGACAACCACTACTACCGCTACTAGCACAACCACTGAACCAACGACAACCACTACTACCGCTACTAGCACAACCACCGAACCGACGACAACCACAACCACTGCGACAAGCACGACCACTGAACCAACGACAACCACTACCACAGCTACTAGTACAACCACCGAGCCGACGACAACCACTACCACAGCTACTAGTACAACCACCGAGCCGACGACAACCACTACCACAGCTACTAGTACAACCACCGAGCCGACGACAACCACAACCACTGCGACAAGCACGACCACTGAACCAACGACAACCACAACCACAGCTACCAGCACAACCACTGAACCAACGACAACCACAACCACAGCTACTAGCACAACCACTGAGCCGACGACAACCACTACCACTGCAACAAGCACGACAACTGAACCAACGACAACCACTACCACAGCTACCAGCACAACCACTGAACCAACGACAACCACTACTACAGCTACTAGTACCACCACTGAACCAACGACAACCACTACTACAGCTACTAGTACCACCACTGAACCAACGACAACCACAACCACTGAACCAACGACAACCACTACTACAGCTACTAGTACCACCACTGAACCAACGACAATCACAACCACTGAACCAACGACAACCACTACTACAGCTACTAGTACCACCACTGAACCAACGACAACCACTACTACAGCTACTAGTACCACCACTGAACCAACGACAACCACAACCACTGAACCAACGACAACCACTACTACAGCTACTAGTACCACCACTGAACCAACGACAACCACTACTACAGCTACTAGTACAACCACTGAACAAACGACAACCACAACCACTGAACCAACGACGCACAACCACTGCAACAAGCACGACCACTGAACCAACGACAACCACAACCACAGCTACTAGCACAACCACTGAGCCGACGACAACCACAACTACAGCTACTAGTACAACCACTGAACCAACGACAACCACAACCACTGAACCAACGACAACCACTACCACAGCTACCAGCACAACCACTGCAACAAGTACGACCACTGAACCAACGACAACCACTACTACCGCTACTAGCACGACCACTGAACCAACGACAACCACTACTACCGCTACTAGCACAACCACTGAGCCGACGACAACCACAACTACAGCTACTAGTACAACCACTGAACCAACGACAACCACTACTACCGCTACTAGCACAACCACTGAGCCGACGACAACCACAACCACAGCTACTAGTACAACCACTGAACCGACAACAACCACTACCACTGCTACTAGTACAACAACTGAACCAACGACAACCACTACCACTGCAACCACCACGACCACTGAACCAACGACAACCACAACCACAGCTACCACCACGACCACTGAACCAACGACAACCACTACCACTGCAACCACCACGACCACTGAACCAACGACAACCACTACCACTGCAACCACCACGACAACTGAACCAACGACAACCACTACCACAGCCACCAGCACGACCACTGAGCCGACAACAACCACTACTACCGCTACTAGCACAACCACTGAACCAACGACAACCACTACCACAGCTACCAGCACAACCACTGAGCCGACGACAACCACAACCACAGCTACTAGTACAACCACTGAACCAACGACAACCACAACCACCGCAACCACCACGACCACTGAACCAACGACAACCACTACTACCGCTACTAGTACAACCACTGAACCAACGACAACCACTACCACAGCTACCAGCACAACCACTGAGCCAACGACAACCACAACCACTGCAACCACCACGACCACTGAACCAACGACAACCACAACCACCGCAACCACCACGACCACTGAACCAACGACAACCACTACCACAGCTACCAGCACAACCACTGAGCCAACGACAACCACAACCACTGCAACCACCACGACCACTGAACCAACGACAACCACAACCACCGCAACCACCACGACCACTGAACCAACGACAACCACTACCACAGCTACCAGCACGACCACTGAGCCGACGACAACCACTACTACCGCTACTAGTACAACCACTGAACCAACGACAACCACAACCACCGCAACCACCACGACCACTGAACCAACGACAACCACAACCACTGCAACCACCACGACCACTGAACCAACGACAACCACTACCACAGCTACCACCACGACCACTGAACCAACGACAACCACAACCACTGCAACCACCACGACCACTGAGCCAACGACAACCACAACCACTGCAACCACAACCACAGCTACTAGTACAACTACTGAACCAACGACAACCACAACCACAGCTACTAGTACAACCACCGAGCCGACGACAACCACTACCACTGCAACCACCACGACCACTGAACCAACGACAACCACAACCACAGCTACTAGTACAACCACTGAACCAACGACAACCACAACCACAGCTACCAGCACAACCACTGAACCAACGACAACCACTACCACAGCTACCAGCACGACCACTGAGCCGACGACAACCACTACTACCGCTACTAGTACAACCACTGAACCAACGACAACCACAACCACAGCTACTAGTACAACCACTGAACCAACGACAACCACAACCACAGCTACTAGTACAACAACTGAACCAACGACAACCACAACCACCGCAACCACCACGACCACTGAACCAACGACAACCACTACCACAGCTACCAGCACGACCACTGAGCCGACGACAACCACAACCACAGCTACTAGCACAACCACTGAGCCGACGACAACCACTACCACTGCAACAAGCACAACAACTGAACCAACGACAACCACTACCACAGCTACTACTACAACCACTGAGCCGACGACAACCACAACTACAGCTACTAGTACAACCACTGAACCAACGACAACCACTACTACAGCTACTAGTACCACCACTGAACCAACGACAACCACAACCACTGAACCAACGACAACCACTACTACAGCTACTAGTACAACCACTGAACCAACGACAACCACAACCACAGCTACTAGAACAACAACTGAACCAACGACAACCACAACCACTGCAACAAGCACGACAACTGAACCAACGACAACCACTACCACAGCTACCAGCACAACCACTGAACCAACGACAACCACAACCACAGCTACTAGTACAACCACTGAACCAACGACAACCACAACCACTGCGACAAGCACGACCACTGAACCAACGACAACCACAACCACAGCTACTAGCACAACCACTGAGCCGACAACAACCACTACAACTGCAACAAGCACGACCACCGAACCAACGACAACCACAACCACAGCTACTAGCACAACCACTGAGCCGACGACAACCACTACCACTGCAACAAGCACGACAACTGAACCAACGACAACCACTACCACAGCTACCAGCACAACCACTGAACCAACGACAACCACTACTACAGCTACTAGTACAACCACTGAACCAACGACAACCACAACCACAGCTACTAGAACAACAACTGAACCAACGACAACCACAACCACAGCTACTAGCACAACCACTGAGCCGACGACAACCACTACCACTGCAACAAGCACGACAACTGAACCAACGACAACCACTACCACAGCTACCAGCACAACCACTGAACCAACGACAACCACAACCACAGCTACTAGTACAACCACTGAACCAACGACAACCACAACCACAGCTACTAGTACAACCAATGAACCAACGACAACCACAACCACAGCTACTAGAACAACAACTGAACCAACGACAACCACAACCACTGCAACAAGCACGACAACTGAACCAACGACAACCACTACCACAGCTACCAGCACAACCACTGAACCAACGACAACCACAACCACAGCTACTAGTACAACCACTGAACCAACGACAACCACAACCACTGCGACAAGCACGACCACTGAACCAACGACAACCACAACCACAGCTACTAGCACAACCACTGAGCCGACAACAACCACTACAACTGCAACAAGCACGACCACCGAACCAACGACAACCACAACCACAGCTACTAGCACAACCACTGAGCCGACGACAACCACTACCACTGCAACAAGCACGACAACTGAACCAACGACAACCACTACCACAGCTACCAGCACAACCACTGAACCAACGACAACCACTACTACAGCTACTAGTACAACCACTGAACCAACGACAACCACAACCACAGCTACTAGAACAACAACTGAACCAACGACAACCACAACCACAGCTACTAGCACAACCACTGAGCCGACGACAACCACTACCACTGCAACAAGCACGACAACTGAACCAACGACAACCACTACCACAGCTACCAGCACAACCACTGAACCAACGACAACCACAACCACAGCTACTAGTACAACCACTGAACCAACGACAACCACAACCACAGCTACTAGTACAACCACTGAACCAACGACAACCACAACCACAGCTACTAGAACAACAACTGAACCAACGACAACCACTACTACCGCTACTAGCACAACCACTGAACCAACGACAACCACTACTACCGCTACTAGCACAACCACCGAACCGACGACAACCACAACCACTGCGACAAGCACGACCACTGAACCAACGACAACCACTACCACAGCTACTAGTACAACCACCGAGCCGACGACAACCACAACCACAGCTACCAGCACAACCACTGAGCCAACGACAACCACTACTACCGCTACTAGCACAACCACTGAACCAACGACAACCACTACTACCGCTACTAGCACAACCACCGAACCGACGACAACCACAACCACTGCGACAAGCACGACCACTGAACCAACGACAACCACTACCACAGCTACTAGTACAACCACCGAGCCGACGACAACCACTACCACAGCTACTAGTACAACCACCGAGCCGACGACAACCACTACCACAGCTACTAGTACAACCACCGAGCCGACGACAACCACAACCACTGCGACAAGCACGACCACTGAACCAACGACAACCACTACCACAGCTACTAGTACAACCACTGAACCAACGACAACCACAACCACAGCTACTAGCACAACCACTGAGCCGACGACAACCACTACCACTGCAACAAGCACGACAACTGAACCAACGACAACCACTACCACAGCTACCAGCACAACCACTGAACCAACGACAACCACTACTACAGCTACTAGTACCACCACTGAACCAACGACAACCACTACTACAGCTACTAGTACCACCACTGAACCAACGACAACCACAACCACTGAACCAACGACAACCACTACTACAGCTACTAGTACCACCACTGAACCAACGACAACCACAACCACTGAACCAACGACAACCACTACCACAGCTACTAGCACAACCACTGAACCAACGACAACCACAACCACTGAACCAACGACAACCACTACCACAGCTACCAGCACAACCACTGAACAAACGACAACCACTACCACCGCTACTAGCACAACCACTAAGCCGACGACAACCACAACCACTGCAACAAGCACGACCACTGAACCAACGACAACCACAACCACAGCTACTAGCACAACCACTGAGCCGACGACAACCACTACTACCGCTACTAGCACAACCACTGAACAAACGACAACCACTACTACCGCTACTAGCACAACCACTAAGCCGACGACAACCACAACCACTGCAACAAGCACGACCACTGAACCAACGACAACCACAACTACAGCTACTAGTACAACCACTGAACCAACGACAACCACAACCACAGCTACTAGTACAACCACTGAACCAACGACAACCACAACCACAGCTACTAGAACAACAACTGAACCAACGACAACCACAACCACTGCAACAAGCACGACAACTGAACCAACGACAACCACTACCAGCTACCAGCACAACCACTGAACCAACGACAACCACAACCACAGCTACTAGTACAACCACTGAACCAACGACAACCACAACCACTGCGACAAGCACGACCACTGAACCAACGACAACCACAACCACAGCTACTAGCACAACCACTGAGCCGACGACAACCACTACCACTGCAACAAGCACAACCACTGAACCAACGACAACCACAACCACAGCAACTAGCACAACCACTGACACGACAACCACTACCACTGCAACAAGCACAACCACTGAACCAACGACAACCACTACCACTACAACCACAGACAACCACAACCACTGAACCAACGACAACCACTACCACAGCTACTAGCACAACCACTGAACCAACGACAACCACAACCGCTACTACCACAGCTACCAGCACAACCACTGAACCAACGACAACCACAACCACAGCTACTAGCACAACACTGAACCAACGACAACCACAACCACAGCTACTGACAACCACTACCACTGCAACAAGCACGACCACTGAACCAACGACAACCACTACCACAGCTACCAGCACAACCACTGAACCAACGACAACCACAACTACAGCTACTAGTACAACCACTGAACCAACGACAACCACAACCACGACAAGTACAACCACTGAACCAACGACAACCACTACCACAGCTACTAGCACAACCACTGAACCAACGACAACCACAACCAAGCTACAGCACAACCACTGAACCAACGACAACACTACTACCGCTACTAGCACAACCACTGAACCAACGACAACCACTACCACCGCTACTAGCACAACCACTGAACCAACGACAACCACTACCACAGCTACTAGCACAACCACTGAGCCAACGACAACCACTACCACAGCTACTAGCACAACCACTGACACCAACGACAACCACTACTACCGCTACTAGCACAACCACTGAACCAACGACAACCACTACCACCGCTACTAGTACAACCACTGAACCGACGACAACCACAACCACTGCTACAAGCACGACCACTGAACCAACGACAACCACTACCACAGCTACTAGTACAACCACTGAACCAACGACAACCACTACCACAGCTACTAGCACAACCACTGAACCGACGACAACCACTACCACTGCACAACAGCACGACCACTGAACCAACGACAACCACTACCACAGCTACTAGTACAACCACTGAACCAACGACAACCACTACTACTACAGCTACTAGCACAACCACTGAACCAACGACAACCACTACTACCGCTACTAGCACAACCACTGAACCAACGACAACCACTACAGCTACACGACCAACAACGCAACTACTACCACCGCTACTAGCACAACCACTGAACCAACGACAACCACTACCACAGCTACTAGCACAACCACTGAACCAACGACAACCACTACTACCGCTACTAGTACAACCACTGAACCAACGACAACCACAACCACTGAACCAACGACAACCACTACTACCGCTACTAGCACAACCACAACCACTGAACCAACGACAACCACTACTACAGCTACTAGCACAACCACTGAACCAACGACAACCACTACTACCGCTACTAGCACAACCACTGAACCGACGACAACCACAACCACTGCAACCAGCACGACCACTGAACAACACACAACCACACGCTACTAGCACAACCACTGAACCAACGACAACCACTACTACCGCTACTAGCACAACCACTGAACCAACGACAACCACTACTACAGCTACAACCACTGACTACCACGCACAACCAACCACTGAACCAACGACAACCACTACTACAGCTACTAGCACAACCACTGAACCAACGACAACCACAACCACTGAACCAACGACAACCACTGAACCAACGACAACCACTACTACAGCTACTAGCACAACCACCACCACTGAACCAAGCACAACCACTGAACCAACGACAACCACTACCACAGCTACTAGCACAACCACTGAGCCGACGACAACCACTACTACAGCTACTAGTACAACCACTGAACCAACGACGACAACCACTACAACCGCTACCAGACACAACCACTGAACCAACGACAACCACTACCACAGCTACTAGCACAACCACTGAACCAACGACAACCACTACACAGCTAACCAGCACAACCACTGAACCAACGACAACCACTACCACAGCTACTAGCACAACCACTGAACCAACGACAACCACAACCACTGAACCAACGACAACCACTACACAGCTACCGACAACCACTGCAACAAGCACGACCACTGAACCAACGACAACCAACCACAACCACTGAGCCGACGACAACCACTACCACTGCAACCAGCACGACCACTGAACCAACGACAACCACTACCACAGCTACCAGCACAACCACTGAACCACAACGACAACCACTACTACCGCTACTAGCACAACCACTGAACCAACGACAACCACTACCACCGCTACTAGCACAACCACTGAGCCGACGACAACCACAACCACTGCAACCAGCACGACCACTGAACCAACGACAACCACTACTACCGCTACTAGCACAACCACTGAACCGACGACAACCACACCACTACAGCTACTAGACAACCACTGAACCAACGACAACCACTACTACCGCTACAACCACAACCAGCACAACCACTGAACCAGACGACCACTGAACCAACGACAACCACTACTACCGCTACTAGCACAACCACTGAACCGACGACAACCACTACTACCGCTACTAGCACGACCACTGAGCCGACGACAACCACAACCACTGAACCAACGACAACCACTACTACCGCTACTAGCACAACCACTGAACCAACGACAACCACTACTACCGCTACTAGCACAACCACTGAACCGACGACAACGACAACCACTACCGCTACTAGCACGACCACTGAACCAACGACAACCACTACTACCGCTACTAGCACAACCACTGAACCGACGACAACCACTACTACCGCTACTAGCACGACCACTGAACCAACGACAACCACTACTACCGCTACTAGCACAACCACTGAGCCGACGACAACCACTACCACCGCAACCAACCACTGACCACCGACGACAACCACCAACGACAACCACTACCACCGCTACTAGCACAACCACTGAACCAACGACAACCACTACCACCGCTACTAGCACAACCACTGAACCAACGACAACCACTACTACCGCTACAAGCACGACCACTGAGCCGACGACAACCACTACCACTGCAACGCAACAAGCACGACCACTGAGCCGACGACAACCACTACCACAGCTACTAGCACAACCACTGAACCAACGACAACCACGACGACAACCACTACCAGCTACTAGCACAACCACTGAACCAACGACAACCACTACCACCGCTACTAGCACGACCACTGAGCCGACGACAACCACTACCACTGCAACAAGCACGACCACTGAACCAACGACAACCACAACCACTACGACAACAACCACTGAACCAACGACAACCACTACTACCGCTACTAGCACAACCACTGAACCAACGACAACCACTACCACTGCAACAAGCACGACCACTGAACCAACGACAACCACTACCACTGCTACAAGACACGACCACTGAGCCGACGACAACCACTACCACTGCAACAAGCACAACCACTGAACCAACGACCACTGAACCACGACAACCGCTACCAGCACGACCACTGAGCCGACGACAACCACAACCACAGCTACTAGTACAACCACTGAACCAACGACAACCACTACCACCGCTACTAGCACAACCACTGAACCAACGACAACCACTACCACTGCAACAAGCACGACCACTGAACCAACGACAACCACTACCACTGCACTACAGCACGACCACTGAACCAACGACAACCACTACCACAGCAACAAGCACAACCACTGAGCCGACGACAACCACTACCACTGCAACAAGCACGACACCACTGAACCAACGACAACCACTACCACAGCTACCAGCACAACCACTGAACCAACGACAACCACAACCACAGCTACTAGTACACAACCACTGAACCAACGACAACCACAACCACAGCTACTAGTACAACCACTGAACCAACGACAACCACAACCACAGCTACTAGCACAACAACTGAACCAACGACAACCACAACCACAGCTACCAGCACAACCACTGAACCAACGACACAACCCACTCACTACCACAGCTACTAGCACAACCACTGAACCAACGACAACCACAACCACAGCTACTAGCACAACCACTGAACCAACGACGAACCAACGACAACCACAACCACTGCCAACACAAACCACAACTAGACAACCACTCCGACAAGCACGACCACTGAACCAACGAACCAACGACAACCACTACCACAGCTACTAGTACAACCACCGAGAACCGACGACAACCACTACCACAGCTACTAGTACAACCACCGAGCCGACGACAACCACACCACGGCTACTAGTACAACCACCGAGCCGACGACAACCACAACCACTGCGACAAGCACGACCACTGAACCAACGGCAACCACAACCACAGCTACTAGTACAACCACTGAACCAACGACAACCACAACCACAGCTTCTAGTACATCCACTGAACCGACGACAACCACTACCACTGCAACCAGCACGACCACTGAACCGACGACAACCACAACCACAGCTACTAGTACAACCACTGAACCAACAACAACCACTACTACCGCTACTAGCACAACCACTGAACCAACGACAACCACTACCACTGCAACAAGCACGACCACTGAGCCGACGACAACCACAACCACTGCAACCAGCACGACTACCGAACCAACAACAACAACAACCACTGCAACAAGCACGACCACTGAACCAACGACAACCACTACCACTGCAACAAGCACGACCACTGAGCCGACGACAACCACTACCACTGCAACAAGCACGACCACTGAGCCGACAACAACCACTACTACCGCTACTAGCACAACCACTGAACCAACGACAACCACTACCACTGCAACAAGCACGACCACTGAACCGACGACAACCACTACCACTGCAACCAGCACGACTACCGAACCAACAACAACAACAACCACTGCAACAAGCACGACCACTGAACCAACGACAACCACTACCACTGCAACAAGCACGACCACTGAGCCGACGACAACCACTACCACTGCAACAAGCACGACCACTGAGCCGACAACAACCACTACCACAGCTACTAGTACAACCACTGAGCCGACGACAACCACTACCACTGCAACAAGCACGACCACTGAACCAACCACAGCTACTAGTACAACCACTGAACCAGCGACAACCACTACTACCGCTACTAGCACAACCACTGAACCAACGACAACCACTACCACTGCAACAAGCACGACCACTGAACCAACGACAACCACTACCACTGCAACAAGCACGACCACTGAGCCGACGACAACCACTACTACCGCTACTAGCACAACCACTGAGCCGACGACAACCACAACCACAGCTACTAGTACAACCACTGAACCAACGACAACCACAACCACTGCAACAAGCACGAAATCTGAGCCATCTACAACTCCATCTACTGACTGTTGTCCCAATGGCGGATTTTGGAGTAAATGGGAAGCTGATGGACCATGTCCGACCTCTTGTGGATCTTGCTCGCAGCAAGTTCACAGAAGGAAATGTTTATCTCTACCAAACTGTCCTTGCAGGTATGTTGGTGAATTCAAATTATACTTTTGAATTATCGTTGAAAAATGAAATTTGGGTATTTTTGGGTTAAAATTACTTTTTCATTCTATATAATGTATTTAATCCGATTTCAGCGGAGAAGATAAAGTCATCATGAACTGCAACATCGGAGTATGCTATTTCCCATTAGATTCCTGCTGTAAACCGTATAGAGCAACTGTCGCCTTCAAACGTCACGTTTGTGGAAATCAGGTAATATTGAGTCACTTCTAGCTGTTTGTATCTCGATTTTTCAACATTTTTTCAGCCTAATGTTACATTGGAGGATAATAACGACAAATCTTGTTGCCCTAAAAATGGTATCTGGAATGAATGGCAAGAATGGTCGGACTGTACTGGAACAAATTGTGGAAAGGTAATGTTATTTGATATCAAATTTCTTTTTCCGTATACTTAATTTTCAGTGTGATGGCACTCGACGTAGAACTCGATCGTGTGCTTCTGCAGATTTCTGCCCCTGTGTTGGTGATGATGCTGAATCTGAACCATGTCGGACATTGGGTTCCTGGACAGAGTGGACTGTTCGTTTTATTTATTTTTAAATTGTTTTTTTTTTATTTTTGGTATTTTTCAGACAACTGACACCTGCAACCAAACATATTGTGGAGGATGTAAGGTGTTGAAATACACTAGATCCTGCACAAAAACAAACGGATGTTTCTGCATGTAAGTGATTCCAAGTGGCAGTAGCTCTGATTGAATGCTTTCAGCGGAAAAGACACGAAGTACAAATTTTGCAATACTATCCCATGCACTACTGGTCCCAGATGCTGCAACAATTTGACCGAAATCACTGTTAATGGTCTTACATTATGTGGACCTCTAGAAACTGAAACTGATAGCGAAGACGTCGACCGTGTACCATGTGATACAACAACACCTGCTTGTTGTGTCCTTGGAGGAGTATGGTCAGAATGGTCATCTGGCGAATCATGCAATGACACTTGCGGAAACTGCGGAATTTCAAAAGTTTCAAGAATATGCTTATCAGAGGATTATGGATGTCCTTGCCGGTTAGTTTGCTTCGGAAAAAATGTTTATCCCTACAATTTTCAGTGGAAGAGCAACAAAAGAAGCAGAGTGTGCTCCAAAGCTTTGTGTATTCCCACGAGATACTTGTTGTGGTGGAAGAACTAAAGTTATTGGTCCCTACAAATCATTTGAATGTTCAAAAGGAGTAAGTTACATCTTGGAGGCATTTCATATTTAAAAAAAACCAATAGGACGACAGTGACATTCCCCCATCGGATCTTTGTGCGACGGATTGTTGTCCTTCCAGTGGAGGATATTGGTCAGAATGGAGTTCGGGAAGTGCGTGCCCGACATCTTGTGGTTCATGTTCGACTGTCACCCAAAGACGTATTTGTCTTTCTCCTGATTCTTGTCCATGCAGGTCTTTTATACTTTTGATAAAGCGCTTTTAATCAATCAATTTTGCAGAGGAGAGGATAAGAGAGAAGTGTATTGTGGGATCGGAGTATGTTATTTCCCTCATGATTCTTGTTGTGCACCATTTAGAGCAACAGTTAGAGGCAATAGGCACATATGTGGACCACAGGTAGTTAGAGACAGATAGGTTTTTGAAAATAATTGCGTATGCAGCCTAATTATAACACGACTTATAAACCGTACGATCCAAATTGCACAAATGCATGCTGCCCCGAAACAGGAATATGGTCGGAATGGACGGTTTCACCAGCTCAATGTCGGGACTATTGCGGATCATGTGGTAACCAGACGAAAACGAGAACGTGCTTGTCAGAAGCAGATGGATGTCCTTGCCAGTATTGAAAACAATTCGAATTATTCAATAATTGTGCAATTATTCAGGGGTCCCACCACAATCACCGAGCAATGCGGAACAGGTGTCTGCTATTTCCCACGACTCAGTTGCTGCCCTGGATTTTCGGCAACAGTTGAAGGAAAGCGACACGTTTGCGGGCCATTGGTTAATTGATCTCAATATGTATGAGACGTAGAAGAAATCATTTCAGAAAAAACCGGAAGAAGACCCGGACAAATTGAACACTTGCGGTGTAGATTGTTGTCCGTCAAAAGGAATTTGGGGAGAATGGGTCGCATATGTGCGTTGTAATGATACCTGCGGAGCATGCGGAATTGAAAAACGAAGAAGAAAATGTTTATCTTTGCAATACGGTTGTCCATGCACGTAAGCCAATAACATCAATAACATAACTTAAATGAGAATGTTTTGTTTCAGGGGAGAAAGCGAGGATGTCGCAACATGCGGATTTAATTTGTGTACCTTCCCACGTCATACATGTTGCACTGGCTTTAAGAAAATGATTAACGCTACTGCAAAAGAGTTCTACTGTGGACCCAAGATAATTGAACCTCCTTCCAATCCCGAGCAAACTACGTGTTGCGATCCAGAAGGAAAAGGTTTATGGAATCAATGGAAATCATGGTCAGCATGCACAGCAAAGTGTGGATTGTGTGGAGTGCAATCCAGGAACAGAACGTGCGCATCGGGACCTTACGGATGTCCATGCACGTAAGTAATAATAATGCAATTATTCTTTCATTTAAGTGTTTTAGAGGGGAAAGTTTGGAAACGAGGAAATGCGGTGCTGTTGCTTGCTTCACTGGAGAGAAATGTTGTGCTGGAACATATTTAGCCACGGGGTATGACGGAACTCAGTACTGCCAAGCAAAACCAGTACGTTTTCTGTTTAGCAATGACAGATCATTGATGAAAATTTAGGTAGAGGTTTGTCAAGGAACATGGACAGAATGGACCACGCCTAAAGGGGCAATTTGCAACGACACTTGTGGAAATTGCGGAAAAATAGAGAAAATAAGATATTGTTTCCCGTCTGGATGTCAATGCGGAGGGTAATTTACAAATAATATTATGAAAACAAATGGCAAATTGTAGTAGTGGACTATACACCGATTACGACGCTTGTGCACCAAATCTCTGCACTTTCCCTAGAAAGACGTGCTGTGCTCCGTACAAGAAAAAGATTGCCAACAAGAAATTTGTGTGTGCTTAATTTCCCAAATAGTCAAAATGTAGTATGTAATCGCATAAAGGATTTTTGGTCCACAATTGTTCTTTCTTCCGCTCATTTGTTATCAAATCAACAAAAACCAACAAACAGATTGATTCGCATACGGATATGCTTAAAATTATAGTCAAAATTTGAATTTAGCAAAAAAGGAAAATGTTGAGCAGTAAGCAATCGAGGGTTTGAGTGTAGATTTGGTAGCTAAACAACAGATGACACTCTCGACGAGGTGGTTATGAGAAGATGGAGAAGCAGAGCTGGCTGGACGGTTTTCCGGAACTGCTCAAAACTGCTGGGTCACGTTGATGCCAATGCCATGAAGAAGACATATCCGTCAAAAAGTCAAAACGTCATGGATCTATGAAAACCTCATTTACTTAATCACGTCAAATCAGTTCAAGAAAACATTGTCAATGCAATAATAGAAAAATGCTAGCAATGCTGTTGGCTCTAACCCACTGGTCATCCTTGGTTTTTTTGAATCGAAAACTCTTGTGAAACATAGCCCACAGCACACATTCACTCGCAAGAATCACAAACAAGAAAGTATTTGCTCAGTCTTTCTTGTTTTTTTTGCATTGATGATATACTAAGATTTTATCAGATTCTTTCAAATAAATGTCTAAGTCTGCTATTGGATGTTGTCCGTTTCCAGTTCCTATCGAAGTTTACAAAGTTATCAACAAGAAAAATACTGATCATACAGTTATATTATGAAAAACCTACTGTAATCTTTTAGTATGAGTCTTCGCAATATTTCTGGAAATATAATTTCAAGGCGTCAGCGAACATGATGGAGTTTACTAAAAATGTCACGTCATCACATGAAAAAAATGGAGAAGGGTAGACGAAACAAAATGTGGGCAGACGCTTACTGTGTTGTTCTTCAACTATTTGGCTGATTCGGTAAACACGATTATACCGTGCATCATCTTACATAAATGTGTATTTTTTAGTGATTCAGGAGCCCATTATGTAGTAACTCCCATCTAAATAAACATCCGTTATCTGAAGTTTTCATTTTATTTAGTTCCAATGATTTGACTGTCTTCTGGTTTTTTGTAAATTTTTATAGATTATTATGTCAAATTTTGATAAGTACTGTTTTTTTCTTATTCTTTATGTTTAGCGGGGGAATGGGTCACCTCAAAAATAATATCGTTGAAACTATTAAAAAATAATAACAGAGCGAAACTCTGATTTCGATTGCGGAGAAACATTTATACAAATGCACAAGTCCGCAAAGTCATTAGGAATGTTAACGTCTTTTTGAATTTATTTCAGGTCTGGATTTGAATCCAAAAAAACCTAAATTGAAAAAATATTATTTATAGAAGTGAGTTTGCGTTTATACCGACATACTGAAATTATTGCAGTATGTGTATTTTATCTACTAAAAAGACCCTTTTATGATTTTTGAGATTATTCCCTTTACTATTGAAAACAAAAATCCGTCGAACCGTTTTTTGTATACCGAAGTAATTGATTCGCCAGCACCCACTATATCGTAATTTATAAGTACGCGTGCGTTCATTTCACACGTTACAAGTGTTGCGTTATGGAAATTTCCATTGCTCAAATTGAAATTAGAATTAAAGCGCGGAAAGCGTGAAAATCCCAGCGCGCTCATTTTTATTAATTGCTAAGTCTTCAACGCATTCCTAGAAAATTCATGGCAAATCGGTAATATAAAATATAAATTTTCTTTATTTTAATTATTGGAAAAATGTGTTTTTAAATCTATGAAACGGATTCATATTATTTGAATCTTCACCAGTGCGATCATTTTTATATCTGTGTTTTATTTCTCCCGCGTTACGGTCGCCTACAATTCACGAATTACTGAATCGGAACAGAAAAAGATTTTCTTATCGAGTGGACAACAGCATTTTCTGAAGAAACGAATTGTTTGTTTGCTCAAAAATAAAAAAAAAAACGCATCTGAATTTTAAATAGCAAGAAAAAACCTAATTTTGAATTTTAAGATTTATTGTCGCAGTTCGTTTCATATTTATCGACTGTGGTTAAAAGCACAGACAAAAAACAAATTTTCCCATTTTGCAAATGCTATAAAATACAAAAAAATTATAAAAACTTTCTTAACATTCTGAAAAAATTTAAAGCAACTAGGCAAAAATTGATAAGTTTGAACTGTTTAAATAATTATCAGTTCTTTAAAATGAAAATACACATATAACCAATTTCTCTTATGGTGAAAATATAGTTGGTCTCCCAAGAATTAAAACTTCAGCTATAGTGAGATCGTTCTGATAAATTCCATAATCCAAAATGAGATCAAACCATAATTTATTCCCCGCGTTCAGAGTAGCTGAATACTATTGGATTTTCAGTAGTTGCCTGCAAGAAGTAATAATCATCATCAAACATTTTTGTATGCGGCTTGATCCATTGTGAATGGTGGCGTCATCTACAGTATATAGTTGTACAAACCTTCTACCAGCCTTAAATAAATAATAAAAATTGACACAGTTTCGATTTTTTCCGTACTCATTCGCCTACATATGTGGATTTAGCTGCTTGTAAAAACCATGTTGACCTTGTTAAATTTCAATTATATAATTAAAAAAGAGATCGTTGAACATTAATTTTTAGTCGGCAATTCTACTCTCTCCCATTTTTGAAAACCTCATGTACATATAATATCAACGCTAGATTTGAATTTTTAGATACTCTGGGTACAACAAAAGTGTCATGGTTACAAAACTGACATTGATTTCTATATTCGTTGTATCTTACTCTTACTGTACATATGAGAATACGCAAAGTGCAAATATTAAAACAGGATCCAGTCTTGTATTTTTAAAACAAAATGACACTGTAAGTTTCATTACCGATAACTAATAGCACTATAATTATCACATTTATTGCTTCACTTATCATTCAAAATTTTTAACTCATTATTTTTTTAGCGGGATTTGTTAAATCTAGACAAAGATAGCAATACTTACAAAAATGAAACGAAATTTCAAAGAACAAAGGTACAATGTTCTAAAATCCAACATAAAAATCAAACACTTCAGCGACAAACATGTGGCACACATTGTGGAAATTTACAAATTGCTACCACTGCAAGTACTGAAGGACTAACACCTTCGAATAATATGTACTTTACCTATGGCACCGATGCAAATGGGTGTCCTACAGCAACAATTGCCTGTACAGGAGGAGACTTGATTCTGTTAGGATTCTTTCCTGATGGTTGTTTTAATGATGATTGTTATATTGCGGTAAACTTTAGTTGATATTATTTAATACCAATTGAATGAAAATTAAAGATTGACATGTTGGAAGCAACCGGTACAATTGAAGGGCAGTTAACATGCACACCTTCGGGTTGGGGGTCATTTCAAAACCCGACAGGAATTGAAGGAAATATGATCTATTGTGAAGGTTTATTTCTTGTCAATGCTTATGTTTATCTTTAATTCGGGACTCGAACTTTCTAAACCCGAAAAATGAATAGATTGCTCAAAATAATTATGAAGTATTCTTATTTTGTGAAATGTACGACATTTTTTTGAACATACTTTCATTTTTTAGTGGTTGAATATATTCCTCCTACTACAACGGCTGCCGAATCTACCACTTCTACCAGCACGATGACCACAACCACAACCACGAGCACCACAACTGAGCCATCAACCACCACTACCACAGCTACTAGTACAACAACTGAACCAACGACAACCACGACCACAGCTACCAGCAGGACCACTGAGCCAACAACAACCACTACCACTGCAACCAGCACGACCACTAAACCAACGACAACCACAACCACTGCTACTAGTACATCCACGGAACCGACGACAACCACAACCACAGCTACTAGCACAACCACTGAACCAACGACAACCACTACCACAGCTACCAGCTCGACCACTGAGCCAACAACAACCACTACCACTGCTACCAGCACGACCACTGAACTAACGACAATCACTACCACAGCTACTAGTACAACCACCGAGCCGACGACAACCACAACCACAACCACGAGCACCACAACTGAGCCATCAACCACCACTACCACAGCTACTAGTACAACAACTGAACCAACGACAACCACGACCACAGCTACCAGCACGACCACTGAGCCAACAACAACCACTACCACTGCAACCAGCACGACCACTGAACCAACGACAACCACGACCACAGCTACTAGTACAACAACTGAACCAACGACAACCACTACCACAGCTACCAGCACGACCACTGAGCCAACAACAACCACTACCACTGCAACCAGCACGACCACTAAACCAACGACAACCACAACCACTGCTACTAGTACAACAACTGAACCAACGACAACCACTACCACAGCTACCAGCACGACCACTGAACCAACGACAACCACTACTACCGCTACCAGCACGACCACTGAGCCAACAACAACCACTACCACTGCAACCAGCACGACCACTGAACCAACGACAACCACGACCACAGCTACTAGTACAACCACTGAACCAACGACAACCACTACCACAGCTACCAGCTCGACCACTGAGCCAACAACAACCACTACCACTGCAACCAGCACGACCACTAAACCAACGACAACCACAACCACTGCTACTAGTACAACAACTGAACCAACGACAACCACTACCACAGCTACCAGCACGACCACTGAACCAACGACAACCACTACTACCGCTACCAGCACGACCACTGAGCCAACAACAACCACTACCACTGCAACCAGCACGACCACTGAACCAACGACAACCACGACCACAGCTACTAGTACAACCACTGAACCAACGACAACCACTACCACAGCTACCAGCTCGACCACTGAGCCAACAACAACCACTACCACTGCAACCAGCACGACCACTGAACCAACGACAACCACTACCACAACTACCAGCACGACCACTGAACCAACAACAACCACTACCACTGCAACCAGCACGACCACTAAACCAACGACAACCACAACCACTGCTACTAGTACATCCACGGAACCGACGACAACCACAACCACAGCTACTAGCACAACCACTGAACCAACGACAACCACTACTACCGCTACTAGCACGACCACAGAACTGACAACAACCACTACCACTGCTACCAGCACTACTACTGAGCCATCAACTACTACTACCACTGCTACCAGCACGACCACTGAACCAACGACAACCACTACCACAGCTACTAGTACAACCACCGAGCCGACGACAACCACTACCACAGCTACCAGCACAACCACTGAACCAACGACAACCACAACCACAGCTACTAGTACAACAACTGAACCAACGACAACCACTACCACAGCTACCAGCACAACCACCGAACCAACGACAACCACTACCACAGCTACCAGCACAACCACCGAACCAACGACAACCACAACCACAGCTACCAGCACGACCACTGAACCAACGACAACCACAACCACTGCTACTAGTACATCCACTGAACCAACGACAACCACTACCACAGCTACTAGTACAACCACGGAACCAACGACAACCACAACCACAGCTACTAGTACAACCACAGAACTGACAACAACCACTACCACTGCTACCAGCACTACTACTGAGCCATCAACTACTACTACCACTGCTACCAGCACGACCACAGAACCGACTACAACCACTACCACAGCTACTAGTACAACCACCGAACCAACGACAACCACAACCACAGCTACCAGCACGACCACTAAACCAACGACAACCACAACCACTGCTACTAGTACATCCACTGAACCAACGACAACCACTACCACAGCTACTAGTACAACCACGGAACCAACGACAACCACAACCACAGCTACTAGTACAACCACAGAACTGACAACAACCACTACCACTGCTACCAGCACTACTACTGAGCCATCAACTACTACTACCACTGCTACCAGCACGACCACAGAACCGACTACAACCACTACCACAGCTACTAGTACAACCACTGAACCAACGACAACCACTACCACTGCAACAAGCACGAAATCTGAGCCATCCACAACTCCATCTACTGACTGTTGTCCCAATGGCGGATTTTGGAGTAAATGGGAAGCTGATGGACCATGTCCGACCTCTTGTGGATCTTGCTCGCAGCAAGTTCACAGAAGGAAATGTTTATCTCTACCAAACTGTCCTTGCAGGTATGTTGGTGAATTCAAATTATACTTTTGAATTATCGTTGAAAAATGAAATTTGGGTATTTTTGGGTTAAAATTACTTTTTCATTCTATATAATGTATTTAATCCGATTTCAGCGGAGAAGATAAAGTCATCATGAACTGCAACATCGGAGTATGCTATTTCCCATTAGATTCCTGCTGTAAACCGTATAGAGCAACTGTCGCCTTCAAACGTCACGTTTGTGGAAATCAGGTAATATTGAGTCACTTCTAGCTGTTTGTATCTCGATTTTTCAACATTTTTTCAGCCTAATGTTATATTGGAGGATAATAACGACAAATCTTGTTGCCCTAAAAATGGTATCTGGAATGAATGGCAAGAATGGTCGGACTGTACTGGAACAAATTGTGGAAAGGTAATGTTATTTGATATCAAATTTCTTTTTCCGTATACTTAATTTTCAGTGTGATGGCACTCGACGTAGAACTCGATCGTGTGCTTCTGCAGATTTTTGCCCCTGTGTTGGAGATGATGCTGAATCTGAACCATGTCGGACATTGGGTTCCTGGACAGAGTGGACTGTTCGTTTTATTTATTTTTAAATTGTTTTTTTTTTTATTTTTGGTATTTTTCAGACAACTGACACCTGCAACCAAACATATTGTGGAGGATGTAAGGTGTTGAAATACACTAGATCCTGCACAAAAACAAACGGATGTTTCTGCATGTAAGTGATTCCAAATGGCAGTAGCTCTGATTGAATGCTTTCAGCGGAAAAGACACGAAGTACAAATTTTGCAATACTATCCCATGCACTACTGGTCCCAGATGCTGCAACAATTTGACCGAAATCACTGTTAATGGTCTTACATTATGTGGACCTCTAGAAACTGAAACTGATAGCGAAGACGTCGACCGTGTACCATGTGATACAACAACTCCTGCTTGTTGTGTCCTTGGAGGAGTATGGTCAGAATGGTCATCTGGCGAATCATGCAATGACACTTGCGGAAACTGCGGAATTTCAAAAGTTTCAAGAATATGCTTATCAGAGGATTATGGATGTCCTTGCCGGTTAGTTTGCTTCGGAAAAAATGTTTATCCCTACAATTTTCAGTGGAAGAGCAACAAAAGAAGCAGAGTGTGCTCCAAAGCTTTGTGTATTCCCACGAGATACTTGTTGTGGTGGAAGAACTAAAGTTATTGGTCCCTACAAATCATTTGAATGTTCAAAAGGAGTAAGTTACAACTTGGAGGCATTTCATATTTAAAAAAAAACCAATAGGACGACAGTGACATTCCCCCATCGGATCTTTGTGCGACGGATTGTTGTCCTTCCAGTGGAGGATATTGGTCAGAATGGAGTTCGGGAAGTGCGTGCCCGACATCTTGTGGTTCATGTTCGACTGTCACCCAAAGACGTATTTGTCTTTCTCCTGATTCTTGTCCATGCAGGTCTTTTATACTTTTGATAAAGCGCTTTTAATCAATCAATTTTGCAGAGGAGAGGATAAGAGAGAAGTAGAAGTGTATTGTGGGATCGGAGTATGTTATTTCCCTCATGATTCTTGTTGTGCACCATTTAGAGCAACAGTTAGAGGCAATAGGCACATATGTGGACCACAGGTAGTTAGAGACAGATAGGTTTTTGAAAATAATTGCGTATGCAGCCTAATTATAACACGACTTATAAACCGTACGATCCAAATTGCACAAATGCATGCTGCCCCGAAACAGGAATATGGTCGGAATGGACGGTTTCACCAGCTCAATGTCGGGACTATTGCGGATCATGTGGTAACCAGACGAAAACGAGAACGTGCTTGTCAGAAGCAGATGGATGTCCTTGCCAGTATTGAAAACAATTCGAATTATTCAATAATTGTGCAATTATTCAGGGGTCCCACCACAATCACCGAGCAATGCGGAACAGGTGTCTGCTATTTCCCACGACTCAGTTGCTGCCCTGGATTTTCGGCAACAGTTGAAGGAAAGCGACACGTTTGCGGGCCATTGGTTAATTGATCTCAATATGTATGAGACGTAGAAGAAATCATTTCAGAAAAAACCGGAAGAAGACCCGGACAAATTGAACACTTGCGGTGTAGATTGTTGTCCGTCAAAAGGAATTTGGGGAGAATGGGTCGCATATGTGCGATGTAATGATACCTGCGGAGCATGCGGAATTGAAAAACGAAGAAGAAAATGTTTATCTTTGCAATACGGTTGTCCATGCACGTAAGCCAATAACATCAATAACATAGCTTAAATGAGATTGTTTTGTTTCAGGGGAGAAAGCGAAAATGTCGCAACTTGCGGATTTAAATTGTGTACTTTCCCAAGAAATACATGTTGCACTGGATTTAAAAGAATGATAAGTTCCACTGAAAAAGAATTCGTTTGCGGACCAGTACCGACTGAAATACCATTCACTCCCGAACAGACCAATTGCTGCAACCCTGAGGGATTGTGGAATGAATGGAAACGTTGGGATGAATGTTCTGCTACTTGTGGATTATGTGGTGTTCAGACTAGAATTAGGACGTGTGCATCTGTTCCATATGGCTGTCCTTGCCAGTAAACCTTAACTTATATTATTTTTTTTAATTAAATTCTTTGAAGAGGTGACAGCAAGGAAACTAGAAAATGTGGAGCCCGAGCTTGTCGTACTGGAGAAAAATGTTGTGAAGGTACTTATCTGGCAACAGGATACGATGGCGAGCAATATTGTCAACCAAATCCAGTAAAAATCCAGAAAAAATTTTTGAGTAAGATGAATGATCTTTAGATTGAAATATGTAGAGGAACTTGGACTAATTGGATGACCTTGGCTGGTGCGTGGTGCAATGATACTTGTGGAAATTGCGGAAAAATCGAAAAAATTCGATATTGTTTTCCCTCGGGATGCAAATGTGAAGGGTAATTCAATTTATCAAAGCTTCAGAAAAATAATATTTGTTACAGCAATTACGTGGATTACGAAGCATGTGCGCCTAATCTTTGCGTTTTCCCAAGATCCACATGTTGTGCTCCGTTCACTAGGAAAATAATCGGAAAATCGTTTGCCTGTGCATGAAGTTGTAATAGCTGATCGGTTATTCGAGACAGCAATATCCCTGCTGAGTGTTTCCCTCTCAATGATCAATATCTTGTCTTTAAGAGTATTACAACCGTGATTGCAATAACGATAAATAGTAGTTAAAATTCATATCCTTAAATCATTCTTTAAAACAATAGGCAATTATCAATAATCTGAAAGTACTATTTTTTCGTTTTATAGAAGTGTCATACATCACTTGTGAGACCTAGTATTTTCACCATTTATTGCACTAATCCAAATGAAAGATTATAGTAGGTAATAAACGAGATAAATTTTTATTAATGATGTGCAATTTATGCATTGGCGAGTTCATCTTGAGCTCCGGTGGTGATGAGATGAGCGAAGGCTTTGTAGTCGACAAGTCCGTTCTCAATTGGTGGTTTGCCCTATAATATTTCACGTTTATATGTATGTTAGTCTACCGCAATACCTTATGCATAGCCTTGATCTCATCCTCATCGAGTGGCTCTCCTCTCTTGTTTTGGAGAATTCTGATCAGCTCGTCCTCCTTGATCATTCCACTGTCGGTCTTGTCGAACATGGCGAAAGCTCCAACAATAGTAGCTTCGGGATCAGTTCCTTAAATAAATTATATTAAGATACTCACATTCAGTCTGTCAACAAACCAGTCAATCGCTCTCCGAAAAGAGTAAGGAAGACGGTGAAGTTGATTGGTCCTGGAGCTTCCTTGATCATGGCATCGATCTGGGAGTCCGATGCGATTTGTCCCATTGAGGCATATAAGTCCTTCAAGTCACTCTGAAATGAATAAATATAATTGAATGTAGTTATTCAATGACATAGGAATACCTTGTCAATGACTCCGTCCTTGTTTTGATCCATAATTCCGAAGGCTTCCTTGAATTCCTGAATGGTCTTCTGATCGAATTGAGCCGCCTCGGATCCCGAGCGCTTCTTGGATGACTTCTTCTTGGCGGCCTTGGACATTTTTGGAAACGGTCACTACCTTAAATGGGAATATCAGCCAGTGCTATCGCTAAAAAAAAACGGCTCAGCAAGCAGTCGAGAAATGCTCACGACTGACTCGCTTGAAAGCGACACGAAATAATATGGTAGGCGTGTATGAAAGTCGGCGCCCTCCCGCCGATATCTTTTTTCGCACACAGAGATGTGCGGCCCTCTCGTGAGCGGGAGCAACAGAAATATCTAAATGTAAGAGACGCCTGGCAATGTCGTGAGAGAGCGCCTATGAATCGGATAGTGTAACATTAGCAATCAATCGAATCCGAGTACTGCCGAGAGCACGTTTGCCGAGAAAAAATTTTGTGCTCGGCTCTCCTTAATTTCGCTTATATTTTCTTTTCCGTGAGATGCCATATCTTTGAGTGAAGATAAATAGAAATATCCGCGACTGCTAGAAAAGAGTTTTCGTAGGCAACTGTTTGCCTCGATTACTTCCACTCAAGTGTGTGGCAGAAATGCTCAAAGTAAGATAACGATAGTGTGAGGGTCTGTGTTAAAAAGATTGTCTCGAGAAATTAATATAATTTTCAAAAATTGTCGAAAAGCACAGGTGTTGATAAATTAATTAATTTCGGTATTAATGACAAAATGATAAGTTCGGAAAGCAGCGAGATTTATCAAATAAACCGGGAATAATCTTGGCATCTTTCTTTTCCAAAGAGATTTTATGGCAATGAAGTAAAAAAAAGAACGATAATATTTCAATGAAGCTGAAATTTTTTTACCTCAAATTTTTACTTTGTACATTTTTAAAATTTTGAATGCTTCACCCCCATTAGAACTTGAAATTTAAAAAACGGGATATTTATTGTATTGTTGTAATGAAGTCAAAATTCTACTGGTCCGTTTTAAATTTTATAACAGTAAGTAATATCCCTACCAAGTTTTTATTTCTAATCTTTACAATTTTTTGAAAGGAAATAATTTTCAAACAAAGTCTTGTGTTAATTTGAAAATTCCGAGAACTTTGTTCTTACATATAATTTAGATCCCTATTGCTCCCGCATCATCATAGTTATAAAAAACGTCACAGAATCATTTTCTCTAAACATCTATTCTCTATTCGATTGCTTTGTTCTAGGAAGTTAACAGAAAACGCACGGCGGGAGCCGGGGGCGGCTCTCTTGTGTGTAAAGTCGTTGAGATCTTGCTCGCTCAAACAGCGTCCTCCCCCAGAGTTTGCTATAGTGTAAAAGTGGGATAAAGCTTCGGATATCTCTCAGTCATCCAGTCAACGCTCAGAACAGTCAACCAGAATGGTGAGTTCTCCAATTAAATTACATTTGCATATAAGGATGGTTTTGTTTCAGTCGAAAGCCGCCAAGAAGAAGTCATCCAAGAAGCGCTCGGGATCCGAGGCGGCTCAATTCGATCAGAAGACCATTCAGGAATTCAAGGAAGCCTTCGGAATTATGGATCAAAACAAGGACGGAGTCATTGACAAGGTATTCCTATGTCATTGAATAACTACATTCAATTATATTTATTCATTTCAGAGTGACTTGAAGGACTTATATGCCTCAATGGGACAAATCGCATCGGACTCCCAGATCGATGCCATGATCAAGGAAGCTCCAGGACCAATCAACTTCACCGTCTTCCTTACTCTTTTCGGAGAGCGATTGACTGGTTTGTTGACAGACTGAATGTGAGTATCTTAATATAATTTATTTAAGGAACTGATCCCGAAGCTACTATTGTTGGAGCTTTCGCCATGTTCGACAAGACCGACAGTGGAATGATCAAGGAGGACGAGCTGATCAGAATTCTCCAAAACAAGAGAGGAGAGCCACTCGATGAGGATGAGATCAAGGCTATGCATAAGGTATTGCGGTAGACTAACATACATATAAACGTGAAATATTATAGGGCAAACCACCAATTGAGAACGGACTTGTCGACTACAAAGCCTTCGCTCATCTCATCACCACCGGAGCTCAAGATGAGCTCGCCAATGCCTGAACGACACAAGCCCACAGGCAGCTGCAACCGCTCTGGGAGTGGCGACAGCGATTCTCAAGAAAGTGTCGTGGTTATCAATCTGATGATGACTCGCCTAGATTTTGAAATCGTCGTTGTATTTTCGTGTGGTTCAGCGTTCAGACGGCGTTTTTATTCATTCCGCGCGGTTTTCTTCTCATCAATTTTCACCCCATTTGCCGCTTTTCCTACTTCGTTTTGGCGCAGAAACGTATAAGAACACCATAATGAGTATTTGGAAATGTGTGGATGCCATGAGGAACATTAACAATTTATTATTGTTAATATTACGAATCCAACTGGCATCCCACTTTTCCTACCTTCGAATCACGCCGTCTGACTGCTCTTCCACACATTCATCACTCCATTGGTTCTTTTTTATGCTTTTTAAAATGTCTTGTTTTATGTCATCAGTCATCATTTAGATACTTGCAATACTCGTGGTGCGTTCTGATATCGTTGTTCATAGAGTTATGTATTAAATTGTGCATCAACTGAATGTAAATGAATCATTTCACACCCATTGTGCCAGTGAACAAATGAAAACTGTCAACTATATTTTATTAACATGCTACACATGTAGCAGATATGTAACAAAATGTGTCAAATCATTCTAGTTGTCCCACAAATGAAGAATGATCTTCAGCCCAGGGTTGGATATTGGCATCAGCGAATCGGTAGAAAAATGCAGCTCCGAGAAGGTAGATCGAGATCATTACGTATAAAATCAAGTTCCATTCATTAACCGCCTGAAATTAAAAAAAAATCATTGGTTTGTTACAAATGAATGTGGTACTCCGGATTTCACAACTGCTCCAACGAAAAGGGGACCAAGAATTCCAGGAATTGTCGCAATTGTATTAGATAGTGCCATTAAGTGTCCCGCATACTGAATAAATTGCAAAGTCAATATTAAAGATTGAAACTATGACGACCTGCGGGGCAAGGTCCAAATGATTAACAGAAAAGCCGGACCAGCATATTCCAGCAAGTCCAATTGAGAATGAAACATATGAGGCGATTAGAAATCCGTTCGTTGTCATGATAGTCATTAGCAAGAAAACTGATTGTCCAAAAAGAGCTGAAATAAATCAAGGCTTATTAGAGATATCAAATTTTTGAATATGGAAAGAGATTCAAAACGCGAAAAATTTTTGCAATTAACAAATATATTCGATCTCAATTCCTTACAGAAAACAGTGCAAATCCTGCGAACGTGTAATGTGTCAAATTGTTTTTCCTTTCTCAAAAAGTCAGCAAATTGACCACCGGCGATTGTAAGAATTCCCATCAATAAATACGGAATGCTGCTTGCGAAGCCAGCCTACAAATCTCTTACGATTAAAACCATCTTTTTTAAACCCACTTTCTCTATGTTATAATCTGCAATATCTTTTAACATTCTTGGCAAATTTGTGAGCATTGTGTAAAATCCCCAATTCTGAGCAGTATGAGCGATAATAACTGCCCAAACCGGTTTCGAACGAAGAATGTAATGCCATGGCACAAGCTGAATAACTTTTGAAGCAATAATTGATGGATTACGTCATACGTATTGATTTTGGCTCACAGCATCTCGTTGCAACAATGCCAATTCTCCTGTGCTTATTTTGGGATCTTCAGCTGGTTGATCGTAAACACATTTGAACCAAATAACACACCAAATTACACCAACGAATCCTGAACAAAGGGAGTTTATAGAGTTTTCAATATTTGCCACAAACCGAAAAACCAAAAAATCATCGGCCAACCAAAATTTTCACCAAGGTATGCCGAAACTGGCATGGCTATCACCGTTCCAAAATATGATCTGCAAAGTTACGTCATGTTTTCTTCTTGCTTCTTCTCTTTTTTTTCGTTCTTCTCTCTTTATTTTTGTGAAACTAACCCAGAAAACGCGAATGTTGCAAGTTTTGTCAGTTCAAGCGGCGGGGCCCAATTACTCCAAACTACATGCATTGCCGGATATGTGACACCTTCAAGAAGCCCTTCCATGAATCTTGCAAACACCAACATTCCATAACCAAATTTGGCGAAAGGAGGTGTAAGCAATGTGAAAACGGCGGTACCTCAAATGAAACATGACATTGCAAAATTATTAACTCAAAACTAACCAAAAGTTCCTGCAAAAAACATTGTTCTTCCTCCATAAGAGTATGCTAAATATCCGCCTGGAAGTTGCGAAATAACATATCCATAAAAGAATGAGCTTAATACGACTCCTTGTCTCATTGGTGACCAATCTTCAAAGTCGCCACGAATCTGAAATCAAATAATTTTTACATTTATTTCAATTCAAAACCATACATGCTTAACGGTTCCATTAATTTTCAAGTCGCTTCCTGACGTCATCTCAACAATTGCTATGCTCAAATTCGCGCGCATTGCATAAATATTGGCGAATCCAAGAAGTGCCAACACGGCAACAATGTGTCTTCGTTTCCATCGTTTTGTATCCGGAGAATCATCACCTAAATACAATAATAAAACAAACTAATAAGCAAAATAGCTACCTTCTATAACTTTAAAACTTTCATATTGGTTCAACCTTTGGTACATTAAAATTTAATGAAATTGTTGCATAGACGCGTTAATATGAATGGAAAAAATATCCAAGCAACGTACGCCAACACGAAGGAGGAAAGTTTGGACGGTTAGACAGTCCGCGCCGCAATTCAAATATACGACGGACAATAATGGGCAATCGATATACACTACAGATTATTTTAGAAAATTATTGCACGTTTGAAATAAATTCATCGTCCTATTTTAATAATTCATTAAAATCGATATAAACGTGAGTTTTTTTTCTAATTTTCTCGTGAACAAACACTTAAAAATTATTGTATTCAAACTATAATTATAAAAACTGTTATTATTCAATATATTATTGTTCGGGGAAAAAATTAATGCTCACTTTCATGTTAAAAATTACGGGGTTTGCAACATTCTTTCCTATTTTGCCGATAATTCGTATGATTTTCAATAATTTGCATAAAACTAACCTTCTTCGATGGTTTCGGATGTTCCATAAGCTAGATTCCTAGCTGGTTGCCCTTCCAAGACCATGCTCTGGAATAACGGGCGTCGTCAGTAGGGCCACATAAAGCTTTCCCTCTCTCACTGCACACTCGAGTATCGATTTTCCTATGCGCGCAAAATGCCATCTTTCCAAGGCGCGCTTAAAAATTGGTGGACAGATGCGGACAAAGCAATGCGGTAGATAAATACATTTTCAGTTCTTCATTCATTAACAAAACAAAGACATTTTCGCTTTTACATACATACATGCGTATAATATCGTAGGGAGCTGAACAAAACAAGTGTTCTCACGGAGAACATTAAATGTTTAAGAAAAACCGGAAACATATTAAAATGGCTAAATTTGCCCTGGTTTTACGACAATGAAATTAACTCGACACCGTCATTAACAAAAACCTGGTGAAAAAAAATTTTAAGCGGTATTCCACTTAAGAAGAAATTCAAATGCTCAATTTAGCTGATAAGTTCCGAGAGACATATTACTTAGTGGCATGAAAATCAGGCAAAGTCCTTCTCGAGATTGAAACCGTGATCATCGCTCATCTGTGCTCCTCCACGATTCAGTTCACGAACGGTAGCTGCAGCCATTGCACCCAGCAAAACTTGTGGGCATGACACAAAGCGAATATTGTTATTGTTATATCGTGCGCACAATTGTGTAACCTGAAATTATTAAATCTGAAACTAGTTGCATACTATTGAGATGTTACAGTTGTACGAAGATCCTCGTCCGTAGTAACCCAGATAGTGTACACATTAGCTGCTGCCACAGAAAGGCATTCCTCAAGCATAGGAATGTCAGATTCTGAGTCGCCACACACCAAAATATTTCCCTCGCGCAAATTGATTCCCATCTTTCTCTCGCAAAGACGAACACCGTGTCCCTTATTGAAAATTCTTCCACTCAATTTTGCCTGCAATAAGCCTTCTTCAAAGGAGGATGCTAAAATTTTTATCTGACCTTGGTGTAGATCTTAATGTCAAGTTCAGTTTCGCGGATGGTAAGGAAGTTGCCAGACGGGTCGACATCGTTGACAATTTTTGTAATTTGCTCATAGAGCTGAGACATTTTGCGATGTGGTACTGAGTTGTTGGCGTCTTGCTTAGCAATAGTAATGTGTCCGAAATGTTTCTGAAGGCCACTTCCAATCCATGTGAAGTTCCTATACTCCGGATTCTCAAGCAAATCTTCCATCTAGGACAATATAATTTATTAATTGAACGATGGAAAATGTCGAACCTTATCGAAGACATTGCTCAAGTATTGCAAATCAACTTCCGATACCGTGTCATCCTTAAACTGCATAGCCGGGTTTAAATACCATTCGCGGCCAGCAGATGCACCATAGGCATAATACCCTTCGGGCATGGTAGAAACATTGAGAATACCAATGTGGAGGAGGGGAGCAGTAGTAACAATAGCGCAGAATTGAGCACATCGACGAGCAAATTGAGCCTATAAACATCAAACTGCACATATTCGTATAGTATTTATTACCTGAATAACAGCAGAATAAGCTGGCTGAATACTAGCCGGATATGAGCAAGCGTAACTTTTCAAAGTACCATCACTGAAGGTATTGTTATTTGTGATTTTGATTTGCATTTATAATTATTACCGATCTGTGAAGAAAAAGTGGAAGTGTTCTCCTTGGGTGAGAAGCTGCAAAGCATTCTCAACCTCAGATGCGAAAAACGTTGGACCCGATGAATGGAAAGATCCGAGAGTCTAAATATTTACCTTTGATTTAGTCATTAACAACAGCCCTACATCTATGAATTGTTCAACATTAGTTATTTCATCAGATTGAATGAAAGTAATGAAAGCAATATCCTTCTGGAGTTCTCCTAATTCATCAGAAATGTCAAATTTCGCTTCAAGATTGTTTCCATCGACATCATCAGCACTCGCAGTAGTTTGCAAGATCAACAGATTAGTTCCCTCTGCGCATGAATTTTCGAGAGCATTCTGAAAACACTTTGAATTCATTCATTCTCATTGTGCTATATCACTTTTGCATTTTCCAACGAAAGAGCGAAATGAGGTCTGAGTGGAAGACCCTTCAAAACTGCATCGACAATTTGCTTACGGATTTGAGCGGTTCTTCCCATCAATATGTAGAAATCAGCAAGTTGCTTGATTTCAGTTTTGCTAATAACTTCATGGGTCCAGCTCGGATCCAAAAATGCCGAACTCCATTGCTCGATGTCATGCTCGACTAAGAACTTGTTAAGTTTTTGTCCGTGCTCAGTACGGCTTTCGTAGCTTTCGGTTGCCGCCTTAAAGAAGACCTCCGCAAAGTTCTGTAAAAAAAATATATATATTTTAAGAAGATTTGTAACCCTTCTCTACTTCAGTGTCCGAAATGTTCTCAACTCGGTGATAGCATTTACCATCATCGGTGTAAAAACCAGCACTTCCAAGTTGAACTTCAGTTCCAGCTCCGGTCGAGAGAACCAAGGAAGCAGATGGATTGCACACAAGCATTTCCTTCGCAACCAAATTCATTCCGTCCTTTGATGGAGTCACAACTCCGACATCCATAGCCAAGTAGTGAGCAATAAGCGAAGCCCTTGGAAGTCCATCAGTTGTAAAAATGATTGGTTTCCAATTTGGATATTCTTCGCTCTTAATGCATTCATTGATTTTGTTTGCCAATTCGAGACAGTCATCCTGTAAACTATTAAATTATCAGAGAATGCAAAATTAATTATTATACCTGATATTTTCTATACGATTCAACAGATCTTCTATTAGTAACAGCTACTTGGAAAAGAACATCTTGTCCAACGCGCTCAGGATGTTTCTCGAAGTATCTTCGCCATGAAATAAGCTTCTCGTAGATGCCCTTTGTGTAGTCAAATCTCTCAACGGAGAAGAAGAAGCGTCCAGTTGGTCCGCTATTTTTCATGACCTTGGTCGATAAATTAGATTTTCATCTGTCAAATAATAAGTTACCTCTTCACGAATAGTTTGTGCTTCGATTTGAGTCTTCGTGTCATGAGCAATATTCAAGAAGTCCTCAATTTTTATGGAAACAGGAAACACTCCAAGCGAGCAAGTGAATCCCTTTATATATTATTTCATATTCTGTTGAATACAATTCTATCAAACCTCATTACTGACAGTGTAACGATCAAGTCGATTATCATACTGAATTCTGGCACGTGGGATGTTCTCGCGGACAAGTCTTATATAAGACTCTCTATCCCGAGTCGTTTGAAATCCAACCTTAAACAATCGGATTAAAATTTTTAAAAATTGATAAATATTAAACCTTTGTAAAGCGGAGAAGAGCGCGAATAATTGGCTCGGCAACAAGCTTGTATTTTGTCAAAAAGTTTGCCGGTGGCTGGAATGGGATATGCAAGAAGAATCCGACCTCGAGATTAGTTTCGAGAGATCTCATGATCTGCCCACAAAGAAGGAGATGATAATCATGGATCCAAATAAAATCTTGCGCGCGACTATTCCGAACAGCATTAATTGCGAATTGGTAGTTGACTCTAACATACGAACACCAATGCTCACGAAGTGTGTTCTCATCGTCGTAGTCAGATACAATATGCTGTGGAAGATTGTGAAGAGCGGGCCAGAGAAGACCATTGCTAATTCCACCATAGTAGGTGTTGTAGTCGTCATTGCTCACAACAACTGGGGTGAGCTGATAATTTTGCTTGTTATATGCCTGGAGTACAGTGAGAAGTGACATATCACGCCTGTAAATCATATATTTCTTGAATGTTTTATTAGAAACTCTTACTCGACAGCTTGTTCATTGGGAGTAAGACCAAGTTTCTTGTCATTCTGCTCCATAACGTGGAAGACTTCTCCGGCACGCGCTTGCTTGATCAAAGGCAGGCCGAGCGAATTGGTTGATGGCGCAACTTCATCGTCATCTTTCAAGTTGATTCCGAGATTTGAAAGCCAGATGTTTTCTCGATCAACAGACATGACGGGATCAACACAAGCGACAAGACCACCACTTCCTTGCTTGATTTGCCAAGATCCACTTCTCTCTCGACTAATTGAAACTGGTGGTGCGTTGGAAACATTGATAACACGTTGCTGAAACATTGATTGAATTTTCAAGTGTTATCATCTTTCTTCAGCATTTCATACCGTTCGATTGAAAAATAAAAAAATTGATTTAGTTTATATCTTTTTTAATAAAACTTTCCATAGCGCCTTCAAATTTTTAATATTGTTTCTGATGGTATGACAAACCTTGTGATGCGCGGTTTCGCAGAATGGGGACTGATTGATGGAAACGTTTTGTGATGAGACATCCGAATGATCATCCCCAACCGCCTCATTGTCCAATGCCAATAAATCTTCGACAGAGCCTTGCACGGATGATATTCGAGAGTTTGCTCGCGATCGCACCATTTGCAAATGTCGATATCTTTCTCCAAATGCTTTTGCGTGCATTCCGAGCATGCTTTGGCGAATTCCAGGAACGGCTGCATAGAGCTCTCGCAAGCGATTCTTACTATGATTCACATCATAGAGAACCAACGAAAATAACAAAGAATCTCGATATTGCGTGAAGTAGGTCAAGTCCGAATTGTAAACGTGTGGGACCGCATATTTCCAAAAAGTGAGCTAAAATGAAAAACATGTTTGATGACTATTTTTTTGAAACACTTACGGTATTGAATGATAATGTCTCAATGAAGTCTTCAAAAATTTCATCGCGAAAGCCTGGTTGCGCCAAGCATAACTCAAGAACTATGAGAAGCCCCTAGATAAATATTTTGAGTTTCACAAATTAATTTTTCTAATATTTACTTTGAATGCAATCTCGGAGTTTTTGGTACGCGATTTCCATTCACCATGAAACGTTCTCATATAATGACGGAATCTCTCTCTGCGTGATGGATGGTCTTCAAGCGATTTGCCTATTTTTTCCATAAGAGATTTGCATTTCTGAAAATTTTCGAATTATGAAGATTTAATTTGATTTGTTTTTACAATTTCCGCCTCTTCTAACATATCTGTCTCTGGTTTTGACCTGTCGAAAGGATCATGGCGGAGCGTTTGCTCAAAGATATTGTTGCCGTTGTCCGCCATAGCTGCACTGCAAAATGTATCAAAATTTTGTAAAATGTACTGATGAATAGTTATTATCACGAAGAAAAATGCGTTTCAATGTAAGCGTGACGAAATGAAATGAAATTGTATCAACAACCTCATAGGCGTTGTAATAAAATGAAGATGTTATGTTATCCTCTGAGCTCACAAAGAAACAGACAAACATGTCAAACATGAACATTCAGTAAAATATAATATTTGGTTAGTCAAATTGAAAAATATGAGCAGAAGCAAACTGCGGAAATGCTCATTTTTAATAAAAAAATGGTTGAAAAAAAACCTTGGAAAATATGGAATGGAATGGAATGGAATGGAATGGAATGGAATGGAATGGAATGAAATGAAATGCAATTGCAATTGAAATAGACACGAGAAATGATAAATGACAATATTAAATGCAATAAAAAGGTGGCAAGGTGTTCCGCGATATCATCGAACTTTCTAGATGTCGCGGTGCAACGTTGTTTTTTTTTTAGTTCAAATCGCCATACCCACCGAGTAGCACAAGTGCGCTCTAATGAGAAACGAACAATTACTTGAGTTCTTTTCGAGACTGAGCTCCCTGAGTAACGCAGTTTAATCTCTCGAAAATTATTTGCATAATTGTTTTTGCAATGTGCATTATAAAACAATTTTTGTCTAAAAAACTCTACAACAATAAATGCTAGATGACTTAAACATTGAAAATGGGAACAAAATTATGATTTGATTCATTTTTTTTCAAAATAAAAATATCTAGAAACAATGAAGAGAAGAATTTTGCATCAGGGCCGTTTCCAGACAGAACAAAATAATAATGCCGCCGTCCTTGAGGAAACTTGAGTTAACTTCAAAGACCGATCAGAGCATGCTTTTCACACACAATTGTCACATGATTTTTTAGCTGACTTGTTTCAAAACCTTCTTGAAAAATTTCGAATGACATCTAACGTAATAAAAATCATTTAAATGTTCTGAAGCTCAGTTAAGAGTGTCATGTTAAGAACACTACAGCTTAAAAGTAAAAATAGGAAAATTTTGAACTAACGTTAAGATTTAGTCTGCCTAATTCGAAAGTTTGCGGTATTTGCGGCGAAGTGTGGCTGGTAAACTGAGCATCTTGCGAGGCTGCTTAAACAAATCAATTAGAACTGGTACTCAAGCGCGAATGAATTCGAATTGTTTCTTGAACGTCAATTTTCCAGTAAATTCTACTAAATGGAATACGATCGCTAGTTTTGTAAAACATATTGAACAACAAGAAATCAATTAGAAGTATGACCTTCGAAAAATGGAACGATAGTACCAACAAGTTTATTTATATTGTTTCCTTTTTAGGAAACTGCATCTATCATCATGTGATAGAAATTTTTGAACTCTTGAATTTGATAACTTTCGAATTCGTTTTAAATTAAATATGAAGAGCTCTTTTTGTGGGTCGAGTTAAAGTTAACCGCTTTTGAAATAATTGTCGTCAATGTACTAAAGTTTCAATATAATTTTTTTCTCGTTTTGCTTTCTTTATATCCAAGCTTTTTTGGAGACTAGACTTGAAGAAGTACTACAATATCCAATCTTTCTTGTATCTTTATAGCAAATCCCTGAAACTTAAACTTTAAATTTCGAAAATTGGGATTTTGGTAATCGAATATTATATCAAAAGTTCTTGACACGAGCGTTTGAATAATTAATATGTTTACGTCTTACATAAACTCTTTACATCCATATATTTGTCGAATCGTGAAATATGAAATGATTGTAGTGAATGTTTTCTCGCTGAAGTTTCATTTTTAGAGAGATAGCTATTGAAAGCGTTTAATTAAAGTAGAGAAACTTTTCGTGCCCCATGTACATGGAATTCAATGGATTTTTTAGAAACTATTTTTATTGTTATATGAAACTTCAGGAGGAACAAATTGAAATTTCGATCGAATGGAAAGGAACTGAACTTAAAGGAAAAAAGTCAAACAATGGAAAATTATTATATAAAAAATTCTAATTATTGAAACATTTCTCGTTTTTGATATCTCAAAATCCAGGAGATTTCAAAATTTAGAAAAAAAATGAACATTCTAATTGAATCATTTCCACAAGCAACAATTGATAATCAATTGTTTATAAAGAATTGGTCATGAGACTATTGACAGAACTTTAAAATTTTATTAATACGGTTTTCATTGATAATTCTTCAGTTAAAAATTCTTAATTCCTCTTTGATAGTCTGATTTTTTGCGCCTTTGATATGAACGATATTAATCGGTTTACTTGTTCTCTTTTGGAAATTCCATGAACATTAAATCTCTCAACATGCTCGTGAGAGATAGTTTTAGGAACCACGTCCGATGAAAAAACACAAGCAAGCGTGTGTGCGCGCTGCGGCGCACGGGCGCTTTTGAAATATATAATGAAATCGTGGTGCTCTCGTTTCTCTGTTTCTCGTTTATTTTTTCGATCCAGCACCTCCGGGCGCATGATAGACGTTCGACAAAACAAGAGCGCCCCCAGCGACAGAAAATAGTGTTTAAGGATGAGAGATGTAAACGCTGAAAAGCGGATCGCATTGGAAAAAAAAAAACTGGCGCTCCGCTCGCTCTCGACGATTGTGACAACTCGCCATCGCACTGCACGTCTGCGTCTTGTATGCGAATCGCGATCAATAACGTTTGCCGGTTAACAACAACGCGACAGTCGTGCGACTGCGATGAGCGTCGTCGCATAAATAGCATAGCGTTCCATAGAGACGAAAAGCGAAAGCGCAAACGTCCGCTCGCACCACCTCTCTTTCCAACAGTAAAATGTTTCTTCAGTGCGTTTCCACCGTTATCACTTGTACTTCAATCTGTTTCGTTTTTGTTCGTTTGCTTTCTGATTTTTTTCTCTCGGCACATTCCTTCCAATTTCAAATCTGCTGTTTTTTTCAGGGTAGAAACCAAGACTTCCTAAATGGGTTCAATAACAACAACAAGATCGACCCTTTTGGGTTAGAACCTGGAAGCAATAGTTGCTGTTTATCAATTTATTCATACACAATAACACGACACAACAATCTCGTAGGCTTTTTATTTAAAATGAAATCGAATGAACATTGAGCGATATTGCAGATTAAATAAAATTCGGTTCATCACAATTGTTTGTCATTCATCTTCAACGTCTACGGATAACGGATTGTTACCAACATGGGTTCCTACGGACTAGAAATGATGTAGAAACCGTTAAGCCAACCATCTCGACTAGTAATCCCGAATCAACTAACAAATTTCCCTTGTGTACTCCACCAAACATAGAAGATTTTTTTTTTAGATTTTTGATTGTATCTAACCAAATCAGCTTCTCATAAGCATACGGAAATGGAAAGAATAGTCCGATCTTAGATATGGGTCTATTTTTCTACGGTAGACGCATACGGTTTATAACACCTTTCCTCGAAAATCAGTAGGCAAGCTTTTCAATTGTTTATTTTTTCGGAATAACGCTGTTTTTTTTCAATATTGTTTTCGCTTCAATAATCATGAAACAACAATTGAATCGAATATAATATTGTATAATCGACATTCTTCAAACACTATTGTGAAAAATCAATGATCTTCATAGTTGAAAAGTGCAATTTTTGTGAAGTTCATTGGATTTTTGCTTTGCACGTCTCTCTAAAGTCTGACTTATACACAAATCTTGAATTTAAACCTTCTGGTTCAGATTCAGAATTTGGATTTTGAGTTTTTCTTTAGAGAGTAACAGCTTCCCGGGTATGGAAACGTTTTATGAAGATGTCTCTTGTTTTAATGAATATTATTGAAATATTACTTTTGGCTGCACATTTAAAAATTTTATAGATCAAACAGATAGGACACAATTATCATAATTCCTCTCAATGATGCACATGATCGATAAAAAGGACAATTTGTCTAATCAATGTACTGGACCCCAAAACGGAATCATTTTTGAGACACAGAATGTTGCAAAATGACAGTAGGTTTGAATATTTAAATGCTCTTATTGAGATAAGAACATATCAGAATATTCAAACATGGTACAAAATCCCTTGTAAAACAATAAGGGTATATGTAGGCTATTCTGCTCAATTTTGAAAAGGTTGTGTTTCTTGGATGGTTGATCTGAAACGCTATAAGCATAAAATAGCAAACTCATGAATATGTTGACAGGGAAAACTATTGTTTTTTCTCTTGTGAGGAGATCAAAGATATTTCGAGGGAATATTAATTTGTCAGGGCTGTTTTAGTTATGTTATAAATATTCATAAAATTGTTTTTTTACAATTTCTTTTTTTTTTTTTTTAAATATAATATTCAAATTAAAACTTCAGTAGTTCGAATTTGACATTCAAATTTTTGTAAGTTCACAACTAAACGTTTTTTGTATATACCATACCGCTTCACCATTTTATTTTAGTATAAATAATAAAGAAAACGCACATAATCTGCAGGCAATTTTCATGGTTTTCACAAATTGTCCATTTTACTGTAGATATCTGTTTATATTATTGCTGATATGTTGCACGAAACTCATATTGAAAGTTTATTTCAATGTTCATAAAAAAAAGTGAAGAATATTTGTTCCTTTTACTTATAAAGCACCAGCTAGAGGTATTTTATGATGGAATGAAATAATGGTTCAAAACTGAGGAATATTGCAAATCCGGTTTGTTTCCGTCCGAGGGTAAATGTCTGCTCTGTTATAAGTTTTGCTACCTTATATTTTGAACATAAACGTTCAGTTGGGCCGATTTTTAGTCATAGGTGCAGTCATTTTGACAATTATTAATCAAAGCCATTATGGCGCAATTGTAAATCTGCAAGAAATAGTGCATAGAGCATATGACAATAATAAAATAGAGAAATTCACGGTAATCTACCCAGACTATTTTATTCACGTTTTAAAAATTGTGACATTTTGGCTCTATACATACAATGTGCTATTCAAATCATTGTTACAAAGCGCTCTGTTTCGATCGATTAGCGCTTGGATTATTCACAGTACTCAACATCCGCGAAGTATCCGTCGAATTATTACATGATATTTTGAGAAGGTTTTTCTGGGTCTCGACATTTTTACGACCAAGAAGTTTTGTGACCTGAAAACCGAACTGATATCGAAATTTCGAAAACTCCAAATTTACATTTTTCTTAAATGAATCTGATAGGAAAACGTAGAGAAAAGGATTTGCTGCCGAGTTGAGGTATTGAAGGGCAAAGGCAAAATGGGACACGCAGATAAGCATATATGGACTTCTGAAAACTGTGTCATTTCTATATAACATTAAATTGAAAGAAATCTTTCTATAGTTAATCGCATAAAATTTTTATACCTGTTGAATAAAATGTTCATTTCAATCGACCATTGTACTATCCAAAATGGTAACCAACAATGAGTATACGAAATCACAATAGCAAGTCCAAGAATTGTCACCTACGATTTATTCATATTTAAAACCTATTTTCTGTAATTTTCAACCTTTGTGGTTCTTTTCTTTGTTACTGTTCTTTTAATGTACATTTGTCGCCGACGTTTGATCATCTGGGCAATTATTTTCACATAAAAATACCACACTGCTATCAATGGTAACAGATACGATAAAGCGAAAGTGTAACATGTGAAAAATCTAAAAAAAAAACAGTTCTCCTGATATCGATGGTCACTAAATTGCCTTCTTGAAAGTAACATATTTTTCTCGACTTCGTTCAAATAATTCGCTGAAACATCACTTGAAAAATCCAAAACATCGCCACTTCCGACAAATAACATACACGTTCTTTTCGATACGTTGGATTCTAAAATAATGGAAAACAAGATGAAGTCAATCGTGAGATGATTGATTACCAGTTGCAATCGTTATCAATTTCACAAAAAGTAAGAGAGGGGTCATCTCTAGAATAACCATCGCCCAAGACGAAGCGGAAAGAGCTAATGCCGCTTGTGTCGTACGCCATGCGGATGAGACCATAGGACGGCACACAGCCAAAAATCGGTCGAAAGAGAGCACAGCAATGAAAACAGCAGATGCAAATTGAGATACCTGAAACAGTTATAGCAAATTTATCTCGCAATCTATTGATATCTTTTTTTGATAATTTTTCATTTTAATTTGCAAAATACATAGCTCTGCTGTCTATTGTCGTTTCTTAATTTTCCGCTGACAAATATCGCGTAAACGGGATGATCTTGATGCAGATACTTGTGTTGTTTCTTCAATTAGATGGACAGCGTTTTTGAACGCATTAGATCTATTTTTGTTTTCCTAAGGTCATTGAAGAAGTTGAAGATTTTTATCTGGACAATTCAGTAATTGTTTTTTAAATTAAATTCACCACACATTTCTTTAAATGTTTTTTATTAACGCATCTCATTTCGTTTTAGACGATTAAATATAAATAATTTTCTCATATTTTCAATTTTTCTATTGTTTTTTTAAACTGTTCTGACTCACTATTTCCGATGAGTAAACGAATTAAAAACTGAAATGAATGCATATTGAAAATTTAGACAACAAAAAAATTGACAAAAGAAACATTTACTTTTTACGCAATCTTTAAAATGTGAATTTTTGAAATTCATGAGTTGATTAGAAATTTGAAAAGACAAAGTGTCGGTCACACAACTTACCTGAAATTTTTAAGTGTTTTTTGAACTCAGATTAACCCCAAAAAAGATAAAAAACTATTTTGCGAAAACTTAAACTGGACCACGACGCGAAAAATTGTGACTAGTACGATGAATATCAGACTTAAATTGGGATGGCTGAGGTTAATTTGACACCCTTCTATTTGCTGTCGAAAATAATTAAAAAGAAAGAAAAGAAATGTTCAAACACTAACCGCATTTCCAGATATGTACAGTTTACACATTGTGGGTCCAAGAGCCCAATCACCATTTTCCTGTCCAAATATTACAATAGGAATTCCGCAGAGAAATAAGAGATCAGCAACGGCAAGATTGAAAATGTAGATGTTGGAAATCGTTCGCATATCTCTAAAATTTAACAAAACCTTGACTTCCACAATAGGTTTTATATTTTTTAATTGATTACAGAAAATTATTGATTGTGAAATTAGCAAGTTCATTGAATAATTATGACTGATATTAATGATTATTTTTACTTTTTAACATATGTATGAACCAAATGGGAATAAATCGATGTTCACCTGAAATACAAGATTGCAGCCAGTACAAATATATTGGCGGGAATGCCGATCAGGGCTGTTAATCCCCATGTTGCATGCGCTATTGATCTTATCTAAAATTCATTTTCAGTTTTATTGTTTTAGAAATGAATATTATACCGATGCAATATCTAGTGAAGTTTCAGTGTGACCGGTAGAGTTGTTGTAGTACGCCATTTCATGCTTCAAATAGCATTCTCGTCTAATTCTATAATTACATGAGCAATTATATTCAAGCGGAAATGGGAAGAAGTACGAAGAAGACGACGGAACTGGAGATGAGAAAATTATGCGTACCCATTGATACATTGATGAAGTATACTTGAGAAGTGCGAAAAACGAACCAAAAAAGAACAAACCAAAAATTGTTGTGAAGCTAGTCAGATGTTTGTCCTACTGTAAATTAGTACGACTTAATGAATCACGAACGCATTTCCAAGCGAAAGTCAAAAAAAGTTGGAGTCCGAATCATCATGTGTTTAGCTTGTTAGATATTCTAAAGAGGTCTCCAACTGACAATGTTGAAGGGAGCGGAAAACGGAGAAAAAAAATGAAGGAAACACGCGCAAAATTGACACAAGAACATATATATTTTGTTAGCGTTAAAAGTACATTACTCAGTTTTATTAACATCGGAAATCATTGCTTTTACTTTCTTTATCGTAAGACACCATAAAACCATGGATTTAGATGGTTAAGAATTGTATAAAAAAAGAAAGAACGTCGGCAATAATTGTGTCTACAAGGCGACTATGTATTTAAAAAATGATTTTCAATACGAAAAAAATTAGATGAAATAAATAAGTTCGATTCACAGGCAAAGAGTGAATTAAACTTTTATCTAAACAAATTGAAATTGTTTGCTCATGGCTGCAAATATGCATGTATAAAACCGACAACTTAGCTTCTTTGTAATGTTCAATAATTAGACACATGAGGAAAATAGGCGCTCAGTTACATATGTGAACTCCTCATGTCTCAAATTTTCCAATGTCTCCTCATCTACGAAAGCATGCGCAAATTTGAAAAACTGTGAATTATTGCAAAAATACGTTAATTTTGGAATTACAATATTTCACTGTTTTGTATACACATATTCATTATTGATGCTATTTTTAAAATAATTAAAATCTACCTTATGAAGTATGTGAAATAAGAGCCCACGGAATGGGTTATAAAGCGAGAATGCTTAATTGAATGGTTAATAATTACATATAATTGCAACACTGAGATGAACGACCATAGAACATAGTTTGGTTTAAAAGTAAACTACGACAACTATGAAAACAGGAATAGGACAATCCAGAATAATAAGGTGAAATCTGATCATAGTAAGCGAACATCAACAAATGACCTTGCTTCGATCATGTGCATCTCCTTTTACTCCAAAAATGCTCGGAAAACGGAATGATAGTTTATATCTTTTGCTAATTTTCTGCACAGAGGTTTTCGGCTTTGAAAATGGATATGTATACACATGCATGTCGAAGTGAACGAATATAACGGCATCAGAATACAATTAAAAATTTAAAGCCAAATATTTATTTGATTTTTTTTCAAAATAATTTTGGTGTTTTAAGAAAATGAAATGAGTTTTAAAGGATGAATTTCGGAATGAACCGAACCACAATTATCTTCCATTCGATTCAAATCGAATTTCAAAGAAGAAAGATTTATTACTATGCTCGCTTTGACTAAAGTGGCATTGCAAACTCTAGCCTAATTTTTTGGTTTTTAAGCTTTATTTAAAACATTTACATATTTTAAATTTAGTGAAAAAAAAAACAAATCAATTCTTGATGTTCTGGTTGTTTTTCGTGAATCAAACTAAAAACAGAAACTCAAATTAGAAGATGCTGGAAGAAATTCCCAAGGAGACCCATGGAATATTTTTGAAACCCGATTTTAGAATAGCAGAGAAATGTCTAAAACACACAAATATACCTGCCAACATGCATTCTCAATAACAAAAATTACTCATTAGTTTAGCCTACTGATGTTTTTGTATAATAAGCAAAAAATCCCTGGAAAAAATGTTTTTTGGCTAAAATAAATTAGAAATTTTTAAAATATATTAATAAATTTGTTTTAAACCGTCAACTAAGGCTCCAATTTCAAAATAATCATTTTATTTTTAACCAAAGTGTTTACTTTTTCGATGGGAAGCACGCACTTGTTTAATAATAATTTGTTCATTTTTACAAGGCCTAGGAGCAATAGTTTACATATGAAAATTGAAAAGATTCAATTCGGAAAATATGTGCATACATCTGTGAAACAATACAACGAGGAAGTCTAATAAAATTGAATGAGCCATTTTGAATATTTGATATGTTTTGAATTCACCATTTAACTGAACAAAAGAGTCATGTATTCTGAGAGAGAAATGATTGAATATTTATGGTACACCTATTGTTTAAAGCAATAATTAAGTAAATTGTATGTTTAGGAGCCCTCAGCAAAGTATGGCAAAACTTTACGGCTAAGATTAGTACTGAAATTGGAAATATTTAATGCTTTATTTTCATTAATCCGTAATAATACGGTTGTGTTGAATAAATAATGACTCAACACGAATTTATCTGGGGGGAATAGGCTTATGTTACAAACCACCGATTTCAATTTCCGTTTCTCCATTGAGCTAGAAGAGTGCTCAGAATTGGGGGTGGTTCGTTTCAATTTACTTGAACCTTGCTCTTGGAGAAAGTTTAGTAAAAGAATGAGTATGTAAATAAATAAAATGTAACTATATATAAACAAAATTTAATCATAGTTGTATAGTTGCGCCAAAAACATATTACCTGCACATTCAAACTACGAATAATAGATTTACTAATGCACTTTGTCGAAAATAAATCGCACAAAATAATGTGAAAAAAGTGAACTTAGGGTAAAGGCTTCGCAAAAAAAAAAGTTACCAAATTATTCATAAATTGCAAGATGTTCAAGTAGAAAATAACGTGTTTGATATATGAAAAATCTCATAAAAAATTATCATCTAATTTTTTTTCAAAAAAAAAAAAACGATATCTTATAATTGCGATTTTCATGAATAGCAAATATGCATAAATTCAATGTGATCTATGTCAAATGACTACTATCCGATTTGTAGAAAACTACGGTTAATCTTTTAAAAACATATTATTTGTAAATGGAGGTGATGTTTTGAAAGACCTTTTAATTACACACCAAAACATTATTCTATATGTCAGAAAAATATATTTTCACATATAAAAACTGAATTGCTAATAGCAGGCTCTAGTCAAATCACGAGAGTCATCCGGATGCTCATTAGTAATTGTTTATAAGCTCCAATTTTTTAACCGAATTAATTTAATAGTTTTAGCTCTATTATAAAAAACTTTATCCACTTGCCGAGAATTCATTAATAATTTTCTCAAATACAAACAAAAGCGTTAAAATCCAAAAAAAACCATGGTTTTCGAAATTTGGATAAAGCGATAAAGAAACGTGATGAATAGAAAGCTTCTTCAACTTCTCTTCTCATTTTTGTATAAATTGGATTAGTTATTCAACGTAACAATCGCACATTAACAAATCCTAACGTTTAATAATTGGATTGGTTCGCAGATACATAGAACCCAAACAAAATCTAAAAGCAAATCCTATTAAGCAGAGTCAGGAGAGAAGTTTTCTTTAGAGTTGGCCATTTTTGGCGTTGGCATTTCTACTTACCGCGAGAAAGAAACAATAAAAACCTAAAATTTTAAACAGTCATAGTATGTGTTGTTTTTTTTTCAAGAGATGTCAATATATCGGACAAGAAATGAGTGATTGTTTGCAACGCTTTAGGTTCATGGGAATCGCAACTCATTGTTCTTTAAACAGTGAAATACGATATCTTTTCAACTTTCAACAATTGAATCAAAATGTTTTTTTTTCATTCAATTGAAAAAATATACAATTTCAAATATCTATATATAGAGGAGATGAATAAAGAAAATATAAATCCTTCATGCGTCGAAACGGAACAAAACGCAGAAGCCAACAATTATTTAGTGCACATTTTAATAACTTCCGAAAAGAAGTATTGTGGCACATGTTGGTTAGTAATAAAGACTTCATTCGAACGAAAGTTATATCATCGTCATGATTGAACCAATAAAAAGTGTAAACGGTTATGAATTAAGCTATTTATGTTGATGACGACGAAAAATAAAAAAGCGAAATGCGAAAAGAAGAGAAGGAACCAGAAAAATATTTTAATTTTTTTTTTCAATTTTTTCAAGTTGTGCCTCGGCACAAACTCATATTCTGTACTGAATTCAATATTTGAAGAGCAATAATTTGAGAAAAAATCCGCAAACAAAAATTCGCTGAGTGGGCAAAAAGGAATAACATTGAGAAGACATGCAACCCAAAATGGCAACATGGTTTCATTAAAGCTAAATTGAAATTCTCAAGATTTACGTTTCGTCGTGGGTTGAACGTGGGCGCAAATCAGGAGGAAGAATGTCATAAAATAATTTCCGCAACGTTTACATGACTAAAAACTTCCTTATCGGGACAAATATTATAAGGAATCATATGTCTGTTTGATAATTTCTATTACGATGTAAAAATATTCAAAAATTTGAGAAAAAAATGAAACAAAATGGATCGACAACTCTTCAATTGGATTCGATTAAACAAGAACATCTGTTAACTTGCACTTGGGTGTAGCTGCCAAACTCCGCGAACACCAAAACCGGTCTCATGTGCTCCATTATTTGCTTTGCAATGATGAGATGCGTCGGAAATGTTGATATTATTCATGTTCATATTATTATTTTTTCTGAAAAGGAACTCATTCAAAAAGAGAAAAAGAAGCGAAAAATGATGCTAATTTTTGGCAGTGTGTGTACTTCTTAACTGCCTAAATTTGCAGTTCAGATCGTTCATCGCTTGTTTTATTTGTCAAGCAGAAAGACAGTTTGTCCAGATTGTGAGAAGCCTTTCTTGAAATACGAATAAAGAATGACTAGTAAATGTATCTTTGTCATTTCGAAATGTCTTGTAAAGACATTAGGGTAATTGATCTTTTTTTTGCAAAGATTCAAATCACCAACAAAAAAGCAAAGTCGTACCCAAAAGTAGATAATAAAAATTTCTTGAATAATACAATGTTTGAATATGGTTTAGACTCTTGCACTTACCAAGTTTCTCTCTCAAAATGTGTTTTGAGATATTTAGTACGCAATGTTTAAAACGATATTTTTCTTCCGAAAAACCAATTAGATTTTCCACCAATGTTACTGAAGTGTATTGAATAACATGGGTAATTGTTGTGAATGGAAACAAGATACGAAACATTCAAATATTCTGTTCTTTTCTGTTATTCTATTAAACATGCTGAATTTACTATACATTTTATATTCTCACTTTATTATAAAATAACGCATTTATTAACGAACCCATTGACGACATATTGATGATTTAAAAAATAATGATATAAATACAAATACAAGGCTAATTATTGCCTGTGACATTATTTATAATAAAATATTGTCGGTTTCAAAAACCAAGATGTCTTGATGCAAAAAGAAAAAGACATTTAATAATCAATCAACGTTTAATTTAAATCTACACTGATTTAACGCAATTGAAGTTCCGCCCAGAGTAAAAATTAAAAAAAATTATATATATAACTTAAAATTAGACTTTGAAGCAAATTTAACGAAGCCATGTCTCTAAAAAAGCTTAAATAACTTATACATAATATTGAAATCGATTTTATATGGTTTCGTGTCATTAATTTCGAAACAGAGATTTTTTTGACAAATTCTCGTGTTGTTTTTTATTTTTGCAATTACGTAAATACGGTTTTTAAGCTCATTCATCCCTAATACGTCTATTATTATTTGACTAGAGCCATTTCAATTTTGAGTCAATATTCAAGAAGCATTTAGAATTCATCTCCGCCGTTTTTCCAGTATTCATAATGCGTTTCCGTGATGTTTGAACGGCAAACTAAAATCTCGCATCACCAAAATTGAGAAAAGAGGAGCCGGGCCAGGCAACCACAACGGACTCCAACACACATATATTCTAACTGCTTCGCCTGACTAGCTTCATACTTTTTGCATAGCATCGCGCCCCTTCCATTGAGAAATCTCCCAAAGCGGGAAAAAGGAGGCCTCCAACATCGATTTGAGTCCTAGTTCTATGTTCTCCAAAGCTCTTTCCCTCTTCCTATTCTCCGTTTTTTTGTGCCTCCGTCTTTTTCTATTTTTCCAGTTTTGAATGTCGTGCGCGAATATGTACACGTTACTCTTCGATTTCGATGACAGAGGATTTTCACTGAAAATTCTTCTTTTATTTTTCGTATATTTAATTTACATCTTGCCTTAAATCGTAGTAGAAGATGAAGAAGACGACGAAAATTCTGAACGGAAATATGATGAGCATGGTGTTGAATATCCTTCAAATGCTATATTCTTTTTCTTCTCTGATTTCTTTATAGTCGGGATACATATTTAAATTTTTAATTCTTAATATTATCACACATTATTTTTATAATTATCATCTATATTATTATTCATTTCAGAATGGAAAATGTTCGGGCTTACGGAGCTGGCCTAGCCAACACTAATTTCGATAAAAATACTTTTTTCAAAAAGCCAACTGTTCTATTTAGACTTGGAGCATTAGTAAGCCGTTGAAGCCCTTTTCAGAATTTCTTAAACCCTTTCTTCAGTTCCTCGGATTAATTTTATGGTATTCCGTGTCAAAGGGTGGCTGGCATAAGCCAAGCGACTCTATTCATTCGGTGAATCCCTATATTATTGGCAAAGAATAATTTATCGTCCAGGTTTGCCTCTATGGCCGTAGCTCGTCAACATGTTCATTCGCGACGGCAGTTGGATTTTTCGCGGTGTGCGGTGCCATTGCACTCATCTTCCTCGATGCCAAGCTTGATACAATTAGCTCGATACCAACACGAAAACGTGCCGTAATGGCGGACCTCATAGTTTCAGGTTGGAAAAAAAGCGAATCTACTCAGTCCGATATAATTCGTTGAATTCACAGTTATTTTCACCGTTATCTTTTTCATCGGTTTTTTCACGTTCTGGAGCAAGCTTTCATCGTTTGAAGTCGGCGAGGACGACGAAAATCCGATAAAAACTGGCAACGCGAAATTTGGAATTCTTAGCGCACTTCTCTCATTCATTGCATGGGTGCGTTCAATGCGAAAAGAATCTAATCAAATACAATTGTTCGACAAAATATGTAATGTTTAAAGTGAAATATATATTCACTTTCATCCATTCTTTTGATGGGACATATGTATGTACTCCATTAAATGCATATTTTTACCATTATGAATCAAACATTTCCAAGATTCGATGAAAATTTAATGAAAAACGTGAAGTGTATTGAGAAATATATACAAATTATTTACATATAGGGTGGTGCTGCATTTTTTGCATGGAGAAGATACGAGGAAGGCAATCAAGCTGTCGTCGAGCCGAATTACGAAGAGCATTTTGGACAAGTTGCGAATGAGGTTCAGGATGGATACGGCTACGGAGGAGATTCTTCGGGTAATTAAGAAACCACATGAAGAAAATTTAATATGTAAACATATAAAGGCATTGGCGCTGTGTCAAACACGCAATCGTATCAAGCTGGGGCTCCACCGCAAACATTCCAAGCACCACCAAACCAATTTGTGAACTCCGAAGGATATGGATATTAAGTTTTTACAGTTGCCTAAAAAGGCACTAGTAGATAAGTCAGGTGTCTTTTTTATAGCAAATAATGTTGTAAAGTAATTTATATACGTATGAATGATAATCAAAAGTGCCCCTATTCAATAGTTTTAAGTATTTTCCACACACTCATATTCTAGAATCCAAATCGATTTTATTATCATTAAAACAGTAATTGTAGTCTTCATTAATTTTGTTGTATTTGATAGTTAAGAATAAAGGATTTTCGTTTCACTTCCGCCTAGCGTCATTGTTTAGCGAAATTTGGACGATAAATGAATAATCAATCAACGACTGTTTTCGTTTTTTTTTTTTTGAAACACTGAATGACTGTGAAGATACAGATCGTAAAATTTCACAATTGATACGCCCCGCGCTACGGAAGGGCAATCGACCAGTATATTTAGAGTCAACCGTTTCACTGCATTCAAATCAAATTGTGTTTTCGTGACCAACATGATTCGCAGCCTTATTCTTGCGTTCTCTGTCTGTGCCTGCACTCAAGCCCTTCTTTTTGGACTCGTCGGAACTGAACAAGTGCTGTTTTCCTATTCATTATAAAATAACTGTCCTGTTTTCAGTCGACTGCTGTCACCGGAAAACTTACATGTCTTGGAAAACCAGCCGCAAATGTGAGAGTCAAGCTTTACGACAAGGAAGCCAGTAAGTAATTTATTTATGCGAATTGTTATTACTTTTCATTTCAGCATTGGACGTTCTTTTGGCCGAAGGAACCACTAATGAGGAAGGAGAATTTCTTCTTTCCGGACACAAAGTGGAAGTCAGTACCATTGATCCAAAACTCAACATTTACCACAAGTGCAATTACAATGGAGTATGTCGGACTACCAACAAACAGAAAATCAAGATTTCATTTCAGATCTGCTACAGAAAATCGTCTTTGACCATTCCTGATAATTACGTTACCGAGGGAGTTACACCAAACAAAACTTTCAATATTGGTGTTATCAATCTCGCCAACAAGTTCAGCGGAGATTCCACCGACTGCCTCAACTAAATTCTTCTTATATTTTATAATGTTTTATGAATTGATAGCAATAAAGTGTCAATTTCACTATACCGAATTAGTTTTAACAATGACAATGAAACCTTGGAAACCCGATGTGAACAATAGATTTGGCAGTCGATAATAGAATGCTGACCTTTACAACACACACATCTTACTTTGTGCGATAGCAGAATATCTAAACGTTTTAGCGAATTTTCTCGAATCGTTATCTACAACGAATGTTTTTACTTTCATTTTGGTTATATTCACATTATGAATCATTTCAATCCATTTAGGGTCAGCATCAATAATAGTGCGTTCGAGAACATTTGAATTTTCCAATAAAATCGCTTCGATTATAATTGTTTGAAAATTTCATTTAAACGTTTTATTATGGATAACGATTGAATAGGTATTGTTCATGAATAATTGGCATATGTCACGTGATGGCGTTCGTGTCAAATTAGCCAAATTCCTGACGCATAGAAATATTTCAATGAAGACTTTGATCAACTGAAACAATGAGGGTATATAAACAAAAGAACCTGAATTACAACATTCTCTTGACCTTATTTCATTTTCATCTATATCATTTGATCTTTCTTCACGCTATCACTTTACCGAATCCATTGCCTAACATATTTCGCAATTTCCATTTTAAGATGAAACACGTAACGGCTTTATTGTTTGCTTTGGTTGGATTTTGTTCAGCAATCAGTGTCGAAATAGGAACTGTTCAATCAATTGCTGTTACTGGTAAACTACTTTGTGACACCCAACCCGCAAAAAATGTAAAGGTGAAGCTCTACGAAGAAGAAGTTGGTATGTCGTCAGCTATTTTTCATTGTTCGAAGTTTTTTACAGCATTGGATGTCCTTCTCGATGAAAGATTCACAAAGGAAGACGGAACATTTGAAATGTCCGGACACAAGACTGAGGTCACGTCGATTGACCCCAAAGTCAACATTTATCACAAATGTAACTACGACGGTGTGAGTTATAGCGGAATACTTCAGAAAACTGTTGAAGAGGAAATTTAGTAAAAGTAGTAGTGAAATTTTGCAGGTGAATGTGGCAACGCCATAAAGAGAATTGTAAATAATATATTTTTTTCAATAATAATTGCCTATACTTGTATATAATGAAAAACCATTTATGAAACATAGCTCGAAAAAAATGTAAAAAGTATGCAGATAAAGAGTTTATTATCAATTCAGGTGTGTTTCCGAAAAATCAGCATAACCATTCCTGAAAACTTTGTGAGCAATGGTGAAACTCCTTCGAAGACGTTTGACATTGGAGAGATCAATTTGGCCTCGAAATTCACGGGACAATCAGTTGACTGTTTTAATTGAAAATTACATGACGTTATAATTTTTATCTGTTTTCCATTGAATGCCATATACTACAATAAACGATCGATTCTTCTTATCCTGGTGTGACCTGTCCATTCTTCCACCTGCTCATTAGACGCTCATAAAAAAAGTCGGAGTCCGTAGCGAGGGACTCGAAAATAACAATCACGTGCTAATCATGTGACGCGACATGTCGTTTTCTATGCGCTCGCCACTCTCATGCACTGCGTACGACGCAATATTACACACAATTTGACGGCGCATTTGGCGGCGTTGCGTCGAGTTTTACCATTATGGAATATCGCTCGAACGATAAAGGCAGGCGACTATTTTGCAACAAATTCATATTGAAATGTTCCCGATGTTTCTGTTTTATTTCGAAATCTGCTTTTTTTTTTAATATTTTTTGCTCATTTAACTATTTTTTTTAGTAAATTAACACCTCACATATGGATACGGTCCACGTATTTTTTGTAAATAAAGGACATGTACTATCGCTTTCAATAAATGTAAGTTTTTCTTTATTATATAGTTTGTTTAATTTTAATTACTGGTTATGCAGGTGTATACTACAACCGTTGAAAAATTAAACGAAATTTTATGTTCGGAAACGAATTTGCACATAAAACATCAAGTAAAAAAAAGAACCAGTATGCGTGATTTCATATTTTATTATAAAGATCTTATTGGATTCGAATGGCTCCTTTCTCGACCCAAGACAAACGATCTATTCGCTCAATGGAGCCGGAACCGAACAAAATCCGCTTTTTCTGTTTCAAAAGACTAAAGACAGAGAGGATATTTCGACAAGTGATGTCGGCTACATCATCCAGCAAATTGATAATTGCACCGAGCAGGTTTAAAGCTAAATCAATTGAAATTCGTAATAATTTATTGTATAGGCAAAGCTTGTTCTAGAACGAGAATCTGCAACCGACATTTTCATGCTTCTTCCCGAAAAAGCTAAAGAATGTAAAAGGATTCAGCAGATGGCGTTGAATACATGTTCCAGATATGTCAGAGAGCACAAATTGTTGTATCAGGTTTGCTTACTATATTTGTTTTTATATTAGTGGAAAGAATAATTTGTTGATATATTCTGATGATAACATAAAAGGGCATTGTGACTAGAGGATTTTATTTACAGGGTTGGATGGCGCTGATAAACAATCTAGACGAATCAATTGCAAAATTGAGTAAACGGACAAATCGTTTCGAGAACCTGATGGTTAAAATGAGAGAAATCTATGAGAAAGCTGAAATCCTGTTGCAAGACTTTTCGGAATCTCTTGTTCATCTCAAAAAAGTAAAAACAAGTGACTCACTAGTTAAAACCCTGGACTTCAGATTGATTTGCCGAATGAACTTCTTATTAAGTCATTTGGTAGCGCTTCTTTAAGCGCAACTGAAAAATTAACATTATATGATTGGATTACACGAGCCGATGACACAGCAACATTGGAAGAACTCGCAGAACAAGTCAAAACTCAAATTCTCTCTGTATGATACAACAGAACATTACTTATGTATTCAGTCAAAATTGATTTAGTTTAAAACGCATACGTGCAAAAATATATTCACGGCAATTAACAGTGTTGTTGAGCAGTCGCAAAATGCAGAATATCGTCATATTAAAGGCATTGCGAAACGATTCGAACAATTGGAGAATAGTCTTGCAAATTGCGCAGGTATGTGAGAAAATGCTTAAGAAATTGTGAACATGATAATGTAAATGCAGAGTTGAAAAAAGACGCTGATGGGTTAATCGATCAAATCACTGTCACGCCGAAAAACATAACTGAAGCCAAATTGAATGTGAGTCGTTTGTTTTGTAGCGAAAGTTTGTAGTGAGTCACATTCATCGCGCCGCCTCGAAAAAAGCACGTGTTTCATGAAGTGGTTTCGAACTGCGAAATAGGAAAGCTCAGTAGACTATATTTCTCTAAATATCTGTTATATCTATTAGTACTAACCACGTTCACACGCGATAATGCATTGATTTCAGCAACTTGTTCATGAGCATCTTCGGTATATGAGAGAGATCTTCGATTTCATGGAAAAACTGAAGAACACCGCGCGGGTATTCGATCAATCAAAACAGGAGCTTTTGCAAAACGTTAGAGCACGCCTTTCGGGTTTCATTGTGACATCGTATGATAAACTTAAATATGCTCACATGGAAATGATTACCTATGAGGAGAAATCGAATGGAGTTCGCCTGCGTCTCGACTTGCTCGAGCAAATCAAGGAGGCTCCCATTTTATACTCGCAGTTTGTATCAGAAGCGATTCGGCGAGCAATGTTCAAAAGCGAAATCGAACTATGGCATAATGATCATTCTGAAAGATGTATGAATATAACGAATGAAGAAAATGAGATGAGAAAACGGATATCAAAGAAACTTGAAAAACATTTTCTGAGATCTTTATTTTCTGGTGAAAATAAAATTTTGGAGAGCAAATAACCAGAAAAATCTTTCAGAAATGTTCGATGATTTGCCGCAGTTTTTTGTCAAAGCTCCTCTGCCTCCATTCGACGTGGGAATCCCAAAAATTGAGCAGAACTATCTTAGTCATTTGCGGCACAATGTTCCTGAGCTTGAAGCATATTTAAAAGTGAAGACTCCTGACATTTTAGCAAAACTTGCTGCCAGGTATTTTCTTGTAATTGTTGGCACTAATTTCACGATAAAAATTAGGGATCCACGTTGCGGCTCCATAGCTCAGATGAAAAGGGAAGAAAGTTTTTTCACGAAGGAACCACTTCCAAGTGCGCACTATAATTATTCTCCTGCTCAATGGCTGAGGTAATGCTTTATGAATGAAACATTAATAAAAAATATGTTATAGTGAGGATGGGGGCGAATCGTCTCCTGTTCCTCCATCGATTATGATGGCTAGATCTCCAGATGCAACCATGAGAGAATCTCAAATCGCAGCTATTCCTATAGTTCCTTCATTGCAACAATTAGATCTCTTGGTAAGTATCGAACTTCGCATGAATTTTGACAAAAAAATGTTGCAAAAAATTTAATATGGGAGGAGCGTTAAGCATATTAATTAAGTAATTATGCCTATTGAGTTTTAAAACGTTTTTTTATAGAATAACTCGTCGGTGTCGTGTGTTGCGCGAAGTGCTCCAATAGCTATCCCGTCAAATTGCTCACAACAACGGGAAGCGCCTCAACCACACCCGGTAATATTTTAGCCTAATATTCACGATTCAATTAAAAATTTCAGTTTTCTTCTGATGCATCCAGCAAATTTTCGATACCCGATCAACGATTCATTAATAGCACTGAAGATCAACAGCAGTTTTCTGTTGATGATGTTACTTCGAACACTCAATACTTGGATTTATTGACTTCGATGAAATTGGAAATCGCAACTCTTTCGAAAGGTCTTCGAGATACTAGAGCGGAAGTTATAAACAATTCGGATCGGTTCGCCAATGATTTCGAACAGATACATGACTTTTTATCATCTAAACTTCCAAATGGCATTATCCAGTTGAGGAAGGACTATGAGGAAAAGTTGGAAGCTCACTTGAGTACAATTAAAGTAATTCCGTCTGAAATAATGTACAACATATTAATATAATGTTCAGACTCTCACTGAGAAAATTGCTGAATCTGACGAAAATCAGAAGCAAAATGAAAATGAATTGGAATTGTTGAAAGCCGAAAAAGATGAGTTGATCGATAAACACGCGGAGGAAATAAAATCGTAAACAATTAGTGACAAAACATTAATCAACTCAGTTTTTCTTAAAAACAGATTCGAAGAAAAAATTGCCATGATGGAACAAGATATAAAAAACGTTGGGATGGAGACGTTTAAAAAGTTGACAATCGAATATGAATTGATGACGGATCAATTGCGAAGTGATCATGAAGAAGAACTGAATGTGCCGAACTACTATGGAATCATTTTCTATTTTCTATTTTCAGATTAAAGAATGCGAGATCAATAATTTGAAGAAAGAAATTGAGAAGAAAAATGCCGAACTTCAAAAATCTCAAATGGATCCACACACGGAAGAATTTAAGAAAAATCTTGTTGCAGAGATACGAGCAGATATTGAAAAGGAATACAAAGTATGAAAGCAACAATTTAATGGGAAGCGAATGATTCATCAATAACAAAGATTCATTCAAAAAAAAAAGAAATCAGAAGTCACAATAACAGATATTCAGGCACGAATAGATCGTATTACAAAGGCCATGGAACAGAAGAAGGACGAAAGTTTGGCAAGAATCAGGAAAGAAGGAGAAGTTGAAATGATGATTTTGCGCGACAAGAATGAACAATTGACGAAGACATCGAATGAAATAATTTCAAAGCTCAAAGAACTTATTAAGACAAATGTGGAAAATGGAGAGACTTTGCTTAAAGAAATTGACGATTCTATCGATGTTTTTGGTAATTATTGAAAATGAACCCTCGATTATTTATCATTTTTAGATGTTCATAGTAATTTTCCGACAAAACTGCCGAGCTGGAACGTTAAACGTTCCGCCTTCGCTAGTTCAAAGTATGTCAATCATTATTAAACCGGCCTTAAATGTAATTTTCAGATCGTCATCAGACATGGAAGAAAGCGTGATGGTTACTTCGATGAGTACCAGCACTGCCGTACCATTTTCTGAAGATTCAAGTGACGTTCAAACGTGAATTTAATAGTTCTCACATCTTGAAATATTTAGCATTTTTTAGAATTGACGTTGACAAAAACTGCGTCACAATATCTACTCAAACAAAAATTTGCCTTCCACAAATGAATATGATGGTTTCCATTCAAGATATTCGTGCCGGTTGCACTGTTTTGGTTATTTGGGATGATCGCCACAACTCTTACATTCTTTTCTGGTATGTTTCAACCCCAATTTGATAATATTTATTATAATTTATGTTTTTAACTATGTAATTTTCCGTTTTATAGACTATTGAGATGTGTTTTAACTACTTACTTCATCATCATTAATAACTTTTCGTAAGCTCGAAATTAAATGTTTCTATATTCTGCTATTTAACTTACAAAAACCAGATAATTTATTTTATATGTTTCGAAACGAAATTAATGTTGGCTTGTTCATAACACCTTAACATGTGTTCAATTTAATATCCAATATTATTAAGTGCCAATTCCAGTTCGAGCCAATTCCTTCACTTTGTAAAGGAATCGTCGCTTCGAAAGCTCGGACTGTCTCCGTCTGAAAAGAACACTCCAAGACGCAACTGGGTTCTTGGTCGTGCCGTTGGTGTTGATAACTGTGTGATTCGCAAACCTACAAATCGGTTAGTTTTCTTAAATTTTACAATATCCTAATAAAAGTTGTTTAGATACAAATTGCCAGTCTCCACTGTCGTTCGACGAGTCGATGTTGAACCTTTCCCACAAGAATTGGTTATCGACGAGCAGCTCTGAATTGTAAATTAATCATTTTGACTACGAGAAGTAGTTGTACATTCATACTACCCATATCTTATATATATGTTTCATGTGTGATCTGATTTGAATCAATTCCTAATATTGGAATTTTTCCGAGCCACATTTATTTTGATTAATTTGCCCTATATTTCTCACGGGATACACGATTCGCTCCTTCGAGATTCGCCGCCGTTCACTACCTTGCTTTTATATGCTGACCTATCTCGTTGCTATTGGGTTTTGAATGATTTGTCTTTGCATCTGTGTTTCAGAGTTACTTTATAACAAGTGTCAAATCTCCTTTCGACATGAAACGAATAAAGATTTACAAAGAAATAGACATCATAGGTCAACAATATCACTGTCACGTTCATTTATTCAATCAGTGTGATATGTTTGAACGAATTTAATCGCCGTTTTTTTCTTGAGTATGCAAACAAAGTGAGCATCTCCAAAAGTGAATTCATCGATATCCCGCAACTAGATTCGATAATGTTTTTATTGTTCGGTGAATTTACATTCTTTCAAAACTTTTTACACAGCGCGTTATTGTCTAATCCTTAAGGGTTGCGCCTTCTTGATTGCGTATGGCTTGAGCAAACGCTTACGTTTGCTCTTGTTTATTTCTTCCTGTTCCGATAGTGATTCACACAATGCGAACATTGTGCCGTGAACAACTATAACCGCTTTTCTCAAGTGATTGCCTATCATTCTTTTCAAGCCGCTAGATTTGTTTGAAAGTCTCGAACGATTTTTGGCCTCTCATTTTGTCCATCTGTTTTTTCAACGTTCAAAACAAACACTTTAGAGTAACAAACTCACATTTTAAATAAGGCAAGCATGTTTCCGCGCGAAAAGAGAGACCACTTGAAGAGCATCTACGCTTTGGCAATGGTCACATACACTCTTCATCCCAGCGATGATCCATGCGAAACATACAAAGCAGAACACACCTTTTTTGTGTGCTCAAATAGGTGCGTAGTGAATGATGCAAATTTTATTTTGAGCAAAACTCTTCTTCAGATCTGAACGTTTCTGTGCATCAGCTTGACAATAGGTTTCTTCTAAATTTCAAATTCTTTGCGTTTCAGTGAAAAAAAAAATCATGCATTTTTTCCAACCATGGCACTATTTAGGTTTTGACATTTGAAAAAACTCAAAAAATCTCTAAAAATGAATACAAATTGGAGAAAAACTATTAGTTGACTCTTTTCGTTTTTTGAGAATTGCTGTTTACAATATTTTACCTATAAGAGTATTTACATTCTTTCACAAGAATTTTCTCCATTTCATGAAAAGAGCTTCTAAGTTTGCAATCACATCATTGAATTTCACGGCAAACTCAAGATCGCTTTCGCATTGTTGTTTCCGGCATGATCAAAATTCACGCGTAGTATTTTTTCCGACAAAAGGGCTATGTACACTTTAGATAATGGTAGGCGGGATCGACGGCGCAATATCCTCTTAGAAAAAAATCAAAGTGGTGCCGCCGGGGTTTATAAAGTTGCATATTTTCCCTGACATTCAATTGTTAATGCGCAATATCGTATAACTCATTTTATCAGTTATCCTATAGAAGAATTCAAATAATTTCAGAAAATGTCTTCCAAAATGTTAATATTTTTCCTTATTGCTACCAATGTTGTGGCAGATACTCATTCGAATAGTAAGAACCATTTCTTCCTGAATTATGTCAATATTGTTATTTCTCAGAGCTTTCGTGGTGCGAATACTGGCAGAAACGTGGAATCCAAAGACCAGAATGTTTACCGCCACGAGTTCAGCACTGGTCAATTGCCAAAACAAGACATCATGAAAAAACCGGGGGTATGTCAATATTTGATGTCGACGTATGTATAATAAAATTTGAAACAGTCCTTTCTATGCCAATTTGCGATACTGTGACCGATTGGTCAAGGTGCCAGAAGTCTAACCATTGTCCATTAGGCTTGTTGTGTTGGAGAAGAGGGAGCCCGTGCTGCACACCGCAGCTTGCCACAAGCACAAATTTTGGTAATGGGGGAAACTTTACAAGTTAAAAAAATTGTATTCGTTTCAGGAACTGACCAGTGTCCGGTTCCGAAAACATTAGGAATAACTTGTAACACTCGGGTAAATTTAATTTGTTTTTTTTTTTGACTGAATGGTTTCTTCTAGAATCCAATTAATTGGTGTAACTCAGACCATGACTGCCATAGGTCTTCTGAAACTCAAAAGTGGGTCATCTTTTTGACATTTGTATTAATGGCGTATTTAATTCAGATGTTGTCCAACAGGATGTGGATATAATATGTGCCTTCATGTGAGTTCGAATTTGGAAATGAGCATGAGAAGTAACAAAGGCTTTCTCAATTCTCAGAACTTAGATGTTTTTTTTCAGTCGCGGCCATGTCATTCGTACCTGATACTTGTCCGCCAATGGATACTATCGAGGTTTCTTGCATTTCGAATGGGATCAGTTGGTGTCACACCAGCAGTCAATGTTTACAGAGCAAAGCACAATCCCGATCATGTTGTCCAACCAGGTAGATTTTCACATTCGATTCTCGTTTACGAGAATATTTTTCAGATGCGGATACAATGTATGCCTACTGCGACTATCACCAACAAAATGGATAATTGCCTAAATATTTGTATAAATCCATGAAAATGTATTTACAAGTAAATTATTTCCATATGATGCTTAAGTGCAAAAATCAAAAGAGAATGTTAGTTAATCACATTGGACACATTAATACTTGTTTTTTTTTTCCTGATAAAAAGTTGGCACACCTCGCTCTGGCTTCCGACTGCTCCTGCAGTTTCTGTCACAAATTTATTGAGTGACAGCCAAAACGAAAGCCGACTAATTTAGGCGGTTGATGTTCTCGCCCTTTCGCTACTTCATTCCGATATAGCGTCCATTTTCTATTGAGTCGAAATTCGGTGACGAAATTTCGCGTGGTGACTTTCATTAATCTCAAATATTTCGAATCTCATTTATTTCAGAAAAAAATAAATACGAAAATTTCGCGATTTATTCAAATTTCTTTTTCCGTTTCTGATTTCCTTTGAACTTCGAAAAAAGCAGCCAATTTATGCATTTTTAGCGCTCGTTCCCTATGCTTTTTACAATTGCTTGTCAGAATTGGAATCAATATTGTTTTTTATGGTTAGGTGGACGTATTTTTTAAAATTCCGAGAATTCCTAAAATGTTTATGTATGCGGAAGGGACAACTTCTTTCTGGCTTCTTTTAAACTTCGAGTTTCCGCTAATTGCTCCCCTGAGCATCAGATTCAATTTCGACTCTCATGCCATTCACAACTTTTTGACTGGCCGAAATCAACTCGTGGCGTATTTGGTATTCCATTTGGTTTCTTTTGGGTTTATGTCACGATTCACTTTCCTCTTATAATAAATAATAGTTTACCGTTATTTGTTTGATGAATCCTGACCAATTGCGGTAAACAACATTCTTTCGCTTTTTTTTCAGTTCAAAATATTATTTTTAGAAAATAATGATCCATTTCTACATTCTTCTCTTATATTTTGTTGATTCTACTGTAATGGACCCCCAACCTCCGCAACCATGCTTTTTGAAATGTAAGGACAATTATGTAAGATAATCAGCTATTAGGTCCAATCTAAATAAAAATAATTAGATGAATAATATGCAGTTTGATATGGGAGATTTTAACGAATGGTCAGTCGACATGATTACTCCAATCAATAGTCTATTGAAGTAAGAAATATTTTGCCCAATTTTCTTCTATTTATCTTGGTGTTCAGATTTAGCAGCGAACGAATGGCTTATCGGCTCACAAAGGCTTGCAAGTAATGAATTATAAATCAGATCCTCTTAATTATTTATATCAAACTTTAAGGAGGAACGACGAGTATTATATATGTCTCCGCAGATGCCCTAATGTGGCAGCCAAAGAAATTCTAATAAAAGGACAGAATGTTTGGAGAATACTTTGTCATGATTTTAGGAATGATACAGGTTAAAACGGTGAAGTAAACAAAGAAATGCACATTATTTAAGATTTTCGAACTATTATTGTGCCTTGTTGGTCAGAATACGGATTGGAGGTTTTCCAATATTTTAATGGAAACTCACAAAATTAGTTGTTTTTTTCTAGATATCAAGACGATGTGACAATTTGGCCGTATTCCTGCAATCTGAAGTGCAACAGTTACTACAGGCCGGATCATCATCTATTCAAGAATCTCTAGATGGACTCTGCAAGTAACTCAAAAATCGGCTAGCTTATTCTTTGAAATTGTCCTTTTTAGGAGTATTCATAGCTATGATAAATGTTTCGTTGATGAAAATTACGACTTCTGTGGTTCTGCAGCTGCACGGTTTTTAATCAAGCTAAACCATCAAACATCACAGTAAATCGTTCATATGTTTTCTGAAACCACAGAAGACTAATTGCAGTACAATCTTGGACTTGCTCGATTCAAATAATATGATAGGGAAACTTCCAAAAAGTTGTAAAGATTGGCTCAATCAGAAAGGGATGAGCGGATGGCAAAAAGCAAAGCCTTCCCAACGAAAGCTAAGAAATTTTGAACCTTCCTACTTTGTTGCGTTATCGTTTATAATACCTATTATGCTTATATAGTGCATACTGCTTAGCAGGAAAACCTCACTTTTATTTTCATTAACGTGTATACTTTACAACAAAATAAATAAATCTATTTTTATTTATGCTGCAAACAATGCAGTGGAATGACAGAGTGGACAATACGTTGAATTTGCAACTTTCGAAGGACAAGCTCTATGCTTGCATGTTGCACAAATCCAAAACCTTAAAGTTTGCAACACTTTTCCAGAAGCAATGCAGATTGGAAACTGTAAAATGGTAAAATACAACTTAAGCATCTAAAAGATAAATACCCTCGTTTTGCATTTTGGGCATACATGATCTAAATCTCGTATTGTAGTTTCACACGAAGGACACTTTACAGTTGCTTGAGGAATGTCAGTTGGTGGATATCTATAACGATATTTTTTTGCTAAAATTACAATACTTCTTACTCACGTATTGAATATTGAAATAGCCAAATCTTTCATAATATTTTGTTCCGTTTGTGTAAAGGTTTTCAGCGCTTCAAGGCGCATCATTGCTTTTGATGCGACCGCAAATAGTTTTGATTTAATTGCTGCCAAAACTATAACACATTTTTTTTGTATAAATTATTTAATAAGGTTGGTGCCGTACCAATCATTGGAAGAATTTCTTCAGGTTCTAAAATATCTTCATAATCGGTTAAAATCAAAGTTGTTCGTAAGCCTTATTGATAAGCCAGTAATATCAAATGATATGCCTCAGCTCCTCTCCAAGCCGTTTCCATTATTTTTGATTCTTCTAATGACAAGCCCATTTCCTCATTCAATGTTTCCTCAAGAATTTGTGTGGCCTTCAAAAAGTCATTTGTTGGTAATTGCATGACGTGGCACTCACATCAATTTTATTTTTACCCTGATTCCGTTGATTTCGCTGTTGCTCAACTAATAGAGCTGCCATCACATGTATCTTTTTCAAACGAGTGTAAGGGGCATTCCTTTTCTGTTCATCCCAAGCAATCTGTAGCACATATGATGCTGATGACATGAATCAGATGAAATTTAAATTGAAACATTTTCTGTATTCGAATAGGTTATGACTTTGTTTATCTCTACTGACATTTCGTTTGAAAAACAAAAAAATGACAAACCTCAAACGCCAGTATAGCGGCATCCATAAATCTTCCAGCCCTTTTATAAAGCTGGCAAGCCGCCATGGATTTTTCGTTGCTGCCCACTCGGAAGCCTCAAAATTGTTTTCTTTTGCTAACAAAAAATTCTAAAATTGATTGTTTCTCACTCCCAACGAGACGTTCTGCATATTTGGCCAACATGGATTCAACATCCTCAAGATTGTGAGCTTTCGCTATTTTGTTCGCGCGATCCCAAAAGTTGTGATCAATGCAACAACTCATTGCTTTTCGAGGAAGGCCAGTACGAATATAGCAATCGACAGCGGGTTCACATAATCCACGGCCAGCAAATATATCACCAATTGGCTGAAAATAACTCCAAGTGTTGCAATTCTTGAAAAGGTACAATTGATTTGCATTGATTCGACGTTTTGCGGAATTGAGTAACGTTGCAGAACAGCACCATTGTCTAATGAGATTTTAAACAGTGCACCTGATTCGCAAGAGGCTATTCAATTGGAAATAAAGAAGCTAAATTTGACGATAATACGATTAGAAATAAAATGATGTTGTTTATACAGCAACACCTGGTTTCATGGAATTACTAATCAAGAAATCTCCTAACTTAAGTAAAATTAATAATGATGATTCTCATAATTATCGAGAAATCTTACTTTGCTCAGATGCACTTTATCAAAAATTTGATAAAAGTAGTAAACGATATAATGCTGATGCTAGTGATAAATGGAAATTCATAAAAGATAATTATTTTGTTACTAAGAGTCCAGCTACTAATATTAGTGTCGCGAAAGCTCAAGGATCTCAAGGAAGTAGTATTGTCGCTGAATTCTTACCAAATCCAAAGGATTCTAAGATAATCATAGATTTTTTACCATCAGAAATTAATGATCTTATGGATTCATTAAGATTATCTATATCTAGTTATCAAGCTGGAAATAATGCTGAATATAATAAGATTCACTCGATATTAGATGAATTACTTCAAAGAAAGAAGATAAAAAAGAAAGATTTACCTTGTATTTATATGAATATCGGTTTTTAGACCAAAGCATTTTTCAAATGAATATTGGTTTCTAACCAATGACCTAAAGGAGTATAGGATTCTAAATCCCTTACCAAAGGTTATCAGTCTTTAGACCAAAGCATTTTTCAAATGAATATTGGATTGTAAATCCTAATGACCTAAAGGAATATCGGTCTTTAGAGCGTATTTAAAAAAATTATTTAACAAGTTTTTCGCTTCTGAAGGAAGCTTGCTGACGCTGAATAATATTATTCTCTTATCCATTTCCTTTTTTGACATATGTTCTTGAAACACTTGAAAATTCTCCTGGAACTCCTACTCTTTTATACTTTTCTCCATATTGCTTATGTTCTAACTCCAAATCGTTTAGATAATCAAGACATTCCTTATTTGATAAGGTCTTTTTAGTACTCAAAGTAATTGCTAAATCAATAGTAGGAATTTCTACACTCTGGGATTTCAGCTTTTCATTATATTTCTTTCTGAGTTCATTATGCTCATCTCTTTCTTTCTGAAAGTCGTGATGTAATTGTTCAATCAAAAGTTGTTTCTTTTTATTAGAAATCTTTGAAACATTGATTATAACACTTTTACATTCACTTTCACACTTCTTAATTAAAAATTCAGTAAATGCATATTTGTAGGCTGCTTTATCAACATCAGATATTTTAGAACATTCTACACTGGTTATCATATTTTCAATAGCATCTAAATAGTTCTGAGCAGTTTCTCTAGTATTTTCATTTTTCGTATACATACTTATTTCTGTCAAGTCTACATTTGATGATCCATTAATCTTTTGTACATCTTTTATAAATCTGGATAGTCTCAACTCTGTCATTTATTACAGTAAAAAATTCGAAGTAATAAAGTAAAGTAGTATTGTAATAAGGTATGGCAATATGGTAAGTTAATAGAGTAAAGTAGAGTAATGAAGTAAAGTAAAGTAAAGTAAAGTAAAAAGGTATTGTAAATAATTTTCTAAATAAATGGAAGTACAACAATTGATAGAAGAGCTGAAAATATATGATTTTAAAATGAATAGTATTTCATCTTATTCTAAGAAAACAGGAATATCACCTAAAACAATCAAACAGTATCTACTACCGAATAATATTCCTCATAATTCTAAAGGAGTTGTGAATGATCTAAAAAGAGATGCTAGTGGAAGTTATTGTCTTTCTAAAAGCACGATAAATTTTCCAAAGTGTGAAAGTCTTACTAAAAAGAAAAAAAAATTTTATCAAAAAGAGAACACCAGAAAACAGATAGCTTTTATTCTGAATAGTATAACTCAAAATAAATAAAAGTACTTTAAACATTTTCTGAATCTACCATCATCAATGTCTGAAGTTTTATCAATAGTTAGAAAGTTATACTTCTTAGACCACGTGTGTCTAGTAAATTCAAGAAATTCTTCCTTTTTAATTTCACTACAATGATAACGGTAGATGTAATCAGTATATTTTTTACATTTGAAACAGTATACTAATTCCATAATTTAGAAGTTAAAATTTTTTGGATACAAATATCTTATTTGATTTTGTGAAATGGGGGACATTCAGTGAAAATGAATGTCTTTACTAGAAAGTGAATTCACTTCCACCTAGCCATGAACCCAAAACATGGCTACCTCAACTGAGGTATTAACTTTTTTCACTTGACTTCAATCAAATAAGTTATTTGTTTTTTTTCTTTTTGGAAATAAAACAAGAAGATGAAATAACAACAAACGTGAAATAACAAAAAAATTAACAACAACAATCAAATGATTATTCACTTTCTCCCCTTCCGGAGAAGATTCTTCAAGTCGTTACATAAACTTTTTTCTCAGAATTTCGATTGCTCATTTAACATTTCCTGCTGAAATATATCATATTCATTTAATGTCTTTGTTGTTATTCTGAAGACGTTCATTATTCACCTTTAGTAGTTCGTTCAATTTTTCTTCTCGTTAAACATAATAAAATATCTGGTCAGTGAACACATCTTTCACTGTTCGAAGAGATTCACCAATTTCGTTAAATTGTTTTTGTAGTAAAACCTGCAAATAATTAATAATCTAGTGTATCAAACAGAAAAGACTTACCAGTTCTTTCTGTTCACTTTTATACTTTCTATGGAGAAGTAAAGATTTCTTGACACGAGAAGCATCCTCCATTTTAGCAGAAAATATTGAACTTTGTTTGAAAAACATCTTGAAAATGAAATAACAATACAAAAACTGAAGAATATCTGCGACGCAAATCGTTCTCAAATGATACACTTCGTTCTTTCATACCTGTTTGCCAGTACATTCGAGAAGTTTCGAGTGTGACCAAACTCGTCGAGTTATAGATCTTACAGATTGACCACTCTCTCTCTCTCTCTCTCTCCTTCTGTTCTTTCCTTCACTAGGTGAATGTCTTTCAGATCCTTTGGTGTGACGTCTTTGAACTAGCAATTTCTCTTTCCCTTTGTGTGACCTTCTTTTCCTCCCTCTGACCGTGCACAATCATACATTTGCCCCGACGCGATAGGCTAGAGTGGAAGACAAAGACGCGTCTGTGACCAGAGACGCAGAGGAAGGAGAGAGAATGCCAACAACGGACTCTTCCATTAACTCTCGTTTTTATTATTATATTCTCACTTTAATTTAGAAATTGGTATCAACGTTTCCTTTTTTTCTCAAACTGATAGAATTTGTTTACAGAATTCGTAATCCAACATGCCCCAGAGTTTCGTTTCGGTGAGTTAAGCTTTAATTTTAGAATTCTTGTTAAACTTTAATTTTAGAATTATTAAATTAACATTTCATTTCAGGCAGGCGCTCGTACTCTGTGTCTTACATTCTCCGATGTTAGTACCAAACTAAAGGATATGTGAGTTTATGATTTCTAATTATTGTTTATTTTCACTTTAGTTTATTGTTTATTTTATATGCTCTAGGTACATATATTGCGATGGCGATGCGCGTGCAGTACTAGATGGGACACTTTTGCAGTACATTGGAGAGCTTGACGCGTTGCTTCAAAACCCTAATGGTATGCGAAACATCTAAAATTTTCGGTTTCTCGTATAAAAATTTTAAAGAAAATATTCATACTTTGTAAATTTAAAACTTTTCCTGTAGTTATTAAAACGATTTTGTTTTAGTTCGCGGTCACCTTGACCCGACGATGCGTATACCGGTTGTGAGCCAAGTATGTTTCTTTTTTCTAAGAATCTATTAACAATAAATTATAATATTAAACTAATATATGCAAAATGTATTTAGAATTCAACAACCGGAGTAATGCTCAAGAGAATGAAACGACAAATCAAGGCTGTTTCTGTCCTCTCCGACGTTGTCCATCTTGGTATGTTTCAATATTTTAAAGATATATTTTTAAAATCTTTCTATTTTTACTATTTGGATTAATGACATGTATTAATTTTGTTTTTTTATAGATCCGCCGGCAAATCCGAATAAAGACGCTGTAATATCGAAAGCATATCAGGTGCTGAATTTGCTCTACGACGCGATCACGCCACCGCCGTCGAGTTCCGGCACTGATTGTGCAACGGACACCGACTGAGTCTATTTTCTTCATCTTCTCATTGCGAAATAATCATTATTTAATGAAAAAAAAATGACTGAAATGCAAGAATTTGTGTAAATGGGTGAAAGGGTGCGTTAGCGTCAACCTTTCTTATACTACTTTGCTCGATTCAAAAATATTGATAGGGAAACTTCCAAAAAGTTGTAAAGATTGACTCAATCAGAAAGGAACGAGCGGATGGCAAAAAGCAAAGCCTTCCCAACGAAAGCTAAGAAATTTTGAACCTTCCTACTTTGTTGCGTTATCGTTTATAATACCTATTATGCTTATATAGTGCATACTGCTTAGCAGGAAAACCTCACTTTTATTTTCATTAACGTGTATACTTTACAACAAAATAAATAAATCTATTTTTATTTATGTTGCAAATGATGCAGTGGAATGACAGAGTGGACAATACGTTGAATTTGCAACTTTCGAAGGACAAGCTCTATGCTTGCATGTTGCACAAATCCAAAACCTTAAAGTTTGCAACACTTTTCCAGAAGCAATGCAGATTGGAAACTGTAAAATGGTAAAATACAACTTAAGCATCTAAATGATAAATACCCTCGTTTTGCATTTTGGGCATACATGATCTAAATCTCGTATTGTAGTTTCACACGAAGGACACTTTACAGTTGCTTGAGGAATGTCAGTTGGTGGATATCTATAACGATATTTTTTTGCTAAAATTACAATAATTCTTACTCACGTATTGAATATTGAAATAGCCAAATCTTTCATAATATTTTGTTCCGCTTGTGTAAAGGTTTTCAGCGCTTCAAGGCGCATCATTGCTTTTGATGCGACCGCAAATAGTTTTGATTTAATTGCTGCCAAAACTATAACACATTTTTTTGTAAAAATTATTTAATGAGGTGGGTGCCGTACCAATCATTGGAAGAATTTCTTCAGGTTCTAAAATATCTTCATAATCGGTTAAAATCAAAGCTGTTCGTAAGCCTTCTTCAGGAGAGCCTGTCAGAAAAATTCACAATTAATACATTTATGCAATTTGATCCACCTTGATATAAGTACTGATAAGCCAGTAATATCAAATGATATGCCTCAGCTCCTCTCCAAGCCGTTTCCATTATTTTTGATTCTTCTAATGACAAGTCCATTTCCTCATTCAATGTTTCCTCAAGAATTTGTGTGGCCTTCAAAGAGTCATTTGTTGGTAATTGCATGACGTGGCACTCACATCAATTTTATTTTTACCCTGATTCCGTTGATTTCGCTGTTGCTCAACTAATAGAGCTGCCATCACATGTATCTTTTTCAAACGAGTGTAAGGGGCATTCCTTTTCTGTTCATCCCAAGCAATCTGTAGCACATATGATGCTGATGACATGAATCAGATGAAATTTACATTGAAACAATTTCTGTATTCGAATAGGTTATGATTTTGTTTATCTCTATCGACATTTCGTTTGAAAAATAAAAAAAAATGACGAACCTCAAACGCCAGTTTAGCGGCATCCATAAATCTTCCAGCCCTTTTATAAAGCTGGCAAGCCGCCATGGATTTTTCGTTGCTGCCCACTCGGAAGCCTCAAAATTGTTTTCCTTTGGTAACAAAAAATTCTAAAATTGATTGTTTCTCACTCCCAACGAGACGTTCTGCATATTTGGCCAACATGGATTCAACATCCTCAAGATTGTGAGCTTTCGCTATTTTGTTCGCGCGATCCCAAAAGTTGAGCTCAATGCAACAACTCATTGCTTTTCGAGGGAGGCCAGTTCGAATATAGCAATCGACAGCGGGTTCACATAATCCACGGCCAGCAAATATATCACCAATTGGCTGAAAATAACTCCATTTACGAAATCTAAGGATTAGATGAAACTTCGAGTAATTGATGATTATCTGGTAGTTGGCATGCTAAATCCTCGAGTTCGCCAAAAAGCGTCCCGAATACACACGCTTCAATTCTTTTCTCAAGCACATTACATTTTCGATAATACTCGGATGCGTTTTTCCTACGAGTACCATAATTAGTAAGAGTAAACTATTTAATCGTACCACATCTGTCGCTCAAAGTAATAATCTGCAACGTACTCGAGCACCTGCATTCGAACAGAATCATCACCATCTGCAGGGAGCAAACGTAAAACACTTCGATAATCGAAAACGTCTTTATACATTTGAATCGCAAGATCTCTAAAAATGAATTGTTAAAGAAAAATTCAAAAATATATACCTTCGATCACACTGTATATAGGTCTTTTCAGCTTTCTCGAAATTTGTCAGATGGGCAAAAACTTCTGCTCGTTTCAGATCCGTGTTGGTAATATTTTGCAAACGTTTGCAGAACGATATTCCGGCATAATCAGAAAGTTTCACATAAGCATGTTCCGCTGTGGCAACATCGAGTTTATGAAGGGCAACCTCTGCTAAAAGTTTCCACAACATTGGATGAGGATTTTTTTCAATGAACGTAGTTGCTTCGTCAATTTTCATCCGTTCCAGTAAATGTTTACAATCTCTTAGAGACTGTAAAAAAGGACGTAATTAAATATAATCAACGTATAGATTTTCTCACCTTTATTTCAATATCTTGGATGTTTTTCTTTTCCGGTTTCTCTGGTTTCATTAGGAAATTATCCACCAGAACAGTTCTTACAGTAAGCCCGCGGAACGAGCAAATATATCCTGATGTAGTTACTGGTTCCTCAGATTCATCGCCTTTAAGCACAATCATTTTAGCTTTTTCATTTAAAGCAATCATATCTTCTTTCTCCTTAAAAAAACCATTAGAATAGTAAGGCTCCAAAGAAAACTAACTGAGTCCCACTTATAGCTCCAAACATCTCGTCGCTCCAGACTTGTTAATTTGTTCAATTGGTTATCACCGATTTCAAAGAATTGTAAAATATTATTCTTATCAAGTGTTGCAATTCTTGAAAAGGTACAATTGATTTGCATTGATTCGACGTTTTGCGGAATTGAGTAACGTTGCAGAACAGCACCATTGTCTAATGAGATTTTAAACAGTGCACCTGATTCGCAAGCCTGTTTTGTAAAAAACAATTAACCACAAATATGATATAATTAAAACATACTGCAAAGAAATAAGAGTCTGCTATACAAAGCGCACAAATCGAATCGTTTCCTCTTCCAAACTGGAAAACAAATTAAACATTTGATATTTGATAAATTTATTTGATGGACACACCTTTCTTCTCGAACCAAAGTCGCCAGCAACTGGAGGGTTTTCTAATGCATGTATGCTGAAAAAGCAGTTCACACTACCGAAATTTTGAATTTCCCTCACATATCGTCTTTTCCGTGCCCCAAAATGTTTGCTCTTTTCACTCCATCGTATTTCGGAAGCACGAAATGCCAAATAAAGTATGATTCTCCGCCAGCAATTACGGCTGCCATATTGTTAAGTGCCACGCAGTGTGGCTCGACATCAGTATATTTGAAATCCAGAGCAGTTCCTATACTATTACAAAGTTGGGCAAAATAGGTTCCATTTGGATCATCTTGTCGATTAACAATCACACAGAAATCATCATGGCAAGCGATTTGTTCAAATTTGGATATCGTTTTTGAGAACGTTTCTTCAATCTGCAGAAAATAGTTTATCCAATGACGTTGAGATGTTCACACCTTAGTTTCGTAAAATACTACTGAAAATTGATTGCGCTCTACTTTTTCAAACACGTAAATTACGGTCCTTCCGATGTAGCCCCACTAAAAGTTTAAAATGAATATTAATACGTTTTTTCCTGTACGCACTTTATATTGTGGTCTTATATTTCCAAAATAAACATTACTGTCAGTTGTTACAGCAATTCTCAGTCCACTGGGATCCCAAGCAACACCTGTTAGTGATGATGTATCCTTGATTCTCAAAAATGATATCATCTAAAAATTTTAATATTATTATTAAAATTGCTTGGTTTAAAATATTCAACCTTTCCATAAGCTGACATTATATGAATTACTGCTTGCTCATTTTTCGGCATGTCCGTTTGAAAGCCAGTAACAGCAACAAAAGCCCCATTTGGTGACCAACGACATCTTGTTAGAACGAAATGTGGGAACCGAACAATAATTGGATCTGAAAAAGATATGCAATATTTTTTAGAATTAGTCAACCACCAAATTACGTGGATCGTTTTCAGTTCGCATAAGTTGAATGACACCGTGCGAATATGCAACAAGTAGTCGAGGTCTATCTGGCATTATAGGTACGGGCATCTTATAATACAATATGATATTGTTTTCTTGATTAAATTGATACTTACAGTTATTCCCTCCAGAAGCTGACTTTCTTCAAATGTAAGAGATTGCGAGATTGTCGGAATCCGTATTGGTTCAATTACTAAACTAGAGATAACAAAAATCGAAGAAAAAACAAGCAACAAACCATCTTTTTCATGAGGAACAACTTTTGATCGCAATGTTGGATAATACCATTTAATATCAATAATTTGTTCTTTTTTCAGATCGTCTGGAACTCCTTCTCATAAACATGACAACCGGTTGTAGTCTAAACTTACTAGCTAATGCAGCTTCTAATTCAACTGTTTCAAGGGCAACCATATGAATTTTTTGCTATAATCAAGGTATTAATAAAGAGTTCAATTTTGAAACTTACAACAAAATTTCCAACTGGATCGTATACATGTACCTCACCTTCTGTTGTTCCAAAGAGTAATGTATTGCCATCAGGGGCCCACTTAAACATTAAATTAGTAATGTTTTTAATCGTTTTTCCCACTTCACAAGCTGCTAATGTGTTTGGCAAATCTTTATTCCATATGCGGTTCCCTTCCATTGTTCCAACAATAACTTGCCCATCGGCATAAGCAATTGCAATTTTTGTTCCATCACAATTCCATCCCATACCACAAACCGTACTTTTGTTTCTAAAATATCAAATTTGAAAGTCAAATTCAAATTTTTGTATTTTTTCTTTACCTGTTGTTTATCATTTCTTCGAACCAGCTATCATTATGCATTCCCCACACAATTATGAGACCGCTTGTATCACTTGTTGTAAGTTTCTGATACATTTCATTCCACGCCGCACATACAATTGTTGCTAAAACCTCATTTTAGTTACAATATTAAAAATGCAACTCACAGCTGTGACCTTCCAATGCTTGATTGACAGACAAACTGTTTGATCCTTTCACAGTATCAAGTTTAACTATTTTTAAAGTTCCCATTGTTCCTCCAGTTGCAATAAAATTTGTATTCTGATTCCACTCGATACAATTTAATTCTGATGTTGACGGTATTCCAATCTGAATATAAAAAAATGTAAATTTAACTAAATTTTTCAAACCTTTTTACTTAAGTACATTCCCATTGATTTAATGGTTTTGTCATTGTAGTTAGCCATAGTTTTGAGAGTTGCTTTTTTCATTTTGACTTCAAATTGTGAGTAATAATCCAATGAAACCAATAATAACGTAGTATCCTACAAGCTTGGAAAAGAAAGTCACCGGTTGAGGAAAAGCGTTGTTGCCATGGTAACGCGTTGTATCTTGGACGAAGGAATAAATTCTAATCGCACAAAGAGGATTCGGTGAATTCGAAATTTTAGAAGAATGAAATAAATTCTGTCCAAGGAATATTTCATCTGTTCTGTGAATATGTGAAATAGAATAAAAAACTAATTTCAGCATTGATTGTTTAATTGGAAAAAACTTTGCAGATTTTTTCTTTCTTTTAATAATTGTGAAATGATATTCAGGTAAAATAGAAAGTGTTTGGATAGATTTAGTTTATCATTTAGATACAGATTATATTGATTTTTTGTTACGTTGCATTTAAAAAAATGTATGAAGGCATGGCGCAGAAGTTTTCAGCATGAAGTTAACAATTCGGAGATTAATCATACAAAATGAAAACAAGTTCCAACAATTTTTTCAAGATTGAGATAACTTCACTTTCGACTTTCAATCACATCCGTTCTAGCCTTACATTGGACAGGGTTTTGATAAACGAAAAAAAAGTTTTTATGTTACAAAGAGGTTATTCGTAACTGTATTAATAGTGAATAATCAATTTGTGTAATATTTATCTACTACAGAACTTTACAAAATTATTATTATAAATCAACAACCAAAAAGTCTCGCTCCCGGGTGGGCTCGAACCACCAACCTTTCGGTTAACAGCCGAACGCGCTGCCTATTGCGCCACGGAAGCCGCTGAATCTTTACGCTGTTACTCAAGACATATGCTGCCTCAACAGCGTGAACTCAACAATCGATTTAGTGTCAATGAATTAAAGTAAAAACCAGTACGTAAAAAGGGATGATACAATAAAATGGCCAATTTTTGAAACGGCACAAATCAGAATAATTGAAATAAAAGAATAAAAACCAGAAAACACAACTCATTCGAATTTTTGATTTTTTTCAATTTGAACATTTTAAAAACTGTTTTCAAGTTTTTTAAAACTATTTTTTGACAAATAATTAACGACATTTTTAACCTCACATCGAAGAAGGTTCTTTAACGAAATGTCAATACAAAAATGTAAGTTCAACCAAAAATTTAATTTAAAGAATTTTTTATATTTTAATATTATTGTTAACTGAGATACTTAAACTGCTGAAAAGTATATTTTCACAGTATTTTAGAACTTATTATAAAAATAGTTATCGTATAATATAAATCATTCATTTATATAAAACACAAGTTTTCCTCAACCCTTGCTCATTACATTTGTTCAAATTCGGAGAAGCTGCAAGTATCTACAAAATATTGTCTATATTTTATTCAACGTATTTATACAAACCGAAATATATTTTTCTGATATACTCATATTTAGTAAAGAAAAACGGTCATTTGTTACATTGTGTATAATTTTAGTTTACAACTTTTTTAGATAATAGTACATTGATAAATGGAAACAATACAGCGCGACAATTTTTTGTATTCAATTTTTGCTAGCCAATTTCATAATCATTCATGTTCTCTCGGATTAGTGTATAGACAATCTCGAATATTCTTTTAGTTATGTTATTTCCATATCGGAAATTGCGACTACTTCGTGTGCACATCTCATAAACTTTCTACTTGATGAGTTAATTTCTTTGCCTAATTTGTCTTGTGTTTTAACTACTCTGCACTAACTAGCAACAAGTCTAAACAGCAAACGTTAATTTTCTACTTTAACACAGCGTTCATTTATCTATTATAATCGCTTTCGTTATGTTGAATTCCCTGAATGAATGCAATTCATATTCCGGATTCGTTTTCAATCAATTCATATTAGTTTGCTAATCGCTCGGACTTAGTTGCGCGATAGAAAATAATATAATCCTTTCTAAAAATTAGGATAACAGAAAGCCTTGATGAATTGAAAAAATCGAGATGATAGAGGGAAAGAGAGACATGATAATCTGTTATTTTGAATATGATTCCCATCGAGCCGATGAAAGATTTGCTCCGAACAGGAACTATTCTTGTTACATTATTCAAAAACAAATATATTTTTTCATTGAAATCTCTCATTCACAATGCTTTCAACACATTTGCTCCGATATCATTCTCTATGCTTTCTTAGGACATAATTAGTGTATATTTATTATAATACCTATATAAAATCTCATTAGAAAATTTAACAAACATGTTGAGAACATTTTCGAATAAATTAAGATTTTCATCATTATTTGCCTGTTTTTATCATCTTTTTGAGATTTCTCAATTTTTTCATCTCACAATCAATTAATTATAATTTCTCACAATTTTTTCGACAGATAATGTATCCACAGACGTCATTCATACATACAGAATTTGTTTCAGGTGCTCACTACTATCGAGTATTGGATGTACACGGAGAAGTTATGAACTCGCCGAGGTAATGTGTGTATGTCCGAAAATTCTCGAGTTATGCCTATGCTTTTCCAATATTCGTAACTTGCCCCATTTAACCTTGTTAAGCTCATATTATTCAATTATATTATTCATAGAACATCCTTTCTATCTTTCTATACCGCAGGTTTTCATTTCTAGTTTTGAATAGGGCCAATTGAACGAGAAAAATTGAAAATACCTAGATGAGCGATTTATACTTTACATGAATAAGGTCTATGAAATCGTTCTTATTATGGAAAATTAAATGAGAGAATACAACTGTCATCAATGCTACTTTTCAATTTTTATTTTCTGCTGAAAAAAGTCAAGAAAACATCACAATAGTTCTAATATTTGTATCAAATATTTTCGAAAAACAATAATATTTCAAACAATATTCTTCTCCCTAATAATTGCCCAATAATAATATTTTAAGAGTGTCTTCACCACCAACATCGCCATCTCACCTTCACGTTCGCAAGTTGAGCACGACTAAAGAAGACGAGGCGAAAACAAACACTCGAAAGCCCGGAAGAAAGGTGAGGCTTCGATAGCGCTCTTCCAAATTTGGAATTTCTTTCTCAACTAATCAATAATCGTCGCTATAATTCCTATTCAAAATTGATAATCCTTGTTGCGGTCTTCTTTTCTTTCATGGTCCTTCAAGCTTAATACATACAACGTTTTTTCTGCAATATACTTTATCGTGTAATTCCAAATGGCACTCACGACCAATGATGTGATCAGCTCAATTCATTTGGATTAGCAGTCGCATATAGCATATATCGATTATAAAAACTAGTTTGCAGCTTGTTGCTCTTTCCGGCGAGGAAGATATTATGAGTGGAGGACCACCGCCGGTGCAGCCGCCAAAAAGCCGCTTCCGGAATGGTCATGCTTCATTTCGACTTCGCATGCTACAAGAACAACATGGAACTGGATTTGAACCTGTAAGTTTGAAAGTATTCAAAAAAGAGAAATGCTGTGGCCAAAAAATTCTTATATTATTCGACAAGTTCAATCCCCCGTCAAATTAACAATTATCAGTTTTTTTTAACAGAAATAAACGTAAAAATTGTTTTCAGTGGGTTCAATACTAAATACGTTTTACTCACACATTATTTCTTTTAAGCTTATCATTTTTTTTAAATTTTTTTTAGTTAATAAGAAAATTTAACGGATATTATTTGAATTTTGTGAATCATACAGTAATGTAAAACATTTTTCTTCAATTTTGGAATATCTGTTTTTTAATGAGACCACCTTTTTTAATTGATTTAATCCTAAAAATAACTGCCATACATTTGATAAATCTGATAATATTATTTTATATTTACATGCGGTTTTTAATATAATGTATGGTGACAAACGATGTTTGCTCTATACAAATCTTATACAATAGTTGTATCCTTAAGACGAAGGAAGTATTGAATGAGTAACATCATAAACCAGCGTCTATGGTTTTTATTGCATATTATGATGTTAAATTTGAACAACTAAAAATTGAAACTTTTTTCATTTTTTTAATTTTTATTTTAACTTTTTAATTTTTTTTTTAGCATTTTTCGTTTTTTTTTTCTTATTCGTGAATTTGAACCGCATTTGAAATTAATTCGTTAAAAATGTTTTTTCAATTATTCTTTCACAGATTTTTGAGTTTAATGCGTTTTTTTCGAAATAACTTCTCGATTTAAACCTCAAACACAGATTAATATTTCCTTTGGTTTATTTCGGAAATTAGTTTACGATATGCTATGCATTCTAAAAATTCCATTTCAATCTCTTCCGTCATAATGCATTTAATAATAAAAAGTCAGTTGTGCCAATTCATAAACGCCGGCTTATCACCATGGATTTTTAGTAAAGAATTATTTTGAAATGCCCTCCCCCCATCTAGTCTTTTCACAGCCATAATAATAATCCTCCTTTGAACTTCATCCCGCGATGGGGAATTTATTCACATTTAATCATTATTAGTCTTCTTGTTTTCCTGCATTCGAATAGATTTCTAATATCTACTTGATGTCGTCGATTCTATTTTTTTTAGAAGTTTTGAATTGCTTTTAATGAAGTTTGAAAACCAAAAATTTGATATGAGACGTGACATTCGATTATGGATTATGTATAGTAAAGCTGAATTAGCATACATTAAAATTTCAATTTCCTGTAGTGTATCTTCTCCATTACAGGATATGAGAGAGTATTGGTGAATTGTTTGTGAATTTATTCTTTGCGATCATATTGCACTTATTGTAATTCTGCTAAATTTAGCTTTTGCTCGTTTTATATCAACAAATGCTCTTGTATTATTGTTGCTTTATTTTTTTGTTGACTTACAGAAAAAAAATTATGTCTTGGACTAATGCCAATGAAGGTTCGGCATGGATATCAAGCAAAATGAAGGAAAAGGTTTTATTTTTGAATTTGCAAAAATTATTCAATTGTGTCGATTTTTGATGTTTAACGAATCCCTTTAGAGCGAAAGGCACAAGTTGAAACCTCAATCGGTGCCGACGTCTCCAGCTGCGACGGGACGTTCCGAGAATCTCTCGCCGCTTGATTCAGCTCTTCAAAGGTGAGCACTATACAATATTTGCTGCAATTGTAGTAGTTGAAAAATGTAAATAATATTCGAATGAATTTGGATGAATTAGAACAAATTAAAAGATGTTTGGCCAATAGAGAGAATGCTATTAGAGTGTAGAAAATTCACTAAACGTTGTCTAGAAGATAGTGTCCTTTCAGCAATTAGAAAATATTGAAGAAAATGCACTTCTCCTCAATGAGTGTTGTACTCTAAAAACCTTTTCTCGAAAAGATCAAAAAGATCGTTTTTAATATATTGTTGTTATATACTCCTAGACGTTCCTGATTCCCTAAATTGCTGTCATATAGTTTAGTGCTGTAAGTCATACATTGTCTGGGAATATATTCAGATGTCAAAAAAATGTATATTAGAAAAAAAACTTTTTCCAGCAAATAATTTATTGAAAGCTTACGCCACATTTTCGTAGAATCTGCAACCGCCAAATTAAAAACACGTGAAATATCGAAAAATAAGAACAAATATACATTCTAATTGAATGCGAAATCCCATATGTATAAATTTTTCGACTTTTATTTCATACTTGAATAATCCAGAATCATCATATTCATTCGCTAATAAGTTGCTCTCTTTATATCGAGACTCCCTATTTATTGGTTTCCTGATTGTTCGACATATAGGGATTAGCGAAATATAGATTAACGCGAAGCGGAAAGATACTTTTCGCTTATATCGAATCTCAAGTGTTTCTCCCGACGGCTAGACCAAATGTTTCATGAACAAAATATTATCCATACTTGCTGAAAAGCGCAACTTGCGTGTAATTAAGCGCGCTAACAATAGAAGACAATAGAAGTGGTTCCTTTCTAAACTTTTCTACTTTTCATTTAGTGGTTTGCCCTTCTTAAACGTTGTTCTTTAACAGCTACATATTTTTTTCAGTATAAAAATGAAAAAGGTTTCATCAAAAAGCTCGTCACCGCCAGCAACACCAAAGTCTTCCGATCATCATCGAGATTCATTTAAGAGCTCTCTCATTCGGTTTTTATTGTTTTTCTTCCCAACTTTGGTATTAATGGATATTGTAGAAGAGCGAGTTCTGAGCGAAGACGTGCTACGACATCTGCTGGAAGCGATATTGAAGAACATTCAGAGAATCCCGCTGTTCGCGTCGTGCGACAATTCAAACACGCACATGAATCATTCCGTCTTCGCATGTTCCAAGAGCAGCACGGATTTGAGCCGGTAGTATGTGCTCAATTGCCTCTATGCATTTTGCATCTATTTCTTTGTTTTTATTTTTTTATTCATTTATTTTTTCAAAATGATTCAGATATTCGTTAAGCAAAAAATTTAAAACTTTGGTAAGTTGAAGATGACTTTATTTTTTTTAACTTTCGGCAACTAACAAGGGTTTTTCTTAACATAATGCATGCACTACGGAATAAAGTTTTCAAATCACATTATGTCGGATAATTAAAAATGATTGGAAAAGCAAACCAGCAAGAACCACAGCATTTTCATTCCATAATAACGTTTTTATCGTTAACTTGCAGGTCTTCATGACGAAGAAAAGAACAAGGGATAACAAATCAGTGATGAGCGAGTTTAAAGGAGGGGACCTCAATAAATACACAGCAAAAACATACGCGATTCAAAATGGAAATGAAGTTTTTGGAGGTAACTTATTGCAATTAATTTCGTTTTGGCAAGAAGGACACTTGAAAGTGTAGATCAATTTATTCGAAAAAAAAAACGATATAGCTTTTGCAGATTTTTGCAGGATTAAAAAAAAGAAAAAAATACTTATGTTTATATATATATAGTAGTCTATCCAATAATATAATGGGAAATATTAATGACTCTTTTTGTATAATACTTTTTCTTAATTGCGTTTCCAGAATATCCTACCTATGTATAGCCTAAATATAACAAATTTCTCCTCTCCTCTACTTCAACTTTTTCTGTAAATTCCTTTTTTTTTGAAGTTTAAGAAAATGTTCTTTAAAAAAATTTTAATTTTTATTCTTGATCAAGCATAGACTTGTTTACGTTCAAGTTTTCCGATTTTGCTATCAATTCTCAACGATAGAAAATTTTCAAAAAAGTTTCCTTTCCTAAGAATGATCACTCGATGTAAAAAAGGTATGTAATATACACACAGCTCTAAAAATTCACACATGAATAAAAAATAGTGGATGTCCCCGTCACACTCTCTAAACCCTATGAGCAATAAAAAATTTCAGTTTCAAAAATTGGAATTTTCTGATCCAGCGCATTTTTATTGTTTCACAACTGCTAATTTCAAACATTTATTATTCATTCAGCATGCACAAGTGCATGAAATAATTGAACCAACAACACCTTACTTTTAAAAGCAGTTTTGGCAAAGATAAAGAAGAAGAAAAAAACTGAAGATCCGAAATTTGATAGGTGGTTTTACGTGAGCCAAACTTTATGTTTGTTTATGTTAATTTAATTTTTGTGTTGGAAACATAAATAATATTGCGGGACTAAATTCTTTGCTGCATAAAATACTTCATTGCATACTTGATGTGCTCTTGTTCGTCTCTAAATATGCAAATTTATGTTAACGTGGAACTATCAACTGAAACTTAATAACAAAAATTTGTGAGACAACTACGTTCTCAATTGTTTTTTATTATATATATATATTTTTTTTATTCCCAAATATTTCTGAGTTTCCTGTTTTTAATTTTTCAATTCCGTTTTCTTCACGTTTCCTTTTCATTATTTTTTCAAAGTGATATTTTTCAACGTTGGTGGGGTTTTTTAGGACCAAATTTAGAATCATTCAATTTCAAAACTCTTCCATTCCAGCTCACTGAATTCATCCTTTATTGTGTTCTTGAATTGTATATATTTGACACTAGAGTATTCCAGAACATCATTGTTTCACTTTTTATTCTTAAAACTTCATATTTATGTGCTAATTAAAATATTTGGATATTGGCATTCCAACAGCGTTATTTCTTATTACTTCGAAACAAGGAATTTTCTTCTTTCGACATTTCAATAATTTATAATACTTTGTTAGATATATATATTAAAATGTTTGAATGATTTGATCGAAAAATTAAGAAATATAAAACCATCTCGCGACTACTTCCTGTCCTCATGTCAATTTTACCAACGAAATTTCATATTTTTCTTTCTTTTATATTTGTTTCTATCATTTCAATGGCAATGCTTTCATCATAAGCGACATGAGATACTGTTCGAATTACTTAGATAACCACTTCAAACTATTTTAAAACCGAACGAATATTCCGAAAGTGCAAAACACTTTAAAAACAAAACTCGCAAAACAGTCAATCATTGCCAAGCGAGCATAAAACTAAATAATATTTTGAATGGTTAAAATTGACAGATTGTCAAGAATTCTCTTTTTTTCTGAAGAATAAGTGGTTGGCTAGAAAAAAGTTTCTGTGCGCCCGATTTTCGCGCCCATCGTTGCGGGTCGAAGGGCAGGCAGCTCTTTTTTCATCCTCTTTTCGTGCTTCCCGCGATTATTCAATTTGCGTAGTTCGTCATGTATAGTGTGTAAAAATGTAAAATCGCCAAAAATCGGGTCTCGATTTCTTTTATATTATTTTGTGAAAAATTTTTACACGCGTCTTCACTCAGGTGATGGCTACATGCTCTGCAATCTGTTTAAATTGAAAGAAAAGGTTCGAACAATCACCATTTCCGCTCGTGCCGAATCTCCAATCCATTTCAGTAATTGTATCCTGCACTTTTGCATGGTTCTTTTTTTTCTCGTATATCTTTTCGAATCGTGGTTAGAAACAATTCAGTCCGAAATCTGGTAGAATTCTGTCAAGTGAATCAGTTAATTAAGGGACAACTCACGAAATTCAATTACTTTGCAATCCTTCTACAAATACATATCTACTTTACCCAAAAAGAAGCTTTTCTTCTCATTTTCCGTATGTTCCATTCTTACTACCACCATCTATTTGATTCGAACGCTGAATTATAATGTTTTGAAAAACATCCTATTCAAGTTTACAGCCACCTACAGAATAATTTAAATGCAATTATTCATCTAGTCACAACATTTCTTGGAAGTTATTTTAGCAAAAAGAAGATGACTAGGTGGACGAAAAACATTTTTTTTTTCAAGAATAATTCTCGAAGGATCATGATAATAAATCACATTCCATTAGCAACATTATTCTCACCTCTTTCACTTTCTCACTTATATTATTTTTTATCAAAACTTTTTGTTTGAGAATTTTGTTATAATAGTTTCCTGATTCATTTGCGAAATTTATTTGCTTAATGAAACAATAAAATCAAAAATTGTGATTATATTATATTTGAATAAACTTGATAGAATGTTTTTAATGAATAGACATTATAAAACGGACTCATTTTTTATTTCTAACTATTTCAAACAAACTTCTTTAAGACTGTAAACATACGTTGTTATAGAACTTTAATAATATTATTAAAAGGCCTTGGTAAAATTGAGAAATTTCAAATCATAATTTTATTTCAAAAATGTTTTATTACGCTTCCTGGTCAAAACGTTGGGCATTGTTTATTTGAAATGTATGAGGGTATGACAATTTGTCAGATGAATAATTATTCGAGCACCTGTTTTCATTCAGTGTCAACATCTGTTTCACTATTTCCGTATATTCGCTGAACATCGATTGATCCGCTATTCAATCGGCATGTCACAAAAAATTTTACAACTAACCGCCACTAGTTCAATCGCATAGTATCATTTTTTTCTCTTCACAACAATATGTATGTAGCTAAAATTAATTTTGGGGAAAAGAAGATGATAGTACTTATGTTATTCTGTTTTCGTCCACGTTAAGCCTTCATTTTCTATATGTCACGTTTTTATTAGCAAGATCTTCAAAGATAGGATTCGATGTGTAATATTCAGAACAGACGAGTTATCAGGTTAACTCATCGGGGGATGCTGCAGCCAAAGAAAAGCCGCCAAAAGCCTCCCGAATGTTTTGCACTCAATTAGTTTTTTTATTTAAATTCCCCGAAATTTCAAATCAGGAGAAATTTAAGCTAAATATTAAATAGTCTCGTATATTTTTATTAGTTGATTATCTTATAAAATATCAATAAAAGCAAAATATTTTTCGAAAAATGCTATGTGCTCAAAACAATCACTAATTTAAAGTATCGTTCGCATTTTATGTTAATTCTGGCATATCTTAGTTGTTTATTAATATTTCGGGGCTATACTACTCAAAAAAAGAATGATGAACATTCGTTTCACAACATTATCCTTGAATTTGATTACGATAAGTAGGTTGTTTCGGTAAACTTCACATATTTCTCTGCCCACTATTTCTTTCTTATTCCTGTAAAAATTGTCAGGATTGAGCCAATCAATTTCTATAATATTAAATGAAAAATATTTCTACGTCATTTTTTTTGGAAAATTTCTCTTAACCTTATAGTCCCGGATTTCCCAGAAAACCATGAAACCATAAATCTTCTTTCAATTTCATTCCTTTGAAATGCGCCTTCTCTCTCTCTAAAAAATTTTCTTTCTTTTTCGCAACATCCATAATGGAGTTGTTCGATTGTAAATGGACCACTGACGAAGAAAAATGAAGAATGCCAAGTATAATGCTCGACCCAATGTTTCATTTCAAGAGACAAGAGCAAAAAAATTGAGTGAGCACATTTTTTGACTGCCCGGCAAGAAGGCACGTCCCCGGGGACAATCTGGAATAAGCAAGAGCAATGTGTCAATGCTTTATGCTTCCGATGCTCTCAGCACGAAGGAAAAGTGAAACAGCACTGCCCATTTCTGACAATTTTCATCGACCAGCGAGCACGTTGCTTTTCAATCGTTGATACCAACCAGTCAAAATTCGACAAATTCACGAACCCAGCGCGGCGGGCTCGGCTCGCCGGCCGTCAGCATTCGTTGACCCGGAAGCGTCTGTGCAACAGAACTGGCATACGAGCTCGAATGTTCCTGGAGAATTGAGCACTACTTCTCAAAGACTATCATTGTCTGCCGGTCCATCATCAGCAACACCATCGCCGTATTCTTCCCTGTGTCTTTCAATATTAGCGGCAACGCCGCCGACTAAAATGGTTTGTTTTTTGTTCAAATTGTGCATAGTTATTTTCAATATTGACCTTTGGAGACCTAATTATTTAAAAAAAATCTGGGGATGCTTGGCGCCGATTCGAAAAGCAGCCAAAAGCCTCCCGAAGATCTAATTATTCTAAAAACTATATGTATAATTTAATATACATATAGTCGAAATGATGATTTTTTTAACTGTTCAGTTTCACCCCCAAATTTCTCACAAAAATAATATCATTGCCTTAGCTGCTTTACTCCGTCTATTGTTTTTTTAATTAATAAACTTAAACGAAAACCTAGAGAGAATTCAACGTTAAAAATCAACAAGCATAGACTTTTGTAACGAATGTATTCAAGCAAAATAATTCAAGCCGATTTTTTTTCACTTTCACATTTATCTCTTTTAAATATTTCATAACTTAGGTTAGTTGATTGATAATTGAACCTGGAGAAATTCGAAAGACCGAGCTATTAGATATGTATGAATGCTGTGCTTTAGTATCGGTATTATCGGGTTAAACGACCGACTTCGTATCGAATTTCATTTCATAATAATAATAGAACAATTATGAATATCGATTCGTCTTTGAATTTAGCATACTTCTCGTAATATTATAAACTAAACAATTAAAAAAGATTAATATTTCCGAATACACGTGAAGTCATTTTCGGAAATTACTATAGTTACGGCTCAAGTAACAAAAACAAAAATTTTCTCAGTAAAACTGAGAACGATTTTCACACCCCTTAAGCCTAAGCTTTTTGGGATTCAGTAGGCTGGCTTCACATTCGCTTTTTCACTATTAGGTTATGGCTAAAAGTAATTATTTTTTATCGGTAAAGAATAATAAATCTTTTCCACAAATAAATGTCTTGTTTTCATGCATCCGCAATCAAATACCAACTTGAAATTTTATTAAAGATTTGTTTTCTTAAAGGTCTGCCCAATTCACTTTTCATCCATTTCTTCAATTTTACCCTTAGTTTTTTGCTTCGTCTGTGATCCACATTCTTTTCCCAACAAAACGGTTTATAATCTAGATCAATGCGAGAATTGCGATGACAGTAGACGCACCAAGTATACGAACGGAGAACATTCGATACTTTCCGAAAAAGGGCAAAGAGCCGAAAAAGCGTAAGTCGCCGTTTTCAATAAATATTCAATAACTAAAAAGGTAAGCAAAACCACCTGCAACATTGAACACTGCAGAAATGGGAGGGTTTTGATGAATATGCGGATTGTAATCGCCCGCATTCACGGGAAGTCGTTTCGCGCGCGACTCATTTATTTTGTATCACATTTTACATATACTGACAATATATTCTGGAAACATATTTAATCCTGGCTCAACACGTACTTGAGGCCAATTTCATTTATGTATTTCATGAGCATTTAGTTTTTTTGCGGAGCCATTTTTTTTATGATTTTTCTGCGAAGTGCGAAATACTCAACAACTTCAATACAATCGTACACCATAGGTTTCTTTATGTTTTCAAGTAATCTTCAAAACAAATATTGGATTTAATTGTAATAATTTTTGAATAATTAATTTGAATCCAAAGAAAAGAATGCGATCCGCTTTCAACTATACCATATATTATGTTTTAAAATATGCAGGCATAAATCAATTTTTTCGCAAAATGCGAAATATATTATTCTTTTTTTTGGCATTCAATTTTCTTTGAATTTTTTGTATTAAATATGTATCTTCGTTTTCTGATCCACATAATTACATGTTGGCCGAATTTATTCCGCAAGACAGGAATGGACAGATTGTTTGCTTCGTTTGTATTCAACAATACTATAACGTGTTTTCCTTAACAAGATATGTTTGTTTATTTCAACTTTTGACTGTATCCTTTTTTTTCAATCTTCAGCCATCATTTTAAAAAATTACTGATCAAAATATTTTGTCTTAATTCTTTTAAATCGAGACTTTTCGAAAAAAAATAAGCATATAGAAGAATATGAATTTCGAAAATACAAACTCTTGTAATTACTATATTATGACAAAATACTACCAACAAAGTAAAGGAAGTGTTGTGTTTATTAAACAATCAATAAGTATGCTTTGGAATCATATTTATCGAACTCAATTTAAATTTCTTTTACTTATTTTTTGAAATTTTTGATTTTTAAAACCAAACGTAACTTGTGTTTTCGCATATTCCAACAAAATTAATTTACACTATCTATGTTTGTTTTCTCAAGGGAAAATTCTTTCAATCCTCTGTCATTGCTAATAAACGTTTTTGGGGCTCGTCTTAGGGTGGCCAGCTGGTTCGTAGAGGAACTTTATTTGCAATTGTTTACTTGAAACGAAATGTTTTCAAAGAGCTCATTAATTTCAAAGTCATAGTTCCTTTTTCACTTTGCGCTAAGATTCTTTTGATTTCATTATATATTGGGAAACACGGAGTAGAGTTATAAACTACGTTACGGCCAGGCTCGAAGAGATTTGAAAGAAAAGAAACCATTGAGAGTCTGAATGGCCAATTTCCTGATTTTCGACTCTATACTTTCAGTGATTCCATAATGCCCATTCTGCATAGCGAGATATTTGAGAATCGCCTTTTTGTTTTCAATTCAAGCGTCTAGTGCATTTATGTTCTAAACCATCTCCAATTTCAATAGCACAATCTTTTGACAGCGAAGAAAAGTTTTGGTTTCTAGAAGAAGTATCATATTCATCATCGCTGACCCAATAAGAACGCGAGCGAATTAACAATTAATGAATCGTTCTCGCTTGAAATATCTATCACCAGATACGAGAATATATAAATATTTGTTTCAACAGATTTAATAACGAACGTGTGAATTTTGCGCAGAAATATCGTTGAATAAATATGTGTACACATGCATGCCAGAGGCACTGAATAATGAGATAACATAATCCATAAGAATCAAGACGATTCTTTAAAACTTTAAGGAATTAAAAAGAAGGAGTTACAATTTTAAAATAATCTTAGTAAAACATTCAATAATTAAATTCGAAATACTTGGAAGTCAAATGTTCTGACTTTGTTCTATCCCTTCGAAGTAATTGAATCTACTGACCAAATCTCACATTTTACATTGAGTTCCCGAAATTCCGAGAGAAACATTACTCGAGTGAGACATGTTTGTTTTAAAATTTCATATTTTTTCACGCTTTCTGACTTCAGGGAGGTCACCTCTTCTTCTTTTCAAATTCGACATTTCAAAAATAACAGAGTTTTTGGGTACTGCCAAATAAACACCACACGGCGAAGACCTTTTAAAACCATTAAGCTTTTTATGTTCAAAGTAATTTTAAAGTAGCTTATGAATGTAACACCTTGGGGATTTTTCAAGAATTATATTAGATTTAAACTATTAATGCTTTAACATTTCATTTATGGGTTGAATAATCATATTAAAATATTTATTAGACTTCAGTTCAAATTTTAAAGCAATTTCGAGTTTTCCAACATTTTTGATGTGAAACTTTTATTTAAAATTGAGAAAATCTATCAAAATTTCGATCTACTCTCTACAACCCTCTTTCATTTTTATCCCATCTCCAAAATAGGCTTTTTATTCTAGATTATTACGTAATGTAACATGGCTCATAAATCACATCCTACAATTATTATGTTTCAGATAAAATTCTACGAAAGTGCAAGTCTATAAACACAAGTATATTTTTCACCAATAAATTTTAGAAATTCGTTTTATTATATGGTATAGTTGAAATAATTAGTAGGTATTTATAATTTAATTATTCAACAATCCTTTGATTGTTAAGAAAAATTTGATTTAACAATACCCTGGAGATAATTACTCATATTCTAAAATTTGTTGCGGCAAGCAACGAATTGAGTCAGTCATTAGCTCAGTTCGACTCCGCCCTATTTCTCTCTTGAAGAAACCTTTGCGTGGTTATTTTTCTTCTCCATTCCTCTGCTTCTCCTTCATCGCCTGTTACTTCAATTCTTCGTCTCGACATCCGATTGGCATTCAATACATTGTTTTTTTGTTCTCGACGCTTGCCATTATTAACTTAATCCTTCAATTATGGATACCAATCTTGACGTCTCCAATTGTCTGCTTGACGAGTGCTCAAGCGCCGGCTCTCATCGAAAACTGTCGGCGTTATCAGCAACATCGAGCCTTCACGCGCCATCGGAATCATCGATGAGTCGCAAAAAGAGCATTCGGGAACGGATGGCCGATTTGGAAAATCGCCGCAATCCGAAAAAGCCGACACCACCGAGTATTTTTGAAGCGGCGCAATTGATTGGAAAATTTTCTGGTCAAAGAATTGATCTGCTCTCAGGTACGTTTTTTTGGGGGAAAAAAAGGAATGTGTTTACATAAGAGTTAATTGTTTACATAAACGAAACGAATGCTCATTGTTTAATTGTTTTTCGAAATCTTCAAATCTAATATGAAAAAATTATGTGCTCCGTCAACTTTTTGAAAAATTTAGGTAGGGTTCTTCATTCTAGATTCATATAAAGTACAATTATCCTTATTTTCGGTGTGTCTTAACTTGAGAATTTTAGCGTATTTTCACTCAAGTAGATTTTTTTCCACTTCTATCTAATTATATTATCTATCCAACACTCAAAGTTTCAAGTTTATTTTATCAAAAAAGCGAAACATTTTCCTTCCTGGTTTTCCAATTTCATTTTAAATATTAATGTTCCTAGAGACTTTTCCATGAAATGCCAAGGAAATAAAGCTTATGTTAATCTCAAACCGCATTTCAAATTAATCCCAAAATCGCAATTTTTCCCACAAGTTTGCATAAATCTTCTATCGACGATATTTTGAGCTATTCAGATTCTTCTTTAACTTAACTACACAAGTGTAAGAATGTTGTGCATAATTAAGATAACGTAGCAGGAGCTGAATGAGCACAAGCAGAAAAAAACGTCTTGAAAGTACGTGATGCTTCGATTAGAAATTCAGCAATGTCCAGAATTCGAGATGCTGTCAACTAGCAATTCTGTTTTATTCATCAAGTGTCGGTAGATAGCAGGCACTACATTTTTTTCTTTCCCCGGCTTCTGCTTGTGAACTGAATAAGAAATTTGAATGGGCAAAAACACAGATAGCGTGTTCCAAGAATCCTGACATCTTCCTATTTTGAGAGGGCTTTGAAGGGATCAAATAAAAAAAAAACATTAATGTTTTTTTGATACGCAATCTTTGCCCAAAAGGCTCACAATTGGTTTTTTATATACCGAAACCTAATTTTCTAATATGATCAATGTCAGTAGCGTGATTAATTATTATTTACAAACGGATGACTAAGTGAGAATGATTCGAAACATTCTTATCGAATTACATTCATTAAGAAATACATAACATTTTTGTGTGTTTTTCTTTCAAATACGCATAGGCAGCTATGATTATTTTTTTTTTACTTATACATAGTTTTGCGAAAAATTTTATTAGATTTCGACATATCCAATCCTTATAACTGCATACACTTTGAGGGTACCAATTTTCATGGGCCACACCGATGTGAAAATATACGTTTTCAATATGAAAAAAAAAACCGCTTTGGCCGAAAAATTGTCAGTAAATAGGGAACAAAACGATTAGAAAATGCTTAGTCGTGAACATTAAGAATTTAAAGAACAAAATTTTAAATGTTGAAAAAGATGCAAGAAAAGTAGTCTGCATTTATACTTTTTAATGAGTAGTAAAGTGCGCGATTTTTTGGGAATACGCAAAAAGCTTAATTGGCTCAAATTGACGAGTCCGACGAGCTAATGTTCGAAAAATTCTGTTTTCAAAAATAAACTTATACATTGATGTGTAATATTTGGAAAATTGGGAATAAAGATGACGGATTTTTTTTTTTAATGAGATAAACCGTTTCAAAAAATTTTTGGTATGGAATATTACATTATCAAAATGCTTCTATAATTACCCAGGTAAAAAATAATGTGTCCACAGGATTCCTATATTGTTCCATCTAGGGGACAATAAAGGAGACAGCATGATTAATGAAATCTGCTACCATACAATATTCATGCGAAACCACAAAGAGTCTGTATGCAAAAAATATGCCACCGATAGAACACCCATCGTGGGATCACAAACATATATGCATCATTTACGTTGTGTGCATAGGGGCCATATTCCCAATGCCACACGGAGGGCATAGTTTGTGTCTACAGCATTTTACCTGTCTACATTATACAAAAGTATAAAATTTCAGCAAAACTGACGAAAAAAAATTCTAACAAATATTTTGATACTCCAGTGGTTTTAAAGAAATACGTTACACAAACATACAAAAAGCACGCCAAAGAAGTGCCATGAATATTTGATAACGATTTGAACAACAGGAGTAAAGATGTTGCTTTATGGTAAATGACAATACATTATACAATGAAACAACGATATATAGAATTTGTTATTGAAATGATGGTTTGCTGCAAAGAACATTATAGCTGAACATTATTAGTTTTAATTCAACTTTAGTAATGTCTGCTTCTCTAGGAGTAGAGCTTTAGTCAAGTATATAGGCCAAGTTAAGAAAAACTGCAATGTTTTATCGGATCTGAAATTGATGGCCATTATACAGAGATATTCAAACATATTGTTAGAGTTGCCAACTTAGAAAAACCATTATTTTCCAACATTCATTTTAGAATAGTTCAACAAGTTCGTATATGAAATGCATACAATTTGTCTAGCGTTAGCCAATTTATGTCAGTACGAAACGAATCCTTTTATTTTTGGCACAGTAAACTTGTCTACTGGTCAAGAATGTAATGGTGGATTGCACTAGTTCCGCAATGCATTTCTGATTAGATGAGCATCGAGTCATCAGCATTGGAATCTTCTTTATTTTTTCCATACATTCGAGAGTGCATCAACAAGAACCTTATAGCCCATTTCGCTTCTTTCGTCTGCTTACTAAAACTATGCTCTAAGCAGCAACATATTCTGAATGAGTACCGTAATGTCGTCAGCTAGAAATTCGGTTGTTTCTCATTCTTCCAACGGTTCCGTCAAAGTTGAAACCAGATTGGCTGGAAATGATTCTCGAATGAGTAGTTTTCAACAAGAAGGTGCTATGCTTCCCTCATCAAGTTCTAAAGACGATGATCTGTTATCAACGTCTTCGGATGAGGTTGAAAATATGGCCACTAGAACTTTACAGCATATGGAAGAGGTTTCCCTGCGCATTTCTTTTTTTTTCGTATCTTTCTAAATTCTCTAGAGCGCTTCAATCATAACGGCAAATAGCGAGGACTCTGTGAAAAAACCAGAAAATCCTGATGTCGAGAAAGGCTCAACAGAGGAAGATGCCGAAAAGGGTAGGTAATCAAGAAAGAAAATCTCGTAGATTCTATCCATCCCCTATAAATTGAGTTAATGCTTCAGTTCTGCTCTCTTTGTCCTTATCTTCCTTAATTCTTTTTATTTTCTAAAACAAAGCAAAAAATGCATAACTGCATATAGCCGTTAATTATCATGATTTATTCTCATCTATGTATAATATATAATAATCGATTTTCATAGTCTCCAATTTATTTAATTTCCATAATTCCTGAGAAAGTAATTTCTATAATTTCTGATATGCTAACTCATTTTAAGAAAATTCGTTTAAAATTTTGAGTCTGAATTCTAAAATTGAAATGTGAAATTTTAGAAACGTTTTTATGAGCTTTTCAAGTTCATTCTTCTGACGAAGACAGCATTATTGACTTTCCGAATTTGAGAAAATTGTTGCTTTTTATTGTTTTCCCCTTACAATGCTCTCATCTTGATGAGATCTTCTAAATCCAAATCCTCATCTTTTTGTTGCCAAAATAAGGAAATTTGTGATCTGCGTTCCATATTTTGCCAGCAACAAGAGTTTTCGTAATTATTTTACGCACCGAGAAACCTATTAAGCGCTTCGTTGCAATTTAACAATGATATTATTAGAAAGAAAAAACCCATAAAAAATTATTATTGAATATTAGTACGATTGTTTACTACTTATCGTATAAGAGAAGAGAAAAAGAAGAGAGTTGATCAGTATACAAACGCGTACATGCACAGAGCCACAATAAAGACTCGTCTTTATTTTTTCTATTTTGGTTGTGCTAAAATGAACGGAAGCTAGAATGAATTTAGAGATCTGCTGAGATTAACAGCATTCTGCTAGTTTTGTACACATTTTCAACAATTACTACTGAATTATAAGCTAAACAAACAAGCCAAAACGATAAATAATAATTTGATTAATGTGTTCCTTTTTTATTCTAGAAGCTTAGAAAGTTATAATTTTTTTTACTTTTACTTTCGCTGTGCTTTTCCAAACCTAATGCACAATTTTACGCTTCATTAATTCAAGTTCGACGTCAGAAAATGAGTACCAACAAATGGTTATTTTTTTCGATTGAATTTTATCATATTTGGTAATTTCAAGAGGCTCTCGTCATTTTCGATTCGTAGTTTCGAACGGAAATACTCGATTTCTCCACCTTACATCTATATATGTTTTCGTCCTTCTCTCTTTAACCAACTACTACTTATTTCCGGACGATGTTCGTTATTTTTGTGGCCGAGAAAAAAAAATGCACAAGAATACTCCTTTTGAACGGCAACTTTACTATCTATTTTGAACGTGATTATGAGGAGATTAACTGGTCACCAAGACAAGTCATAAGTCTTTAAAGAGTTTTTTTTCGCAGCTTATTTTAAAATGCTCTCTTTTTTTTCAGTTTCGGTGAAATCGGAAATTTTTTCCAAGAAAAATGCGCTGTCCTACTAACAACCACTAACATAAATCAGCGTTTTTGCATTGTTTTGCGTATTTCCACGAGATGGGGGACACTTTTTCTCCAGAATTCAAATAAACCAACATCATTATTTTATTGAAGCTAGATATTCATATATCGAAAACGCTTATTGTACAGTTAAATTAATTGATCTCAAATTTTCGTGTTTTCTTTGTAGTAGTAGCATTTGTTTATTTATTTACGTCGTGCTAACATAAACAAAGTTATGACGCGTATTTAAAACAATTTGTTGACTTTATTTTCGAAACTCTAACGAGACCGAAACCGTAATTTTGCTTTTAAATTCAAAGAACAATGAAATTTTTGGTTTATTAGCTGGTTCGCGGTGGAAAACGCATAAATTTGGCCTATTGTTTCCACGACCTTTGTTTCCTGCCGGAATTCGTCAATTTTCAATCCTGCAAAACTAATTTATAGCCCTTCAATCGTCTTTTCTGTTTGTTTATTCTTGATTCATTCGCACGTGTGATGGCAATCCTGAAATGATTGCGAAAATATTGCACTTGTGCGAATAGGTCAACTTATTTTAAAGTCTGAAAACATCGTGAATTTATCGTCGATGTCCTCCACAAACCTGTTGTTGACTTGAAATGCACCAAGTCGAAGAGCCGGTCGAGCGAAAATTCTCGGTTCCACCTCCACGCGAGTTCAAGTTCTCGCCAATTATTCCGCGAATATCAACAGATGCAAGATATAAACCAGATATAAAAGGTGAGTGAACTAATCATACGCTTCCTTCCGCTTGTTTCAATCTGTCAATGACATAAGCTTACTACTACTGTTTGTCACTTGTACACTTCAATGCATAACAAATTTTATTGCAACTTCTTCATGTGAAACACCAATGCGGCGACCAAACCAACATTTATTTTTCTATCACAAATGATTCCCGAAAAAGAAAACTTGATTAATTTTTAATCGCGTATGCCGGCATCCTAATTGGATGAATGAAAATGGGCCATAAAATGAAGCATTTGTTTTCATTTTCCAATTTTTGCTTTCTAGTATCGCTTAAAAGAAATAAAGACGGCCTAACGAATATAAATGTTTATTTTGAAAAATTAGCTTTATCGAAAGAGAGAGAGAGAGAGAGAGAGAGAGAAATATTAATTCATCTCTTCTTCAATTACCATAGTTTCAATATTTTAAAAATACGGGGTTGAAAAACAACCAACGTTTGTAGTATATTAAAGCAGCTAATTGCGAAAACCTGAGAAATAATAGCAGGATATTATTAATAAATAACGTTGCTGAACAATAGTAAACGAAACGCTGTTAATTATAAAACTATTCTTGATAGTAGATTTCAATTTAAATGACTTGAGTGCATTCCATCCCATTCCATTTCATCTTATTTCCCCCTAAAATAAATTATACGGACGCGAAGGTGATGAGTTTGCGCAGCAAATCAAGGACTAACCGAATTACTTCATTTTGACAATGTGCCGCGTGTCCCGTCGAAGCCTCCCTCATTTTCAACTTGGTTCCACTCATTTTGCGAGCCGTATTCTCACCCAATATTATCTTTCGGTGTTGTGTGGCTCCCAACCAACGACGAAATGTTCTTATATTTCATCGCCTAGCATTTTTGCTTCTACTTTTGAATTTTGATATCACTTGTCGTTATTCTCTCACCGTTGTGTGCTTTGGCTGTATAGGTTTTATTTTGTCCGAGGAAAAAATCTCTCCATATGTTTTGAAATTTTATGAGCTGAGCTGATGAAATAAAGTGGAGCAACAAAATGCGCTAAAAAAATATCGAAAGCGAAAAACAAAAAGTTTTCGATAAAATAGTCGCACGTGTTCTTCGAAAACAGACCACTCGAGGTAACACCATCTAAGAGCAGATTTTTCTTTTCTTTTCTTTTCAATGCCGTTCACTCTGCTTCAATGATTATTATCTGAGAACGTCAACAAGGTCTATATATATATATATAATATTTCCGAATTTTGCATCCAGATTCAATCTTCTCTTTTAGCATAGTGGGCTCCAATCAAAGCGGCGTTTTCAAAGTTAGTAGACGTTTCGTTTTCGCAACACATTTGAAAACATGTAGGGTTTATTCGAATTAAATACGGCAATGCATTTTTACACAATTTCGTTTTCTCAATTTAGCCAAGTTATTTTGTGCGATCCCGTTGAAAACATCTGAATATCTGTTTCGGTCAAAATTGTTTTGATCTTTTTTCTAGAAAAAAAAAACCTAGAAAAACATTTACAAAAGTGGAAAACAAAAATAAATGATATCCACTTTTTTGAGGATTTTCACTTTTTGTAGTCGACCATAGTTTTTATATTGATGTTGTGCTTTTTAAAATGAATATTTATAATTCACAATCCTTCCGCTATTAACGTGCAATTTTGTTTGGGTCGCAAGCAATTTAAATGCGCCTAAACCAATCCAGACCTAGTGTGCACAAGAAAGGCAGCATTTTGTAAAAGAAAAGCTCACTTCTATTATTCTTTTTCCGAGAGTAAAAACTGACACGTTTAGGCTTTTTGAGAAGAAGGAAACCAAACTTTCAGCCTGGAACTGACATATCGACTGGTTTTTGCGACAAAGTTGTTTTCATGAATTTTTCAATCATTCATTTCATTTTCAATCATCTTTTTCTTTACTAGTGTGCATATTCTTCATTCTTTTATCCATTTTCTTTCGCAGCTCTTTTCGAGGAAAAATGAAGCACAAAAAATTCTACGTCCATTGTTCAGCATTCATTTGCGACACATTTCTCTTCACATAGCTCATCCATACGTATTTACAGTTAAAATAATGAGTATTGCAAATTAGTGACTGTGTAAAAACGAGCTGTGTCATTTGATATCAGTGTCATTTTATGCCCGTCGGCAGAAGCGGTCAGCATCCGACAACAAATTGTGCTAACATTGACTGGTTCAATTCTTGTTAGTGCTTGCGTTTTTCTGAATGAAACCCCGTGAGACAACTCCTGGCTTTGTTGGAGTTGCCGGGGCTCCTTCATCTGTGAAATCTACGACGACTGTGCCAAAAAAGGATTATTTTCATGTGCAAGGTTTGATTCCAACAGAGACGATGTAAAAACAAAACGAAAAATACAATAGAAATAAAAACATTTTAAATTGTAATTTCTATTCAAACATTTTCAGCTAATATTCAAAACGAGTTTGGCGTTTGCGGATGGATTCTCACAATTCTCTCATATCTTCTCATTTTCTTTACTCTTCCGATTTCGGCATGCATGTGCATCAAGGTTTGCTTATTATTATAAATTCCATCTCACGTGATTTATGGTTTAGGTTGTCCAGGAATATGAGAGGGCTGTAATTTTCCGACTTGGTAGATTGATGCCCGGAGGTGCCAAAGGCCCTGGAATTTTTTTCATTGTTCCTTGCATTGACACATATCGCAAAGTTGACCTACGTGTTCTTTCCTTCGAAGTTCCGCCACAAGAGGTGATTTCATATTTGAATTGTTTTTTTTTCACCTTTTTATTATTTGAAATACAATACAGATTCTCTCCAAAGACTCGGTGACTGTGGCAGTTGACGCTGTTGTTTATTTCCGTATTTCCAATGCAACAATATCCGTAAGCTATTATTTAGCAAGCAGGTTCAGGTGATGTACTAGTCACTTCTAGGTTACCAACGTCGAAGATGCCGCTAGATCAACTAAATTGTTGGCTCAAACCACATTGAGAAATATTTTGGGTACCAAGACTCTTGCCGAGATGCTCTCCGATCGCGAAGCTATTTCGCACCAAATGCAGGTTAGTAGCCAAATAAAAATTGCAAGAATTCGTTCATAATTTCTATTTGATTGCGTTAAAAGAAAAAAAAACTAAAAATTTGTATATTCATTTTATAGACCACTCTTGATGAAGCCACCGAACCTTGGGGAGTCAAAGTAGAGCGTGTCGAAGTTAAGGATGTCCGTCTTCCTGTTCAATTGCAACGTGCTATGGCTGCTGAAGCCGAAGCAGCAAGAGAAGCCCGTGCAAAGGTGCAAAAGATACTGAATCGAGATAATAATAAATAATGAACATATTAAGGTCATTGTTGCTGAAGGAGAACAAAAAGCTTCACGAGCTTTGAAAGAAGCCGCTGAGGTAATTGCTGAAAGCCCATCTGCTTTGCAACTTCGCTACCTTCAAACACTCAACAGCATATCGTAAAAAAATAAAATTCAAACATTTTTAAATTCAATACATTTTTAAGAGCTGAGAAGAACTCAACAATCATTTTCCCATTTCCAATAGATCTTTTGAGCGCTTTCCTTCAACGTCAGCCGCCGAAAGTGTAAGTGACAAATTGCTTTTGAATGTTTACACATGCGCATTTGTTGAAACTTTGCAGTGAGAAGCTCCAGCAATTCACTACTATGCATAAAACTGCACAGTCATCATCATAAATTCTTTGTTTTTTCGTCGTCCACGCCTGTTTCAAAGCTTTTTGCATTCACAAGATTCTAATTCATTCAATCAAATCTCCATATTTTCGATGAACAACTGAATATTTAGCAACTGGTCGATGTGTTTCAAGACTATTTCTATCCGAATTTTCTTTTCAAATTGACTCTTCTTTGTATTATTTCTCTCGGTGGCACCCATTTGAGAATTATTTCGTTACAAACATTGAATTAGTTTACCGATATTACATTTCATTCAATTTAAATGTGATGATTATTGTTCGAATTATTCCTATCCGATTCTTTGTTTGTCGTTTTGAAAAGAAAACAAATTATCTATACAAATAAACATTATATCACCCGCTTTGCAAGAAACAATTCAGATATACGTGTAAGTGCACTTTGCGATTTCCCAGATGTCAAGAAAATCGGCAGACACTGAAATTCGATAGGACAATCATAAGGAAGAAGGAGCAGAATAAAGAAGAGAAAGAAAAAGTACGCGTGTTTTGCTTTTGATCACACTTTGAATAGAAACAAACTACGCTGAGTTGAGGTTAAAGATGATGCTCTTATATCATGTTCACACTGCGAGATTGCGATGAGTTCAACAGCTCGACAAGCTCTATCGCGGAACAATATAATAAAAGAAACCAATGTTTTATAGAGAGGAACCACCTCAACTACCTAAAAAAATCCGATCATGTTGTCTGTACAAATATCCTGATTGGGTTCAAGGAATGGTGGGAAGCAGTGATGGTCATGGGCATTCTCATGGCGGCGGAGGTGGACTGTCTCAGGTGAGGAATAAAGGTATGTGACGATTAGTATAAAAGTCACCATCTCCAAACAATATTTATGAAAGTATGACTTCTTCATTTTTAGGGAGCGTCTTCTCAATCTCACAGTCAAGCAAATTTCGGCCCGAACACCACAACCACCAGTGGCCGTCCGCTGCTCCGCAGGTAATTCTATTCATTCAATCGTCCGTAAAACCATCTGGCCGAATCATTGGCCATTACGACGACGATGATGATGATTGCAGTTTTACAAAAATTCGTATAAAATATGTAGACTTCCGGCCGACATATGCTCTCGGAGCAAGCAGTTTGAATCGTTTTTGCTAGTAGAATCATAAAACTATAAAAAAGCGATTTGGGTGCATTTTGAAATATTCCTCCTCGTTGCATGTTAACAGCTGACTCGACCGGGTGCGAAAGCATTCAAAGCGCTGAGAAACAGATAACCGCATATTGTTCTTTCTAGACGACAACATTTTTCAAAAATTGTGTCATTGTTTGCCAAACTTCATACATTCCTCATCTCTAGTTCAAATGAACTTATGCTGCAAATTCGTATCCGGGGTTTATACTCCAACAGTTAAAGAAATTCCTATAAGTAAAGATGAACAATATTGGTGAGTAGGTTAAAATAATTTTTCATTGTATCTTATTTTTAATTTATTAAAAACATATGTTGAATTTTTATAGCAATGATAATTCAACATTATACAACATAAGAGAATAAAAATAATTGATATTTTTATTGATTTTGCATTGTTTAGCATGCGAGAAGCACAGTTTCACTCCGGAGCACAGCCGCCGATCTCAGTACCAACAAATCAATACCCAACATCAGTGAATCAGTTGGACCCAGGTAATCCATTTTGCCACTTTAATTGCATGCTGCCACAATTTGTTGCGCTTTTCTCTGTTTTGAGCTGCATGTTGACACCAAAAAGCGTAATATTCGAATGCTTGTTTTGTTTTAGGCACTTCTACCATTGGAAAAAGGAAATCCAGCAAGGTCGGGGGCGGTAATTCGTTGTTGAAACAAGCCATTGCCAATCGCTTAGCAACGGATTCCGGGCAACAAACAGCACTGTCGACATCTTCAAACCAGCCTTCTACTTCAGCTAGTGTACCAGCATCCGATTCTCCAGATATCGCACGAATTCACAAAACTGATTCCAACGAGATGACTAAAAGTGTCTTAGCAAATCCCGCTTGGTATCGTGACGAACAAGATCGAACTGGTTTCAAACCAACTGAATGGGAAAATACTGCCAACAAGCAGAAACATGTCGTCAAAGAAGACAAATTGAAAATGAAGCGAACATCCAAAGATGAGCATAGTATCATCAAGGAACTTGACAGTGATCTACTAAGTGAAGCCAATAGTGAAGTCACTAGTGACGTGAAATCAATTGAATCCACCGGATCCGATCAGAAGCTGGACAAAAAATCTCAGAAAGCAAAGGAAAAGGAAATGAAGAAAAAAGAGAAGGAAGCGAAGAAGGAAGAAAAAATTCAAAAGAAACTCAAGGAAGAAGAACAAAAGAATAAACTAAAAATCGATAAAGAAGAGAAAAAGAAAAAGAAAAGTATATCTGATGAGATTCCGATTCAAAACAGATCAGCTGAGGTCAAAAAACCTGAATCGCGTATTGAAAAAGCTGAAGCTACTATAATAGTTTCTTTGAAATCAGAGACAAGAAAAAAGAATAACGAAGAACAACCAAAAGCGAACACGAAACCCAATGTTGAAGATAAGGCAAAAGTCACGGCTGAACCCTCGAAGAAAGGAATGCGAAGATTGGAGGCGCCGCACAGGCAGAATATTGGAGAAAGGCGAGACTCAAACCAATCAGTTGTTTCACGCAACTCATTTAAATCAGTCACGTTTAATGATCAAGTTGAAACTCGCGAAATCGAAAGGAACGATAGTGTTTCTTCGAGTGAAGATGACGTGGCAATAATGAGTGACGATGAGCTATCCACTTTGAATCCACTGCGGCGATATCGAAGTGTTCAAATAATGAAAGATCAAAAGAGGCAGAAGGTCGTAAATCAACCAGAATATGATTATGATGATGAGCTGGATGATTTCGAAGAGCAGGAAAGACTGGCACTTTTAGCTGCACAAAGCGGTTACCAACCAGGATACGACGAAGACGACGAAGACGACGAAAATAGTGATACTTCCCAGAATAGTTACTATGCGGAAGACGTTGAGGGACCGGACATATATTTGCGGAATGAAGGTGAATTTCTAGCGATGCAATTGGCCCATAACCAACAACAACAGGTGGAAACCGGCTATGATCAATATGATCAAACTATAATGGGATCTATGAGCAAACTTCATGGCGATGATTCGTCACACAGCTTACTTATGGGCTACCCCCTTCTTCCCCGATCGGCTAGTGGATATTTTGAGCCCCCGCCAGGAATGATGAACAGTTCTTATGAGCAAGCAATGAGAGGTTATATGGAAGTCTCCGACGTTCCTGGAGTACATAAACCCGCAAGTCCACCTCGGCAATTGAGACCAACAATTACCCAGACAAGTGTCTACGAAAATGTTGGAGATCCTCCATCACAACCGCAATCTTTGATTTTACCGCCGTCCCCTTCAATTCGAAATCAGGAACTTCGGCAACAGTTCTTCAATTCAACAACTCAAACTCCTTCGAATATATTGTCAAAAACGGTTGCAGCCGCTTCAAGTGACGCGAATTCGTCGAGTGGATCTGAAGTCACTCTGCGTCCAGTTGAAGATGAAATGAAAAAGAAATTTGTGGCGCGTTTTGGCGCTAGAAAAGCTCCTATAGCTCCACGCGAAGAAGACCCGGCTGATCCAGTGCATGTTATGGGCAGTCAAGAAAGTATGAATTCAACAGACTCGCGAGAATCTGTTATTTCCGCCACTTCGATTAAAGCTGAAATGCTCGCCAGAAGAAATTTCAACTATTGAAATGCTACGCTTAATCTTCTACGCTGCACGTTGCACCTAGTGAGTTATTTTTGAAGCACATCTGAAAAATTTCAGTCAATCGTTCTTTAGTTGATTTTTTTTTGTAGTTGGGTAAAAATTTGAAAGTGATGACTGAAATAGTTCAGGTTGTCTACCGCGGTTAAATCAAGCAAAAAATGATTATTTTCAGCACATCTGACCCGATAGGGAAACCGATTCATGAACGATACAACTTTGCGGAAATGGACCGTAATCTGGCAGCACTTGCGAAACCTCTTTGGGCTGGCACTGAAAAGGCGGAAAATATCGAAAAAGATGACAGTGCATCCTCATAAATATTGTCTTTGTATTGTATTGATCAATCGTTTTTAATTATACTTTTCAATATTTTCCGCGTCAAAAATTACACATCTTCGTTATATAACAAACAGCATTCTTCTCCTAAAATTACGTTGATCTTATGCGACTGCGCAATATATTATGATCTCTTATGTGAAATCGAGCTGTAATTTGTATAACTAATCGATTAAATGGTTTATATGCCTGTTTCGTAACGAATGATTCAACACATTGAAAAAAAAACACTTCGCCAAATAATTTATGTTTGTGCCCTAGCGAATGTGAGAAAGACAACGAAATCTTGACAAAGATAAATTGACTTGGCGCTTGATTGATTAAATTTCCTGTACTGCTTCACACTAGTATACGAAATTCGTTTGTTTTCAGATGGAACACAAACATTTACTATAAAATAAATAACATCCAGATGAAAACCAACCAATGTAATTAAAAATGGTCAATCTGATTTTATCAGAAATATCAGACTTAAATGTGGATATTTAGAAACGATAGTTGTTTTTCCGCAATGGTTTCGTTGGTGGGATTGTGTCAGTGATGTTTCGCGCAACATTTTTTTATTCAAACAAGAGAATTTTTTCACTAACACGTGTGTTCAAAAAATGCTGCATAATACCTTTTTCAGTTGTAGTCATTGTTTTTTTTCGAAACTCTCACCCATTCGTTCCGCCACCTTCTTTTCTCTCAACCATACATGGTATTGTTTGCCGTTTTCGTTAGTCAAACAACAAAATCAATGCTCTATTTTGCTTTCGGCGGAACAATTTCGAAAAAATTATATTTTTTGAATTAAGCTTTTGCCATTCCCAACACTATTCGAAAATGAACGGTTTTGAGTTCCAATACATTGCTAAGTATCACTTGAAATGCACAATACTTGGCTATTAATGTGACCAGTTGTGTACACGCAATGCGACGAAATGTCTAAGTATCTTCGAACCACGCACTCTGCGAAACATTTCACTGGCGTCTCTTCTATTCTACGTTATATATCACAACTTGGCTTTCGCCCAAACCCCAACACCAACCTCTCTCATTTTCTTCGCTCTTTCGAATGTATACGACACCGCTCTATGCAAACTTTTCTTAATAACATTATATTTTGGTTTCTGGGCGATCTAGTTATCTAAATGACCGATGTCTTATCAATGAATACTTTTCTTTATCAGTTCTGCACGTTCATTATAAATTCCGAATGTTTTTTTAAAATTACACTCTAATTTGATGACTAATATGGGTTATAATATAATATACATAATATATATATACAATATACATCTAGCAGTTTTAATTGGACAATGAAGAATAATACTGTTAAACATACTTAGCGTATTTTTAGAATTCTTGTTGACTAGGTTTATTGGTCTCTAAGTTACTTGCCTCCGGCTTTTATGATGTGTGATATTTTCGCAAAACCTTGGCGCTGTGTGTTGTTCATTTATTCCCAATGGTTCGGCAAAAATTTTTACACAAAATGCCAATGCAGCGAGCAAAGTCTTCAGTTTCATCGGCTTGTCGAGCCGCCACCGCCGCCTCCGAACTTTTCTTTTCCGTCCTTACACATGTAACAGCATCATCAAAATCTATCTTTCCGAATCACTGGTTCTTCTCTATTTCGTCCTGTTTTCTTCCCCGCTTTCTGATTTCCGCGTATCACGTATGTTTTTTCCGTTTGCTTGATACATTTTCAAGGAATTGCAGGATTACATACTAAATGGTGTGCGGTGGAATGGATACCGACCACCATATAAACGGCGAACTAGCGCATGGTTTTGAAAATTTGGTGTGCGTGAGATGCAACGATGGTTTTTCCATGCAGGACCAGATGGTCAATTCATCAGGACAAGTGTGGCATTCCGAATGTTTTGTGTAAGTTGTTCAAAATATGAAAAAACAATAGATCGGTGTATTTAAGATGTGCACAATGCTTTGAGCCATTTCCAGACGGAATCTACTTCGAATTTGAAGGTAGAAAGTACTGTGAACACGATTTCCACGTTTTGTATGCTCCATGCTGTGGAAAATGCAGTATGTATTTTTTGTGATTAAATTCTTCAGAATTATAACACCCACGTCTCAAAACATTTATTTTTAGACGAGTTCATCGTTGGACGCGTTATCAAAGCAATGAACGCTAGCTGGCATCCGCAATGCTTCTGTTGTGAACTCTGCAATCGACAGTTGGCGGACATCGGATTTCTTCGTAACGCAGGCCGGTAAATCAGTATGAAGAACACTAAAGGATTTTATGCCAAATTTTATAGCGCATTGTGCCGCGAATGCAATGAGCGCGAGAAAGCAGCTGGTACTGGCCGTTACGTGTGCCACAAGTGTCATGCCATGATCGACGAAGGTCAACATATAAAATTCCGTGGCGACTCGTTCCATCCGTATCATTTTCGGTGCAAACGTTGCAGTTGCGAATTGACAACTGCATCAAGAGAGGTTAATGGAGAGTTATACTGTTTGAGGTACCGCTTTACAATACACCAGGACAACTCTTTAGGTTTTTAGATGCCATGACACGATGGGAATTCCAATTTGTGGAGCTTGCCACAGACCGATCGAGGAACGCGTCGTTGCCGCTCTCGGAAAACATTGGCATGTTGAAGTGAGTTGTTTTACAATGGATGAGCTATAATAAGCTCTCTTTACAGCACTTTGTGTGCTCAGTCTGCGAAAAGCCTTTCTTGGGTCATCGTCATTATGAAAGAAAAGGATTGCCCTATTGTGAGCAGCACTTCCACAAGGTAAATTGTTTATTTGATTATTTATTACAATCTCAAGTTGTAACATTGCAGCTGTTCGGTAATATTTGCTTCAAGTGTGGTGACCCTTGTTGCGGAGAAGTTTTCCAGGTGTGTTTACTTAACAAATGAATCTGTATTAAAATCAAAATCACATTTTTAGGCTCTTCAAAAAACTTGGTGCGTCAAATGCTTCTCGTGCAGCTTCTGCGATAAGAAACTAGATCAAAAGTGAGCATTTACTAAATGATTTTTCGATAGGGCCCTAAATTTCAGAACGAAATTCTATGAATTTGATATGAAACCAACGTGCAAACGATGCTATGACCGATTCCCAACGGAATTGAAGAAGAGAATTTCGGAAAGCTTGAAAGTCTGTTTTTTCTTGCGAAAAGCATATTTCTCTAGTTTGACTTTTAGGACAGAGACCTTGAGAATCAGAGAAGATCGATGAGCCCTGGACCAAAGTAAATTTACCAAGAATTATCTCCTTTGTTTCCTACTACTGAAAATCAATAATTCGAACTCGACGCATAATCATTAGCTTGGGAAATTTAAAATTTTTATAAAATCAATCAAAAAAAAAAGAAAATACAGTTTCGGATGCAATTCTCCAGTTACACATGGTTTCGGGTATTATGCCTTCTAATTCGTACGTAATAATAATTATCTGTCATCCTTCTAGATCATATGGTTTTTTTTCGTAATAAACTGTGCGTGTGAAATAGTATTATATTTTTGAACTGTCTTCCGTGTTATTAAGTTGATTAACTATTTGATGGGCGCAATCCAGAGCATCTTGAATCGAGGGATAAATTTGATTTGGTTCAATAAGCTTCATCAAGCCAGCATGCTCATATTGCCGGCGTAATGATGCTGAAATAATTAATCACAGCTTAATAAAGAAAATGGAATTTGTACTTTTTAGGTTGGCAAACATTGGAATAATCTTATTACTTTTCAATTCGTCATTTATCTGAAATTTTAATTTTCTTTTTGAACTTTCTTTAATACAGTAGAACCTCCTGAATAGCATCGATTCCCATGGAATCGGTATAAGTCCATGTATGGCAGTCGAAAATAATAGACGTCCATGGAAATTCGATATCTTTTCCGTTATCTAAAGCATAAATATAAATTGGACCCATTCATGTTGAAGAGAAACTGGAAAACGTTTGCATGTCTGCAAATACAATGCCCGTCTTCAAGTTTTGTCGGTCGTTAAATTAGTTGATGTAGTTCACATGGAAAAAAAAAACACCCACGAACCCATTAATTGAACTCACCAATCCGAAGAGTTGCCGACACGTCTTTCACATTGTCTAAAAATTTATCGACATTTGTAAAAATAAGAGGAGCATCAAATCGAATAATTTTGAATGAAGTTGGCTGAAAATTGTGGGTGTTCGGTGTCTCTAAAAAAATGAACTTTTGCAGATGAATAGTGCAATAGTGGTTTGAAGTCATTGAATTGAACCTGTCCCAATTGTTTGATAGTTGGTCTAGAAAACAGGAATGTTGGCAATTCTTATAAAAATTCATACTGTTGCGATTGGATTGCAATTGTTATTACAGCCAGTAGAATTCCAGCAGCCACGCCCTCAACAATATCTGAGCACAATGTTACGATTGCCGTGAAAAGCCAAATGAACTAAAATTACAATCAGCCGAGAAACGAAAACAATTTACTTACAAAATCGTGTTTTGAATATTTCCATAGCTTCGGTAAATCACAAATGTTTAGAAGAAGTGAACGCACCGCAACCGTAACTATAACGGATAACACGCAAGTTGGAAGTGATGACAATAATGGTCCAATAAAAGTGATTACAAATAATATACATACGCTAGCCACAACACCGGACAACTTGAATAATGAGAAACAAAATTGATTTTAATAGCATATCAAATACCTGCGATTGTGCTCCACATTCTTCATTAAGCAATGTTCGTGATAACGAAGCGGAAGTTGGGAACGTTGAAAAGAATGACGACGATATGTTTACAATTCCCAATGCCAATAGTTCCTTGATTGTGAAAAATATAAATTTCTTCACAATTTAAAATTACTTGATTAGAATCGACGCGGTATTTATGCTTTTTTGAAAACATCTGACCCATCGACATTGTTACAGCGTATGCAACAATTGCTGAAACTTAGAGTGATTTTTCAATTCATGAAATGAACTCTTACATAATGATAAAGCGTCCAATACAATTGAAGGCCATAAGCTTATTGATGGTGTGTCGGGCTCAGGAAATCCTCGTGGAATATCATTCAATATTTGCACTTTATAATTATTTTCAAAGTTCAGGAAATATGAAAGACATGTATTTACAATTATCTGAGTTCAAAAAAAAGAAAATCAGTATTTATTTTTTAGGGATACCGTTATGAGTTCTGTTGGAAACGGAAACTTTTTGAACCATGTTTTCCTTAGTAGTGGTTCTAAAAATGTCTTCATAGTTAACAGAAAACACATTGTAGACAATGAAATCGCCAGAGTAATTGCATTTGTTTCAGGAAGAGCTTTGCAAATTTCAACAGTTTCCTAAAATTGAAGTTTGAAATGTTATAAACAATTTCAATTTACGTAGTATATATTAAACCATTCACTCTGTCTAGATGGCACCGAAACTCCGAGCATTTTTGGAATTTGTGTAATCATAGCGTAAAAACAGGCGGAAAATGTGATTCTAAAATCTAGCATCACGCGAATAATAGATAAATACAATTACGCTGAAATCGCTGGTGCTGATAAGAACTTCATCATTTTATCACATCTTGTTAAAGCCATAACGAATTGAATCAAACCAGTTAGTAAACATAAACTTGTGGCAATCTCTATTTTTGTATATTTTGCAGAATCTAAAATTTTTCTAAGAGTGGTATTGTTATTTTTTTAAATTAAGTATAACCCTTCATCTCTATATCGTTATAACTGTGCGTTATCCGTTGAATACATTTATTGATCATCATACATGTTAAGGAAAAAACTCCTAAACTCTGTTTTGAGCTATTATTCTTTTCATTTGAAATTTACCAATGCTAGTATGTCTAGACGTTCCGAAAAGTGCATAAATCAGGGGAGGGAAAATACTGGCATATAACCCGTAAACCGGCGGTAGGCCAGCTAATGTTGAATATGACATGGCTGCAATTGAAATACATATTCAAATGCAATTGGAAAAACTAGAAACCTTGCGGAACATTATAAATTCCAACTGTGAATCCAGCTACTGCATCCATAAAAAGACTCGATCCCTGGTAACTATAATTAACTTATATGACATGTTGCTAAATTATTACAAACCTTTTTATCCATTTTGTACAAGGGAGCCGCCGTAAAAAAGAATGTTGAAAGCCTCGAAAAACTTGTAAAAATTATGTTAACAATTGAATTACCTGATGGTGTGAAAGATTTGGTGTATATTTTTATTTTTCTTGCCAGCCAGTGTTGTTGGTTTACTCGTTTGTAACCATTTGTTTTATCATAAATATCCTAATAATATGTACAGTAAGAATAATTACAGAAGAAAATGTTAAATTTATTACCTGATACATGTCAGTTGTTGTAAAGAAAATAGTTGGTACTGACTCTTATCTTTAAAAATAGTTTTATCGATGAAAACGTTCGTGAACTTGTATACATATATATATATATATATATGAGCACTTGAGGTCATATTTAATATAATTGCATCAGAAACTGTTAGGTGATAAATGCTCAATGTTGAAGGTCGAAAGTTTGGCTAGAAACGAAAACAAATGAATTTGTGGCAATTCCAATTATAAATTCATTAAAGCTTCAAATAAATAAAATAGAATAAAATGATTAATCGAATGCAGTAGAATCATTTTCAATGTGTCTATTAAAATGATCACTTAGACCAAAAGTATCGTAATAAATTTGAAAAAAAATGTCGTACTCTGATTTTGTTTTTATGATGGTTCAGGTTGAAGAGATACGGTAATATGTAACTTATTCACAAGTACACGATTCCCCCAACTATTTTTATGGTATGGTATGAGCTATAGATATTAGTAGATTTTTTAGTTATCTGAAGAATAAGGTATTGACAAATATGTTCTAATTGTCACAACAACGGATAATGAACGATTTTTATACTCTTCACTACCGTAATATTTTCAACGGTTTGTATCGAGATGTCAAAGACAAATGTATAGAAATCCCGTAAGAGATTACAATATGATTGTCTACAAGAATGCTTAAGAAAACTTGAAGGTAAAGATGATTCTGTCGGAGTACATCAATTCTCCTATGAGAAAACCAATAAATTTTCAACAGCTTTTCGATGTTCGATTTTTTTCAGAAATTTTCCATATCATTTCCCATTGTCATTTGTCTTAACAGACGCGTGAATATATTTTTTCTGTCTATTCACAGTGTTCACCATAGTTCGACGCAATCTAAACTCCGAATGCCGTCTTCATTGCCAATGGACATCTTTTTCCAGTTTTCATAGTGATGTGCTTTTTTTTTCCTCAAATCGCAAAACTGTCCGTTTGGTAAAAACCAGTGTACAGGAGGGAAAAACGAGAGATGAAGACGACCTCGCTTCAACAATGCGGTCTGATGAGGCTAGTTTTGGACAAGAAACACCATGCTGTTTGCAGAGAGTGCACCATCTACGCAAGCCGGTTATAGAGAAAAATTTGGGCCGAAATCGAGAACCGGTTTTGACCGGTTGATGGGGATGCAATGAGTGTGTGTGAGTGTGTGAGCGGCGGCCGTTTCCGCGCAAGTCTGTTGCATCGCCCTCTTTTTCTCTGATCTTTTTGTCTTCTATTCGATTTTGCCAGTCGCTCATTATCAAAACAATGATTGATAAGTCGAAAAAAAAACGTTTCAGATTTAAGATCTCTCGGAGGCGTTATCAATTTACATTCCGTTCTTCTTGATGAAGAAATTTCCTTGTTAATATTTTTTTTCAAAAAAACGTCATTTCAACTGCCTTAAGGTTAAATATATTTTAAACCTAACATAAGTATTTTCCTAAATATTTGAAGATTTTAAATATCATTATTGTTTTGGGTAAATAAAAATTTCCGGAGATGACTAATAAGTCATGTTATTTTTTCTTATTAATTTATTCATTCATTTTAAGTACCTAATATAATATTAATATTTACTGTAAATTTTTCTTTGACTTTGACTGTCATTTTAAATAATCTATTTTTAAAACACGTTCTTCAATTTTCACGCACATAGTTTTAGTACAACTAAAAAAACTAGTCATTGGACATGTGTCGCTGGATTGTTAGTTGCAAATCGATTGTAGAAAAACCAGTTACAGTTTATACTTCATTTGTTGATGGTAAATAACAGGCTACGCGTCAACTTGATTTTGTTTTAAACCTTTTACAAATTTTCTGATCGTCTCACATTTGAAATTTCAAGGTCATGAAACAAGTGAAAGAGGAGGTCATCGATTTGGACTACGAAGAGCAAGATGAAATGCGGTTTCGTGATGAAGATGAGGATGCCCTAATGGTCGCGCGAAAGATAAAGCAAGAGTTTTGCGAAGAGTCATCCTCCTCGGCCACATCAACACCACCTCTACGAACACCGGTACAAATAATTCAAGAAAAGTTAGTTGTACTTTTTCGCTTGTTTATTTTTTATATGTCCCATGTCTAAAATAGCTAGCCAGTCAGATCGGGGCTTCGGTTTGACCAGTCATATGTCTACGAAAACAACACTATCTTTCGGAAATTCCTGTCCGGTCACCCGTTTTCTATGTTTCCATCTCGTGCGTTAAGATATATTTGCGCCGTCATAACGCATCGGGTAAAAATCAAGACTGGTTTAAGCACCTAAAAAAAACTGTAGACACGGAAACTGAGAACTTTACAGCGAATGATGCCCTTTTTGCAGTATTCGAACGGAAATTGAGCGGCCACCACCATTAGTCTTCGATCATTTCATTTGTATGCGAATCGGTCTCAACTCAAAAAATAATGTGCAACGACTCATGGCCCTACTGGTATGTTCGAGAAACTGATAACAAAGGTTGTAGAAACCGATTTAAGCATACAACATCTCCTGCCAAAAGATTTGATCGGAACAACGTTTATTTCAAAATACCATGAAAAAAAATTTTTAATGAAAATTATTTGCTATTTCAAACCGGTTTAGATAAAGTATTTGTTAAATTGTGGATATTTTCATGCAATCTCGTGATTTTGAAAAAAAAAAAACAAAAACTATATGACTTGGTTATCTTTATCAATTCGAGTTTGTCAAATAAGTAGCATATCAGAATTTATTTAAAAATAAAAAGAAAATATTTGAGAAAAGTAATAAAAACTTTACGTACATGTTTCAAATTATGGTTAAATATAAAAATATAAGCTAATTCTGATCGATTCCAATGAAAACGAATTTCCGACTTCTTAAAAACAATTGTTCAGACTGCTCACGAATTTGTTGACCTTACTGTACTACCAACACCATCTATAGTCCATCAGCAACCAATGCCACCAATAATTCCAATGATACCTCAACAAAGAATGATGCCACCTTGCCATCAAGAAGCTTCTACTTCAAAATCTGTCTCCCTCATTGATTACGAAAATGAACGTCGAAAATTAAAAAAAAGTGTTATAAAAAAAGTTAGCCATCGCCCTATGCTAAAGACATCGGTAAGAATCAAGAATAACATTTGGGAATTAGAAAAATTATCGGTTTAGCCGTCTGCAGACTGCGGTATTATTCCAATCAATCTCCAATGTAAAAAATGTGAAGAAATTATTCCAAAAGGATCACAGTATGTTGAGGAAACTTTATCAGTGTTAATATTAATGACGATATTTCAGCGGGTCAACAGCACTTATGCACGTACAAAAACATCATCTCAAAATGGCTGCTTTTCAATGCCGAATTTGCAAACATTACAGGACAACCCAGGAAAGAGTAAGTTAACATTTAAAAAAATTCGACAAAACTTCATTATTTGCAGATTCAATCTCACGTTACAACAGTACATAAAGCCAAATCCACTAAATTTGATTCATCGCTAGCAGGTAAATCAAATCAAACAATCAGTAGTTAATTTATAATTATACGTTTAAGGTCCTCTATCCAGCGAAGATATGCGAAAGATGGAAGAAATGATAACCTACTGTTTCCCTCCACTTAAAATGGCAAGTGAATATTAAGCATATTTCCACATAATATCGGACTTTTAGGAGCTTCAAGTTACGGATAGACTAGTCGCACGGACTATGACAATTGATCTTGGTCCAAAATAATGTTAAAATTTAAAAATATTTCACATTCTGAAATTCTAGTCAAGTTTGTCAATAATGAAATTTCATCTTTGTTTTTCAACAAACGATAACATTATAAGCAGAAAAATAAAGTAAAATGTAAACAAAAAAACAATTGAAGTAAAATAAAATGCATGAAATGAACGCTGGATATTTTAAATTGGAATTGTTCATATAATCGGCGTCCGGCGACTACTCTACGCGGGTAGATTTACGGGAATGCATCTTTCAAAATAGTCTCGCACGGACTAACAGGTTATTTCAAATTTTATAGACCGATTCGATAATTTTTTACTCGAATGACGTTGGAAATTCAAGAAAATGCGAAACTTATCAAAAAAAATGAAGAAGAAAAAACACAGCAAAAATAAGCATTCATGCGTGGCGAGACCTTTTCAAGGCGCATGCGCGTACAGCAGTCGCCGGACGCTGACTATATAGAAATCCAACTAGATGCGTATTTAAACTCTACCAATATTTTTAATGTGGCTACGGTATGTATGGATAATCCCGAAGGTTTTGTTGGTGTATTAGTCCAAATGTTATTTATATCCATGTGAGTAGTCTTTATGAAAAATTGAACTTTGAAAACTAGCCGGAACGGATTAATGGTATTACTGACATAATTTTGAAAGTTTGACGATAACTTAAAAACGAATTTTCAGGGATTCTCAAACTAAATGAAAAAATGTACAACTTTAAAAGAAGTATTGAATATGCAGGTTATAAAAGTTTTTATTTTTTAAAGAGAAATTTATCACGGAGAGCATAGTGGCCAATACCATAAAACTGGTCAACCTTCCTACGATTCTTCAGATTCTTTCGTAAAAATAGGTAATAAAAGTGTTCACACTGTGTGTAAAAAAATACATTATGATCATTTGTTATTTTGATTTTGTGCACTAAAAAAAAACTGTTTTCGTTCTTGAATATTAACTAAGTAGGTTCGAAAATTCCAGATTGTTTTAGTTGCTACAAAGATGAAACTCAAGTAGAAAATAAAATCACTGATGATTTCAATTAGTTGTATGTGCTCAATAACTACATACATGGAGAGTTTATGAACGTATCGTATTTGTTGACATAATGATTTATCCAGGAGGCTATCAGTGCAAAGACACGATTTGTTTTTTCCTCCGTTTTCTTCGCATGTAATCGAAAACGCATACATTCATTCATCTTTTTCTGTTGTAGCAACGGTCAACTGATTAGATTTTGTTTGTATGATTTTCATTGCGTTCAAGACGAGCAAATAAACGTATCTTATATTTGTTACAAGATAAGCAATATAATTGCAAATGAATGTAGACAATATACAATGACCACTTTTTTACACCGCCGGAATTTTTTTTCTATTGAATTTATCCCGATTTGTCCTTAATCGATAAACCTTAGCGTCCTTGATTTCGCAGAAGTTTTGTTTGCTTGTCCCGTTTTTCAACATATTCAAAGGATTGTTGCGTTCCGCACATTTATCTTACGAGTACATCTTTTGTCGAGAATGCGAAATTGTCGAACATTGATGCCGTTGTGGATTGTATCTGATTCATTATTATCCGATTAGTTCAATTTCGGTTGTTATAACCGCCTTCGTCGTTTTAATTTATGTTTCCTGTTCTATTCCGCCACTATCTAGCTTATTATATATCACATATTCAGAAAAAGCATAATGGTAGAAAAAGCGACATGGAATGTTTGGCAGTTGGGTATTGGATTCTTCTTCAATTTTTTTGCGTTCAACTCGCAAGGTTGATAAGCAAGTAATTGTTTTTAAATTTTTAGATTTGCAGGATTTATTGAAGAAGTTGTGATTGATAGCGCGTCAGCTGATCAGAAAATTAATAATCATGCGGGTTATTATAGTTTGGCGATTATATATGCCGTATTCACTGCTGCCAATTTCATTGCCGCCCCGATCGTTGATATCCTATCTCCGAAATGGGCCATGGTGGTTGGAGCTCTTTGTTATGCTGCATTTCAAGTAAAATTTTTTATTCAATTCAGAAAAGTAATTTTTTGAAAATTCTTTCAATAAGGAGAAATATCAATAATTTTAACATTCAGGTTGGTTTTCTGTTTCTTAATGAAATCTATCTCTATGCTTCAAGTGCGGTTCTTGGATTTGGGGCAGCAAGTACTTTAGATTTAAATTCAATCTGATTTCGTATTTGATCTTTACAGTTATATGGACGGGGCAAGGATCTTATCTCTCACAAAATTGTACCAAGGCGACAACTAGCAGAAACAGCGCCTTACTTTGGGGACTTTCTGAAAGCAGCTTGCTCGGTGGTGGCATATTCTTGTGCGCAATTTTCGGTGCTACATCTGCTACTACACTCACCCCAGATATTGCAAGAATTCGTTGTATTCTTTCGATTAACTGTAACATTATTACAGATAAATGTGCTTTATGCGGTCTTCACAATTCTTGCCGTATCTTCTGCAATAATTTTTGCATTTCTTCAAGCTCCTGTATTCCCAGAATCAAGAAATAAAAACGATTATGCCGATTTGATAGGAGGAACCTTTAAACTTATGGTCACAAAGAAGATGTTGCTGTTGTCAATTGTTTTTGGATACACGGGCATCGAACTCTCGTTTTGGTCAGGTAACAGTAATGCTAAATGTTCTGTGTGAGAATTCAGTTTTCAGCAATTTATCCAACATGCATATCATTTACCCGTCAGTTAGGAACTAATACAAATCTTTTTCTTGCTTTAAATATGATCACAACTGGTTTTGGACAAGGAACAGGTGAAATAACTCGTGGTTCGATTGATAAAGATTTATGTTTCAGCTGGTCTCTTGTTCGGATTACTCGGGGAAAAGCTGCGAAAGATTGGCCGTGATTCTGTTGTTCTGTTGGGAGCTGTGGTTCATTTGCTTGCATATGCATTGTGTTACATGAACTTCCCTCCAGATGCTTCTTTAAAACAAACTGACGACCTTGGAGGTTTGCTGTATCCAAAGTAATATGTTTCAACTTTAATAAAAAGTGTATAACTTTAAAATATTGACAGTATTTCAATCTCATTGATTATTGGATTTCTACTTGGTTTCGGCGACGCGGCGTGGAACACTCAATTGTACTCGTACATTTGTGATAGCTTCCCAGATAAAAGCTCTCAAGCTTTCGCCGTGTTTAAATTTTATCAAGTAAAAATCAGCTATTTGGTCTATTAAAAATGTCAAATTACAGTCGGGACTATCTTGCGCTGCTTTCTTCTATTCACCTGTCCTTCAACTCCAATGGCATCTCGCAATTCTTACTAAGAGCGCTATTTTGGCTTCTGCTGTGTATTTTATTGCCGAAGCAATTGAACGGAACAATGCTGCTAGCAAGGCATCTCTCGAACATTCATTGAAAAACAGCACAATTGCTTATAAAATTGATGAAGACGATCAGAATTCGGGTATTTTGAGTTTGACGTTTGAAATGAATTTACGAGTTTCACAGGCATAATAATGACATCAAGAAAATTCACAAATCCTGAAAATCTATTCTAAAAACAATTGCTTTGTCCAGAAATTGTGAGTTTCAAGTCTTATTTGCGAGGCTGGCTCTTTGAGCGATCTCGAATCACACTCTTTGCTGGTTTTTCTGCCGTGCAACTTCTTTGATGCACTGCCAGACGGTCTTCCTGAAAAATTATGAATTCACTATTTACTTCAGCAAACAGGAAGTCGTACATTGAATTTCCTTTCACAGTGTTCACATTCTACCATAAGTCCTTGAGAATTTTTCCAAAGCACTTCATTAGTTGCTTCTTGGTCAATTTGGCCATCTGAAAAATTTTCTCGTATTTCACTTTTTTCAGAACATCGTCAACTATGGTCTATAATCGCATCGGGCTTCACTGGTGCTACTCTTCTCTTTGACTTTGGTAGCTTTTCATTTTCCAGATGCCATTTCCGAAGACATTGTGGTTCATGTATAGCTAATAATCTTTAATGAATAAAGAAAATAATAAATTGTTCAATACCTATACTTTTCGAACCAAATTGCCGGCCACATATATAGCAAAACACCGTTGGGGCTGGTTTTGATGCCCTAGGTGGACCTGGGGTGAAATTATTCTTAAACAAAACACGTAATCGATGAATTAATGTTCAGAACTCACCATTCGTGGAGTTATGTCAATTGAATTAAAAGGTTAGTTGAGCGGCAATAACCAATTCCAAACAAACCGGAACTGTGAACTTTTGACTGCAATCTTCCGAATAGAGAGAAAGCGAAGAAAAATTCGTAAGCTATGCGAACAACAATTTCTATGAAACGCGAGAAAAGAAAAGAGTTTTCAATGCATGAAAATCGTTGAGGAATTCATTGCTCGTAAGCAGTTTTTTTTTGCGAGTCCATCACCGTGGAAACAAGAATAACATACGAGCAGTGCGAAAAATACGCCGTATATATTGATTTGAATAATAATTAATAAAAAGTAGAGAGTGTGTCGGCAGACGACTAGTGATTCTATGCATTCCATATCAACTTCTAATTTTATATGTATGGCAGTAGTAAATGTAAAAAGAGACTGTTTTCATTTTTAAGAGCTCTTTATTTTTTTGAAAAGAGAAAATAATTTCTCAATTATTATCCACACGATTCTGCTCGTTTTCGCCTTTTTTCTCTCTGAAAAGCGGTTATTATTAGCACATTGCGCATTCTCAACTACGACACTTGGAGAAATCACAATAATTTATTGGGGGCAATGTGTGAAATACGAAACAAAGGAAGTGCACTAATTAATACGAGCAATATGACAAACAAAACATGTGAAAATACTCCAATATTCACATTTCGCCGTTACGGAAATCGCGCGGAAGCGCCTTGTCACCTGTGGCGCGCGAGCGGTTTGTTGCTGCTTCAACCGCATCCATGAGAATTCCCTAAATATGAGTATATTGATTTAAAAAATATGTATGAATAATGGACCTTCAACCCTCCAGACTCCAATTTATGCATTCCATATACTGAAGATCCGGCTGGGCTTTGAACATCGTCTTTCAATTGGGCTGGGTGAATTCCTAAAAATATTCAAAGAATAGTATAGAACCCTTGTTCCTTCAATGTTACCAGTTTCAAGTACCATCTTGGCAGCACCATAAAGTGTATGAGCAGCAAGTTTAAGAGCCAAATCACGGGGAAGTCCGACTTTCACTCCACCATCAGCTAATCCTTCAATCGCAGCAAACATCTTGAAATCAAATTTTTGATAAATGGTTTTGATTGAAATCTAGACTTGTACACTTACATAACTCGGTCCAGATCCTGACAGTCCAGTCACTGGATCAACGAGAACTTCTGGAACTTCAACCGCATATCCAACTGTACTTAATAGGTCCTGAAACTCAAAATTAAACACTATTTTAAAAAGAGTTTGTTACTTTAACGGTATCCGAATCTCCATCTCTGCAAGCCGATCCCATAGCGAATGCCGAAGCTCCTGCACGTACTACAGCTGGGGTATTTGGCATTACACGTACAACACGCGACTTGGATGGGAGAAGCTGCAAACGTGTGACTATAAGTACTATGAACTGCGAATTACCGATTCTATATTTCTGATTGTTATTCCAAGAGCAATCGAGACTACAAGCTGTTCTCTGCTCAAGGCTGGAGCAATTTCAGATGTGACCTGGAAAATTTGTTATAAGTATAGAAATTTACTTGTTACTTTTAATAACCTTTGTAACATGAACTGGCTTGACAGCCAGAAAGATGACATCGCTCTTCTGCACCACTTCCGAATTATCGTAAGTTGTGTTCAATCCGAGATGTTTGCATTGTTCCAAAAGGGCAAAATCACTTTTTGGTGAACTGGCAATTATATTTTCGGCTGTGATTCGTCCTGAAATGTCAAACTAATGATAGGATAATATCATACCTTATTTACCTGAGTTTATTAGGCCTCTAGCGAGCGCCTGGGCCATTTTTCCTGCTCCAATGAATCCAATTTTCATATTTGAAGCTGCAATAATGAAATTCGCAAAGGGAAATGAAACGAGTAAGTGATGATTATCTAGCGAGCAAAGTGAGCAAAACAGAGGTCAATTGATAAGATGGTATGACCGGTAAAGTTGTCCAGTTCGAACGATGTCAAGAAATAAAATTCTGGTCTATCCTAAGGTCATTATGTTGAATATGTTGAAGACAGCAAGCTTTGGAATATGTTAGAAAGTTGGGATGATAGGAAAAGAAGGCGATCACGCAACAAAAGACAGGTTCTTCTTGTTTTCTTTGTCAGCAGATATGAACCGTTTGAGAACGTGTGTATATTTGAGCGAGGAAGTATTTTTTTGACGGACTACAGAAAATATTCAACAAATGTTAATGAGATATTATCAAGAGGTATAGGGATCTTAACTGATAACATACAATACAGTAAACATCGTTATCATACACTTTGTTTCTACCGAATGCTCCTCGCAAGGTCGCACAACGCTAGTTCCCCTTTTTTATCAGTCGGCTTATTTTCAATGAAACAATACGCACAATGATTTGTAATAAAACTGTTTATTGAGGTTGTATTGTCAGTTTCAAACAACTTATGAAAATTTTAAATAATTGGCGATGTATCACGTTGACCTGGAGTGAAGAGACGAGTGCGGATTTTTAGCGTAGGCACAGTTGATATTAAGCAAAAGCGTAATTTTTCAAATTTGTGAAACTATTCACGAATTTGCGAAATTGAAGCTCTCTCTATCGTTCAATTATTTGAAACCGTCAATACATTGTCATGGAGTGTATACAATGTCAACAATTAATGATTATACATTTGTTTTACAGTAAATCGTCATAGTTGTGATCTTCTACAACAAAGTAATCCGTATCCTTTGGTTTCCTCCATGTTAGAATCGACAGAGGATCGAACTCTGCAACATTGGATACATTAATAGCAAGGTTATTTATTTATCATTTCTAAAAAATATTTTTTACACCTACGAATGTTGAACACTAATGCGAAGAGATCAATGTTACCTTTTACTCTCATATTCCTTTTTATAACTTCATCATCGGTACGCGCAAAATACGTTTTTATATCACATCGTTTGGGACTTGTCGCTAGACGGAAATCATATTTTACTGTTGTCATTTGCATGCTTGCGGAACAGTAGCCACAGGTATTTCGACATTCTCGGAAAGCCGATGGAAATGCGCCGCAACCATTTACGACGTTATATTTTGAGTCTTGCCAATAACCCTCCCTGCAATAGTGTAAGTTAGAAGCATCACATCATACTATTTTGAACTTTTTTAACATTCTTTGGCACCATTCCCCTCCTCGTCTGTCAATGCATGTAGCTTTCATTGGATCTTCTAAATGTCTCCTAACTAATATATTGTAATTTGATTCGCTCTCCTTTTTCTTTTTGTCAAAACTAAAATTATAAAAATAAGAAGAAAAAAGAATCGCTTCTCGCAGAAGTTAATACTAAAACACATATTGGATATTATTGCTCACCAGGTGAAACAACATTGAATCAGCGCAAAATCGGGATCTGAAGAGCATCGCTTATAAAATTTAGCCGGATTGTTGTAAAGCATTCTATTGCAAGTTAGACTTGTTAATCGGTCCACACAGCATGGGGTTCTATCATTAATATCAATTGGTTGATTGTAGTTGAAATTGGGCACGTTTCCTGCAATCGTTTTTAAATTGTTCATTATCAGCGTCTATTTTGCCATTTTTCTAGTCGCACTGAAATCATCTTGTTTCCAAGAATTATTGAATACTTTCTAGATTTTTCCGTTCAGCTAAATCCCACACAAAATATTCTCAAGTTTAGTATTGTATATTATAAAATCAATTGTAAATAGAAAGACATTGTGAATTGTCACGCGATGTATTAATCCGTGAATAATTATCAAATTTTAACTTCTCACCACAAAACACACTGCTGACGATAAATAGTAAAGCACATGTTTTGGCAAAAAATCCGTGTCCTTTCAACATGCGAAATAATAGAACTGCAGAACGAGATCGTATAATAAAATAAGTTGGTCTAAATAGGAAGCTTACGTACGGTGGCGATTGTATGTTTGAGGTGTGAGTTGGCTCGATCCAATCTTATGTATGACGCGTGTTTGTATGAGTATTACATGACTGCGAGCAAACAGGCGGGCTTCTGAAAGTGGGCGCATACACACACACACCAGTTCGCACTTTATTTGGAACGTTAAATTCACGAATTTTTGTCATCAACGAGGTTCCTCAAGAGGTTCACAGTCAAACAATGAAATCTAAATTTAGAACATTGCTGATAAGTTCTAGAATTGTTTCATGAGGAAAACGATTATAGTGATGTTAACAACAATGTGTTTTCCCTATAATTTAGATAATTGATGCATTGAAATGACACAATCTTGCCATTTATTTTTGCTCTTTTACCAATCATTTTTTAAAGATTTTTTTACATATACATATTTTTTCACACATACACATATGTTTGTTCAGAATACTTGATTTATTCTTTAATATCATTTTAGAAGCGTATTTTCCCGGTTAAACTACCACTCAGTAGATTAAATATTAGTACTTGAAAATACTTTGAGGTTCGACCAGTTGCTTGTATAAAAAATGATAAAATATGACAATTGCGTTAATAAAAAATAAATATCTTGAGATAATTAGAAGAGTTTTTCGCAAGTTTTCGGGTTTTTCGCGTGATCAGAATTATAGCGAACAGTAGCTGGTTTTTGAGGCCTAAAATATACATTTTAGTGATTGCAATAATGAATGAAACATACGTTGAACAATATCCACAAGTCTTGCGACATACCCGAAATGCAAACACCGAGTTCTGGCAAGACAATGACTTACGTCCCCAGAATCCGCTTCTAGTGACAAAAGCTTCACAAAATGCAGTGCCGTGTCGGTCGAAGCAGTGTCGTGGTGAAGATTGAAGAAGCAATTCTTCAACGTCTTTTTGATATAGGTCATTCGGCACCGGAATTGCTGAAAATGAGTCGGCTAGTTTTTGTTTTGAAATAAACCCTTACATTCACTGGTGAACATATCCATATTGAAATGGCAAGAATGACAGCATTGAATAAAGGAAAAATCAGGATTAGTCCTACAGGACTTTGCAAATTTTTCGTGATCTCGGTTGTAAAGACCTTTACAAACCGAAGGCATCAATGTGTCCATGCAGCACGGTGTTCGGATTGCCTTATAAGCCACCATTTGCATTGTCATCTCAGCAGAGATGATACCTAAAAATTCAAATTAACATCAATTAAAAACAAACCGCTATTTACTTAATTGGGATGCAATAGCGATAAGACAGATTCTCGCAGAAATAACCATGATTCTGAGGCCTTGTGTAAAAACTTCTCAGCTCTTTATATATAGTGCCTTTGACGTCCGGTTGCGTTTCACGCGACTCCTCTCGCGCCAAAACGTCCATATTTTCCATCCGGCACTGTTCCCGCCCACTGTGAGCATTCCCCGGACGTCTAATGAATTCCGAGGAAAAAAAACACACCAAAACATATGTAAACGTTGACCGTTTGTTGCAAACCCGTGGTTAGAAAGGTCTCTATGTGTCTTGTGCGTTTTGTCTGTGTATTCTTTCCGCTTATGAATTATGGCCATCTTTCGGCGGCAAAAACATGCGCGCAGGCGGTAAACAATGCGGAAAAACCGTCGAAAAATAAGCATTTCCCGTGCGCCTCTCAAACCTTTGCACTCCTCTTTGACTCGAGCTATTTTTTATTGAAAAGAGACATACCGACCGATCGTTTATGCGGAAGTGATTGACGGGATATGCGAATTTACATATAATGAAAACGGATCAAATAAACATTAATATCTTACCGAGCTTTGGAAAAATCATTCGATTAGATAAATCAATAGTAAGAATTAGGGCTGACTGTAAATAGAAATTTTAAAAAAATTTCAATGTTCTACATTAAAGGATAACGGAAATATAGATCTCGCAAAAACCGACTAGACTTAACAAAAAATAGAGAGAGACTTAACAAAAAGATTCACAAAATTATTATTAAGAGCGTCATTTTAGCAAGTTTGCATATATAATTACAAACAATTTCAACTAATTATTATACTTTACTGGATTTGGTTATGTAATGTTCAAAATTCATCAAATCACATCTTTTTTCAGCTGGTTTCATTTCATTAACGAGGAAATGGTTTCATTTTATTAACGAGCAAATTTTCTTTTTTATTTGTGAAAAATACATAAGAGCTGGCCAAGTTATGATGCACTTGACATTATTAACTTTCAACTAGTTTCAGCTTCATTATCTGTTCAGAAAAGAAATGATGGTCAACACTAATACAATCGAAAAAACGAGCGCTCTGTGTAGATTTACGGAGAGTTAGATTCACAATTCATCCGGTCTACAATTGTTGAAGGTGCTCGTTTTTTGCTATGAAAATAGTAAAAAAAGGGAAAGAAAATGATCTTTGAAAAACTCTTATTCTTGTGCACTTTTACAATTCTTTTTTTATGGTAATTTTTAAGGTCATTTTTTTAATCCAAACTTTAAATCCAAAATTGAATTCGCGGCTGGGAAAAATAATCAACAATTAATCAAGATATTCGTTTTTTTCGATGGTAATATATACAAATATTGGATGTTTCCGTATTGAATGAATTTCGAGGCGGTTGGTTAATTGACCGGTCATAAATCAAAAAAACGGCATCTTGTTTTGCTCAACACATTCGCATCCCCAATCAAAAAAAAAAACATGGGAGAGCCCGAGCTCTCGGCAATTCGTAGTGTGTCACACATTGGAAGGCTTTATAGCCTGTTGTTTTCCATTACTCATATTCAAAAATCGTTGTCTTTCTAATACGAATTCTTTCCAAAAATGAGGCTTATGAGTCCACACATTATCATCCGCCAATTTTTTTGCACTTTCACGCACGCTTCAATGCGCCATTTTTTTATTTTCTCATTTCCAAAACCAGCTCGAATATAGATATTTTCAATATTCTCAAACGCAAGAAAAATGCATTTTATCTCAACTTTTTTGCCTTCCACTTTTTTTATCACAAATCTGTTCTTCCCCCCTCCCATTCCCAAGCCCAATGTTGAATCATATGTGAACAGAATTTTCGAAACGCAGCAAACCCCGCTTGATAAACTATTTTTCTAAATTCTTTTACGAAATTCAAACATTGTTTCTTTTCATATTTTCTTTCCCATGCCTATGCATTCATCAAAATATATCAATTAATCAATTAATTATTAGAAAAAAATATTTATAAAAGTGTTGACAACAAATCAAAGAAGTGTGTGTGAGACAGAGACTATGGATATTATTGATATACAATGGACACATGGTCAGCATTTAAGCGAAATAAGTGCAAAATTTCTTCCCAAGGCTTGTTTCCAAACGTGCCCCAAGGATAACATTTCAATGTGTCTTGGCGCGAATTATTCCGCACAGGTCATCCTGTGCGTTATGAAAATTATTGTTTCTTATCATCATATTTTCTATCATCGTCCCTCTTCTCGCTCAATTTTGATTACTACGCTCGCCTTTTTGAGTAACATAACATTAGCATTATTAGAAGGTGCACTCGGCTAGGCAAAAACAGCATATTATATTCAGTTGTGTTGCATTCCTCATCCCGAGCGTCTTTATGTAGCTAATTGTTTGTTTATAATTGTATTATATATTGTAGCATCTTCGAGATTTTTCATCCTCATAAATTATCTTAGCGATAGCTTTGTCCGTTTCCTGACAGTTGCACTTGTGTGCTGGCATTTATTGCTCATCATATGTTCGGTTTACGCTGTTTTCTCTAGCCTCAACATTTCTATCACTTGTTTTTGTTTTTTATTTGAGTGTTCGCAATGTTTAATGTTGGCAATTGGTGTTTCTTTAACCATATTTTATTGAATTTAAACTATTCCAGACGTTTAAAATTAATTTTTTTTCAGAATAACTTGGGTATTGGGTAAACATGAATTTATATGAATCCGATTTATCTGAACTATGCGATCAATTAAAAAAGACGGGCCCCGCTGACAAGTTTGAAAACGAAGAAAGAATATTCCAGCTTATTTGGATATTAAACAAATACTATTCGGATGGTAGGAATACATTAATCCAGAAATTAATTAACCTTGTTGATATTATGTTTAGAGACTGATTTGAAAACTTCGCTGCTCAACGCAACGACAGAATCTTTAGCATCGGGATTCATGAAGTTTTTTGATGAAGCCTTCTTCAGCAGTGGCAAAAATGATGGCAAAATTTTTGGGTTTGAGAATAGATTGGAGAAAGCGTGAGTTCTTTGAATTTTTCAAAAATATATTTTTGAATGGTTTGCTTTCAGGAAAGAAGATACCAAATTGTGGTGGAGTATTATTTTTCGTCCTTTTGGAAATTGGGAGGCGTTAACAATAAGAAGTCGGAAACGAGCTAGAGCTTCATCTAGAGAGAATCGAGAGCCAACAGATAACGAAACTAATTCTTCTGCGGACGTGAGTAAAATTAATCAAGTTTGTTGTCGGAAAAAAGTATATTTAAAACGAATTGAAACTGTGATCTTTCGTGACGAAACACCATCTTTCAAAATTTCGGATTTCTTCAAAACAATTTTTATAGCGACGCAATTCTCCACTACAATAAATTATCGTGAATATCTACGATTTTTTGCAAAGTTAGAAAATGCGGGAGTCTAACTGTTTTCAATTATAATCAACATTTGTTTCGACAAATATTTCTAGAGCTTAAAACATCATAAGAATATAGAACAATTTGCTCAAAATTAATATTATTGATGTTTAATCTTTCAGTCTGATGGAGCAGAAGCTCAAAACCGCGAGAGCTTCATGAATGTTGTTCGTAAGCATCGTTTGAATCGTGAGCGTTCGACTGACTCGCCTTCACCGGCTCAAACAGAAGAGGAATTGGAGCTGGCCAACAGTCAAATTTCTATTATGAGTAAAAGAGATAAGGTGGTGGTTGCGCTACGTTTGCTCTTCAAACTCTGGCGTAGAGATTGTGATCACTATGAGCATGTTAGTAACACCCTCGACAATAAAAGAATACGTTTTACATTACAGATGAAAATCGTTTATAATTGGTTTGGAGAACTCCAGACAAAGATTCAGTTCACTGATAATGTGCATTTGTCCGAACTGAATCTGATGATTTTTTACGAGGAATTCGCATTGACGGCTTTCAAAGAAACTCGCTGGAGACCCTTCAATAACGATCTTTTTGAACAAATGTTGAAGGATATTCTCGATATGCAATGTCTTGTACCGAGCGTGTTGATCCAGATTCAAAATGAGGGAAACACTGCACTATATCCGCTAATGCAAGAAGCTATTCTTCTATACAAAGTAATCACATTCGAATACTGGGTACAGTTTGGGACAAACGCTCTCATGGTAATTTGAGTATGAATGATTTAAACCAATCTCATCCTGTTTTAGTATCACCAGGAATTTTCCAATTCAATCGCTGAAATGGCAGGTACAGTGGATAAGGAACATTTGGATTGCTATTTGAAAATAGCTGGGATAATTCGTGAATTTCGGACTATTCCAAATAACAAATTCGTACATAGCATCATGGAGTTTACGCTCAACTTTTGTGAGGGCATGAAACCAGAGTCTCTTGCGACATTCCTCTTAAATTCGAAGATTGGATTTGGTAAAGCCGTGGCTGGTGCTGTGCTGCTGGATATCACGAAGAATCTTCCACTAGAACTTAAGATTGAAGTTCTTTCTCGTCACTTGCTTTCATGCTGCTTCTTCCAATATTATCTTTACCAACCCTGTTATTGCGATCGCGTGATTATGGAGCAGGTTGCAGTAAAAGAGTAACGTTGTTTTCACTCGCAGTTTCTAAAACATTTCATTGCAGAGTGAAATCCTTGTTGTTTAGCAGAGAGACAAGGAACGTATTTTCTTTTTGGATGATTATTGTGAAATTCGTCAGATGTGCAATCGCAAAGGCTAGCGAAGACATGAGCAATCCCACGATTTCCAAAATTTATTGGTTGTTTTCGAGTTACATGAAACAAATCCTAAATGATCTTCTTCTCCCATGGGGTATTTATTAATTTTCTCGTGTGTCATTCTATTTAATTTTCAGAAGAAACAGAACTGAATGAAAGTTATGTGGAATTTTTTTGCACGGAAATGCAAGAAGTAATAAATGTCTACAAACAGGAACAAATATTACAGATCATCCAGTAAGAATACTAAGTAATTCTATATAGTAATACACAGAAGTTTCAGCTGTTTCGAATTGAATGAAGATAAGATGTTAAATAAAAAATTCGCAAAATACACAACCGCTATTTTGGGAAGTTGCATTCGAATCGGAGAAATACGCAGATCGCCTGATTTGGTAGAATTAATAATTTTCACGACCAAAAAATTACAAACATTTCAGTTGATTCCGAGCAGAAAGCTCGTAAATAAATGTCTTCTGGCTTTATTCAATGACAATAATAATGACAACGAAGCAGCAAAGTACTATCTGAATATCATTTTTGACCACGAGTGCTTCCTTTGGAAGAGTAGGTTTTTATTAAGAAGATGTAGTTCAAGGTTTTTCTCAGATCCGGAGTTTTGTCTAGAACAACATGTTGGATCTAGCCGCAAGATCGTTATGCGTGTGCGTAGTTTGTACAAGGATGACCTGGACTATTCGAGATATTGGCAAAAAATATTTGGAAAATCGAACCTCGCCGCTCATCAGTTATTATACGCCTACTGTAATCCTAATGGTCAGAGAGAATTATACGTCGACGAATATTTGGAATTGAGAATTCAAGAATTTATTCATTATGTAACTCTGTGGGAATGTAGACTTTCTCGAAAGGCTTTTGCCGATATGCTGACGACACTATTCGAAAGGTATTATCGTAGTATATATTGTCATTGCAGAAATAACGAGCACGTTCACAAATCGTGAACCATCATTTTTGGCGGTAAAAAATTAAATCAATGCAGAGTGCTCGTTTTTTTGTGACTTCGATATATATATATATATATATATATATATATATATATATATATATATATATATATATATATATATATATTTCAATGTGAATTTTTCAGATTTCCAACCTTACTTTCTCTTTCGCAAATCACGTATGTGACGGAATCCTTTATTGCGATTTTCCGCCGTTTGTACCATTTGCTAATGAAACCGGAATATGTTCTGAAATTGGGACCATTCAAAGAACTACAACAAGCAATTTTTGTAGGATTCTCGCCATTCTTGCAACAGGTAGTGTATATATATATATATATGTACGAAGACAAAAAATACTTCTTTATTATTTCAGTGCCCCATGTTCGAAACAAATATCATTGATGTTATCATGTGGTATCAAAAAAATGGCGTTGAAGCTTTGAAAAACCTAAAGGAAATTTATCACAATAATTCGGCACTCTCGATTTTGATTCATAAATTTATGAAAGAGATTCTAAACGTAATTGATTCAACATTCATAATAATGATCAATAAGAGAACTTTCAGTCTAACAGTTTCCGATTATTTCCTTACATTGAAGCTTTCCGTTATTGTGCAAACAATCCTGAAGAGCCGAGAATGGCCAAAACATTATTGGATGTTGCGAGCGAAGGGTATGCTATGCATTTTTTTCTTGTGCATTTTTCTTACGAAACGAAACACCTTTTTATATGTAGAGTCAAAAATATTTTATTTACAGAACTTTCAATGCATCTATTATCCCCCCATTGGGAGTTACTTTATCTACATGGATATTCGTTTCAAAAGTAACACTCATCAATTAATAAGAAATAATTATATTATTTTGTTCAGAAAAACCCCTGTTCCATTATGTTGAAGCTCCACAGAATCAAGTTTGAACTATATTTTAACAACGAAAAAAATCTGGCTGAAATTTATTTCAATAATAGGTGAGTTAAATCTAGCTTTGCAAACATGATGTTGGCATTGTTTAAATATTTTAGACCAGATCCGACAGAGTTTCGAGATATTGAAACGATTCCGAAAATTCACATTCCGATGAAGTTTGACCAGTGGATTTTGTTTACAGCTAGCTTCGAAATTGCACCAAATAATACTTTTCACCTATATGTAAGAAACGGTTTTTAAGGAAAAAGTGTAAGGATTCGATTTCAGACTACTCTTGATGGAAGGCCAGGTGAAGCTTATCTTGTGTCCGAAAGACCAATTACAAGAAAAACAATGAAATCTTATGAAACCTCGGAGCTTTACTATTCAATCAGGAAAGTGCGTCATTCGCAAATTTCTTTTTTCAAATTATTCTTTAACCACCATATGGTTTACTCTTTGATTGCCATGGGACCCAATAGACATCCATTCATTGCACCATGGCAGTTGGCGGAAATGGGAAATGTGAAAATTTCCAACTGCTCGTTTTTCTTCACTCAAAACGCTTCGAACGAAAAAGAGATTTTTGATCTGAACGACTTGACAATTCTAAAGGTAATTGACAATTACAATCAAATATGATAATTTCATTTAGGGTGCTGAAGCTGATTACAGGATGACCGACAAGAACACAAATATGAACATTATTTATAATGATGAGATTTTTTCTAATGGTGGAGCTCCAGTTTTTGTGTACATGTTTGCAAAATACATGCAACATACGAACGACTGCTTTGATGTGGAAGTTGCGAACGGTTTCTTAAAGTTGGTTCTGGATATTTCGCGCAAGCCTCATCAAGATTACGAGCGCTGGAACAATTTGATGGTCAAGCGTGTTTTACTGTTTCTAGTCAAGCACGAAATTCACTTCACTCCAGATATTCTGGTGCGGATGATGCGATAATTTAAATGCTAATTGGTCAATACTACAGATATTTCTCGAGTATGCATATGAGTTTGAATTTGATCCAACAGGAACCGCCGTTTACCGTGAGAAAGACATTGCCATTCACCATGATGAATTCACGATGTTTGACAAAGAAGTGATTTACAAGTTCCAGCTGGTGAATTAAAAAAATTTAATTGTTTATTACCGTATGAAGTTTCCAGGGATTGGTCAAAGATGCAGAATTTCTTAAATTGATTATTTCATACTTGTACGAAACGGACGGCGCCGATTATGTTAAGTTGATTCGTATCTTCATATTCTCCGTTAACAGCATCAAATATGGATTGTTTAATGTCAATAAACTGATTCCTGTCACCATTCATCTCCTCAAAGTATAATCACAAAAAATTACAAGATAATATTTTCCAAATTGCAGACTATTGGACTGATTTTCGAGCAGAGCAACATCAAGTATTTTCGAGACAGGGAGACAGCCGAAGCACTCAAAATCTTCATATTTAAACTACTCTCTGTAGCGGATTCAGAAAATCGAATTATGCTTGCTCGCCAGCTCTGGGATACTTTGATTCTTATGCGCCCGGCATCAAAAATGTTTGTCGAAAGAAATGTCAAACATCATTATGGTTGGTATAAGGAAGAAGGTATAAAAAAAACAAATATAATAATGAGAGTATTGTTACTTTTTAGCCATCGAACAAGAAGCTGGAAATATTTCCACACTGAGCCTCGAATTTGACCGAATTCCTGGCATGGCTGAAATTATCGAAGGCGATGATGAATATCATCAAGAACCAATGTACGATGATCTGAATGAGCCATTGGTATTATTTTAGGATAAATAAAATGTGAGAGTGAAATAGCCTTTTCAGAGAAACAAAGAGCTTAATGGTGATTGCATTCGAATAGCAATTCTCGATATTCTAATTGAAACCATCCGACTTGCCCCAGATAACGAAAAATTAACCAATTACATGATGTGCACGGAAGTCGTCATTGTACTTCTCACAAATGAGAATAAAAAGGAAGTCGTTGAGAAATTAATGGAATTGTTATCAGTTATGATAGTAAGTGTACAATTTGGTATACTGAAAAAAAATATTTTTTTGTTTCAGAATAATTCGGCGAATGATGAAGAGAAGTTTGTTATTGCAAAGTCTTCCCAACTGAAAGTACTTGCTATGCAGTTGGTTGGAAAACCGTCCAGCATTTTTGTTTCAAATAGGCTATTCTCGATTCTTTTCCAAGAAGATGTTGACATTTCTGCAGGGTTTGTTAGAATGGGAAATATTTCTGGCATGATTCACACATTTTAGACTCGATGCTCACCATGTTGAATTTTATGAGCCAAATCTTATTTCTTGTTGTATTTTGGAATCCTTGTTCGTTTCGTTCAGTCAATCGATCTATTGTGATGACGAGGGTGAGATGTTCGTGCATACATGCCATGCCCTCAAAACGGTACGCGTAGAGAACCTTTTATAAATAACAATATCATTCATTAGATTTTCGAATACAATGATCAACTCCGACAAGCAATGATTGAACGCAGATTTGAAGATGTGATGGTTGAAGTATTCCGCAATCTTTCTTTTCTTGCCGAAAATGAGTATTAATTAATTTATTCGCATCCAGTTCAACTAATATATACATGATTTAGTATTACACTATATGCGCTAAGCTCAATGAAATCAACATGGCTCTCGTTCGCCAGAGCGATGGTTTCGAATGCAGTTATTTTAGAGTATCTGTTCTTCCAGATATAAAACAACTTACACTGATTTTCTTTAGGAACAATAAATTATTCGCATGCGCAGAGCGAATGGTGAAGCTAATGATCTTGGCATACATCCAAGAAATCAACGAAGAAAGGCGTTCGGGAAGGAAAATTGCCTCACCAAAAATGTTCCGCGTGATTTCAACCATTCTGTTCACATTCCTTTCGTTTATTACCGAACGGGTTGATTTAGATTCGCAAAAACACAAAAGCGCGAGTGCGGACAACACGCCATCTGATAGTATATTGGCATTTCAAAAAAAAAAAAAACAAAATTCTGGTACTTCAGGTGAGTCGATCACTCCAGATGACGTCGAATATGTTGGATATTACGACAATGTGTTCCGATTGAGCGATGAGATTGAAACATTCCGTGACAAAATTCGCCAGAAATTCCGAGGTTCTGTTCCTTCGCTGAAATGCCCATACCGCAAGAAACCGGCTCGGCCAGTAACACCAAATGAAATGACGAATAGAATGAAAAGAGTTATGTCTTTGTGTCATTGTTTCTACACGACTTGTAGCATGCCCGATGATCTCGAGGAACCAGAGGAATCTCTGTACGACCTTTATTTCGAATTTCTCACTCGTGTATCACTTGAGGACGTACGTAAACCTACATTAGAAATTAAAAATTCCGCATTTTTCAGAATTTAATTAATCGTAATCCGTGGTTTCTCAACGTTCAAAATGACGCTCGCTTGAATCTTGCCAGTTTAATTGCAACCATCTTGTTCGACTATTCCAGAAAGAGTGAAAAAAAACGTACGATAGTGTGCTATATTTTATCTCGTAATATTAAATTTATAGTATATGCTGTTTATATAAAATTGCGCAAAATAGAGATCATTACCCGATTACTTCATGCTACCTCATTGCACAAAGTCCGAATCATTCTTGGAATGAATATGGTAAAACGAGTTCACTTATACTTACTGTCTTATTTGTGATGTTAATAATTTTATTTTCAGAATATTGAGGCTTGTATCCAGTCGGCGTTACTGGATGACATTATTTTCTTTGGAAGGAATGATCAACTCACCGATTTAGCACATCAATTCTTGAGAAGATTTGAATTGTCATATGCGGATATAGGTTTGCAAAATTTTTGATGAATTTAAGTTTTTTGAGCGAAAATTTCAGTTGCGAATCTTACTTCGCTTGAAGATGACGCAAAAGAAAACTTGAAAAGCGAGTATGAAATTGTGGCTCAATGGTGTAATCAAAATCGAAGTGAAAGCATTCGAATGCTTTATTATAGTACTATTGCCTGGCAGTTCACAGAAGTAGACGAATTTGAAAACGTAAGAGCCAAAATTTCTAATAAGATAGGAAACTAACTTTTAGATGGTCAATGGTTTAACTCAACATGCCGTGATGGTCCAAGGAAAGGCGAGAGGAATTACGTACGCTCTTTTGAAACAAATGATAAAATCAGAAAGGGAAGAACTTGTGGAAGTTCTTAAATATGAGGTTTGCTGAATTTTCATATTTTACACGTGATATACATATTTTCAGAAATGTTTCGAACATATTGGGCATATGACTGAGGTAATTCCTTCCAACAGTTTTATTCCAAAGGAAATTTCGTCTGTTCACGGACCAAAAGGAGAGCGAATGCGTTTTGAGGACACATATAATCCTCTTCCTCCGCAGTTCCATAAGTTGAAAATACTCCAAAAGAACAAGCTAATGCCGTATTTGGTACAAATAAAAAAGTACTAATTTCAAAAAATATCACTTTTTTACAGATCTCGAAACCGACCATTTGTCAGAACAAATCGGTTCGTGAAGGAAGTATTGCCGCGTATGATGCAACGTTGGCAAGAAAGGGAAAATATTATGAAGGGGCACTGGTGATTACCGATTTGAGCATTTACTTTATGCCTTCTAATGACTCGAAGAAGGTAAAAATGCAGCCAACAATTTATGTTTGACAGCAATTCTCAATTGTTTGCAGTTCGACGAAAACATTGAAGTTATGTTCACTCAGGTGAAAATTATTCATCATCGTCGTTTCGAGCTGAAGGATGTTGCTTTTGAGTTATTCCTTAACTCAAACGAATCAGTCTTTATTGCGTTGAGAAGAGAACAAGACCGCAACGAAGTGATTGAGATGATAAGCACTCGAGCTTCCTGCAAAATTGCGCAGCCTTTGGATCTTGCGGAATACACTAAACAATGGTCGGCTGGATTAATTTCGAATTTCGAATACTTGATGATCCTAAACACATACTCTGGAAGGTCTTACCATGATTTCATGCAATATCCCGTAATGCCTCATGTTATTGCTATTGATACATCACCTTACTTGGACTTGAAAAATTTCAGAAATTACCGGTATTAGTTTAACATGATTTAATCTTGAATATAATTTTTTTACAGAGATTTTAAAAAGCCCATTGCTATTCAAAATGATGAAATGATAAAACGCTACGAAGAATGTTACAAAATGCTCGAAGAAATGGGCGAAACACAGCCGTATCATTATGCATCGCTTTATTCGAATTTGGCCACTGTCAGCTTTTTCCTCATCCGCCTGTTACCTCATGCATCGATCGCCATCGACTTCCAGGTAAATCTAATTAATCATATCGGGAATTTTTTTAAATTTCAGGACGGAACATTCGATTGCCCTGATAGAATCTTCCATTGCCTCCAGTCTGCCTACCGATTGTCTTCCGGTGGATCTGCAACAGATTACAAGGAACTCGTCCCAGAGATGTTCACGACCCCAGAGGTGTTCCTCAATTTGAATTCCATGCGGTTTGGAGATGGACAAAATGGAAATCCAATAGACAATGTGGTCATGCCGAGATGGTGCCAATCAGAAAACCTATTTTTTGTCAATAGATTCTTGCAAAAGAAGGAAAATACGGATTTTTTTGAAGCTTACCTCTTTGTCTTGGCACAACGACATGCTTTAGGTATTTTATAATTGATGAGTGAATAATGCAGTATTAAAATTGCAGAGTCACGTCATGTGCAAGAGAACCTTCACCATTGGATTGATTTGGTATTCGGATACAAACAGACAGGCGAAGATGCTCGACAGGCAATGAACGTTTTCCATCCAGCGGTAACTTTGAATTGTTATTTAAATGTGAATATGATTATTTTGTAGGTTTATCCGGAAAGCATTCCACCTGCTGAGACGGAGCCCATTCTTTATGCCGCACATATTGCTAATGTTCGAAATATCGGTCAAGTCCCAAAAAAACTTTTCAATAAGCCGCATGTCAAGAGAAATGCTCCAATTAACCACATCAATGAATTTGAATTCTTGAACCTACATTCATTGGCGTAAAAAAAGACCACATCTGCTTAAAATTTAATTTACTTCTTTTAGATTAGGTAATCAAATTTTCCAGCATGAACTCGAGATTAAGGAATTTGATGAGACCGCAGAAGAACGAGTAAGATAATTTGAACATTGAAATCTATTTTTTATATTGCAGCTTCGCACTTTCCTTCGCACAAAATGTGGGAATAACATTCAAAGAAATTCGATAAATGAAGAACACCCACTGAAATGTCATGACTTCGTACCAATTAATATGGGTATGACTCAATGTTTCCTTTTATTTATATGACCTTTCTTTTTTCAGATTTGAATGCAAAATTCTATGTTTCCTTTTTCGATAACATAATGCATGTTTGCAACGCGAAAGCGAAGAAATTCTCAGTGACTCACTTGACTGGAAACGTAAACCTCCGTTTATTAAGAAATTTCGAAAATGCACAATATTTCAGCTTGTTGATTATAGAGTTACACCAGATGGATCTGTAGCGGCAGTTTGCCAGGAATACGGTGTTATCGATATTTACTGCAATACTGAAACTGATTTCTTCGGAAATAAGGTATATATATACATATAACTACCAACTACAACTCATTTTAGTATATTTCTACTGTTCTCACCGATACTATTTTCACGAATGGTGGAAATATCTCCGATTTTGCCATTTGTGTTCCATTCAACGTTCTTTTCACGATTAGCGAGTCGAATGGTAACAAACAGTATATTGCTGCGTGGGATGTGCACAAGTAAATTATATGTCAATAATTAGTTTCTACAACTGATTTTTTTTCCAGAAAATCATTGATCAAAAGAAATGAGGTGCGAGGAGAAAATATTAAAATATTTGCGCTACTGAAGCATACCGCTGAGTTAATTATCGGTGAAACGACTGATTACAAGAATGAGAAGAAAGTGACAGATTGCGTGATTCAGAAATATTCTGTAACTCTTTAATTAAAATGAAACGCAATACAAATTGAATTTAGTGTAATGGGCGTCTGATTATGGAGCAGACGCATGAGGTTGCCTTTATTGATGGTTCGGCATCTCAAATGAAGCCTGGTGAAGGTATTCCTATTATTGCAACAATTTGCATCGATTCAACAATCAGGTTAGATCACACAGTAGCGATATCCTGTTAAGTTTCGTAATTCAGACTCTTTGAGTCGATTTCTCTCAATCCAGTTCGATCTATCGATTTGGCTAGAATGATTCGTTCGCCTCCTTACCGGTTTGTGCTTTTAATTGACTTACAAAGTAATGAAATCTAATTCGTTTAGAATTTTATATGATGAATCGAATAACATCCAACTCATCGACGAGACAAAGAAAAAATGGATTCTGTCGCGTATGCAATGTTAAGATTAATTGTTCTCACTTATCCAATTGGTCTCACTCCGTTTTTATCATTTCCTTCCTCGGTTTTTCATAAATATTGATAATTTTTCACAGTCCAATGATACAATGTTAATTCATTTTTTTTCATTTTTCGGTAAAATAACAATTCTTGTGTATTATGACAACATATTATTGCGTCGCAATTAATTTCACATACTGATCTTCATAATACTATTGTAAATCAATACAATGTATGTTAACATTGATAAATGTGAATGAACAAAAACGAGGGTTCAATTTGGTTCATTGAAAAAATCTGCTCAACCGAAATTGTTTTGGAAAACAGAAAAATTTAAAAAAAAGGAAATAAGCAATCACGAATTTTATCCATTAAACATTATCTGCCTAGTATTTATTCTCACCAATGCTTCTGACAATTTTTTTCTGATAACGATGTAAATCACAATTCACTCGTTCAATTTGCAAATATTGTTAAAATAGTGCAAAGAAACAACTTAGAATTCACCAAAAGAAGTATTACGTTATGAGTTGCTGCACCTGATCATCTTTTACTGAAATTAAAAAGATTAGACAGAATTAATTGAATACACGATAGGAGACATATTTTATTGCTAAAAATGCACCTTACAAAAAAATTTACCTTACCTTGTTAGTCAAAAAATTCTACAAAATATTCCGATAAATCCACCGAAGTCATAAAATGAATATATGCATTGCTATTGTATTCTTTACGTTTTTTATTTCTTTCAAGTAATTTACTCTCAATCAGTTATTGCGGATATATCATTAGAAATAGTAAATTTTGAATGTTGTTCCATTTCATCGTCTGTGTTTTAATTTCTTTGAACTTGTTTTCAACCCTTAATGGTGTACGATGAAAAAATGTCACACATAGTCTCAAAAAACCGTCGTTAAAATAGTTATCAATAAGATAACAAACAAAACCTCAATATTCGTTGGAAATTAAGATGCTATTTTGTGCACGAAAATCCCATAAAAGTTGAATTTTATATCATTTGATACATTTTTGCAAATGTGTTTCCAAAATCAGAGACATGGTCCTATTAAAAACCAATAAAATTAATATTGGCAAAGTGCCCTTTTTATGAGAGAAAACTGTGTATAAATGCAAAAATTTCGGGCATTTCGATCGTTTTTGAACATCAAGTGTACAGCGACCAAATTTTCGGTGTCTACATTTTGTCACCGCTTTTCTCAAACCATTTCCGTGCGATATTTTAACTGCTCCTTTTATTTCCGTCACTGGGTGCTGCTTTCATTGTTTTAACCAGTAAGTCTTATTGCGCTATAAATATTTTTTGCTGCCGTGTTTCTTTCACTTTTTATAGATGTTTCCGACACATAAATTTCAAACAGTGGCGGTCGTATAGTAAAATGAGCAATGCGATTAAGAAAATTCACAACAAATTTTCAAGACGAAATCGTGGGAAATTGGAAATTTGGAAATGAAATGAGCAAAATGAGTAAGATATTCTCGATCCCGACGACTAACTAAATCCGCGCGGACATAGTTGTCGCCAGTTACCAGGGGGGGGGGAGAGAGGGTGAGACGTTATTATCATACTTACGTATCTACCGTCTGTCAAAGTGTATACACAAGATATATTGTTTTGATAAGGTAATTCTTCTTTATAAATAGATATCCACAAGTCCCTCGTTTTTCATGTTTCCCGACACCAAACGCAATTATCAACTTGGTGCGGTTCTAATAGATCTTCTCTTCCATCTTGTCACCAAACAACGTATTGACGCTGTTTTTCAGCTTTTTTGAGAAAATGACCCGCTTCCGACAGTGAAAAACATCCGGTTTTCTTAAAGCATCAATATATTTTTCCCATAGAATCTTATTTCGCACTTACTTTATCATTATTTAATAATGTATAATTTTTTGCGGTCATTTTCTTATGAATTTTACAACACTAGTATGTGCTCTTTTTCAGGGTTTCAACTCATTTGTAATTGCTCTTGACAGATGTTTCACGCAATTTTTTGGTTTTTATGATAGGCGAACGAGAATTTGGTTTTAGGGAAAAGTCATAAAGTAGTTAAATGATGCAGGCCTATCATTTCATTCACGTCTGTTCAATTCAATTTAACTTTTAGACTTATTACTTAATAACCATTTCCAATTTATTGACATGCTTGCGCCAAATTCACATATCCGTAAAATGTATTGCAATTATTCAAGAATTCCCTTCGTTTTTGTCATTCTCAGATCCTTGGTAGCGACATATTTCTGGCCGGAAAGAAAAGATTCATTATAAAAGCAATAATCCCAAGTTTGATTACATTTATTAATAGTAAACAAATAGCACTCAATTAAATGGAAAAACTGTAATACTGTGGGTGGAAAACTAATATTTGGAGCGAATGATGAAAGCTTTACAGCACTGTAACCACCCACACATTTTTCATTTAATCATGTTGTCCTAAATATAGCTTTAATTCCAAACACGGAAAAAGTTTTCGCATGCTTCTGAGCATTAATCATCAATTCTCACATTGCTCGTCATTCCAAGCATTGTTTTGAATCGCTGCTGAATTTTCCGACTTTTCAATCAAGGAATTCTCGAAACATTCTCGCACTAAAACTATACAAAATGCAGTGTAGCATTCTGTTCATGACAGTTGGTTGCGGTCACTAGCCCATATTTGCTTCTTACGGCACACATTTTTCCTTCGAGTATCAAATTTCGTCCCAAAATTGGCTCGCTTATAACATTGGATCAAGAATGTGGCAGTAGGGGAAATAATCAACATTAGAGGAAGCGCATATATATATATATATAATATTCAAATTGTGAAGTTAACATGAAACGACAAACCGGCTCAAATTTCTGTATAATCCAATTAACAGATTTCTTCTTCAAATATGGATGGACAGCAGCATAGCATTGGTACTGACAAATTTTATTAAAACATTCACCTGTAAAATCACAACAAACGATTTAAATGTTTTACAAAGCAGCCAAAAACTACAATGGCAAGCTTTTGAATTTGAGAGGTAGAACAAACAGTAAAAGCAACTTCTTTGCTTTCATCTTTGTTTTTAAACCAAAAGAATAGCAACGCGCGCTTTGAGTGACAAGTTTTTATAGTATTATTCGGATTAAAATCGCCGTTAATATAGATTTTAATCCTATAATGATGTTCGAATCTGTCAATATTCGAACCTCTGCTTTCTTTTTACCTCACAACCCATTACATTCCACATCTCCATATGCTAATCGTCCATGTCATTCTGTTTACATAAGAATGACTGATTAACTTCTGTTTGGAGCACATTGGTAATATCATCTTCATCGACACCTGCACTTCCTACCAGATGAGCGGTCTTGAACTCGCAATATGTTATACAGTAATGAGCATGAATGTCACCCAGCAAAAACAGTCCGTTTGACAGGGTTTCATTTTTTTCATTTCGTTTTGTTGTTTGACATTTTAAAATTGAATATTCGAATAACAAATGTCGCGCAAGTTGTCGTTTAACTCATCTACATGTCCCATTGATTGTAGCCTATTGTATTCCTCATGTTTCGGCCGTCTGTCCTAATCCTCGAGCCGCTAATTAAGTAGGCTGACAATAGAGTTGCAACGGAAATCTGAGGAGAAGATGACAATCTTGTCAATGGGCTCTCGTTTGAGTTATTTTCTTTGCGCTTTCTGGTTCAGCCGCCTACTTGAATATTGCCGCAAAACTGGGAGATGTTTGGGACGATGGCCGGTTGATGATGACTTAAAACAATGCGACTTCGACTTTTTCTTGCTCGTTGATGTTTTTTAAACGAAATTTGATCTCGTTTGACTGCTTTTTTCGTCACAAGCTTGCCAAATTCTGCCTATAGGCATGCGGTTTTTTTTTGCGGAAAAATAGAAGAGATTTTATTCACTGTCAAGAAAACCAAAAATTAATTTAGAATTCTGTGAAAATGCTTTAATATGCACTTTGAAGCAAAAAACAAGATTAATCGTCTTTTTGAGCCGTTGTGAATCTAAAAATGTTTAATGTTCGAAACAAAATAGAACAATCGCGCAGAAACAGAAACGAACAAAAAACGTTTGAAAAGAAAACTCCCGTGAGCCAAGCTCAAACAAGTTTTGTGACAATGTGCGTTTATTTTTAGCATCCGGTTTTTGTTTTCTTTTTATTCGAAACCTTTTTTCTTATTTCAAACGATTATTAAAATTTATTTATTTATATCGAAAAATATTCCTAAGAGTTTCGACAAACGTCGAACACCTTGATGAAATGGGAGAAAAATAGAACAAATGGAATGAAATTCGAAAGATTGCAAAATTCCTTCAAGGATGAATAAGCTCAAAGTAGTTTGAACATTTCTTGGAAAACGTTATCCGACCTTCATTTTTTTCTTTTAATTGCAAAAACAAAATTTTTGTCAAACACAACTAAAAAAAACCACAATTGTTTTAACAAGTTTGAAGAATGTTATCGTTGTTCCCATATGTTTCAGCACGTTTTTCTACGCGTTAGCTATTAGGCGAATTTTCTCTTACGATGATTCAGCACTTACGCTAATTTGAGATTAATGTATGAAAAAAGTTGACATGCTCTCAACACTGGTGATTTTTGGCGGCTTTTTTCTTTGACATCTGTGCTCACATTAGTAACAAATGTTGAAAGTTGTTCATCCATATCTCACTTTTTCTCTGAGTTATCTCGTCAATCTCGCTTCTCAAACAGCCATATGTGTTTCATATGTCGCTGGTTACATTTGTCCGCAATGCCATGATACGGTTTTGCGCCGATGTCCGTGCAGCCGGCTCGATATGAGGAGGCGGGTCACTTCTCGTAGCGATGTCTCTCGCGTAACCTGCACTATTTGCGCTCCCAAAAAAAAGTGGGCGGGCACAAAAGCGCAAACGGACAAGCCGTCTCCACCCCGAGAAATTTCAAGTCGACCGACCGGCCGCTCAGATTCTTTTAATTTATTCAATCGTTCTTTGGGAAATCCACGGCAATCGTCTTCGAGTTTCTGTTTCGCACGCATTTGTCTCCTGCTCACTTCTTGATATCACCCTGGAGTATTCGAAAGCGTATAAATTTTTTTCGCGTCACATTTGTCTTATTCGCTTGTTTTAATCCATGCCATAATTTTTGAACAAATGTGCATTTCGTATTTCCTTTTTTAAAATCTTTTCTTTGACACTATCTAGAATCTGAACAGTTGTTTATAGACTCAATCGAATCGAAGTCCAAGATCGAGTTGTTCGAACGCAATGGGAACCATGCAGGTCTTTCTCTTCTCAACAATTGTATTATTGACCGCCATCCAGGCTTCTGGTTAGTTTATTTTGTTTTAACTAGTAGATTGCAACATATGGATGAAAGACATTCGAAAATGCTTCAAGTTTATTTCAATGAGTTTCTTTTCCATATGTACGGTGCGTATACGATTTGAAACAGAGCTTTGCGAACACCCACACAAACAAAGTCGCAGAATCTTCAATTTATCTATTTTCGAGAGCCATATCCATCAACAATTTTCGAGCATTTCAAGTGCGTTCTCGCCCCTTGTTCATTGTTTAGTTTATCTTTGCGCGATGCATAATTATCAAGACAATGGAGCTAGCAAATGGAAATTGCGAAAAAAACGCAAAAATTTGTCAATTTGCTGTCAGTGGTTCCCATGAGAGTTGTCTCAAAACTTTTACTAATAGGCGGTCAATGTACTCGTTTTTCGGATAGAAGAGAGTTTGTTGCAATTGTGATGCTGGTGGCCCGAGTTGTTGTGAATTTACTACTAAGGAAATGCGATTTTTTCCTCGTATTGAGAATGAGAAAAAGTTCGTTGGGTAAAATGATACTATGAAACGAACGTTTGCTTTCCAATTGTTTTCCTTAGTGAGCGAAGATGAGAGATGGCGAAACACGGCAAACATTGGATTAAAATGGAACCGGTGAGAACGAGAAAGCTTTTTTTTTAATAAAAAATCCATTTCAAATATTAGTACCTCGGTATTATGGAATTGAGGCTGCGCGAAAGAATGCAATGGGGCCCATTTAGACTAAAAACGAAACTTTTATTCACTTCCTTTCCTTTTTGCTGCTTAGTTTCCGATCCGAACCTAACAATGCGATTACAACTTGGTTGGTTAGCTATATTGACTAGACGGCACAGTTATGGTTTTTTGTCGCTCACCGATCACATCTGAACATACAATACGAAATGTACACACATCGAGTCCCCGCGGGGGTTGAGAGGGATGAATTTCAACAATTTTCGTTGTTTTTTTTTCTCATTCAGAAACTGACCATGCACAAGCCGGTGCAATACAATACGGCTCATTTTTGCCGATGAAGCGATCTTGCGCGAAAAGCAATGTTAAGTCAATGACGATTCCATTTTTTGTCGCACTTCTCTTCTCTTGATCTTCTTTTCTCATATTCTTTCAATAACGCACACACATTCACAAACAACAAAGAATAGCAAACAATTGGAAAATTATTGGAGAAGCTTCGAGTAGACGTCTCGATTTCAGTATTTTTTTTCGCGACAAAACGAAAAATGCAGAAGATGTTTCACTTTTTATAAGACTTGAGGCAAATTCTCTTTTTGTGTGCATATATGTGTGCGTCTGCGGCTCCAAATCGAAGGGGAAGTCAACTTCCGGAGCCGTTGATTTTTATTCGATTTGTGGAGTTTCGTGCATAACCAAACACGTTCCGAAAATTTCTGAAAAGGGAGATGAAAATAAAGAGATACGGCGAATATAATGGAAAATCAAGTGGAATGAAAGGGTCGAGTAAATCCATTTAATGCCAAATCGTGTTAGAATAAAACATAATAAGAATAGATAAGTAGATGGAGTTTTCAAATGTTCCGTCAAATTTTCAAATTCATTAATATCCCCATCAAAATTCAACTTCATGCATATCTGCCGTCTCAAAAACACAAAAATCGTTTATTTTTATATTTCCGATGACATCAACGCGTCAATTTCCTCTTTTGAAATGCTTTCTTCTTCAATTCACTCAATGCATAAAATATTTGCGAAAGACCCATTAAATCAATTATTCCAAAACGGTCAACACAATATTGTAATCCGAATCACACATCTGTCTCAAACCATTCAGTCGCATTTGTTGAGCATCAAAAATGCTGGGAAGAACAAAAGCCATACACCTTGTTGGTCTTTTCGAGCAGTTGCCGCCGCCGTTGCCAATAATTACCGTGTCACGCATCATTTAGTAGATGTTCTTCATCGAACAACATTTACCTTAAAAATCAGTACTAGTCAGTAAAAGAGCGGCCGAATAATCCATATCGTAAACATTTGGCTGTAATCTCGTTAGAAAATAATCATTCGATCAATGGTGTATGTATTTATGCGCGGGATGCACGATAGTTTGCTTCATGCGCGACTGTGCTTTCATAAATATCAAATTTGTACAATTGAGCGTATCGAGTTACACCGTACACTCATGAACACTAAACATTACATTCCCTCGAGACGGAAAACTAGGGCAAAACAAGGCAAAAGGGATAAAAGAACCTTTTTAGTCTCGTTGAGCAAGATTTCATTACTTTCCCCTTCCCCGTGTCCATTCCAATATAGCTATACAAGGAGGAGAACGAAATAAGACTTTTTCAATTCGAAACGTTTTCAGAATTGAATTCAAAGCAATATTGAGTAAGCGTAAAGAACCGAATTTGTAGATAAATACATCAAATTTTCTCCGGAAAGAATTTAACAAAAACGCTTTTTTTGTGGGGTTCCATTTTGCTCAATAATTTTTCACCAGAATAGAGTGAATAGTGACGAATTTTTTATAGTCTCATTTCACACGATACGGCACCTGTCACGCGTGCATTCATTAGCGACGTCCTCGAATAAGGTCCATAAATGAATAATATAGTCCAACGCCTAATTTTCTCACGCGCTTCGCATGTTCGTTGCGCTAAATAAACCGCTACTAACTTTTATGAGGTCATTCAATCGAGCAATTGGATGAAAAATATTCAATTTGCATATTTGCGGGTTTCCCGCGGTGGCCCATACATATGCTTATGATGCCAAAGAAATTACTAAGGGATAAAAGGCCAAAAAAGAAAGCTTTGTAAAATGAGAATAACCCATTTCGCAATTGGATTTGGTGATTCATTGAGCAAATTTTCCATTTTCTTCCAATAAACTGTTTAAAGTTGGAGACGATTATTTTCAAGACCATTTCGAAATCCAAGCCATCACCAAAAGCCTTGTGCTGCCGTTTCCAATTACTCTTCACATTCTTCTTCACCACATTATAAAGAAGACGATACTAACAAACACTGTTAGTCGCGTCTTATGCAAATTTGGTAAACGTGCCGTCGGCTGGTGTCAGATGACACCAACACGAACACCCAAAGGTTGAAAAGCAAATGAGGCAAAGTAACACGTTGGCTCAAAAGAGGGAGGCGGAACGTCCCTAAGTAAAGTCGGCAAATTTCACCTGAAAGATACTTGAGAACACACATATGAGCAAACACATTCCGACACCAACAACACATCAAATTGTGCGTCGAGTGCGAGAGAGCCAGATTGTCAAATAGTAATGTAATTACATGTAACTGATGACTAATAAGGGTATGGTATGAAGAAATCTAAACAGTTTCTATACAAGCCAAGGGTCAATGCTGAGTAGCAATATGACGGAAAGATATCAAACCAAACTAAAATTGTCCACATGTGAATTACTAAAGTTCGAGAAAGGATACAAGAGCAATTGCACTCATCACATACAAAAGCACTTTGAATGAAAGCAAATTTCGTCAGAGAACAGTTACACAAAATCAAAATTTCCCTAGCAGTACCATAATTTATAATAGCAACCGTTTAACTGATGTGAGTTGAAACACGAAATGTCTCCCCTGCAATCTTCATACGAAGTCTTCCGAAAGTGCGAATAGCTGTTCTTTGATATTTAATTAATATATTTTTCAGATTTTAAGTTATTGCAATTCAATTTTTGCACGTTTAATATATTGAATGGCTTTTGTATGCAGTTCACCGTCATTTTCAGGATCCGTAATTAATCGTTTTCCGACCAGTTCTCGTCGTGAAACCGCCATTCTGTTCAACAAAGAGTTTAAGATTGAAAAAGTATGGGACACTAATCCCGACTCGGACACTTATTTTGGTTTGTTATGGTGATGTATGCCTGATTGTAATGTTTATGTTTTCGTCTATGATCGTCGTTCTGTGCTCTACTTTGCTAATACATGTTCGTGAAATTTGCGTGTTTACTTTCTAATCCTATCAAAACGCAACTGAGCTGATGTCTGGCCGTTTATGTAATTATGGCATTTACTCAATTCTCAAGATGTATATTATTTCACCGGGTGGTCGTTAGTGCACCATATTGAGAATTAAAATGAAAGTGGCTTGAAAAAGAGGTGAACAAATAAATGTGGATATTTGAGAAATTAAAAGTGAACCAGATGACTCTTAAATATATACTACGTAATAAATAGGGGCTTCAACTTTATATGTGTTCATTTCCTATGTGTTCTATGGATAGCACGGGAAGGCAATATTTCAGAATTCATTGAAATACTGTTTTGCCGATTGGGGCTTTTATTAAATGAAATATAATTTTATCTTTTTTTAGATTTACCAACTTCTGAGATGGAAGCGGAGGACAAAAATCCCCTTGTGATTTTAGCTGAAGTAATGGATTACGATTCCAGTTCCATCACAGTGCGTGAAGGTTGGCATAACGAACTCATAATAAATGTCAGACAATTATTTTCAGGTAAGAAGCTGCTGGTTAATTGTGTTTGCGAACGAAGTGACGTTGCTCATAAGTCGGATATTTTCTGGAAAAAGGCAGGAGGCAATCCGATTGATGGTGAAACTACTCCAAGGTAACCAATACATATTTCTTCATCATTTTTTTATTCTATTTGCATAGACTAGAATTACACTGTCATGGAATTAAATTATTCATTTATAAACGGGGGGGGGAAGGAAACTCAGTGTAACATGATATGTAAATAGAGCAGTTTCAGTCTGTTTTCGATTTTGGTCAAGGAAAAAAACACGGGCTACAAAAAGGCATCTTTGCATTTTGGATCTGTTCATCCGCGCGATACTGGATTGTACACATGTGTAGTGAGAACTGTTGGAGGCCAAATTTTCGAAAAGTCTGTCCAGATAAATGTGTTACGTAAGCAATTATTCGAGAGCAACAGAATATCAGTAGTAATCAATTTCAGCAAAGCTCGAGTGGAATAACTCGGATGTTTTGATTGGAGCTCTTGTAGGTGATCCAATCACAGTTGACTGTGGTGTTCGCCAGAAAACGGAGCATGAATCCCAAGTTACGCTGACATCAGGAACCGGCGAGCCGCTAAATGGTGAACAAATAAAATATAACAACATTTCAAATTAAAATGAAAATTTCTTTCAGAAACCATCTTCACAATTGCAGGACATGAAGCTACGATCGAATCAGTGACTAAAGCCCACAAGGATCTTGTCGTTTCTTGTGTGCACATCGAAATGCATCCGGAGCCTAGTGGTGAGGAATTCCCGGTCGTAGACCGAAAAGACGTTCGCATTGACGTTTACTGTAAGTATTGACGAATGAAATAAAATTAATATTAGAATTTGAGCTGCCCCTGAATTCTCAACTGATGAAGCTATTCAATACACTGTGATTGACAATCATTTTCGCGAAGTTTGATTTTTCTACAAGATGTGAAGATATTTTAAATTTTCAGGTCAAGCTCTTCTGCAACATTACTGCTTCTCATCCAATTCCAAAACAATACACTTTCTACCACAACGATCAACTCATTACCTACAGTCAGAAGCATATGCTGTACCACTACTCCTCTCCTATTCATGGAGCGTATTTGAAAGTACAATCTTCTGTTTCAGTAAAACTTTTTTTAATCATGATCATTCAGATTCGCGACGTCAATGAACACGATTTGGGTACTTACAAATGTGAAGTCTACAACGGCAAGACGAAATCTGTTTTGAAAATTCACTTACGTGAAGCCAGTAAGTCAAGATGCAAAAAAACATTTTTCAATATCAATAATACCTAGATCCGCCTTCTGAGCCGAAAGTAACACTTATTTCGTCTCACAAACACTCAATGCAGTGGAAGATTGAGACGGACGGAAAGAAGCCAGATCTTCCGGTGAAGTTTGTCGAGATTAGACATTTGCGCGCACAACAGGCCGACGGAACAGGAGTTTCCGATGACGAGATTGACGATTCGTTCTGGGAGGGACACTCAATTAAGATAGAGAAACCAATTAGTAAAAAACAAATAAACATCACGTTGAAATTAATATATTTTTCAGACGAAGAAGGAATATATGAAATCGGAGGTCTTCGTCACGCTCATGAGTATGTCTGGCGCTTCCGTCTTATCAGCGAAGCAGGATTTGGAGAGAGTGTTGTTGTCCGCGCCAAAACTTTCGATGAGCTCGATCTTGCTGCTTACACCTCCTCTGCTGCTCAAACTGCATTCCTTTCCTTCGTGTCAATCATTTTCGTTTTTTTCATTCTTCATTGATAATCAACTTCCAGTTGATTTTCCGTTTTCGGTGAATATATTTAAGCTCTCATTAATAATGAGGTCCACGTGTAACAGCGTTATATCTTTTGTTTTTTTTTTATAAACTTCACCATAATTCATCTGAATTTGTTCTCTAACTGTTCCCTTTTCCACTCATAATTTTGCTGATGCCCTTTACGGTTTCTACATATTTCCTCTTCGAATTTTGTTCAGTGTTCATTTCAGTTATCTTAAATATTTCTATTTTTTTGTCAAAATCCTTGCGCAAATATTCATTATTTCTTTTAGTATTATGTATTTCCGTATCCAAACAATCAGCACGTTTATTTGCAATAATTTATCGTTGAGCATTGAAGTACACATTTTTACCCAAATAAATATTCAGTACGAGAAGTGGGTGAAGAAATATTAAGGAAGGACAGCACCAACTAAGATATGTGGCGATATTTCAGTATATACAAATAGATATAAAATTAAGAAGTTGATAAATTGTTTAATAGCCTGGAGCAGTTCTAGGATTTGGACAATGGTCACATGGCCCAGATGGTCCCTGCAGTCCATTAGCACCAGGCTTTCCTGAAGGTCCTGGATTTCCTGGAACTCCAATTGGTCCTTCATCTCCAGGTTCTCCAGTTGGTCCCGGTGGTCCTTGTTTTCCTGGTGGTCCCTCTTTTCCTTCTGGTCCCTCTGGTCCTGGTGGTCCTGTGTTTGAAATAAAAAATATTATTATCTTGTCAAACTGGACTACCTGGTGGCCCTCTTGGTCCTGGTGGTGATTTCTTCTCCATCGGAATTCCATCGGGACCTCCTTCTCCTTCATCTCCTTGTTCTCCTGGTGGTCCTTTTGGACCTGGTGGTCCATTTGGACCCGGCATTCCCCGTTTTCCTCCATCTCCGTCGTTTCCATTCTTTCCTGGGTAACCCGGCAATCCTTTAAGTCCTGGAGGTCCTGGTGGTCCTGGAGGAGCTGGCGGGCATTCAAAACAGAATTGGTCAGCCATGTCATAAGGAGTATCAGGATTCATGTCTGCTCCTGGAGCGCCATCCGATCCTGGTGATCCATCTTGTCCGTCGTTTCCATCTTCTCCCGGTGGTCCTTGTTCTCCTGGTGGCCCGAATCCACAACCACAGCCTTAATTCATAAATTTATTTAGGAATATTAAGCAGTATATACATGTCTGGAAGTTTTCGTTCTTCTCTTCCTTGTGTTCCGTGACTTCTGGAGACTTATAATTTGACAATGGGGTAGATTCATAAGTCCCATAACTTGCAGAATATCCCCCGTATCCACTTTCGTGCCTTTTGATACGCCTCTGCCCAACTTGCCGTTGCGTTCTTGTCAATTCCTTGATCACTAATTCGCGCTTAGCCTAAACGTAACTAATCGTATTTTCATTTCCTATGATTTGATGAATCGTGATATTTTTATCAATGATGTCTCGCAGATAGGGAAGATGGCATAAATAGAAAAGCATCGAAGGAACACAACAGTGGACGCGCGGCAAACCAGTTTATCACACAAAAAAGGTGTCGTCTCTGCGGCGGTGTCCATGCTTATCCCTTTGACAAAAACACAAAGCCTGCACTTTTTGGAACACATTTATCAAACGATAATGGACAAAAATTAGTTGGAAATCAACGTCTTTTTGAAATGAATCCCATTCATTTTTGAGCGTGAAACGATTATTCGAACTTAATTACAGATCACGTTTTTTGGAAAAGAATGACTATTAGAGTTGCTATAGCAAAAATTTTCAAAAAGATTTATGGTAAAATAAAAAAAGTTCAATTCCTGGGTTTGCATCCAAACGTATATTAAGACGACCACTTCCATTTCGAATTTTATATCCCGTAGTGGTGTCTTTCAAGTTCGTTCAATTATAAACATGAAACATGTTCATCGAATCTAATAACCATTGACCTATTTAACCTCTACGCAAAAAAACGGTTACGCTCATATTTGTGATTTTCCTCCTACACCCATTCTAATTATTGGAAATAATAGTTCCCTCAAATATATTCTAATCAAGATTAAATCTGCAAAAAAGCATGCTCCCGGTGAGGCTCGAACTCACGACCTTCAGATTATGAGACTGACGCGCTGCCTACTGCGCTACGGAAGCCATGACGCCCTCAACGCTGGCAGCATATAAGCGTGTGCCGTGTCTGTTAGAGATGCGGCGTGTTGGGGGGTCAGCAGAGGTAATAAACGAGAGTGTACAAAATGCTGGTCAAGCAATTTGCAATGCCTCATAATTTTGAAAATAGTGCATAAAATGTGAGCATTTGATTGGAAATTGAAATTTTGAACATACCCTGCAGAAATCCGCCTCATTTTGAAGAATTGTTTCCACACGTTGCACGTAATTATATACGAAAGGAACACAGAGTATGCACACAATGGCTGCACCAATTGAGAGAGCAACTCCTGAAGTTTTTTTATTTGAAATGGTAAAACAACACAGAAAAAAAGAAGCTTAATTAATTACCAATAACAGCCATCCTTCTTAGTCGATCGGCTTCGGCCTGAAGCGCCACCTCCTCTTTGGGGTCGAGCTTCTCCATGGCTGAAATTGAAAAGATACTTTGCGACAGAAAATTATGGAATACCAATGGAAACTGTTAATGCGCAAAAATTCAGTCGGATTTTCTATTGAGGATGGTAAGCAAGAAAAAGAAGTGGGAGGGGCGGCCAGGAATACCGGTTGATTGACGAAAGGCAAAACCACGTTCGCTCATCAAAAAAAGATATTGGCACGAAGCTTGAAATGAGAGAAAAAGAGAGATTGTATGTATGCGTGCGCGCATGTGAGTGTGCGTGTGTGTGGGTGTATGTGTGTGTGGATGAACGAATAGTTTTCGAAATCAGCAAGCAATGAAATGTTTCAAATCATTCCCAATTTAACGCAAACTTTTGTAGCTTCAACGACGACACAAGTTCAACGAACCATGCCAATTTTGTACGAGACATATGTTTGGGAGAAACCAAGGATGTGAATAAAATTTAAATCCCAAACCGGAAATACATATTTCGTAGCAAAATACAAGGAAGTCATTTTTTGAACATCAAACCATTGAAATTAAATGTTGTATGTAACAACTGAAAGCAAGTCCCCTCCCCCGCCCCTCTGTGAACATATCCATTCTTGTTGAAATGTCTACAGATTTTCTTTATCCTAAAGGAAAAATTAGAGTAATGATTTTTTATTAAATAAGTTGCTTACGTGTGGTGGAATATATACACATTAGTTGTATATGTAGTACATAATTATATGAATATGGAAGGCGAAAGTTTGATTTCTGCCCACATCCGGACAAACTTTCTCGTTCTTCCTGAATCTGCTGTCGGCAACGAAAAGAGACAAATGGAGTCCGCAAAAAAACGACTCATCAAAATCCATTAGACATTTGCGATGATTATCTTGGCAGGTATTCTATTGAAGTCGCGGCTTGAATTAAACCGAAACTATTTTTTTTTTTCTATTACGACCGCCGAAAAAAAACGCATTTTAAGGTGGACTATGAATGGCGAACATGGAAACCTCAATGAAATGGCATCGCTCAACTGTAAAGAATCCTATTAACAGACCATCGGACGCTGGCTGAATGTGATCTGGCGTGAAAAAGATAAAATTGGAAATTAGATGACACGCATCATCAGTAAAAACAAATACATAAGATAATTGGTTTTGTCTGGCTACCAATTGAAACTCCTTTCTGTTTTCTATCGACAACCACGAAAATGAATAAAAACAAGGACCGTATCACGAAAATAATTTAATATACTTAATGAAAGACTAATAATATATTACTAAAAAAATAATATTAAAGAGAATATCTATTTTACATTATCTTTATTATCATTGCTTCCTCATATATCTTTTAAGCTAAAAAATCATTTGAGTGCGTCACAATCAACGTCCGGATTTTTTTCTCATATGATTAATACCCATAGAATCAATTGATGATAGAAAAAACTGCGAGAAGTTAGGGGGTGAGAGATTGTCCATGACGAAACGAATGAAAAACGCGTTCAAATAAGGACGGACTTCGTAAGAAGTGATCAAGACGACAAACAAATTAGAAATCTGAATGTGTATACATACATAAATAAATATCTATGTTTATATCACAAAGGAACCGACAAAACAACCGTATTCTTAATGAACTAGAAATTGTTACACTGAAAGTCAAAACAGGGAGAATTATATAAAACCGAACGGACACTGCTATTTATAACAAGTTTGGCTAAAACAGAATATGTAACAATTTAGAATGACTCATAAGAGTTGGTCACACATTCTGAAAGAAAAACTGCGTTGAAATCTTTTGTACCAATAACTACCCATATTGTAATATCCAAGTGTTGTTTACTAATTTTAGAATAAAGAGTTGTTGCTACTTTTTGAAATAACTCAAAAATGAAAACGAATTTAAACTTTAAAAGCGTTTTGAATCAATTTTTATTTATTGCACAGAACACAAAAAATTATCGAGGCGTTCCGGTAGTCGAACGGGATCCATTCGATCTTCGATCTCCAGAGTTCCTCCGGTCTCGCTTAAAGGCGGCGCCTACTCTTTTAGCGATCGCGACGCCAAACAGCGCAGAGCGGCGCACCTTCGCCTTGAAAGAATCCTGAAATTTAGCATGATATGCGTATTTTAAATGACGATTACCAGCAAGGATCGACGATTAGCAACTTGCGCAGCAGCTACCGGGGTAGCTGACCTACTGCCGGCTCGACTGGGGGTCGATGGCGTTGCAACGTTTGACTCAACGCTGCGAGGATTTCGCGGTTTCGCCGATTCCTGTGAAATGAAAATTGATTATTTTCATATAAATTGATAAATTCTTATACCTGCAACTTTGCAGCCGCATTCCTCTTGAACTCCGCCTGCGCCCGCGCACGTCTCTCCTCGTACTCTTCTCGGATTTCTTCCCGCCGGTTAGCTTCGATTTTCTGAAAAATATTCATTTATGTTTTGGTGATAAAATGGAAATTATTACTTTTGCCAACTCTATATCGAAGTCCGTTCTTCTTCGTCTGCTCTGAAATATTATATCGTTGAGAAAATGTGAAACCTAAAAAGGACAATAACAACTTACAGGAAACAACGGAAGGTCGGAAGGCATTTGCCACTCTACGGCATTTCGCGGAATCCCCACAGCACTTGAAGAGGCCTCCCTGAAAACATATTCGGTTAATGAAGTGCATGCAAATTTAAATTTACAACTGAGTTGATTCTTCTTTTGGAGAAGGTTCGTCTTCTTGGGTTGATTCAACTTTATCGTTTGATGCAAACTGTACATCCGGAAGGCGGTGACTCATGATTGCTGGAATGAACATAGGCATTGTGATTTGAAAATATTGCGGATATTTGCTTTGGAAAAAAAGATAAATATGAAAAGAAAAAATGAGGAATGGGCGAGAAAGTATGACAAATGCCAATTTGGCAGCTCTCTATATGCCGCCGAGAAATACGAATTAACACGAAACTCATAATAGACAGTGTGTACAAAAGAGAGTCGCAGACAATGCAAGATGCCTATGGGAAACGGGGAGGTCATAAATTCTTCTCGACCCGTGCATCCGAACAAACACCGCTATTTGATATTTTGCACCTACCTTAAATGAGGTTGCTAGTTTTTTTTCTTAGTTGCTAATTATTTTCGCTAAAAGGAACTTTGAATTTTTGAGAAAAACCGATTAAACCTTGAAAAACACGATTTCAGGTGTATTTTCGAAAAACAACATTTGTTGATGGAACAATTGTTGCTATTGTGTAACATAGAGCAAGACTCCGAATTAGGACCTTCCTAGAACATCCTCTCATATATTTTGACATATTTTAGTGTCAATTTTTAAGTAATAATACTTTCCAAATACTTAATAATAAAAAAACGGAACCCGTAGCAATTTTAGAATTGCTCTATTGTTCCTTCAACAATTGTTGCTATTGTGCATCATAGAGCAATTCTAAAATGGCTAATCGGTTTTTCTCAAAAATTCAAAGTTCCTTTTAGCGAAAATAACTAGCAACTAAGAAAAAAAAACTAGCAAACTCATTTAAGGTATGTGCAAAATATCAAATAGCGGTGTTTGTTCGGATGCAAGGGTCGAGAAGGATTTATGACCTCCCCGTTTCCCATAGGCATCTTGCATTGTCTGCGACTCTCTTTTGTACACACTGTCTATTATGCGTTTCGTGTTAATTCGTATTTCTCGGCGAGATATAAAGAGCTGCCAAATTGGCATTTGTCATACTTTCTCGCCCATTCCTCATTTTTCTCTTCATATTTATCTCTTTTTTCAAAGCAAATATCCGCAATCTTTTCAAATCACAATGCCTATTTTCATTCCAGATAAATATGAAAAGAAAAAATGAGATAAATATGAAAAGAAAAAATGAGGAATGGGCGAGAAAGTATGACAAATGCCAATTTGGCAGCTCTCTATATGCCGCCGAGAAATACGAATTAACACGAAACTCATAATAGACAGTGTGTACAAAAAAGAGTCGCAGACAATGCAAGATGCCTATGGGAAACGGGGAGGTCATAAATCCTTCTCGACTCGTGCATCCGAACAAACACTATTTGAATTTTTGCACATACCTTAAATGAGGTGAATTGTATATTTAATTTTCTTAGTTGCTTTTTATTTGCGCAAAAAGGAATTTTGAATTTTTAAGAAAAGCATATTAAACCTTCAAAAAACACGATTTCAGGTGTATTTTCCAAAAACTCCATTTGTTGAAGAAACAATTGTTGATATTGTGTAACATAGGGCAAGACTCCGAATGCGGACTTTCCTAGAAAATCCTTTCATAATTTTTGACAAATTTTAGTGTCAATTTTTAAGTAATCATACTTTCCAAATACTTAATAATAAAAAAATCGTTTTTTTCAAGGTTTCATCGGATTTTTTTTTTCAAAAATTCAAAGTTCTTTTTAGCGAAAATAACTAGCAACTAAGAAAAAAAACAACCTCATTTAAGATATGTGCAAAAATTCAAATAGTGTTTGTTCGGATGCACGGGTCGAGAAGGATTTATGACCTCCCCGTTTCCCATAGGCATCTTGCATTGTCTGCGACTCTCTTTTGTACACACTGTCTATTATGAGTTTCGTGTTAATTCGTATTTCTCGGCGGGATATAAAGAGCTGCCAAATTGGCATTTGTCATACTTTCTCGCCCATTCCTCATTTTTTCTTTTCATATTTATCTTTTTTTCCAAAGCAAATATCCGCAATATTTTCAAATCACAATGCCTATGTTCATTCCAGCAATCATGAGTCACCGCCTTCCGGATGTACAGTTTGCATCAAACGATAAAGTTGAATCAACCCAAGAAGACGAACCTTCTCCAAAAGAAGAATTAACTCAGTTGTAAATTTAAATTTGCATGCACTTCATTAACCGAATATGTTTTCAGGGAGGCCTCTTCAAGTGCTGTGGGGATTCCGCGAAATGCCGTAGAGTGGCAAATGCCTTCCGACCTTCCGTTGTTTCCTGTAAGTTGTTATCGTCCTTTTTAGGTTTCACATTTTCTCATTGATTTAATCTTTCAGCGCAGACGAAGAAGAACGGACTTCGATATAGAGTTGGCAAAAGTAAAAATTTTCATATTATCGCCAAAACATTAATGAATATTTTTCAGAAAATCGAAGCTGACCGGCGGGAAGAAATCCGAGAAGAGTACGAGGAGAGACGTGCGCGGGCGCAGGCGGATTTCAAGAGGAATGCGGCTGCAAAGTTGCAGGTATAAGATTTTATCAATTTATGTGAAAATAATCAATTTTCATTGCACAGGAATCGGCGAAACCGCAAAATCCTCGCAGCGTTGAGTCAAACGTTGCAACGCCATCGACCCCCAGTCGAGCCGGGAGTCGGTCAGCTACCCCGGTAGCTGCTGCGCAAGTTGCTAATCGTCGATCCTTGCTGGTAAGCGCCATTAAAAATCCGCATATCATGCTAAATTTCAGGATTCTTTCAAGACAAAGGTGCGCCGTTCAGCGCTGTTTGGCGTCGCGATCGCTAAAAGAGTAGGCGCCGCCTTTAAGCGAGACCGGAGGAACTCTGGAGATCGAAGATCGAATGGATCCCGTTCGACTACCGGAACGCCTCGATAATTTTTTGTGTCTTGTGTAATAAATAAAAATTGATTCAAAACGCTTTAAAAGTTTGAATTCGTTTTGATGTTTGAGTTATTTTAAAAAGTAGCAACAATTCTTTATTCTAAAATTAGTAAACAACACTTGGATATTACAATATGGATTGAAACTCCTGAAATGGTCATGAGGCAGATCTAATTAGTCTTAGCCTATTATCAGGTAGTTTTTATGGATCTGAGGATTAATGAGGAGGATTGATTAAATACGAGTTATCTGCTGTACATCGAGTTTGATAATAGTGTACAGGAAAAGCTTGAAACAAAAAAACGAATGATATACAATTGCAAAAAAATTTTTCACTAAGGGTAAAATTTAATTAATTTTTTTGTTTTTTTTTTTTAAACATTTTTCTATCGGCTAAAATGCTAGATTAACTACTCGAATAGTTATAATTTACGATGGGTTAATAACAGTAAGAATAATTATACAGAATTACCAACGCATTGATTTATCACTTCGCCAGGCATCTCAATGATCGTCGTCTTCATCTCGTTTGTCTGAAAGTTTGGATCTTCAATTATTTTTACTGTTTATAATTTTTCCTTTGGGATTGGTAATGACCTTAGCATTCAGCCCAGCCAGTTCGAGTTTTGTTTGAAGTAGTGGTTTGATTTCAGCAGCGCTTCGTATTGCCTGTCTTGTATCGTTTGTGTTTGGTTGATTTTCCGAAGATATCGTAAAACTTGTCCATCTGGGGCCGTAAGTCGGATGAGATTGTAGAGCTTGCAAAATACGGAAGTAGTAACTGTCAGTTTGTGCTCTGTTTTCGAGATTCTGGATACATTTCATCATTTGGAATTCAACTTTTCTTAAAGAAGCCGGACGAAAATTTTGAATTTTTCGAATAGTTTGACAGTAATTTCTATCTTGTAGTTGTTCCGCATTTCGTTCCAGCCTCGAAATATTTCCTGAAGTGAGACGATCATTGACCATATCGGACATTCTTCTGTTATTTTCGTTGTTCACAATAATCAAGAATTGATAATAATGTTCTAATTGCATTTCCTGCAAATTAAGATTGAAGCACTTCTGAAAAAAAATTCGTTTTCTTACATTAATGATTTCCGCTATTTGTATGTTTTTATTTATTGTTTTTTGTCCAACATCCCAATTAAAGTAGTTATAATAAATTATAGAAAGGACAGCTATTAAAAAGTATATAAAATGGCTATATTTCATCTGGAATTGAGGTTTGTTCGTTTTTATTCTTACGCAATTAAATTTACATTTTCTTCCGCTATGGAATTGTAATAAAACGCGGTAAAACATCCAGTGGGGACAATTATGAGCTTAAAAGAGGTTTTAATAATGTTCCGTCGAGACAACAACTTGTCTGTGAAATTTTTTATCTTCCAACTAATGTCCATTTTCTGAAAAAAAAAACCTTAATCTTTTAGATATGAAATGATAATATAATAATAATTAAAGGTTTTGAGAACTTTCTCTTAAAAATTGAGCATAATGCCTGTTTAATTTGCGAGGTGAAGCTTGAGACGCCAGTTTATATAGAACTTTTCACCTGCCTTTTGAGTGTTTGAACGAAGCAAACATAAGAAAACACAAGATCTACCGTAATCAAAAATATCATCTGCTCTGAAAAAAAATTCAGCTGTTTGGGAAAATCGAATTCAGAAAATTACCGTAATCTAACTTTAAACTGAAAATACGTTATAGTGAAAGAAATATAACAATTAATGCGGTTATAAAAGTGGTTTTATTTAGCAAAAGTTCGTCTCGTTCACCGTCATTTTGCTTATTTTATTACAAATACTCCTAAATTTTTTTCTATATGAGATCTAACAAGGGAAGTCATTTTATCTCCCGTTTTGGAATTTTTGGAACTTTGCACAAGTAAATTAGAAAGTCATCTGAAAGATAAATTAGAAGGTCATCTGAAAGATAAATTAGAAGGTCACAAAAAAAGTAAATTAGAAGGTCACAAAATTCCAGCATGCTCTGAAAAATTACAGACGAATAATGGCCATCTGAAAATTCAACTTTCCATTGACAGCAACCATTCGGGAAAGAGGTGACATATATGCCTATTGACGATAGAGGTTGGAATCCAGGTACGGCGGAGAGAAAATTGTGCAGGATAGTAACTTTATGATGAAGGTTCGCTCCCGACACACGCATTTTTCTTTTTGTAGCTGTAAATACTAATACCAATTGGCATCAAACGCATAATTTTATGCCAAAGCGTCGTTTTTAACATATTAAACAATTTACTCTTTGAACAATTTTCCCTTGCCCTTCCACCTTACCTGCAAAATTAGGACGCCAAATGGTGTGTTATAGTGCAGGCTGGAATTTTGTGAACACACTCAGAAGACCTTTTAGTTAACGTGTGCAAAGTTACGAAAAATTCCAAATCGCGAGATAAAATGACTTCCCTTGTAAGGTAGCGGATGACACCAGTTGATAAAAAAATTTTCGGAGATTATATGTGCAGAGAAATTTGCCAATGGAACCCTAAATGACCTTCCTTGTAAGCAATGACATTGTATTTGCCTAATAAAAATAATCATTGGATAATTACTTTTTTGAATGTGGCATTTCTTCCTGGTTAACTTTTCTTCTAATTTCATTTGAAGACAGCTGAAAGAATGTTTGGACTCTGCATTAATTGCGCTCCGTCGCAGTAGAGAACATGTAAAGGTTATCTGAAAATATCCATAGAAATAGCTAGCAAATTAATGTAAGCAATCATTTTCTAATAAACCCATTTCGCGTAATGCAAAAAAAGTGAAAACAGTCATTTTTAGGGGCACATTTCTGAAACGTGCATCTGAAATATGATTACAGATAAGTTTTTTTTTGTATAACCGTTTTTTCCCTTCAGTTTTCATAAATTCCATTTTTTTTAGAAATTCTTTTTCACACCACATTCATTTGTCTTGCATTTTCACCACTAAAAATGCCCATTCCCACTGCGAAACTGTCTTTGTTTCGTTTACCCAAAAAGTGAATTCCCGAATGACACATAAACTATATGTGCCATGGACAAAAGTCCCGCTGACATGGTGGCGGATTATTCCATTTTTTTTGGAGCGCTGAGAGCCCACCCGACGAGTGATCGTTTGTCACTCGGTCGTCGTCTTCAGGGAATTCTCGAACTCCATACAGACTTTCCAATGTCCATTTCATTGTTGGACGTGCACTAACGAAGATATTGCGATGAAAATGGAGAGGCACACATAGGTAATGCACTTTCGAGAAAATCCAATTTTGTGGACACCCAGCTTTTTTCTGCGTTTTTTTATCGTCCAATTCGGCTTAATGCAAACAAAATTTCGAGCTCGCTGAGAAACCCCAATGGAATTGCAATTTTATGGATAAACAAATACACATAAATGATATTGCAGGTGGTTCGCTACCAAAATAAAATATTAATATAAGACATGCGCGGATTATGCAAATTCTTTTGGTCTCAGAGCCACTTGAGTGCCACCTGTTGTTGATAACAATTCCTGACATCTGGAAGAATCCTTATTCAAAATTTTCAGAAAGATTCTTCAATTTCTCCCATCACAATATTCGTCTTTTATCCGTATTAATGGAAAACACAAGAATTTCAATTGGTTGGAGTAATTTATTTCAAGTAGAACAGTAATTCAATTCATTAGACGTGACAGTTTGTGTTTTGCAGCTAATGACACAGAATGGTTAACATAACAATAAAATAAGGTAGCTGTGCCATTTTCACAACCAATAATTGAACAGCAGTTGGAACGGAGGGAAGAATAAAAATATTTAAATTTTGAAGGGCACCAAAATTGTCATGAAGCAAGTTATTGGAACAATATTAAAGCGTGAGTTTCATATCTTTTTGGTTGAATTTTGAATGGGACTACGTCAGAAACAAGTTATATAAATAAGTGGGGTGATATGAAGGATAAAATACTAAACAATGAAGCAATTTTTTGAAGAAACTAGAGATTACGTCACGCGGTTTAAACAATAACTTTTTGAAAAAAGTTGGAAGAAATGCGCTTAAGAATAGTGAATGAGGTCAGGGAGTATTATTATTATTATTATAGAAATCATTGCAATAGGAATCAAAGTTCGGCTTATTTATTGTTTAGTATCTATGTGAAGGCATCGGGCATTGTCCGAGTTTGTCCTTCTTTGAGAAACGCATTACTTTTTCCATGATCTCGTCGTCCCATTCAACCATCAATGTATGTCCATTAACAATAATTCCATCGCGATGATGATCCGAATCGTTCTTTCCTGAAAACACGCTCGTTTTAATCCTATCAAATAACATCAAATCAATTCGATGCATTGTTTCACACATTTCCGAGGTGTCTTGTTTTGTTCTAATCCATGCGCGTTTGACACATTGCGAGGATAACCCTAATTTGCATTTTTGTCGGACACGCAGTCACACAATGTGGATGGTTAATTAATCATTGCAAAAACACCCTAATAAACTTCTTTGGAGAGACAACGAACCTAAAAGAACGTAGCGACGCCCGATGCGCAATTTCGGGCATTTGCATGCGACCGATTCTGGAGAAACCCATAGGGTTGATTCGCCGCGTTGATGGTTTTCCATTCCTCTCTTGAAGACCGATTCGGTAACAATCTTGTATTTCGCCCAGCCATCCACCATTTCTCTGCTCACCACAACGATTTGAAGAGCTGAAAGATGTATCAAAAGATAAACGAATTCCAATTCATCTATTGTATACCATAGTCACGCTTGCAGAACTTTCTTTGGTTCAGACGCTTCGGCACAACACGACACTTCGAACATTTATCTGAAATGGAAATGTTGACGTTGCGATCACGAAAATCAAAAAGGACAAGGTCGATGTTTGAAAAACCTTTATTTGCATTTCACTCACCTTGCTCTTCCGATTGCGATGTTCCAATGAAATCGGCTTTGGTGGGAATCTCTGAAATATGATGGTTGGCTGCCTTATTTGTCTCCAATTTCTTCACAATGGACATGGTAAGATGAGCAAAACAGACATAATAATGAGCTTACGTATGCAAATTTTCGTATTTGTGTCGCCTTGTTTGCTCATTAGAATACACCACATAATAGGATAAAACTTACTGATACATGGTGTGATCGTGGAGCGACTCTGTTGGTAACCCTTCGCGCAACGGTTGCAGGTGGTTCCAGTTACTCCAGGCTTGCAAACGCATTGTCCAGAAGATTGATTGCAGCTCTTTCCAAGTGATCCGACGGGATGGCATCCGCATGCTAAAATTGAAGACTTCGATTCATTTCTCATAACCCCTAGATATCTTTTTACATGCTCTTGTTGCGTTTTGCAACAACACACTTTGTGCCGAGTGATAAATCTTATCAAATGAATGAGTAGAAGAACATTGAAACATTGCGCGTTTTGTGGAGAGTCTTGGGTTTTCTCGAACACGCAACAATTTGTCGAGGGCCATCCAATCACCGAGGTATTTGTAATTAATTGCTCGCCAATACCGAGCGATTTTCAAACACACTCGAAAATTGAGCAGCCCCCAACGAATTTTAGAATGAATTTGATTAGACGCCGCTGCCGTCAAAGGATTACTGTCGGTGCAGTAAAGTGTGATAATGTCATTTTTTTGTGCCGTTTCTTCTTCTCTACAACATGTGTTCAAGCCTTGTTGAGCAGATGCAAATGAGCCGCCATGTGCTTGTTGAGCCGACAATAACCATATTTGGCAACCCAAATGTATCCTTCAAGGTTTTTTATTCGCCGATGTGTGAATGCAATTTGTATTCCGATTGGCTTTCATATTGTTCGCGTCGGCAGACATGTAATCGAAAATGGAGAAATTGTGGCATTATGATGATGTGCGAATTATGTAATATTCTCACTCGCACCGGTGACCATCCAAGGACATTGAAAAAATGGGCAAATGACATCCTCACGAAAGCAAACAATCACGTTTCATGCTAATTTGATCAAAATTCAGCCAAGCGTGATGTCCTCCAAAAGAAAACTAACACCGTTTTTGATAATTTTCCAATAGGTTTTGGTAACAAACATTTGACGCCAATATCTCATTTGTATGCGACACCTGCTCAATAATTTGACTTCCCACTGGGTTTTCAAGTGCGCACCGCCAAAAAATTGAGCAGATTTTGAGTCTGGCTTCCTGTCACGTCCCTCATTTCTCCCAAGTGGTCATTCACAATTGGCACCAATGTTGCGTAATTGAAACCGCAGAGCACCTACTACTATGAGTGCCGACGCGCTCGCGTAAACGAAAATGACCAGTGTCCGAAATTGGAAAACGGGCCAATTGTTTGGGCTCAACTACACTTTCTCTCTCAAAAAATTAAGTGATGAGACGAAATGGGGGAGGAGAAGAAACGAAGGAAGGAGGCAGGAGTATCTCATCAACCAAGTCAAGTGTTTCCTGACGCGATAAATCTAGTGCAAATGACTCTCATCGCAACAATCAATATCAAAAATACGAACATGAGAGAAGTCTCTTTTGACAAATTGCTATCACACTGAACATTTTTGATCATCAACAAGCGTTTGTCCGAGAAGTGATGAGTTATTGCCATAGAACACTTACATTTGCAGGCTTTACGATGGGTCATGGGAACAGACATATCACGAACATATCCAGGCTTGCATAAATGGCAGTTTCTTCCAGCAGTGTTGTGACGGCAGTTGAGACAGACACCTCCACTTCTGTAAATAAGGATTTACTACATTTATCCAATGATACCATTGTGAAAACCTATTTCCACTCAATCGGTAGAGCTCCGCGTCAAAACGGCATCGTTTGGCGTGTTGGTTGCAATTGCACGCTGCAATATATCCATATTTGCATTTTACAGCCCAACACAGCCCACTGTCTGTTTTCAACGATAATCCCATCGCGCTACGCCCGTCTCCCACAATACATAATATTCGTTTATTTACAACCCCTAATGGATTCGCCAACGCCTAGAACAGCCACCATTCTTCACACCTCATTCGCCCTCAGTTAATACATACATACACACATTGTTGATGGCGGAAAAGGGAGGGCTTGTTTGTATATCTGTCAGCAACGAATTCCCCTAATACTGGGGTTCGAACAATACATGCACATCACCTGTGTGCATAAAATAGCAGCGGAGAGCTCCAAATAAATTGCTCGCCATCAAAAGCAGGACTCAAAAAAGGTCACAATATTGTATTTATTAGAACAAAAACCAAAACATCAATTCCCTTATCAAATTAATACTTGATAGTGTGGTTGTCAGGAAAAAACCATAGTTTAATTGTCTGGGAATCTGAATGATATTGCCTAGTAAACCGCTTGTTTCGCTTATTATTTAATTATAGAAATCTGCGCAAGAAAAAAGATATAAAATTTTCGCGGCGGTCGCGATTATTGCCCCGGCTTTCTTCAATCAATCCACTGGTCGCTGTTAATCCGTTTCGTCTTTACAGAAACCCATCTTTCACTATTCAATAAATCCGTGAATCTTTCAGTCTCCCACAGTGCGCGAAAGGGTCGGCACCCGTCCATTGTGCCCTCGTTAACATTTGTAATGAGATGGAACGAACATTGCTGATCGCGTTGGTATTAATAAACATTGAATGAATACGAACGCGGGTTTTTGGGTGCAACGCCAATAATATGATTCATATCGCGAAAATTGACAAACGACATTAAAAAAAACTCACCAACACAAGAGTTGGCACTCGATGAAGTTGCTCGGCCCCATGGTCGATCAAAGTGGAACGGTTTGCACATTTCGCATTCAGTTCCGGCTGTATTATGCTTGCAATCACAAGTATACTGCAATACATAAGTTGAGTCATAGAGGGAAAGTGAATGCGGTAAATGGTACAAAAGAAAGAAAAACGAGGATATGAATGCTTACTCTTCCCATTTTGTCGAATATACAACGGCTTGCATGACCGTTGCATTTGCATCGGCCGCCAACGGCAAGCTCTCCCATCGAATAGAAATATCGCTGTTTGACATCATCGTCGGTTTCGTTTACATATGAATTCACATCATTGGAAAGCCCATAGAGTTCCGCCTTGAAAATATCTATTCTAACCTTCATTAGCTAAATTTTCCTACCTGATCGGGGCTCAATCTTGTGAAGACGACCTTGATATCAGTGGCAGTTACCCAATCTTGGAGGACAGGTGAGTTCTCAAAATTTTGCGCGGATGGTCGATTCTCAAGAAATGGGAACGCGATACGATTTCCGCCTGGTCCCATGATATGGGATGCGGTGCAAACCGCTTCCTGCTCGTTTTGCTTGGTGATTTTCACATCCGGGTCTTTACCGTATACCCGGCGGCACTCGGAGGAATAGAACTGGAACGGGGTCCATGTTTTGCCAAAGTCGGCAGATTTATAGAGAGCCATCGAATCGGGAAGTCTTGAGCAGAAATGCATTGAAACATAGGTGAGTTCGAATTGCTTTCCAAGCGATAAAGTGAGGGTAACATTTTGTGGGCTAAGACTTGGTGTAGAAACCCAGCAGGTCATATTTCCCAATGTGTTCAAATCGGTTAGAAGTGATGCCGGATGAGCCAACTTGGAATCTCTAGCATCGCACATTTCGCAGGATTCTCGAATGATTCCATCAGGTCCTTCTTTCACAGTACAGAACCTAAAATTTTGCGATAAGTGTTTTACTCGCACATGAAAAAGCCAATTCTCATAAACAGAATGCATAATTTGCTTATTCATAGCGCAGAGGAAATAAATTGAGAATGTGTTTTTAATCAAAAAATTAATGCGGAAAAATATGAGGGCTGTACACGAATGAGTAATAAATTCAAAATGTTGCTTGTTCGCACTCGTTTTTCCCTCAATACCAGGTTCTATATTTTTCGTTTGTGACGGACATACTTGGTCGGTTTATTGATTCCGCATGTGTCGCTGGCGATCACCGGTTTGCCAAACGCAGCGTTGATGAATTCTGGAACACAACGAACTGGTCGACCGGTGTGATCATGGCAAGGATCATGGTCGGGCGCGCGCATGGAAAACTAAACAGAACATAATTCAATTAGTGAAAGCAGTAAGTCAATTAAGGGTTCATTTTTTTGTTTCAACGTGGGTTTCAAATTCATGGAACGATGTTGAATACGTTTAAGTTAAAAATTAAAGCGTTACCTTGACGTTTTACGAAATGATTTGAAATTCACGTGGTGTAATAAGGAATTTTAACGAACCTGCGAAAAATAAGCAGCATCCAGGACTTGAATCAGGCAGTAAAGCGCCAAAAAACGCATTACTCCAGACTTCATTGTCATTGACGGTTTACCGCAATGTTGGAAAAGAAAAGCAAATTGAACTTGATATAGAGGAGTTTGATATCTGGAATAAGAAGAAATGATTTGGATAATAACGGCGGAAAGGCGGAGTGAAAATTGTTAAGGTGGGAATCCTCCGCGGTTTTCTCCTCAACAGAAAAATGAAAAGACAGCCGAGATGGAGAAACGCGGAGAGGTGGGACACATTTGCGAGAAGGCGCTCGAGTGGGCGGAGTCTCGCGATGGCCTGAAGATGACTACCGTATCCAGCGTGTATGCGACCACATATCTACATATTTGGCAGATGACGGTTTTATGTGAGAATTCGAGAATCCTCTGAGCTTCCGAACAACACAAAGAGCGCCTTGAAAACGAGAATTATTCGATTTCCGTTCAACTGACATAAATATGCAAAACAGTTGTAAAGCGTCAAAATTTTTTATTAATAAACATCAGGAAATTGGATATAGAGTCTGTTCATTGTTTCTATAGCAATAATTCAAGTTAAAAGAAGAGCCCTCAAAATAAATCCTACTGTCGTATGACGCAACGAATCTTGAATTGAGTGAAAATATGCACAATAGCCGAATATATCATTCCCTGTCACCTGGATTAAGTACAGAACAATGAGACTGCTCATCAATTGATCGGCAGGTGAACGATGTGCAACTTTTTCGCATCGGTATTAACTCGCCAATAATCCGTAATTATGATTTATTATTGAGAAATGCGTAATTAAAAAGACAATTTTATGGAAATTTTTAGTGATACGGCATTAATTTGGATTAAAAAAAAATTAAAAGCTACATTTACAAGTACATTTTTGTATCAGTCCGACAATTGCTGGCTTTTTGAGTTGACCTACTGATGCCAATTCACCTTGAATATATGATTTACTGTATTATCATAATCTGCTATTCAAAATTTAAACACCACTTGGCGGTCATTAGTCAAAGTGGTAGGCATTCTTTGAAATAAATGTGATCTACGACCCGAATCACCCTTGTCACATTGCGGAACACCTTAAAAGGAATAGATAAATCGCACAAGCGAGGTAAACTTCCGACATCAATTAATTTTCATCATTGTGATATATTTGATTTGAGCGGCCGTTTGGGAGTATTTTCAAATTACGCACCATTCTTTCGTAATGAGGATTAGCACTAGCGGTGAGAAACATTTTTGGAGATATGTACAACGGATTAAATAAATTATTAAAATGATACAGTAGTTTTATATTTTGAATGCAACGTTTTCACACGATTGCGAATCTTTAATAGATTCTATCGCAAACTATCTTAAGCTTTTTACAGCCGCGCTAGGGAACATATGTATAATATATCAGGCGAGGATTAGTAGTCGCGAAATACTCATTTGATTATGGCGCGCAAAAGATGGATTCATGTATTCCGCGATTCATGATGAATGAATGATGCATTTAACGTGAATCTCATTGAGAACATTGAATGCAATATTCAATGTTGCTCCAAGATTCTGGAAGAGCTTTAATAAATCAGTCAAGCGATGATCAGATAACACATGTCAGGTCTTAATTGAACTGTGCGGTGTGTCAATTTCCGGTCACTCTTCCGAATTCATGCATGTTTATAAGCCCAGATCAATTAAGCGATAGCGAGACACCCAATTACTAGGCAAACGATCCTCCTTTTTGCCTATTCATCGGCCATCACATTTTTGACACGTTGGTGATGATTGCACAACAATACGGATAGAGGGGAACACTTATTTTATTTTCTAGGGGAACATCCTTTTTGCTAAAAATATTGTTGTCTTTGAATATTAGTGAAATTCGAGCAGCAACATACATACATAAAAAAAATAATGAAAAATTGCTGTAAAAATAAGAAGGTAATCGGCTATAATTTTAAGACATTTATTTAAATAAGAATCTGAAAAATTTTTTGATAATAAACATATCAAAAAATTTGCTATTCTCACAATGATAATTTCATTTCTCTTAACACCCTCTAGAAGAACACCGAAATAAATCTACACACCAATGTAGAAAATATTCAATGAACCCGCGATATTTAATTAATTGAATTAAACTTCAAAATTTCCGATTAGCTATGTAAGAACACAATTCCAATCGAGGGTTTTTTTGAATTTATCAATTTTGGGCCAGTAATTTTGTTGTACAAACTATTTACATAATACAAACATGTACATTGAATTGAAGATTTACTATTTGTTGCGTTTTTTGAACCCCAGAGCACTCGTTAGTCAATCAACAAAGCCATGACAATAGACATAGAGTTCATATCATAGAGGATGGACCAATTTAATTTTGGTAGCTTTAAAAAATATGCCTTATCTTGTAATTATTTTAGATTTTGTTAAATATTATACGATTTCAGTGGATATTATATGCTCGCTAAAATCAAAAAAAGTTTGATAATTTAAATATGCCAAATTCGTCTGTGTTTGTTATTCAAAGCATTTTTAGAGAGTAAAAATCATATGCAATTCTATAACGATTAATTTTTTATAATTGCTGGATTTTGATCAGCTCTTAATTTTTTTTTAACTCTCGAAAGCTTTTCTTCATACATCGATACATTTCTACTATGACGAGCAATAACACTCATTTAAATTCTTTTTTTTTTTAAATTTTAATCTCCTTAGAAAATACATTAAAAATAAATTACAAATATCAATAAATATTTTGCCTTTTATTAGTTTTCTGGTTTTTTTTTTTGAAATTTTGAAAATTTATCCGCGTCAGATATAATAATAGATAATTTTAGTAGCGGCATATTTGTTTTTATAGCGGGTGGCTAGGCTATCAACTTAGTTTATTTTTTTTGCTCGTGTGATTACAATGATACATTGAAAATTGCAGTAAATATCAAAGGCGCGTGCAAAAATTTGTTGATTTCGTGCAAAGATCAAAAATGGCTTATACGTTCGACCATTCAACTTTGTCCAATTCGCTTGTCTTTGACAATATATGCAGTATGTGTTCGTTATTGCCGTTATAATATTTTCGATAATTTGCGGCAAAAAAACACGAAAATAGCGAAATATTCTTTTGACAAAATAAATTACATTAATTTTCTTTCTTCATAATTTTATCTAACTTCAATTTTTTTACAATTTTTGACATACTACTTTAAAAATGATGGACTAGTTTTTTTTAACCCTGCAACGGCCACGTAGACGCAAATGTTGGACAAGACGACACTCATAGACGCGGATGTTGGACAAGACGTTTGTTAGTATATCTGGTCCCTCTCTCTCTATGATCAGATATCTTTTTATATCATAAACCTTTTTAAAAATTCCAATCCGAAGTACTCTTCTTTTTTTTCAAGTTTTCGTTCAAAATTTGATAGCTTATTTCGTCTTTCCCAATATTTTTATAATTCACGTTTTCTACTTAAAAATAAAAAAGAAACGTCTTTGATAAAATACGTATTTTTGATGTTATGGAAGGTCGCATTTTGTGAAACACATTTTTTTCTTACGGCGTATAAAAACCTTCTATATCTCTTCTATACATCGTCGTTTCTACTTCAATTTCTGTTCGTCTGAACAAAATCATGCTTTTATTTCTGCGGTCATTCCTTTTCTTTCGTTTCTCGCTGCTCTCCTTTTACATGCTTGCGACCGCACCTCGTTCTTATTCGTCTGCATTTTTGTCTGCTTCTCTCTTCTCTTCCCAGCAACCATTCTGTTTCTACATCCATTTCATCAACGCTTTTTATTCATTTTTATCGATCGCGTGCTTAATGCCGCGTTTTTAACATTCCTTCTATATCACCTTCTTTAAAAACTGTCGATTTTCTGGTTTTCTATTGCATTTGTTAATGATTCATGCTGAATTTTTCATATAGCGATTTTATTTGCCAATTTTTAGGTAGCTACAGTAATGCCTTCAAGTTCTGCGACATCGTCCACCGCGGCAGCTAAGAAAAAGCGGAGCGCCATGCTTCCCTCGGTTTGTGCAAGCAACGCATTGATTTGCTTCAATAGTATCAGAAATTAGCATGCGGTCTTTTTTCTTTTGAAAACTTATATAGTCAATATAAAAAATATGTTGCCACGTAAGTAATATGAAACATTTAAAACAACTGAGACACAATAGAAAGCGCGCAATTTAGAAATGCCTATTAGTTTTCATCAATCTTTCCGATTTTAGGTGAAGTTTGGTGGAGTAAAACTGCGAATTTGCGAGTCAAACTTCAACGAAGCACGCATTGACAAAATCAAAAGACAAAACGAAAAGTTGGAACGCGAACTTGCGGATGGCGTCTTGCCAATGGTTTAATCATGTTCACGTTTTTTTTTTAAATGATTTGATGCCTATTACAGCAGTTTTCTCCTCAAGAGCGTCTCGATATGACCGAAAAAGCTATCAGCAATATGAATGATCGTTTGAAACTGTTGACGGTTTTGTTTCCTTATTCTGAAATTGCGGCAATTTTTAAGTTTCAGAAAATACAAACTAATAAGAAAATTAAGAAGCGTATCGAGGAGAGCAATGATACGGTAATATCCCAAATTTGGAAATCATACAAAAAAGTTCTCATATAAATGTGTCTCTATGATATCCTCATTATTTTTTGAGATGGTTAAATTTCTTTGAATGTTTGTAGGAAGAAGACAAAGTCTTTAAGAATATCGGAATGTACTGCGATGAAGTGAAGCGTCATATCGAACTGCAAGAGGTTTACAGCTAAAGCAAATAAATTGAAACAACTTGTTTTTTTTTTCAGCGTATGAAAGTAATTTGTAAAACTGTTGTTGATGGAGTTGAGGCGGATATGAAAGAGGTGAGTATTATCTTAATTAATGAGCAATTACGATCACAATAAATTCGGGTACCTACGAATAACATGGGAATCAAACTAACTCTAGATAGGCGAAAGGGTACTTCTGTTTTCGTGATTGTAATTAAGAAAGGATTTTAAGTATCCAAAAATTCATTTAATCATTCGATTTGTTTGCAGTTCCAATTTGAAGACTATTTGTCTATTTCGGACCGAATTTTCCACGCGATGGTTGCCTTACTTGAAGAGCAGCGTTTGAATCAGTTTGCGGGAAATCTAATGCCCGCGGAGCCAGTAGCGCCAGCGGAGCCGGAAAGACATATCGTTGAGCTACTGCCAGCGGAGGAACCAGAAGATCAGCGTCTGAATTTTGTGGAGATCTCGGCTGATGTAGACCCCGTAATTGCACAAGAGCCTGTTCCATTAGCGGGGCGTGAGGCTGTGGTGGAGCTCATGTTTTAATCTTGGATTCATAATTAGACTACAGATGAAGTGTGAATCATTTAATTACATGAATAGAACAATTTACACTAGAAGAAATTTAGCGTGAATTTTTTTGACTTGAGCACCAATTTTCCTAAATTTTTCTTAAAACTGTCGATTTATTATTATTCATTTATTGCTTTTATCACTATAAATTTGAAAAATTGTTTTACTGATTCTACAAATGTTTCCAACGAACTAAATTTTAGTAAAAAAAAACTTCTTCGTATGTATGTACTAGAATTAATGGAACAAACAGTTTCTGCCTGCTCTATTGCGTGAATTGTTCTGTTTCTTTAATGTTTCATATCATCTTGTACGTCAAAACGTGATTTTCAATATTTATTTATCTCATTTGTTTTTGATTTGTTCTATTTTTTATAATTATTTCAATCGGATTGCAGTCCTGAAAAAATATGACATGATTAAGTGAAATAAATACAATTTTTTTAACGCGGGTTTTATTTTTTTATTCACGCCATTTGAACTTTGTGTAGGCAAAGGTTTCTTTTTTCTTCCGTATTACTTCAAAAGTGGATATCTTATCGTCTTTTCAATGTATGTGCAAGAATTAAAAAAAATAGGAATGTGCAAGAATTTTTTCATCTTTGCCAAGGAGTCCAGGATTAAATTTCCCGGTTGAGAAATGTCCTAAAAATGTTCAAGAAATGGGTAATTTTTTCTAGCAATGATTACTGTAGTATTTCAAGGTGCATGGAGAAAATTCTTCAAAAATTAGGCTACAATAAGTAGGGAGAAATAATTTCCAAAATTTATAATTGGGTACAGTTCATTTCTGTTCGGTAATTTATTTCAATAAAGTTGGCTTCTTTTGGCCAAAGAACTCTTCGAATTGTAAAAACATTCCAGAGTTTCCCGGATTTTTCGACATGAATAAAGTTTTCCGGAAGGGTCTTTCCCGCACATTTTTGATTGACTGCTCGATGTGGAGTAATGCAGTTCAAACTGAAACTGACTTACGATTTTAATAGGGTATTGCAAAAAAGTAAATAGCGAACGAAATCGAGAAAATTTTAATGCGATAAAGAGCAAATAAGAAGAATAAGATAATAAATTTTTTCCTTTCTTAAATTTTTTTTGTAAATTTTGGTCTCTTAAATATATCCGCTTTGAGCATAGATAAATACAACTTTTGTAATCCACGTGGTGAATTTGATACTGAAGAGAACGTTCGAGAATTGTTACTTTGTATCCAACATTTATTCTTATATTGATTTCCTGAGGTTGTAGAGAAGTGGTCCAGTTAGGGATTAAAGTTGAGACGATATATCGATTTATTTTAGTCAGCCTTGTCAACCCAACGTGTGCACCGGAGCAGTTGATTCCAAGTGACGCCCTGTGATCAGTTCGGGCCAAATTTAGGATCGCTACCGGTCAAGTTGTGACGTACCATTTTGGATTATCCGTAGATGATCACATTAGAGCTCGTCTTGACAGTAACGTGAATATCACATGAATAGCCAAAAACACAATTGATAAAAAATACCTTCAACCTCATTAACTTGCGATAACTTTTTAAAGGAAAAAAGTTAATCATTCAAAGAAATTTTTAGCAAATTTTTATACTTTTAATGGGCATGTTTGGGCAAGCAAATAATGTGAAAAATGAGTTTAATGAATAAAATTTTCAATAACTCGTTCAAAATGTTTATTAAAATCTTTGTGCATATTTTGTAACTTTTGTGTATAATAAAATAGCTTAATTTAATTTTTTTCAAACAAAACCGTAAAACAACGGAAAGATTTCAAAATTTACATAAAGATGTGTTGCATACCTCGAGACCTTAAAGCATTGTGAACATTTTTGTTTTGTTTTCAGCAATGGAAAACATTGGATTATTAAGTAACACGGGGAAAAATCGGCTTCGAAGATCAGGTATAGTTATATAGTAAGTTGCTTCTATGCATTAAAAAAACCTAAAATACTGGTTGTTAATTATGATAAAGCTTGAATTGTAGGTTGCAAACACTTGCTTCGTTAATGATTTTAGAGTTATTGGGATTGCTTGAAATTAGATCAAAAATGCTACCAATTGCCAAAAGTAATTTTTACAACTTTTTTAAATAACGTTTCAAAACCATAAATCTTCGATTTTTCAATTTTACGTGTGAAAGCAGTCGCGTGCTTCTTTATCTTTCTAATAAGATAACCAAATATGATGTTGTGGCGTCTGGCCCTTCCTAACATGAATATTTTTCCGATAATCATAATTCACATTTTTAATTTTTCCAAAACATTTTTCAATCAAACGCCAATCACAAGATTGTCATTGAACTAAATATTAAGTCAAACAACTGGCCCTCTTCCTTAACTACCATCTCTAGCAGTATCGCTTCGTATGATGACAGCTGATAACATTGTTCGTCGTTCATGACAATTCATTTATTATTTCCGTATAACTTAATTAATTGGGAAACTTCGCTTCAATATACCGAATTCGTTGCACTATGCTACTAGCATTTGCAATTATTGTTACAAGTTTGTTTGATTTGCCATTTTATCAGTAGTTGCTTGCTGTTTTGATGGAATATCGTTATCAATTCTTCATTCATTTAATTTCAACGTTTCAGAGCAATGGACAGTATCAAAGAATTTCCGAAAAATGAAGAAACGCGAATATCAATGATTGATGAAGGTGTTGTCGATGCCAAATCGATAGAGCTAATGAAAAATTCCGGAAATGTAAATTCTGAGGTTTCTTTTATATTATTTCATTTATTTATTTAGGAAATTCAAGTATTAGCTATTATGTATGCTGTTAATGCATGTAACTTATTGCTTGTGTTTGTGAAAGTAAGAGATGAAATTCTTCGAATAAAAGCATTATATATTTTAGGCTGTCGCTGCTTATTTGGCATGCAGTTTCTCGATAAGTACCTCCGCTATTGAAAGCTTTGGTGATGTCTTTGTTGGTGCTCTTTTGCTGATACAAACATGGCTGGTATATTAGGAGACTCTTCGAAATTATTATGCTCAGTTTAGGATATGAATGTGAAAAAGGCTGAGTATCCTAGAGGAAGATGCTCGGATGCTAGTTCTGATGTAACTTTTAGACGAACATGTCACATTTTAACTATTTAGTTTCAGCTGGTTGCATCAGTCGTTATGATGACCTTAGCCTCCGTTAATTTTTTAATTAGTTTTGATCATTTGGTCACAGGAAGGTTCGTCAGTTTTTTTAGGTGTATGGATATTCTAATGTTAATCTTTGCAATACTAATTTGTCTAATAAAACATTAATTTTCAGAATTAATCCAGAGTTCAGTTTAGTTCATATCTCGATTGTTGTTCTTAACATTATAACTAAAGTGATTCTATTAATCATATGCCGATTGTAAGTTGGATCAAATATTGAAATCTAAAAGCATCTATTGAACAGGAAACGAGAGAATAATCGTATTCACGTATTGATGCTTGATCAGTGGACTGACGTGAAAACCAACTCGATTGCACTTATTTCTGTGTGTGTTGCACATTTTTATTGGAAGGTGTCAACTATAGCAAAATAGGAAATTACAACAATCCTAAACTGTTTGGTTTAGAAGTTTGACTTCATTGGAGCTGCTATCATTTTCTTTTTGATTATTCGAAATTGGCAGAAAATTGTTCGATCTGCATGGTTCAAATTGCAAGGCGTTCGAGGAAACTCAGCAGCTATCGAAAAAATAAGCGAAGTAAGTAAATAACAATTAATTGAGACCTTTGATTTTCAAAAGCCTCGAAACTTTTTCGATCTTTTCTAATTCCAACTAAAACTTTAGAAAAATGTCATATAATAAATACCTTTGAGGCATATTATTAACTACCCGTATGCCCACCAACAAGGCACCAAAATTACGAATCCACATTATGCTTCTATTTATCCCTTTAAAATATTTCAATTTCAAACAAATTTAACAACAAACTTCATTCCCTGCAATAAAATTAAATCTTCGTTCATTTTACCGTTGTTAAAAAAACAAATTTTGGTATATAATTGCGGCAGATAGTTCACGTCGTATTTTAAATTGTGGATTCTCACGTCGCATATTTCTCAATGTATTTATTCACTAAAAACTGTTTTTAGGTAATCAATATGAATATGGAAAATATCAACCATTTTTCGGGATTCTTATCGTACCATCTTGGATACGATTGCATAGTCGAAGTTAGTTTTTTTTTTAATAAACCTAATTTTTGATCATTAGAAATCGGCTTTTCCTTAGTTCATTAAGTTTATTATTTTGGATTTTTCTAGAGCTTTTTCACTTGTTGTTGACTGGGCCCGTCAGAAATAGGGGCAAAGTCCCGTTATCGTTTTCAGCTGCTCCTGGTGAATTCGAAAGTCCAGAAGCACATTGTTCAAACCAGGAAGAAACGCAAAATTCAAAGTTAAAATGAATTTAAGAATTAAGATTTATACAGCAGCAAATAGTAACATGAAAGAACGATAGGTGATTGCCACTAGAACCAGAAAGAAATGAGCATTATGAAAAAAATAATGACTTATCGATTCTTATAATTTAGGTTTACGCAGAATTTGACAGTAACAAAAACAAGGAAAAGTTAGTTCATGAATTGGATAATACGGATGGAATTCATAAAGCATATGCTTTTCCGATTGAGGATGGAAATGTTCGATTACTCAAAGCGCAAATACATATATCTCTATTTGAATTTGCAGGGAATTCGACTCACAAAAGTAATTCAAACAAAAGCTTCTGAAAATTTATAATTTTAATTTATGTATCCTTCTTTATAACATAATGCTTTAAATTGTTTGAGTGAAATGTTGCTAATGATGATAATGGTGATGACAACAGTAATAATAATGGTAATATTAATATTAATCACACAAATATTCTTTTTTTAATAAAATTATCAATAATATTCCATAATAAACATTATTTAATTTTTTTCTTCAATGATGTATTTTTAATGGCTCTGTTTTATTGAATCCATTTCAATTACCTTATAAATATTGCTTTCACAGAAAATTCAGATTGGAAAAGAACTTAAATAATATTTTCGAAAGTATTTTTTCATATCTATAATTAATTTCATTGTTTGCTTCTCTATATTTAAAAAAAATTCTCACATTTGTTCGTTTCATTTCTAGATATCATGTGGCTAATGATTGCAATAATTGTCAACGTTTTGCTTATACTTGCAATTATCAGCGTAATTTGCTTTGCACACGTGAGTTTGCGATGTTTCTGTGAAAAGTAATACTCGATTTTCAGAACATTCTGTCAATATTAATAATCATTGTTGTAATTGCGTTCTATCTGGTGTGTTTCGCGAAAGCATGCATTGGATGTCTTCGGATCAAACCACCGTATAACGTCGTTTCAAAAAATAGTCCAGAGCCTACCCGAATTGTTTAAAATAAATATAAATTTCAAAAACTCATTTTTTTTTCAGAACGCTAATGTCGAACAAGGAGAAATTGACATTTGAACCTCAGGCCAGATAATATTAACATGATTCATAATTAGTGCGTCGAGTGCATTATTGAATTTCAATTTTGAATAAATCGAACTTTTAAAATTTTTTTTACTAACACTCAGAATAAAAATATTTAATAAAGCTGAACTTCATTGATAGTCTAACAGTATTCTTGATTTATATGCATGATTTTAATTTTCAAAATACCTTAAATCTATTTGGATTACGGTGTTTTCTTGAATTTGATTTTCCCAAGCAGCTGAAATTTAGGCTGGTTCAGGTGATATTCTGAATTAAGGCCGCTTGTAGCGTGTTATCGACAAAATCAATAAGGACGGGTGAAAATTTGTTTATAAGGGTTTCTCTATAACTTCACATTGCTCGTTAATCAGCGATTTTGCTCACATTTCCATCAAAGCTTTTAGAGTTTCATTTCCATTTATCAATATGCTAAAAAAAAACAGTTTCGTTTTAGGTAATGGATATATGTGAGGATATAAACAATTATGCTGATAAAAATTGGAAAAAAAATCGACTTGTTTGGATATCATATTTCTATTTTTATTTTATCCACTTGTTTTATTTTCAAAGAACTATTTCCAAGTCATGCTGAATGAAGAAGTAAGTTTTTATTGCGAAAAATGTATTATTTGTAAAATAATTTCAAGACAGAGAACAGTGTGTGGCCTTTTGTACTTGTATTTCTCATCGTATTTATAGCCACAATTGGTTCTAAAATGTATTGTAACTGTGAAATGCACAACGAAAAAATCGCGAAAAAATTAGAAGTAAGTAAAATGATTTTCTGTTGGAAGATCTATATTTTTGAGGAAAAAAATTAGAATTGTATTACAAATTCTTGGTTATTCTGAATAATGGGCATGTCCAAGCAAAATGTGATTCAATTCATGATCGTGAAATTCTCAAAATAATCGCACGCTTGCTAAAATCTCCGGAAGACCTAACATACAGAAAATATTCTGAAATAATTCAAAAAATCGAAAATATTTCTTCGCATCGAGCAACAACTAGAACGATTGCACACCGAATAATGAAACGTGTCGAGAAACTCGAGATTAGAAAACGTTCTTGCGAACCTTATTTTTTTAGTGCTTTGAATGCTCTTAAAAGCGTGGAAAGGGGTTTACGAGTTCCCCAATAATGAAGAGCCGAATACAAATGCTACTAAAACAGAATCTGAAAGTAACACTAGAATGATTCCACTACTTCAAAAAGAAATTGAAAAAGCTGAAACAACAAATAAAAATGATGCCAAACCGGTAAGCAAATTAGAATCATAATAATAAACAACAGCAATTAATATCTTTTATTTAAGCGGATGAACGAAGAACACTAAATTATAGATGCCAAGACATCATAACAACGGGCGCGGCACATATTCTGAGAAGCTGTCCTGCCTACTATTTACCCATATATATATATATATAGTACTATTATCATTATTTGAGTAGTAAAAAAATTACCATTGAATAATCTAACAAATTAACCAAAAAAAGAAGTAATTTTTCACATTCAGTAAAACAATTTTTCTATATTTAATTTGTATTTAATCAATTTAATCAATTAATCCTCAGATTCACAAAAACTCATGACCATTTCAGGAGTTTCAATCCATATTGTAATATCCAAGTGTTGTTTACTAATTTTAGAATAAACAATCGTTGCTACTTTTTAAACTAACTCAAAATGAAAACGAATTCAAACTTTTAAAGCGTTTTGAATCAATTTTTATTTATTACACAGAACACAAAAAATTATCGAGGCGTTCCGGTAGTCGAACGGGATCCATTCGATCTTCGATCTCCAGAGTTCCTCCGGTCTCGCTTAAAGGCGGCGCCTACTCTTTTAGCGATCGCGACGCCAAACAGCGCTGAGCGGCGCACCTTTGCCTTGAAAGAATCCTGAAATTTAGCATGATATGCGGATTTTTAATGGCGCTTACCAGCAAGGATCGACGATTAGCAACTTGCGCAGCAGCTACCGGGGTAGCTGACCTACTGCCGGCTCGACTGGGGGTCGATGGCGTTGCAACGTTTGACTCAACGCTGCGAGGATTTCGCGGTTTCGCCGATTCCTGTGAAATGAAAATTGATTATTTTCATATAAATTGATAAATTCTTATACCTGCAACTTTGCAGCCGCATTCCTCTTGAACTCCGCCTGCGCCCGCGCACGTCTCTCCTCGTACTCTTCTCGGATTTCTTCCCGCCGGTCAGCTTCGATTTTCTGAAAAAATATTAATTTATGCTTTGGCGATAAAATGGAAATTATTACTTTTGCCAACTCTATATCGAAGTCCGTTCTTCTTCGTCTGCGCTGAAAGATTAAATCAATGAGAAAATGTGAAACCTAAAAAGGACGATAACAACTTACAGGAAACAACGGAAGGTCGGAAGGCATTTGCCACTCTACGGCATTTCGCGGAATCCCCACAGCACTTGAAGAGGCCTCCCTGAAAACATATTTGGTAAACTAAGTGCATGCAAATTTAAATTTACAACTGAGTTGATTCTTCTTTTGGAGAAGGTTCGTCTTCTTGGGTTGATTCAACTTTATCGTTTGATGCAAACTGTACATCCGGAAGGCGGTGACTCATGATTGCTGGAATGAACATAGGCATTGTGATTTGAAAATATTGCGGATATTTGCTTTGGAAAAAGAGATAAATATGAAGAGAAAAAATGAGGAATGGGCGAGAAAGTATGACAAATGCCAATTTGGCAGCTCTTTATATCACGCCGAGAAATACGAATTAACACGAAACTCATAATAGACAGTGTGTACAAAAGAGAGTCGCAGACAATGCAAGATGCCTATGGGAAACGGGGAGGTCATAAATCCTTCTCGACCCTTGCATCCGAACAAACACCGCTATTTGATATTTTGCACATACCTTAAATGAGTTTGCTAGTTTTTTTTTCTTAGTTGCTAGTTATTTTCGCTAAAAGGAACTTTGAATTTTTGAGAAAAACCGATTAGCCATTTTAGAATTGCTCTATGATGCACAATAGCAACAATTGTTGAAGGAACAATAGAGCAATTCTAAAATTGCTACGGGTTCCGTTTTTTTATTATTAAGTATTTGGAAAGTATTATTACTTAAAAATTGACACTAAAATATGTCAAAATATATGAGAGGATGTTCTAGGAAGGTCCTAATTCGGAGTCTTGCTCTATGTTACACAATAGCAACAATTGTTCCATCAACAAATGTTGTTTTTCGAAAATACACCTGAAATCGTGTTTTTCAAGGTTTAATCGGTTTTTCTCAAAAATTCAAAGTTCCTTTTAGCGAAAATAATTAGCAACTAAGAAAAAAAACTAGCAACCTCATTTAAGGTAGGTGCAAAATATCAAATAGCGGTGTTTGTTCGGATGCACGGGTCGAGAAGAATTTATGACCTCCCCGTTTCCCATAGGCATCTTGCATTGTCTGCGACTCTCTTTTGTACACACTGTCTATTATGAGTTTCGTGTTAATTCGTATTTCTCGGCGGCATATAGAGAGCTGCCAAATTGGCATTTGTCATACTTTCTCGCCCATTCCTCATTTTTTCTTTTCATATTTATCTTTTTTTCCAAAGCAAATATCCGCAATATTTTCAAATCACAATGCCTATGTTCATTCCAGCAATCATGAGTCACCGCCTTCCGGATGTACAGTTTGCATCAAACGATAAAGTTGAATCAACCCAAGAAGACGAACCTTCTCCAAAAGAAGAATTAACTCAGTTGTAAATTTAAATTTGCATGCACTTCATTAACCGAATATGTTTTCAGGGAGGCCTCTTCAAGTGCTGTGGGGATTCCGCGAAATGCCGTAGAGTGGCAAATGCCTTCCGACCTTCCGTTGTTTCCTGTAAGTTGTTATTGTCCTTTTTAGGTTTCACATTTTCTCAACGATATAATATTTCAGAGCAGACGAAGAAGAACGGACTTCGATATAGAGTTGGCAAAAGTAATAATTTCCATTTTATCACCAAAACATAAATGAATATTTTTCAGAAAATCGAAGCTAACCGGCGGGAAGAAATCCGAGAAGAGTACGAGGAGAGACGTGCGCGGGCGCAGGCGGAGTTCAAGAGGAATGCGGCTGCAAAGTTGCAGGTATAAGAATTTATCAATTTATATGAAAATAATCAATTTTCATTTCACAGGAATCGGCGAAACCGCGAAATCCTCGCAGCGTTGAGTCAAACGTTGCAACGCCATCGACCCCCAGTCGAGCCGGCAGTAGGTCAGCTACCCCGGTAGCTGCTGCGCAAGTTGCTAATCGTCGATCCTTGCTGGTAAGCGCCATTAAAAATCCGCATATCATGCTAAATTTCAGGATTCTTTCAAGGCAAAGGTGCGCCGCTCTGCGCTGTTTGGCGTCGCGATCGCTAAAAGAGTAGGCGCCGCCTTTAAGCGAGACCGGAGGAACTCTGGAGATCGAAGATCGAATGGATCCCGCTCGACTACCGGAACGCCTCGATAATTTTTTGTGTTCTGTGTAATAAATAAAAACTGATTCAAAATGCTTTAAAAATTTGAATTCGTTTTCATTTTTGAGTTATTTTAAAAAGTAGCAACGATTGTTTATTCTAAAATTAGTAAACAACACTTGGATATTACAATATGGATTGAAACTCCTGAAATGGTCATGAGGAAGATCAGGTTAATCTTAGCCGATGATTGGGTAGTTTTTGTGAATCTGAGGATTAATGAGGAGGATTGATTAAATACGAGTTGTCTGCTGTACATCGAGTTTGATAATAGTGTACAGGAAAAGCTTGAAACAAAACAACGAATGATATACAATTGCGAAAGAATGTTTCACTAAAGGATAGCTCATATGTTATGCCTTTTTTTTAAAGTTGTCTAGTCGCTAGTAATGGTTTAACTACTTGAATCATAATAATATTGATGTATAAATAATGGGATTTATAGCTACTCAGAAATTTCAACACATTCATTTTCTTCTTCAGGCATCTCAATGACAGTCGTCTTTACATTGTTGGTCTGAAATATCTGATTGCTATTTGTTTGAGTAATGATTGTTATTCTCACCAGTTCAAAAGAATTCTGGGTAGTCAAATTAGCAGATTCATTGTCACGTGCTCTACCATTTTCAGAAGTGTTTTGATTAGCATATTTTTCAATTAGTGGCTTGTTCTCAGCAACATCAGACCTATATCCTCTTTGTGTTCTTCGTTTTCTTCGTCTTATCGACAGGTTTGTCGTAACCTGTGGATGGCGACCAGTTTGTGTGATAGATTGGATCATTCTTAATATCATTCAAATAGTTTGTGAAAGGGGAATCAAGAGGTGTTCGTTTGTAAATGCGCTGGATATATTCTATAATTAGAATTTCTGTTTGAATCGGTGAACTTTTCAAATTCTTGAGAACGTCATCTGCCGTGAATCCCGGCGGGAAGAGACGTTTGTCCATTCTCTCAGCTCTCTTTTCCGTTATTTCAGCGCTTTCCTGAGTTAGCTTCTCCGGATCTTCCTCCAACAATTCAATGATTCGTGAAATTTCGATATCGTAATTCAAATCATGTTTCCTTCTTTCATACTCGCCGTTAACCGCAACAATAAAATTGTAGAACAAATCCATTCGTCTCTTCTAAAAACAATTTTGGTCACCAGTATTAAACACTTTTTACCGGCAAGTTTAATTTTTCAATTGCCACCGAAAAAGTCTTCGAAATATGCCAAGACATCAAATTAAAATAAACAATTGTCGAACCAAAAATTAAATAATATTTCCAGACAAATGTCATATCCTACAACACATATTTAGATTTAATCAAAATTTTATCATGTTTAGATTTACCACTCTATCAAATGTCAGTTGCATCAGTGAATAAACAATAGTAATAAAGCAGGATGGAGTCAATATGAACGTCAAAAAATATTCAATAACATCCAAAACATGAGTTTTTTCGATTATCCCAAGTGTTTGTGCGTTGATAATCATTATCTGCAATTTTGAAAGGTTAGGTTTGATTAATTCAAGTAAAGTGAGCATTAGTTGACTAATTTTTTCAAAAGTTGCACAAAACGGCCAATTAACTAGGGAAGTGAAGTTTGTGCCTGCGCTTTTATAGTATTTTTCATTTTCACCTGTGTATTGAGGGTTTGATCGAAACAAACATAGAAGTACCATAATCCGTAATATCACCTGCATCAGAAGAAAATTCAGCTGTTTAGGAAAGTCGAAATAAAAAAATACCGTAATCCAATTAAGTATTAAGTACATCAAAAATGCAATAACAAATTGAATATTTTATAAAACTTGATTGCCGATGAAGTTTTTCTTGATACAGGCTTTTCGTTTGACGTTTCTTTCCGACAAATACCTTATTTAAACATCTTCTTCATAAAAAAATTATTTAAATCGAAAAATGGTTCAAAACCAAAAGAAGGTAGATTAACTCATTTTCCTTGTTTTATTACAAATTCAATACTGAATGATGACTATTCGTATACCTCCTAAAACCTCTTTTGGGTGTTAATCTTCGTTTTTTCTTTCTGTTTCAACTCTACCTAGCACTTATTTCTGCCTCATGACTATATCATCCGTTATGATATTTTTTTTGTCCTTTGAGATACATTTTTTTCACGCTAACTTGTTTTTATTTTTTTAAAACATGAATCAGCTAGAATACAAACAATCTCTAACTCTTTAATTTATGTTTTCGTCTCTCATTCCACTGAAATAATGTTTAATCAATATGTACAAATTCACGAAGTTCAGCAAAAGAAAACGACAATTTAAAAAATTTCGAAATTTTCATTAAAAAGTGAAAAAATTACACAGAATTATTCATCTACCTCATTTTTTGGGGTTTCCTTCAATTTTCTTTAATTCGAATTTTTTATATTTTCCACTTTTTATTTTAATTTTAATGTGTTGATGTGATATTAATAGTCAAAATGTTAGTAATCTAACTACTTACGTATGATTATTAAAACGTCAACAGAGCGTCCCATTCTAATTTTGTAATTTCAGCCGTATCGTGCTCAAAGATTCACAGTTTTTCTATGTATTCTAACGATGTAGGACTTCATTAAGCATAGTAAAATACAAACCTCCGAAACTGGCTCAAAAACAGCGTGAAACTTGATTAAAGTTGCAAAAACCAATCAATAAACGCAAGGCAGTAAAAAATAAATGCTTCGATCATTATACTTCTTTCTTTTGTTAGGTGATTTTTTTCGGAATGAAAAATTGCGATTGTGATTATTAAGATGGTTACTGTCACGAGGAATCTCGCTTTATCACCAGAGCGTACAGTGAGCATTCAGTGTATTCACATATACCGAAGTTAACGGGCAATTTGGTTGAGTATTTTGGCTGTCTGTTCCGATCTTATTTTATGCGACTGGTTTTAAGGTTATGTTATTGTTTGATCATAATTTATTTTATATTTTATTTTGTTGCACGCAGCAAAAGTGAACATCTTTTTGATATACTTGTTGGCTTACAGATTATTTTGCGTCTATAATTGTTTTGTCGTTTTGCTAGCCATTCAGATAAATTATATAATATTAATTTTCCCAAGCGTATAACAGTTATTATAGTTTTTGGCACAATTGAAAAACGGAGGTGTTCACGCATAATCTTCACAGGAGGCGATCAACTCACTTGAACGTGTCAAATAACGAGCTTTTCGATAAAGAATAATAGATTTGAATACGGAAACGTTATCAGACATAGGTCATTTGGCATCAAAATCGGTGCTGACATTTCTCGCGTATGCGAGATGGAGCACATTACAATACGGCTGAAGTCACAAAATCCGAATGGGACTCAGCCATTTTTGCTTCGCTTTCACAATGTGTGAGCGTCTTTTCTCAGGGAATGTCGTAAAAAACTCTAAAATTGCAATAAAAAGTGGAGAATACAAAAATTCGTATAAAATATTACGAAAACCCAAAAATGCGGGGTGGGTATTGAATTACGTGAAATTTTTTTATACTTTTTTCATGAAAATTTCGGAACTTTTTAGTTGTTGTTTTTTGTTGAACTTTGTGAAACTAATGTGAAACCAATTCAAAATGCACATATTTTTCTAATTGTAAACCAGGAGCTATTCGTGTTCTAAATTTCACATTTGTGTATTATTTCATCTTACCGCTCAGCACTGAAATTCACCTGAAACAGCTGAAAACCAGGATTGAATTTTGCGCTTATTTCACACGAACGAATTCAGCAACTGGAGAAAACACTAAAGAATTATATTGTAACTTTCTATTTTTAGTACAGACCCGTTTGAAATTTCAAACTTTATCATTATAATGTCCGTATTAATGCAAATACACGTTGTTACTAGTCGCGTTAAAAAAACAGGGGAGTTTGTCAAACATTCTGAAGAACTGCGTGTACAGTTTTTATTTCAATAACCCGAAATATTTCCAATGAATCCAAAGTTTTAGTTCGAATTATATTAATGCGTAATCGCCTCAGAAGAATCAACCATTATTGTAATATCCAAGTGTTGTTTGCTAATTTTAGAATAAAGAATTGTTGCTACTTTTTAAAATAACTCAAATATCAAAACGAATTCAAATTTTAAAAGCGTTTTGAATCAATTTTTATTTATTACACAAGACACAAAAAATTATCGAGGCGTTCCGGTAGTCGAACGGGATCCATTAGATCTTCGATTTCCAGAGTTCCTCCGGTCTCGCTTAAAGGCGGCGCCTACTCTTTTAGCGATCGCGACGCCAAACAGCGCAGAGCGGCGCACCTTCGCCTTGAAAGAATCCTGAAATTTAGCATGATATGCGTATTTTAAATGACGATTACCAGCAAGGATCGACGATTAGCAACTTGCGCAGCAGCTACCGGGGTAGCTGACCTACTGCCGGCTCGACTGGGGGTCGATGGCGTTGCAACGTTTGACTCAACGCTGCGAGGATTTCGCGGTTTCGCCGATTCCTGTGAAATGAAAATTGATTATTTTCATATAAATTGATAAATTCTTATACCTGCAACTTTGCAGCCGCATTCCTCTTGAACTCCGCCTGCGCCCGCGCACGTCTCTCCTCGTACTCTTCTCGGATTTCTTCCCGCCGGTTAGCTTCGATTTTCTGAAAAATATTCATTTATGTTTTGGTGATAAAATGGAAATTATTACTTTTGCCAACTCTATATCGAAGTCCGTTCTTCTTCGTCTGCTCTGAAATATTATATCGTTGAGAAAATTAAATTTCTAACCCAAAAAAATCAACAAAAACTTACAGGAAACAACGGAAGGTCGGAAGGCATCTGCCACTCTACGGCATTTCGCGGAATCCCAACAGCACTTGAAGAGGCCTCCCTGAAAACATATTTGGTAAACTAAGTGCATACCAATTTAAATTTACAACTGAGTTGATTCTTCTTTTGGAGAAGGTTCGTCTTCTTGGGTTGATTTAACTTTATCGTTTGATGCAAACTGTACATCCGGAAGGCGGTGACTCATGATTGCTGGAATGAACATAGGCATTGTGATTTGAAAATATTGCGGATATTTGCTTTGGAAAAAGAGATAAATATGAAGAGAAAAAATGAGGAATGGGCGAGAAAGTATGACAAATGCCAATTTGGCAGCTCTTTATATCCCGCCGAGAAATACGAATTAACACGAAACTCATGATAGACAGTGTGTACAAAAGAGAGTCGCAGACAATGCAAGATGCCTATGGGAAACGAGGAGGTCATAAATCCTTTTCGACCCTTGCACCCGTACAAGCACCGCTATATGAATTTACACATACAGTAATTTTTTCTCGATTTGAAAAGTGAGAAGCTGCAGTGTTCAAGTAGGATCTCTAGAGAAGGAGTTAAAATATCCAACCGCTAAAATCATATTCTGAAAGCTTTAAAGACACTTTTCCTAATGCAAAAATGTTCCTAATTTAGAAAAAACTGACTCATGGTTTTTCATTTGTCCAAATTATTCACGAAAATTCAAAGTGACTTTTAGCGCAAATAAGTAGCAACTAGAGAAATTAAATATACAATTCACCTCATTTAAGGTATGTGCAAAAATTCAAACAGCGGTATTTGTACGGATGCAAGGGTCGAGAAGGATTTATGACCTCCCCGTTTCCCATAGGCATCTTGCATTGTCTGCGACTCTCTTTTGTACACACTGTCTATTATGAGTTTCGCGTTAATTCGTATTTCTCGGCGAGATATAAAGAGCTGCCAAATTGGCAGTTGTCATACTTTCTCGCCCATTCCTCATTTTTTTCTCTTCATATTTATCTCTTTTTCCAAAGCAAATATCCGCAATATTTTCAAATCACAATGCCTATGTTCATTCCAGCAATCATGAGTCGCCGCCTTCCGGATGTACAGTTTGCATCAAACGATAAAGTTGAATCAACCCAAGAAGACGAACCTTCTCCAAAAGAAGAATCAACTCAGTTGTAAATTTAAATTGGTATGCACTTAGTTTACCAAATATGTTTTCAGGGAGGCCTCTTCAAGTGCTGTTGGGATTCCGCGAAATGCCGTAGAGTGGCAAATGCCTTCCGACCTTCCGTTGTTTCCTGTAAGTTTTTGTTGATTTTTTTGGGTTAGAAATTTAATTTTCTCAACGATATAATATTTCAGAGCAGACGAAGAAGAACGGACTTCGATATAGAGTTGGCAAAAGTAATAATTTCCATTTTATCGCCAAAACATAAATGAATATTTTTCAGAAAATCGAAGCTGACCGGCGGGAAGAAATCCGAGAAGAGTACGAGGAGAGACGTGCGCGGGCGCAGGCGGAGTTCAAGAGGAATGCGGCTGCAAAGTTGCAGGTATAAGAATTTATCAATTTATATGAAAATAATCAATTTTCATTTCACAGGAATCGGCGAAACCGCGAAATCCTCGCAGCGTTGAGTCAAACGTTGCAACGCCATCGACCCCCAGTCGAGCCGGCAGTAGGTCAGCTACCCCGGTAGCTGCTGCGCAAGTTGCTAATCGTCGATCCTTGCTGGTAAGCGCCATTAAAAATCCGCATATCATGCTAAATTTCAGGATTCTTTCAAGGCAAAGGTGCGCCGCTCAGCGCTGTTTGGCGTCGCGATCGCTAAAAGAGTAGGCGCCGCCTTTAAGCGAGACCGGAGGAACTCTGGAAATCGAAGATCGAATGGATCCCGTTCGACTACCGGAACGCCTCGATAATTTTTTGTGTCTTGTGTAATAAATAAAAATTGATTCAAAACGCTTTTAAAATTTGAATTCGTTTTGATATTTGAGTTATTTTAAAAAGTAGCAACAATTCTTTATTCTAAAATTAGCAAACAACACTTGGATATTACAATAATGGTTGATTCTTCTGAGGCGATTACGCATTAATATAATTCGAACTAAAACTTTGGATTCATTGGAAATATTTCGGGTTATTGAAATAAAAACTGTCCACGCAGTTGTTCAGAATGTTTGACAAACTCCCCTGTTTTTTTAACGCGACTAGTAACAACGTGTATTTGCATTATTGCGGAGATTATAATAAAATAATAAGTAATGGAATACAAATGCAATAATGTCGAATACGTAGGTGAACGAAATAATGCCTTTTTTGCACCATCCGCCACACCTAAGTAAAAATTCAAATTTAAATCAGAAATGGTTTATTTGTGGGAAAACGAGAACATTCAATTTAAACATCGACTTTCAAAAGAACATCTGGTTTTCTTTTTTGGTCTGAAATAAAATATCCGACGAATGTAAGACTCTTGATGTGTTGCCTGCAAAATTTGATATGATTTCTTTTAAATCATCATTTTACCTAATGTCAGAATTATACTTATAATAGATAAAGAGGCGAATTGTAGAAGAAAGAACAAACAAATTCGAGTTGAGATCGCTTATGAATACATATTGGGAACGGAAAGACCCATCTTCTTCCTAAAAAATTTAATGATTTATTGCCAATTTTTCAGATCTTACATAAACCCAAGTTGGACGAAACGTTTCCATTAAGTAAAGTAGAAAATTGACACTGTTGCATGCAAGATAAGCGGTTATAATGACAACAGTTGTTTTAACCGCACATCTTAAACGATGCTGTTGCTCTCGGATTTCCTGGGCTGCTTGGAGTCGCGAAGCTGACGTCTGAAACATTAATCTTTTTGAAAACGATTTTCGAGCCTTATTTGTGAAAGACCCGTTTAATATTTCGTTCAATGCTGCGATTTCCCAAAAAAAAATAAGTGCATCTCTATGTGATAATGCAATTTCTCTTTTACATCGTGCCCTTGAGCAATGTATTCACTTAGATAGAATCAATTCAGGAAATGAATATATACATATTCTGATCTCCTCAATCTGAATTTAGCGAATCTGTATTATTTATTTTCGTTGAAGACATTTTAATTAAAAATTGTTTGTCCAGTCGTCGCAGATTTGGGAAATGAATCTATGGCTCCTTGTATAATTGTTTTTTTTGATACTTTATTTGCATTTCGAAAAAATCTTTTCAAGTATTTTCATCCACTCGCGAATTTTAACTTGATTTAATCGTAGAAATTTTGTTTGCAAAATTTTGCCTACCGAAAATAGTTGAGCTGGTGAAGTAGATTGGCGTCGAGCCCGGCGATGCTCCACACGCAGTTTTAGCACAACAATAATGTTGAGGGCGCACAAAACAACGAACGATACGAATGTATGGAAGAACTGAAGAGATAACGGTTATATGAAAGAAATATTCATAACTAACAGTTAGAACATTTTCGAAAACCCTCCACATTTCAGCTTCTGCTTCGTCGAGCTGTCGGTGAGTTATCCATTTGCTGTGAAAAATGTCGCAGCTTTTCTCATGCATGATCTCAAGAGTGAGGAATCCATTGATCCGAAGAAATGTTGCAAGAAGTATCAATAATCCAATCACCAGAAGCCGACGATGAAAACATGTTCTATAATGTTTCTCTTTTCATATTTTTGATTTATCTTTAAAAACGGTTTTACTACCTGCAAACAACAGTTGCTAAAGCGTTTTTTATTATTATGAAGTGACACCTGACAGTGTCCTCTAGCAGCAACTTGGACTATTAAATTGCCTACCCTGAGTCCGAACTTCTTCCCGTGATCATCGTCAGTTTGTCAGCTGAATTAGCAATTAGTGTATAAGGAATTGCCAGTTGTACAATCCGACTCATCACTAGGGTTGTTACATTGGTGTCCATAACGAGGTTGTATAAGAACGCTAAATTTCAACAAATTTAAATGAATATAAATTAATATGTCTGAAACCTATTCGCAATTCCACAGCCATCGCTAAGAAACCGAAACAGTAAATGTAAAGAGCGCAGAGCATGAAATCAAGGAACGCCAATAATGTCTGGAATGGGTATGTCCGACGAGTTTTCGTTATGAACACGTAAAGTAAGAGAAGATTTGAGATGCATCCGATGGCCGACACCAACGAACCAGCACTGAATATAATAATTAGTTTATCTGATTTATTACTGGACTTGGGCTTTTCAATTGTTTTTTACTCTAGTGCTTTTACAAATTTTTAAACAATAAGTTAGTTTTACAATTATTTGTGGAAAAAATGATATCGTGGTTTTTGAATGACAATTTAACCGTCATTTGCATATTTTTTAAATTATATATTCTAAAAATTGTATAAATTCTTTTACAGCTTGAAGAAGGTTCTGAACTTTAAAGTATACATTTATATATTAAACCAATATTTACAAAGCCATTTGATTTGATTGAATTCCATTCGGATAATTGTTTTTGACCAACAGGAAATTTGTGTTCTATGATATGTAAATTCTTTGCTCTCTCGAACACGTTTTGTTTTTAAAGGATCAATTGCATTTTGGATAATACAGATTTTTAGCAACACAATCCTCTGGAGACAAAAAATGTGAAATAAAATTGGTCCGCGTTAATCTGAAAAATAAGACATCCCAAATTTAATCAGTGTGTTCTGGCTTAACTATTTCGAAAAATGGTCTTTCGTTTCAAAACTTGTATGTAAAGTCACATGCCAGCACGGAACGAATGACTGGGATTACAAAAGTGAACACAAATGCATGAAAGTCGCGAAAGTGTTTTTGCAAGCAAAGAGTTTGATTGAACACCTTCTTGCCGTTGTGCTTGGATTATGAGTGACACGGATTGTTTTTTTTTTGGCGCAAGTAAGTCGTACCCTTTTGCAGATGGAAAATTCAAAGTAAAATGTCACGTGAAAGATGACAAGGGTAATAAATTTTGGGGGACCAAACACCAAACAATTTCATCTACAGGACACTATAAAAATTGCGAAGCTCATCATCTCGTGCGTTCATCTGCGTTTCATTTCGATTTAAATTCCACTCTTTTTTGTGTCATTCCTTTCTTTTTTCCTTTCACATTTTTTGTTCTGTAAATGGATCAATGGGCTAGAGGGTGCCACAGGTCCTTTTTCTCGCGATGCAAACATATTTGAATGGATGAAGACGCAATTCGATTACACCTCATCTTGTGGACACATAAGAGAACACCAATGAGTATTGGAGAATGAAAATTGAAAATGACAGAAAAGGAACAATTTTTAGTAAATGGATTATGAACCCAATGTTTCATCTTTGATTGTGGTTGAGTCAATCAAATATTCAAATTATCTTTGAACATCTTAAAAGTGCCCATCACAATTATCCTTCTTCTTCAATTGCCTCGGATTTCCATTGAATATGTAAGCATCTGCACAAATTGCTTCCTCATTTTATTTTCAATCATAAAACATGCTTGGTTCAAGTTTACTAGAACTTTTTATGATTCTATTTTCAAATCAATTCATGACGAATTTTTAAAAGCGCCTTTTCTATGCATTGCAAGTTCTAATGAAAATGGGATTGTTTTAGTGATGCATTCGTATCAAGAATTTGATCAAATTTTTTCGGCTCGCCTGACTCACTTTTATCCATCGCCACTCACTTTTTTCACTTGCAAAAAGAAAAGTTGTGTCAAATTTGGGTCTCGATACCTGATGAAGCCAGCACGCATATTCGGTGTATAATCGCATACAGCACTTTCATTATTAAACTCCGATTCTTCGTTTTGCATGATTCCTTTTAAGGCAGTTAACTTTACCTTAAAATTTATAATTCAAAAGCATAACGCAAATGAACAACGAGAAATGAAACACCAGTAAGTTATTAAAAAAAGAATAGTCAGAACAAAAAACGCACTATTTACGATTTTTTTTAAATATTCAGCTATAATATGGAACGTTGAATTAATAATAAATAGACGTTTTAAATGCTTGAGGAATATAAATTATTTGGCAATTTCAAACGTTAAATATACTGTAACTTCTAAAGCAAACGTCGGGAAATCAAAAAAGAAGAAAAAAGTGAAGGACCGAAGGCGCGCACACGCGTCTTCATATTTTTTTGCACGGACAGAGCAACGTTGGTAGGCGGGGCTACGGAAAAAGAGTCGGCGGCGCCGTCCCGCCGCTGGCGTGCGAAAGCAAATACTTCTTCTTTCCAATTTTCAAATTTTTAGCAATACCAGGTTGATTTTTTTTTAATTTTTAGTTATCCAATTGAATTCAAAAATTATTGGAATTATCTTCAATATAGTTGTTTTTGAGAATGTCATAGAAATGGCATTTCACTTCAAATGTGGTATTGAAACACGACCACTCTTCAAAATCAAAACAGGATTACTGTGAGTGGTCTCGAAATGACGAATGAGTTACGAAAGATCACATTTTGAATGTAAAAACACAATTTTAGGTGTAAATAATGAGCAAGGAAATAATGAAAAATAAAAATTCCTTACAATGGATAAACAATTGCCCCAATGCCGAAATAAAAGATTTTTGAGCGGATGAAGAAATTCGATATTTCAATTAGCAAGTTCGAAAATGTCGAGTGCGTTTTGTAAATAATTCCAGAACGTTTCTTGAAAAAATTTCAAGCTTCACATGTTTCTAATAAGCGTAAACTGATGAACGAAAAATATTATGAAGATATGAACGACAATATGGAGAAATAAAACCAGACAACATCTTCCAGAAAACATAGTCTGCATTTTTTTTTTGAAAATTAGCTGAGCAGTTGGAAAATTTAAAATACTTCATTAAGCGTATAGAGTAGAAGGGATCAAAATAAGCGTGGAATAGAAAAATGTAACTGCAGATTCCTGTTAGACTTTAAGCATATTAAAGCACTTAAAGCTAATAAAGATGAAACAACATGAAACGTTGTAAGATGAAAAGTTAAGAATAAATTTACTTGAATGCATACAGATTCAGAAAGGTCGACCAAATGAATACCTAATTCTGAGAATGGAATTTCTATATTGCTCTTCATCCATTTTATGCTAATTTTATTATTTGCTCTTAAATTTTCTAGATATTATATTTAATTGATGGTGTGCATTGTGAAAACGAATATATTGTTTCAAAAACAAATGTCAATAAATATAAAAAGCCTTTGAAGATAAATTACAACTCTCTCAAAAATTTTGATGACAAAAAATGGCACACGAGTTTTAATTAGAACGAAAAACCACACGGAAGAATTGAGAAATTGAAAAGAAGGTTTGTTGTTATTCGGAGCATAGTTTGACCAACTTTTACATATTTTTCCATTCTTTTATGCTGGTGTAAATTTTTGGCGGATAATCTGAAATCGAATTGAAATAGTGGCTTTACACTAGGGAAACTTATTTCAAAAAAAAACTTAAGAAATACGAAAGTCAAATTGTTAAAATGATGCATGCGAGTTTATTTCAAGAGGCGCAAGGCTTATTCAAAGTATTTAAGAAGGTCATACTTGAAGCAATAGAAGTAGACTTGACTATTCGGAATTTATTTTCTTCAAACAGAAGAAACTCATGAAATGGATTGTTTGCAAGAAGTGCGAAAAGAAGTATTTTTGAATATCAATCTTCTGTGACAAAAATGCATTTATTTTCCGGAAAACATTACCATAAGTTAGATGGAAATCGAGATATCAGAATAGTCGCTTTTTCTTCTCTGCATTTATAGGCTTTTCGAGAATAGAAAACAAGCCCCAAGCTTTTGTATAGGCGCTGTGAACGTACTAATTGCTTTAGTACAAACAACGATGAAAGCAAAAATAACTAACTTTTCTGTTTTGAGAAACCTTCCTTGACAAGATTGCTTCTAAACCAAGATGTTTATGGCGATTAAGTGCGTGATGTACAAGATTTCTCTCAAAAATCTTTTTTTTATCCTATAAAGTGTTTTTAGACATTGCGTTGAATACTTTATAAGGGCATTTAATATTGTTAATTTGAATATTAAAATTGGCCGGAAATATAATTTAATATGTAGAAGTTGTTATTTTGGATTGGTTTTATTGACAAAACAAACCAATTGGCCAAATTGGTATTTTATAATTCGCAATGTTGAAGAGGTCAAAGTTTAGAAGCAACTATACTGCAATGCATATGAGTGGTTATAATCCAGACCACGTGAGAAGTTTTGCCTCGAAATCTTGACATCAAAAAGAAGCACTGCAATGCCATTTTTTTGCAAAAGCCTAGTTAAGCTACTTCGTGTTTTTTTTCGTTCACTCAAACTAAATTAGGCAAATTATTGTTTTTGTAGGTTCTTGCGCTCTTTTGGAAATTAGTTTTGAGTGTAAAAGTGGCACTATTGAGCTGAGTCCTGAATGATTTTCTTTTATTTAAATACTTGTTGAAAACATGGAAAGAAAAACCTTGTGAGCACGTACTTAAGATGCACTCAATTCATTATTTTTAAAAACGAGGCAACTCATTCAATAAAATTAGGGGTCAGCTGAATGCGGTTTTTTTTACTACTACAGAGATTTGAGGATATGCGTCTTTTGTTAAGACAAAATTTTCATTTGAACTGTGTATTTCTAATTCTCAGGTTTGTCTTTTTTGAATTTCTAGCTTTTTTTGAAATGTGTGTAAATCTACCAATAAAATTGACCGGGAAACAATTATAAATGAATTAATAAACTTTGACATAGGCAATTTCTCTAAAATGTGTTTCTTTATTCATGCTGTTGTATCCTGATCGCCAGTTGTTGTATCCTGATCGCCAGTTGTTGTATCCTTGTGAACGAGCCAACGTAGAGAATATATTTATTAGACAAAACTATGAATAACTGATTATTGAGCGTAAAAAGGGGTTTTTATATCGCTCCTATGAAACGTGTGCCACGTGGTGTGTCACGTGACGTGTCGAGGTCACGGCTCCAACATCTCCCTCGCTAGTTCGAAACATAGGTGTTTCGGGATGGATTGATCTGTAGTCGTCTGACCGGCTTCGGGATATTTGTTCTTGGAGAAGCGTTTCCATGCGGGTGTGATGACGAACCTGGTCGGCGGTGATGGGCAGGTTCGAGCAGCGTTCGGTCCGATCGGCGATGACTTCAGCTTCGACGGCGGCAATGACTCGATCTTCGTTCTCCATAGTGCGGGCATGTTCCGATATGAGATGAGAGAGTGCGTCGGCAGCGGCATCGTCCGTAAGCAAGAGAGAGCGGGGAATGTGCTGGATCCAATCCAGTCCGAGGAGTGTGGCGGTATCGGCTACATGACAATATCCGGATCCGTGTTGTCCATTGATGATGAACTTGCAGTTGAACCGTCCTTTGAGGCGAATCCTGTTGTTGTTAGCGGCTTTCAGATTGACGTTGGCAGGCTCGAGCGATGGTTTCCCAAGTCGAATCCAATCCTTTGTTGAGACTAGCGAGATATCGGCGCCAGTGTCCAATTGCATCTTGACGTCGGTTCCATTGATGTTCACGTTCTTGAAGATCCGGTTGCTCTTGTTGATCCATGCGTGGTTGACTGAGATGAGTCCCAGATGTCCTCCTTGACGTCCTTTGCGGGATCCTTGGCGTTTCCGGCGGGATTTTGGATTTCGTCTGCTGTCCGTTCGGTTGCGGTTGCAGTCAGCATTTCAGTGAGGTCCTCCACAATGTCTGCATGGTGATGGTGGCTTCTGCTGCGTTGTTGGCTGTTCTGGCTGTGGTTCGGGTGTCCTCGCCTTCGGGGTCGAGGTTCTTCGTGACGTCGTTGATCGTTGTTGGTGGTGGTCCTCTCTCGACATAGCAAAGATGTGCTGGTGGTCGTGGTGAAGTCCTTTGATTGTTGGCGAATTGAGGAGTTTCGCGTCGTCCTTGATTCCAAGAATGCGCAGTACGTCCGCTTGCAATTCGTCCAAAGTGATGCTCGGCTTTGACTCCAGTTGCTGCAGAGCCCGGGTGCGTACGTCCATGAATTCCGGTCCGTTGAGACCCATGATCCAGACGAGAATCTGGGTTTGCTCCGGCGTCGTCGTTGCCCATTCTGCTTGCGCGAACTTCCTCTTGATTTGGCCAGTGTATTGAACAAGATCCGAACCAGTGAATTGCGATTGCAGAAATTCGAATCGGCGTCGGAATACAGACTTCGAGTGTCCAAAGAGAGTCTTGAGCCGGGTGATGGTCTCTTCGAGCGTCAGATCCGATGGTTTCCTTGGCAGGATGTTGTCGGCGTACTTGGCGAAAGCGGGGGCATCGAGCTTTGATAGGATGATCCTGGTTTGGGTGCCGTCGTCCAATGTTGATCCATCCAGTCGCAGAATGTCCTCGTACCGTGAATACCAGATTTCGAATGTGGTTCCTTCATCCGGGTCGAAGGAGAATGTCGGTAGTCGAGTCGTCAGCGAGTCGATAAGCCCTGTTTGGGTGTTTGGTTGTGCGGGAGCGGTTGGTGAAGTGCCTGGTCGTCCCTCCATCAGCAGTTTGGTGATTTCTCGAACGAAGTCTTGGTGCTGCTTCGCTTGCTCTGCCAAGAACAGTTTGACTGTGTTGACGTCCATGGTGCGTAGATCCTGATCGCCAGTTGTTGTATCCTTGTGAACGAGCCAACGTAGAGAATATATTTATTAGACACAACTATGAATAACTGATTATTGAGCGTAAAAAGGGGTTTTTATATCGCTCCTATGAAACGTGTGCCACGTGGTGTGTCACGTGACGTGTCGAGGTCACGGCTCCAACACATGCTCAGTTGTCGAAATGTGGCACTTGTTTTTCATTCTTATAAAGATAAAAAAAAAACATAATTTTTTGAAAGCGGAGCTCTAAGACGTAAGATATCGGGTTATTCTCAAAAAATGGAAAAATGCATATCTATGTGGACCTATTGTGTCGCCTTTTCCGTTTCTAATTTGACGGCAATATTTCAGTTTCCGATTTGAATAACAATTTGTAATGGTAACCGGATATTCCGATGACACAGTGTTTTCAAAAAACACGATATTTTCACTAAGCTAATTCGCTATGGATGTTTTCTAAACAACATCTATTAGAAATCAGGAAGCATTAAAAAAAAGATATTCGATATCTTGATACTGAATTTGGTATTGACTTTCACTCCAACAAATGAAGGCTGTAACAATTATGATATCAAAAGACAAAAGCTAAGACAGCAAATGCACGTTGCAGCAATTAATTGCAGGAAACACCTGCTACAGTAATCGGGTAATGACCTTCATATGATGTGAAATTATTAGAAGACAAAAAATTCCGTTCCAGAACACAATAAAATCATATCCGAATAATACCGCTTTCAAGCACATGAACATTTGCAGGTCTGGGTATAACAATTTTTAATTGACAATGCGCGGCTAGAAAGCTGTTAACCCATTTGGAAAGCTATCCAAATTTATCAAAAAAAAATAATTAGCCAAATGCCAATTATTTCATGCGACAACCGTAAACGTGTGGGCATATTTAATTAAAATGAAAAAAAAAAACAATGTTAATGTAACTTTCAGAATTTCAGGAAATTATTGTGCAGTCTTTATCCGTCTTGTAAATGAATCATGCATGAAATAAATTTTTTTAAAGTTTTTTTTATTCTACACGTGTTTTAGACACATTTTTGGAGTTTTTGTTAGTGTTCATTATTTCACGAACGAAATCCGAGAATTGGCGACATTTTTACAATGAGATTAACGTATTTGGGAAAACCCAATGGGACACGGCCCAGTCGTCGGGCATTTCACCAGAGCCGTGTTAATTCAATTCAATTCGAGCCATTTCCACACAACTACTCTCGTCACAGATGTTTCCTTTACGCACCTTCAAATTCTATCAGCACGTGCAACTGGCAAACTTGAGAATTGACAATGAAAGATATGCAAGATGGGGGGGGGGCTCGAATATTACATAATTCAAAACGCCCTGTGAAAATAGATCAGAGCGAAAACCCTACGAAAATAAATCATTTCAGCAATCACGAAAATTGAAATTTTTCATGCTCAAAAAATTTATATCTAAAGACACCAAATAGTTTCGCTTTTTTGGACAAATGTGTTTTTCTTAATAAATCAAGCGTAGGTAAATGTCAAACCGTAGTTTTTTTCTCAAAATGTCAAGGTTCGAAATTAGTTTTGCCGATGTTAGAGGCATCTGAAATTGCCAAAAATTTCATGACTACTTCTCAACTGAAATTTTGTTTTCAGCCTATAAAAGTACAAAAATTACTTCATTCTTATTTGGGATTCAACTAAATTTCAATTTGACCCGTTTACAAACCCGATACCGTTATTTTTAAGAAAAAATCAATGATTCATTTTCTCAAAAACGTTTTTGTACAAAATTAAATTTCATCCCTTTTTCGAATAATTTATGGTGTCGTAATATAATTATGCATCTACATTCAGGAATACAAAATATATAAGCGTATAAATAATAACTTAAATAAATAAAATACTTATGACAGCAGTGGCTACAATAATCTAGAACATTGCTTATGGGTTTACTGGAATGTACGGTTAACACAATTTAAGCACTGAAAAAAAACTACGATTAGCAATTAAGCGAAGACAGTCTTTCGAGTAGGTAGAAATATATGAAACATTTCAAAAATATAAACTTATGTTTACAATGTTGGCACAACTTCTAAATTCCAAAACGTTTTCACTGATATCTAAAATCAATAAGTAGTAGTTTTGCATATAATAAATAAGCAATACGAGAATAAATGAATGTGATGGCAGACTTGACAAGGTTACGCAAATGCACACTAAAATTCGAATTTAGATGATTGTTTGGGGAATTTTCTCGTGGCCCTACAACATCATAAAAATTGGCCGCTTTAACCACCAATTATTTATAAAGTTTGGGGCTTCGAAATGCATAAAACGCGATAGTATTTGTCAGTTATTGCGTGGAATTCAAGGCTATTAAAAATCACTTTCGCTTAATATTTAGTGAAGCTCGGTGGTATATAATTTAAGCAATAACGAGTGGGGGCACCTATTGACTATCGAATTTAACATCTCGTCTCGTACAATCCTGAGCGTCCGATGTATCGCACCCACTTGATAACGTCATGGTCAGAATAGTTGAGTTTCGGCTCAAAGACTTTGAGATAGCGTACTTTGAGGCCAGAAGGAGCGAACGGTACCTATAAATCAATACATATCGATGTTCAAATGAACCAAGCAAACTTCAAAGTTCATGCTAACAGGCGGACGATTCCATTTCTTCTTTTCAACGTTGCCAGTTGAAAGCAAATCGATTTCAGCAGAAATTTGACTTTCTTTCATTCCACCCATCCTTTTGATTCTAAAGTAAAACTCGTCCCATTTGAAAAATGTTCCTTGCATAACGTCATCTTACTTCCAAACAATTGCATTTTCTCCAGCTTTGTACTTGGCCTTTCCTTTCATGCAAATCAGTTGAACTCCTGATGTATTTGGTGGGGTCGGAATGCGCACCTCAATTTTCTGCGCCAAAAGTGACGGTTTGAAATTGGACTTGACGACAACCTACAACATTGATTGTTCATTTTTATTATACGTTGTTTCCTTGTTTCACCTTAACTTCCATTTTATTGCGTGAAACCTCTCGAACCAGTGGGATGACGCGGAATGGAAGTTGGATATCCTTGGTGGTTCGATACCTAAAGGGGACAGTTGTATAATTAAATTTAACAATTATTAGAAACGAGATACAATATGAGATACAAAGAGGTTTTTTTTACTTTAATATTGTCCAATTTCACGTGATTCACATTTTACAATTATGTGTATTCTCAATTTTTGTATTTATTAATGCGACAATTTTGGCAACAGATAATTCCTATTCAAAAGTTGATCCCTCATATTCAAAAAAACAAATATGCAAATAGCCGTTACTTGAAGAATCAAAAAAGGTCCCGTGGGAAATTTCTTTCATTATTCAAATCATAGCTTGTTTTTTTGTTGCTCTTTGCTTTATGTTTTTTTTTTTGAAAACCTTTAGTACGTGATTATTGATGAATATGTAGTTTTTCGAAAAAAAAAAAGAAAATTTAGGCCCCAGCCTGTTATCAAAATCTCATTCGCTATATGCTTGTTATGACATCGTAAAGTAACGTTGAACGGAGAAAATGAAACCGGTTTCCGATGTCAAGAAACATATCAGAAACAAAAACCGATTAAGAGTTGAATGATCCAAACAAATGATCAATTCATGAAAGAAACCCGATACCACTGAAGAATTTGATATGTGAAAATGATTCAAGAATATAAAACCAATTATTTCCAAACCAATTTCGACTGGAAATGGAAGAAATCATTAGAAAATTGAGGCAGTTATTGTTATTTTTTTGATATTTTCTAAATTTGGAATGCAATTCATATTGTACTATTCCCAAAACTTTGAAAGAATAAGTTTAACGCTAAGGCGTTTTGGTCTCTCTGATTTTGTCAAATTTTCAAAGCTCTAAATATCCATTTTTATGAATTTTTTAGTTTATTGCACTTGATGCAGTGTTCCAGATGTGAGCATTTTCAATCAGTAGTCTCCTAATTTTTTCTTCGTTTTCTCTCTCTCTCTCTTGAAATATACCTCATCAACTCATATTCACCATCTGGCGGAATAAACGAAATTGCATGTTCACTATCGAATTTCGTCAATTTCACGCATTGATGAAATTGGCAATCATCGATAGCCACTGATGCGCGACTCCTGAATAGTGAATCTTATTTATCAAATATGTTGCTTTCAGCCCTTACGCTTTGTTCGGATCGTCAGTACTGCTCTTCGCTTTTCCCTCAATCGTGATTTTGTCGTTGATTCCAAACTTACATTCGGGCATTCCACTCAAATATGATTTCATTGCCACCTTTCCAGCAACATGAGCGGAAAGAACTTGTCCTAAATTAAATTTTAAATTTAAATCCATTGAAGCCATTTTTTCACCTTGTTGGCTCATCAGCAAATTGACATACTCAATAACATCCAGGAAAAGTTCATTACGTCGATATTTGATACCCTCACGTCGCCATCCAATTTGGCCTGTGACTTGAGAAGTGATTTGCGATTGTTCTTCTTTCGTCTGTAATAAAAGAAGCGCTAAATTGTTCATGATTACTGAATATATTTGCTATTGATCACACTATCACAACAGTTTCTCGTCACTAAATCACATGACAATACCTTACAACTTACCACAGGAGTAGGAACGTCCTAGAAACAATATTGAAATTATTTGAAAATTTCGAGAAATATTCAATAAATAACAAATTTTCCAATCTTTCACTAAATAACAAATATTTACCGCTGTGCGAACGCCTTGTTGGGTGATGAAAGTTTTCAATACTCCCGGATCAGTGTTTTGTGGATATCCAAAGTCGAGAATCTCTGAAAGTTGTTTCGGTAATTTGCATTACATATTCATACATTATTACCGTCCAAAAGCTCATATATAAGAACGAAATTGTTCTTAACGTTCTCCTCATTCAATTTTCCAAAATACGATTGCATAGTGTCAGCAAATCGTTTAAGAAACTGAAAATTTACTTTCGTTCAATTATCTGCTCATTTTGATCTACTATTTAAAATAATATTTATGTGTTTTTACGAATCCGCAAATTACAAAAAAATTTTTTATTCAATTCATCTAATGTTTGTCAAACCTCGAAAACCATTGCTGCATTCACATTTTGACGAGTAACGGCGCAAATCCAAACATTTCCTCGTTTCACATGGAAGAATGAGGTTCGAGCCATGTTTGTAACCGGCGACCGGACCTGCAATCAACCGAATTATTGAAATTATGTATGCGTTTCTTTACTTGTTGTCGAGCATGAATGACGTTGACACGGAAAGCGTCCACCGCATTTCTCCTAAATTTCATCGATCACTTTGTAATTAATTGTTTTAAACTAACGTAACATCATCTCGATAGATTCGTGAAATAAGGACTTCTCCTTTGTGATTGTAGACAAATAAACCGCCAATCATCCCGAGTTTTCTACAAAAAAAAACAATGATTAATGATAATAATAAGCGGTGATGAAAGAAATTGGCGGCAAATCGATAAAAAAACGACGAAATGTACTTGCGCATTGGTTTCCAATAAATATCTGGCCATGATTGCTTTTCCGTGAGACGGCCACGGGTCTCGACGCGATTCTTTTGCAATCGAGACGCAGACAGCAAAAGACGAGCGCGCGTGCGTATGCACCACACCCCGTCGCTGTCGACTTTCCCTCCGCTTCTCTCGTCTTGCCAGATGTTAATTGAGAGACCGAGAAGAGTGGCTGCCTAGTGTCGCTTCTCGAATCCATCCACGTTTTGCATGAACTCTCTCAAGCCTGCTGATTTTATCTTGTATTGAATTTAATCCGTCTTTCACAATTATTCACCTTCGTCTCATTTATCATTGTACCTTCGAATGAAAAGTTTAGCTGCTTAGAACATTTTAGGTTGAGTTTTTCTTCTTTTTTCAAATTAATTTCAGCTCACCTCCTTCAAGAAAATTAGTCATTATAATTATAGTTCTTTTTCAGACATTTAAATAAATTGGTACGTTGATAAATAAAAGATGAAAAAAAAGCATTTTTATTTCAAGGATCACGTTCAAATTGATTTTATTAATTTGGCTAATTAGAATGAATAAAATTTTTCTAGTATAAATAAATATTTATATTCTAACAAATAATTTATTCATATAATTCACAAAGCGAAAAGTTGTTTCCAATAGATTAAATCGAATTGCTGATTACAAATTAGTTTTTGTCATTTGTTCAACAAATAATCTCACATTGTACTCCATAATCATACCTCGTGACTAACAAAATTTTTTCGTGCTTCTACATAGATTCGTCGTTTTTAAACACTTTTAAAGAAAGATAATGACGAAGCATCAATTGATGAACGTCATAAACAATGCCATGGGCAATATACTGAAACGAATAATTTGATAAACAAATAAAATCGAATCAGAAAAAAACAAAAAATGATAGATTGAAAACAGATTTTTTGTCATTCATTAGTTTCGATTGATTGAAAACTGTTCCGATGAATGCGTACTACGTATGTTCACATTTTGCGTCCCCCTTGGTTTTTGTATTACATTTAACGAAAACCGGATTTGAACTGAATCGATTTGTCGAAATGGCAATGAATGTAAGTGGCAACTAGATTTGTATTATTACTAAATTCTGTAAGATTCATTGAATGAGACAATGAGTTCTGCTTTATGCCTTTCCGTCGAATTCACGCAAGCAACGATTATTGTACAGAATTATCAATAGTTCTTATCATTCCACATCTCGAGCGTTTCATAATGTTTGTCAAATGCCAACCTCCTATTAGTTCAAACAATTATTAATTATCATTTCAGTGCCTCTACAATTTCCTTAATGATACAGTCACTCCGGCGTATTCTGAATAAACCAAGACCCGATGATTGGACGCCGCTAGCTCGATTTTATTACGCCGATGTCGCCTTGAATGAAATAGGTTAGTTCGAATTGGCCAGGTGGCCGGCCATCATCAAGTTGATATATTTCCATTGTTTGGGCGGTCGGAAACCGATACAGTATGTATTTCATTGCGTAGCAAAAATCAATAAAGCGACTGACGTTTGCTTTTCGGTGACGTTCGAAGAGGAAAACACACCTAGGCATACACAGACTCGCTCATAATTCCCTAAACCGGCATTTGACAAAAAGGCTTTCAAATAATGTTGTTTGTTTGGTGCTCAGAATCCGTAACGCGAGCAATAAACAACATAGAGCAATTGAGATGGCAGTTTGTTTCAAAGTTCATCTCGTTAAATTGACGCAAATCCTATTTTATTTCACAGAAAATAATGTTTGTTTTCATGAAAAAATCGTGTTTTAATGTTCACGTGACAAACGGATAGAACAAACATCGCGAAACGCTTACAATAGGAGAAAATTTGTCAACAATTCGCTACTAAAATAGTTTAATTTTTTTATTGAGAATTTGTATTGTTGCAGCCAACGAATTGGACTCATTCGATGGTCGGAGGGATCCCGAACGATGTAACGCACTTGTCTCAAAACTTCGAGTCGCTCAGGACAGGGTTCTTCACATCATTAGTCAGTTTCCAATTCAAGTATTAGTGCATTATGCTCAAAAGTTCTTTGAGTAATTCAAGTCCAATCCAACTTCCTCTTTTATTTTTTGCTTCTATACGTTTGATGCACTAGAGTAATTAAATTCGTAATTGGTAACTCGTGTATCCTTTGTATTTACGAATGACGACATCACAAGAATGTAAATAGAATTTTAAAAAATTTTAAAACAATGAGAGCGAAATTCGATAAAATTCTTAATAATTCTTTTTCTGGCATTTCTGTTTTTAGAGCTGCAAAAAAATAATGTTGTTAATAAACAAATTCCCGGGAAGTCGATAAGCAGAAAATATATCAAATTTTGGTATTCGTTAAGCTTTTAATTTGAATTTATTTTTCGTGAAAGAAACAAAACTGGCGAAAAAAATTTCTGATTGAATGAGAAATGATTAGCTCAAATAAATTTTACATTTGCCTTGTCTTTTCGGCCGGTCGCGGGCAAACATTTTCGGTGGAGAAAACCAAAATATTCAAGTTTAATCAAATATATATTAAGCCATTTTCATATCCAAACTATTCAATAAAATTCATTTCAAAAAAATTATTTAATCGACGATTTTTATTATTCGGTCTAGTAACGATTACGTTTCGACATAGAATGGCTTCAAAACAACAAGGCGCACAAATAATAAAAATAAAAAGCATTAAATGTCATATAAAATTTTTTTCAGACGAAGTTCTCATTCTATTGTATCCGAACGAAGGCGACCGAGCGTGTCGTGATTTCCGCGTCAAATTCCCTGACGAAATCGTTCATGATACTTTGCCGGGACAACTTTGGTTCGGGGCTGAGGTGAGCAGTAGAAAATTTTCGAGATTCTTCAAACTTCAAAGGTGTTTCAATGGCTCATAATGTTCTGAAATATCCGTTCACGATCAAAAATCGCAATATCTTCCGTGATCGTTAATCTTGTGAAACCAACAAACATTTTATCATTTTGGTTTATTGACAATAATGGAGTTTATTGACATTTCCTATCAGATAAAACAATAAAGCCTCGCAAACAAGAACAATTCTAGAACAAGTATTGATAAGGATGAATAATTTTCTGGTTCGATTTTGAAATATCGAAAACGTTTCAATCAAACTACAATGATTATTTAGAAATTAAATGTGAATAATCAACCAAGCAATGAATAAATTTATAGATTCAAATAGATTTGTTGATATTAAATAAAGTTTACTTATATACGGTCAAAAATGAAAACATTGATTATTACATGCAGATTTCGAACAAAATTCCTGGACCAATTTAATTAGATAATTACTCAATGTAATTGGTTTTTTCGTTTTAGTGTCTCGCCGCCGGATCTAATATCATTGATCACGAATCGGAATCGGATTTGATAAGACCACTTGCAAAAGAGGTCACCAAACAATTGGATGATGTTCGCGAACTATTGAAAGACCAAGCTTTAAGGGATCCATCAGCTTATAGTCAAACTATCAAGGAGAACTTGTTAAAATTTGATATTCTTTTTGCTAACTTTGAATACCAGTAATTAAGATTTTTTAAAAATCCGATCTAATAAATTTTATTTCAGATATGTTTCTGCCATGGTTCCTGTAAAATCGGTGAAAGAGCACGATGCTCAATTAGATGTGGCTGTATTGTTTTCGGAAGTGTTGAGACTCGCTTTGGAGAAAGAATTAATCACTCAAGATCAAATTGACTATTGTGATCCCTGCGTTATGCTCTCTATTCCTCGTTTAGGAATTGTTTGGTAAGCCGATAAAGTATAGTTATTTTAGTTTTATTTTACTCTATAGTTATCTTTGTTTTAAAATAATAAAAAATAACAGTTCGTATAAAATTTGTTCGTTTCTGTAATTTATTTATAACATCGATATTTTAAGAAGATCTTTATCAATATTTAGCTTAAACAGTTCATAAAATATCTATTTTATTATTTAGGGGTCTTCTGTTATTTCCAGAAGGAGCGCTAAACGTTGACAAATCACCAGAAGATTTATCGGAAATGTTTCGGCCATTTCATTCTCTTTTATCAAAGATTCGGAACTTAATCAATATTTTATCCAAAGAAGAGCTTAATAAGGTAATTCGTCTCAAAAGCAGATCATTGATAAATAATTTACAAAGTTTTTAGCTTGAACATATTCTTTGCAAGGGAGAAACAACTACTGCTGAAAAAGAAAGTACGCTGAAAATGAGTGATTTTCGAAATGGAAACTCTGAGGATGAACGGATGAATCATAATAACAGTGTTAAAATTTGGATGGTTGATGTTCCATCAGATGATAGTGAAGGAGACAGTGTTGGAAGTGACAGTAGGGCCTCATCTTCAGTCTCATACATTGAGACAGATGCTGAAGATTCAAAACGGCGCGAAGAGAATCCAACGTAATATAATTTTGACAATAATATCAGTCAATGAAATTATTCATTTAGATATCCATCGGATCCACTAAACTTGAGAAACCGTTTCCGATCATCCGAAGATTTGGTTCATCGCCTTTTCGTGTGCATTGCCGGTGTTGCTGATCAATTGCAAACCAACTACTCCAGCGAGATTCGCAAAGTGCTCAAGTTGATTCTTCAACCCGTCGAAGTGATTCCTGTGTACGAGATTTGTGCTCAAACTGCTTCGTCAGCTACTGAAGGTGAGGAAACTGGAATCGAAGTACAAGAATCTTTGCCCCTACCAGCTTTTATTGGTAATTTATTGTTGGTAGAATTTATTCTCAATTTTCAAATAATTTTTGCAGGTGTCCGCTGGGTTCCAGATGAGGATTGTGAGCAATGTACTGCGTGTTCAACACCTTTCACATTTATGAGAAGGCGCCATCATTGCCGCAATTGCGGAAGAATTTTCTGTCACAAATGCTCGTGCAATTCTATTTGTATTCCAGAGCATGGATACGATCGAAAGGTAATATAAATATCTTTAATATAAAATTTTAAAAATTAATATGTCAATGTTTAGGTACGAGTCTGTAATTTGTGCTACATTCACCGTATTAATCCATTTGGATGTGGCGAGCCAGCAACTTCCAACATTCCACAAACTCCCGATAACTCTCAAAATCAGTTAAGGGATGAAATTATGGAGGAAGTTGGATCTTCAGAACAACCACAATCTCAATGACTCATAAATTCTATATGAAATCTAGTTTTCTTTAACTTCATACTCTTTTTTGTAAAATTCCGTAATGTGAACTTCAAAAAAGTACAGAATTAAGGTTCTGTAATTTTCACTTCACGGTTTATTGTAGATGTGCTCATGCAATTTGACACTTATCCATTAGCGCTATATCACTTGACTACTGGTTGTTATTAGTACCTTTTCTTGTCAGTTCGTTCAATTATACACTATTTGACATAAGAATGAACTGCTGAAGTTCGTGTTATAAGACTAACTGTGATTGAATGTAACCTATGCTTAGTATTTTGGTCTATTTTTCCCAGTTTAAATCAATACATATTCAATAAACCAGTTTTGTATAGCTTTAAGTTGATTTTGTATGCATTGTGACTTTGAACTATGAGGAGTTGTCAAATTAACGTGGGGGGGGGGTTAAAATTGTAGAAATATCACTAAAAAATTAATTTATTTCGCTAATTCAGCTACAATTTAAAACAACAATGTTTTGCGCCTTTTAATAAGTCGATCAGATTGAAAGGATTAATTTTGATTTTTTTTTGAGCGTTTTTATCAGTGTATCTACCCGGGACAGGATTTCCCGGGATCCCGGGAATTTCGTTTCCCGGGTTTATCCGGGAAATCCCGGGACTTCAATCCCGGGTCCCGTCCCGGTTTCGTCCCGCAACTACCCGGGATCCCCCGCTCATCACAATTGCAATGTGCAAATAACGATTTTTCCAAAAACGCCATTTTCTAAGCATTGGAATCTTTTTAAAATAAGAAAATTCATTAAAAAACGACAATACGCAATATTCGAAGAGTGTGCGTTTGCGCGCGCGGTGTTTGCAGACTTTTTCCCGGGATTGTCCCGGGTTTCCCGGGAATTTCCCGGGAAATTAAGTTTCAATGAGTCCCGGGTCCCGGGAAAATTTTCCCGGGAACCCGGCCATTCCCGGGAAACTTCGTCCCTGGTTTTTATCAGACCTGATAAGTTATAAAAAAAACTATATTGCTTTGATTTTGACACTAATCACTAAAAAATAATTTTCTTAATTGGGTACTTTTGAAAAAGTAATGAGAGAAAAACAAGCGGTGTACCATTTTTTGACAAAAGCCAGATGATGTAATACTCGTCATGAACTTGAAAAATGATTTCCGTGGATAATTGATATATAGAGTAACCCAGAAAAATATATTCTGATTTATTTCTTAAAGATTGAACAATAACAATTAATGGTTTATATAAGAGATTTAACATTTACGGACGATAATTTTGAACTACAACTGTTAGCCGCAGAAAGTAAGAAAATGTTAAACCGTAGATATTTGAAATCATTTTTTTTTAATTTTCGATATACACACAAGAACATATAGCAATAAGAATTTTACTATTTTTAAAGATATTTGCAAACCTAGAAGCTTTATGTTTTTTCTATTGTTTTTTTTAAATACAGATCGCAAGATATTTCACCCCAACAATTTATTTTCTCACCAATCAAATTCATATATTTCTGTCAGCGTCGTCGAATGAAATATGGGTTTCTTATTTTATGCGTTTTGGCTTCATCGTTTTATAGAATTACACGATCTTGCGATCTTATTACACGATCTTATATGTCTAAGAAACAAGGCCCCCGATTTTTTATTCATCTGGATCATATTTTGAGTTCAGGTGTTATATTAATTATCATACATCTCATGGGTGTGTAAATATGTTACTACATTTTTTGGAATAGTTTTCGAACGTGATTGGAATTTTCTCAAGATATATGTGCAATATATTGCACAGATGTTAGATGTTTTTAAACAAGATGCCTTGCATAAACAAAAAATCCATTAAAACCCAATTATGCCAAGACAGTTAATCCATTAGCAAGTGCGGTTAACACATCAAGGAAATACTGCAGCCAAGAAAGCTTTCAACTTATTCAAAAACCAACATGTGCTACTCATTTTCTTTATGCTTGCATATCGTACTTATTGATTTTTATTTCATTTCAATTTTCCTTTAAGCCTACAGAAATATAAAAACAAAATAATATTGAACTCATTAAAGCTTTGATTCTTTTATTGTTTTGGAATCAAATAAATTTGAGCAGAATTTTCCAGTCAACATTGAATTTCCAGATAAAAAGAAATGCTTAAATTTTTTAACTTAGGAACCCTTCTATCATGGGAAGCTATATGCGGGTGTTTTTGATACTCACTACTCTTCTGGTTATCAACATGTGCGACGAACGATTTCGTCGTCATATTAAGCTAAGAACCATTGGCAATAAGACGGTAAATTCAAACTTCAACAACAAATAACATAGTCTGCATTGTTTTAGTTTCAATATTTTGATACGTTTGGCACTATGCCAATGCATATCAATTTGAAGGTTTCCAATTTCCGATCAAGCCCGGAGAAGGAGAGCTTCTCGATGGCGATGGTTGTATTCTCTTATGTAGCGTTGAGCTGCATTTGCATGTAAGTTTTATTGGTTGAATTGTAGTATTAAAAAAAAAAGTAATTTAGTCCTCTACTTGGATTTCTGATGGGTTGTTTCTGCTGTGGATGGAATGAATCGGAAATTTTCGAATCTTGTTTTGGCTCTCACTACGACGACGAGAGCGATTTTTTTATTGACGACGATTCTGAGTTCGAAGATGAAGAAATCATCGATATATCGAAAGTAGTTTAAGTATGAAATACACGTCATTAAATCGATATTTTTTTTATTTTCGACATTTATCTTTGTAATTTCTGCAACTTGGAGTTTTAGGCAGCAAAAATCGAAATAAAGCATCGTTAATATTAATTGCCTACGCAGAAAATTGGTAACGCGAACAACAATTTATTGAAGTACTATAATTTAAAAATTTCTCAAGCGCTTAAAAATGTGTAGAAGAGTGTTTTTTGCCTTTATGGAAAGTGTTCTAGAAAGCGAATAAAATACTGTCTAAACAAAGTTAGAATTATACTTCTATGTTATATATGTCATATAGTCGGCGTCCGGCGACTGCTGTACGCGGGAAAACAGTATACTGAAATATAATTTTAAAATATATGTTCAAAAGAGAAAGTTTCCTCCTGTATCGTCCCACATCAAACAAGATAAACTATGCTTTTTTTGATGTTATCGAGACAATAATATTCTAATAATAATTATTATACATATATAATAATTTTAATATTTCATTGGAAAAATTATTTTACTTATGAGCAATCCATTCCGTTTGATTGAACTCAAATAACATATTGAAACTTCAAGTGAAACGGTTTATGTAATAATTTAAACTTTATTGCAAGATTAATAGCCTGGAGGGGTACGAGGCGTTGGGCAATGAGCGCAGTCTCCATTTGGTCCCTTAGATCCAAGAGGTCCCTGAACTCCTTGTTCTCCCTTCCGTCCAGAACGTCCTTTGCGCCCTGGATCTCCTCGTGGTCCTTGTGGTCCTGGAATTGTATTTCCACGGCGTCCCTTTGGCCCGCGTTCTCCTTTGCGTCCTTGAGGTCCTGGTGCTCCAACTGGTCCTGGTGGGCCGTTGATCTAAATTGAATTCAGTGTAATTTTTGTTTTCCTAGAATTTCTTCTTACGTTAATAACACGTCCGTCTTCTCCGCGTTTTCCTGGTGGTCCTTGTGGTCCTGGTTCCCCTTGAAGTCCAGCTGGTCCAACCATTCCTGGTTCACCGCGTCTTCCATCGATACCAGCAAGTCCTGGAGATCCACGTGGTCCTGGTGGTCCCTTACGTCCTGCGGCTCCTTGTGGACCTTGTGGTCCAGGTGGGCATATTATACATGGCTCGCTCTGGAGTCCATCGGATGGCGAAACTCCACCGTCTTTGCCGTTCTTGGCGTCAGCTCCTTGCTCTCCATCCTTTCCTGGATTGCCGTCATCTCCCGGAGGTCCTGGTGGTCCAGCTGGTCCTTGCTGGCATGTGCAGCATTGCGGGGCAGGTTCAGCATTAACGACAGGTCCGTATCCATTATTGGATGGTTCAGGAGCAGGTGCGTTGTACGGTTGGTCAGAAGCTGGTGCTCCATAGTCTCCATTTCCTGCACCTCCTCCAACTCCGCTATCTGGAACCCATTGTCCGAAAAGCCATCCTCTTTTTGCACGCCCTTGTGGAGCGGTTTGGTGAAGGGAAATGAGCATATCACGGGATCTGATTTTGCAGAAATCAGTTTCGAAAACGATTTCCTGTTGCAAGGCTTGCACATAGCTGTACAAGAGTGGAAGAGTGACGATAGAAGTCACAACTGCTACACAAGCAACAACAGTTGCTAAAAAAGCAACGTTTCGCATTTGGCTGAAATTGAGATTATTATTATGAAGGGTTAAAGAACTTACCGATGTTGGTCGGTTTCCTTTCCCTCCATTGTCAAATGGATGACATTGGCTGGATATTAGCTGCCTTTTATATCCATTGCGACAGGTTTCAAGGAGGGCCACGCCTGAAACCCGAAATTTAGGACGCAACATTGATATGCAAATTCCATTGATAATGCACTGTCGATATAATTGCATATCTCAGCATGCATAATCGGCCACTCCTTTTTGATGCGCGCGCAATCTCATTTTTTGTTTTTGGCCTTTGAAAATCAGGTTGATATGAAATGTTGAATGACGGATCATACGAAAGCAGACTTTAATGAAATTCATGCAATTATTTATCAAAATAATAATGTTAAGAGCTTGCAGAATGATGGAAAGAATAAATAAAACATTGAAGGTGAATTATCCATAACCGCATCCGCATCCGCAGCCACAGCATGGCATGGCAGTTGGAGCTGGAGCCATAGTTCCGCATCCGCAGCAGCACCCGCATCCATAGTATCTCTTTGCTCGAATTACAACACCAGATGATTGGCCTTCAGAAAAGTCAATGGAGCTTTGATCATCAGTTGGATCATTTTGCAACAAAGCTAAGCTTGTTTCTTCCATAGGCTTACTTTCTCTAGCGGGATCAGATTGCTCCTTAATAATATCAAAAATTAAATGTGTTATTCGGCTAACTTTCTTACCGGAGCATTATTGCTAACAATTCCAGAAATGCTGTCGAAAATGCTAGCTTGAACAGCGCTGAAGAAGAGAGCGAGAATGAGAGCAGAATGCATCACTTGAAATGGTCAAACGAAATTTGTTTGTTGTAAAACAGATCTCTGAGCACCATTTTATAGTCTTGAGCAAGCTCATTCATATTCACATTGTATTTGCACATGTGTTTTGTTTCGCCGGTACCCTTGAAAAAAGGCAGCACGATGTTTATTTTACAATAACACGTAATAACAAATTAACATAATTTATACGATTCAGGCTGCATTCAATTTTGCAGTAGTCTCGTCGATGAATAGCCTTTTCAGCTCTTGTAGACATTGACGATATTTCAAATTTGTGCGAAAATGAAGAAGATCATTTGAGGGCGGATGTGATTGATGGAGCATAAACGACGTTGGTGTCACTTTGAAAGTGTAACTAAACAAATTGATAATAATTGAAATATGAGATCCTTAATCACTTTTCAGCTCGTAGTTTTATTATGTGTGTTACTTTATTCCATCCAAAGCCTCCAAACCGCTCATCATAATGTGGAACAGATTGACGGTTAATAATAATGTAAGGCTCATAATTTTTCTTCCATTCGATCTAAAATATCGGTCATTTTATAAGTTCTAAAAAATAATGTACCGTATAACTTTCATTTGCATATAACCATTCTTCAACCTTTGTTGCTCTATGAGCTGCTGGCCAAATATTTTCGCGAAATATACGTATCTGTATTGTTCTAATTGGTAATAATTTCAACGATACCGCTCACTTTTTTATTTTCCAACATACGTTTAACATCGTTCTTGTCTTTAGGGAATATTGCTTTATCCATATCATATGTGTCTTCTGTTAGTTCAAACGCAGGAATAACAATTATTTCTTTTTCCTGAAGCTGAGAACTTGCTTCTTCTAATTGTTGCAAATCTAAACTATTAATTTCTGAAATGTTGATAGGCTTTTTGTACCTCCGAATATAAGAAAATCAGCATCAGTTAGAACGATTTTCAAACTTTTTGAGTACTGAATTGCAACGTTTCGAAGAAAATTTATGGGGTATGTTCTCTAAAATTAGCGCATTGCTATAATATCATTAACTATTTCAAATTTTTACATCTACAGTTGGTTTGAAAACCAAATGAAGAGCGATATCTGTTCGGTTGAGCTGCTCAATTGACTTCACGACGTTATACTATAACAAAAATAAAAATATCTGAATTGTCAGCTCATTTTTTACTAATTCTTCATCTGTTCCATAAACAGCTGCAGACACTGGATATTTCCAATATTTCAAACTTCTAATAATGTTATTTAAACGATCTGCTGAAAGTTGTACAACTAATCCTAATCGATTGGAACCATTCTGAAAATTTAGTTTTTGAACGCATTCATCGAGCCAATTAACTAACAGATGAACCAAGAACATTGGGAAATACTCGAAAATGCTTATGTGGTATGAAAGTTCCACAAAACGACGATTCAAGTAACGATTTCGGCTGCAAATATTCGCATTGATCAATTATTGAATTGCTCAATCTAACCTCAGGTTTCATTCCATTTCTAGTAAATTTCAACATATCGCCGTTGAGGTGCTCCATATGACATCGTAAATTTGTATATTCCTCACTCAATAATGGGACTACCGCTTTGGTTTTTGAATTAAAGTGAACCAGCTGTAATTCAGTTCTTATTTATTTGTTTTCAGTGTTAATTCACTTTTGGCTCGTTTAGACAGAACTTGTGAGGAGAAGCAGTTATTCCAATCTGATAATTGTAACCACATCCAAGTTTTAATACCCAAGACGGATTTTGAAGGAACACCGAATTGAAAATATCCTGAAAATGTTCGGTTAAAAATTAATTACTTAATATTGCTCACTTGATCAGCAAGAATAGCGGGACCATGAATTCGCAATTGTTCTTCAGTGGCCTTCCTCCACAATGCATTCCAATTAGTCGAATTTCTTAACTTTTCGAGATCGATAAGAACAACACCGGTGTTGTATCCCTTTCCCTATATTTTCAAATTAAATTTAAAAAATAAGAATTATTCTAACGAATGCTGGCCAAACAAAACGTTTTGCCTGCGTATTGAGATAATACAGTGACAAATTTTCGCTAGCTGCAAATATTGTCTTCGCTGTGAACCGATGAAAATTTCTCCATAGCTCCATAATGTCTGTTTTGAGCAGAATGTCGGTGTCCATTAATATCACCTGCAAACCCATTTTTTATATTATAAATGTTACTTGAATCATTTTCTTAATTTATAAAGTTTTTGAATCGGTTTCTTTATTTTTCACTTGTTCCTTTTTTTTATTGAAAACAACCAATTTCATAAAATCGCCATTTTTCTTTGTTCTTTTCTACTTCTCTGGTATCTTTTTGTCTCTAGTCAAGCGCATACACTTTTTCGTGTATTCGTCTCTGTGTCCATCGTTGCCTTTTTTCGCTTGTTTGCAGCGTTTGGTTGCACAACATAACGAACATGCATGGTGCTGCTATGTGATCAGGTGGCCGAGTGGTTAAGGCGATGGACTGCTAATCCATTGGGATTTTCCCGCGTGAGTTCGAATCTCATCCTGATCGAAACTTTTTTTGTTTTTGTCCTCATCAGTTTTGCACAAACGCGAAAGAATTCGACAACGAATTGATGAAATTTTTTGTTCAATTTCATCGAAAGAAACAAAACGAATGATTCAAGTAAATAATTTAAACAGATTATGTTTAAACTGAATTTCCCAACCTTTTTTACTGATTTATGTATAATATCGGGAAGCAATATTTTCGCAAGGCCGTAAACTCCTGCATAATGCTCCGTTGGAATCCAGCTAACTTTTTTGAGGAATGGGTCGAGGTCGTAAAGTGTGAAAGTCACTGAAAAATAATAAAAAATGAGCATATAAACCATAAATAAACCTCTTGTGAGATTCCAAGTTTTGAGAAGTGTCTCATAGTCATTTATCGCATCGCTGGTGACAATTAAATGAAGATCAAGTGCTTCCGATGTATAAGAAATAAGGGTCTTAAGATGTGTGAGGAACCATAGACGAGTCCATGTCTTTCCGCCGAGATAGTAAGCAATACTGATATTTTTCTTAAGAAAAATAGAAAAAAAATTAATTATTTCTGAAAACGTCGGTTTTTAACTCACTGTGAGATACTCTCCTGGCTGTTCTCGTTCCTGCGATCTGATCAAGTGTTTAACAGTTATAGCAACTGAAATTCAGATGAGCTTTATTTTTGAAAACTTTTGTTACGGTGTATATACATCCCGACGAAAAGAAGGATCACGAACATGCATGAGTAGCATCCTTTTGTTGTCATACCAAGCCTAAAATTAGAATGTTTTAATGCCTAGTTTCAAACGTGAAAATGGGGGATTGTTTGATTAGGTTTTATTCACTCTTTTCGAATAGCTCGCTCTCTCTCAAACGGGTCTGAGCTGGAGCACAATGGTGTGAAGAACACATAAAGCGGGTGGAATTGAATTTAATGAGAATCAGTGACGTGCGCCATTCATACTAAAATGATGCTTTCAACCAGAAGAACGAGCATATTTTTCACCATTTAGATGAATTGACTGAGATAAAAATTATAATTGTTAGAAATATTTTAACCAAGATATCTACGTTTACTTTTGCATGAAAATAATACGGGGTAGAAGAAAAAATTCTCTGAAAAAAAAAACATGGTAGATGAATCAAATATTAAACGAAATCGAAGCTAATGACAAATCGGCATTCGGCTGAACGAACTCACGAGGTGTCTCGCCACAAAAATAAAAACGAAGAATGACCCAAACTCAGCGTTTCTCGTTCTAATTTAATTTTTTTCTTTTTTTTCTTCTAATGTATTTTTGTTTCTTTTTTCAACTTGTTTTGAAAAAAAATATGGAAACATATAATAGGACAAAACAAAATAAAAATGCCGCATAAAAGTATATTGCAATGTTGGTGATCAAATTAGAGCGTGAAAATAAGATTTGAGAAATAAATATGCGGCGAGAAAGGTTTTATTGAATAAGGCCGCCGCAAAAATAATGAATGCTAAAAAATCATGCAAAAAATGTTTATGTTTGGCATTTTAACGCTTGCAAAGTTATAAAATCTCTCTAGATAGTTTATCAAAATCACTTTCGCTGGAGGTCAGCTATTTATGATTTTTATCAATACAAAAAGATAAAAGAGTATATCATTGTATAAGTAAAGGTTTTAAGCTGCTCAGGCTGCTAAAATCAGTATAAAAAATCATTTGCTTAAAGCGAAAATTTTAATTTTCAGTCTTGAATTTATGTGAGAGCTGACACTGCTCAATACCACATTTTTGCGAGGCAATTATGCATGGAAATCTATTCGATATATCCAATAATAACAAGAAAAGCAAGCTAAGCTTTTTACATACGGAAATATGCAAATCCTTCTTGTAAACTTGGATTTGTGAAAATTGAATTTATTAATCAAATATTTGAGGAAGTAGCACTTTCGAACTTAATTAGAACTTTTTAGCAAGCTATTCATAATATATTATATTCTTCGAAAAAGAAACTTAATTCAATATGAGTTTTATCACTGTCTATAAAATTTCTTATTACAATACTCTTTTTTATGGTGTTTTCCGCTAGTTTAGAAAAAAATTGGTTGCGTTAACGTTTCTGGTGAAGCAAATTGTTAGATTTCCGTATGTGGAATAAGGCATTTGCCAAAATTGGGCAAAGTGAGTTAAGAAAATAACAAACACGTCAAGCCGGATTTGTCTCTTGACCATGTCTCCGCCAAGCAGCTTGTCATCATTTTATTGCCAGACTCATCATGATTCCCTATGCACATTTCTTAGAAGACACATTTTATTTACTTCGACGTTTCATTTCAACAAAAAGAAATTGAGAAATTCAATAAACAACTGTACACATTATTTACAAATCAAGCATTTATAATCAGGGCTCATATCCGGTATTTTCATGAGACGGCTCATCAAACTATCTCCATGGAGCTACATTTTCATATTCGCGTTTGAAATTGAATCCTCGAATCGTCTGAAACTAATCGAATAAAATCATTTTCAAATATTGCCCGACTAACCAAGTCCTCTGAAATTATTTCGCATGCAACCAAGCAATACACCGTCTATAATTGGATTAATTACAGTATCGTTTAATGGGTTGCATGATACTTACCAAATAACCAACAAAAGCAATATATAACAATGTTGGGGGCACCAATCCAATGATCACATACCATTGTGACCCAATGACTGAAGAAACATATTCACAAATAAAGTAAACGTTGATTGATAGGATGACTGCGGAAGCCGAAAGTGCAAACAGTTGAAATGATCTGAACAATCCGAATATTTCGAAATTTTGTGTTTTAAACCTTGAACTGCGGAAATCATGCATGATCTTACTGCTTGACGTGAACGTTATGATCGGAATTAAAGCAAACGGCAATTGGATCATTTGAACGCAATTCAACAAATCATTCATTCCTGTGTACATTACAAATTTATCAATTGAATTATTTGAATGTACCTGTCAGATTCTTAACGCCGTGTGTATAAAAAGTTAAGATAAGAGTTGGAATGATGGCGATAGATCGTGTGATAAGTATCCTTTGCCATTTCGGAAGGACTAAATTTAAAAATCCTTCCATCACAAATTGTCCAGTGTATGTTCCAGTCATTGTGGAGCTTTGTCCAGCGGCAAAAATTCCAACAGCCCACACAAACATGGCAGCTAAACCAAATTCACATCCCAGGTAAATTCCACCCTAAAATAATTCATCAAATATTGAGTTCTGCTTCGCACGCATATCCTACTTTATAAATATCAACTTCAACAGGATTCGTGTTATTCGGAAAAGCTAATGGATCCGGAATTCCGTGCTGGGAAATGCACATCTCGCGAACATCAGCATTTGTTTTTCCATATAAACCGTGTGCAAAAACGGCCACAACGAAGAGATTGATAAAGAAACTTGCTGACAACGCGACTGCTGACTCAATTACGTAGTATTTATTTGCCTCTTCAACACAGCTTCGTGATTTGCGGTTGATTCTGCGCGACTTAAAAAAACAGCAATTTAATTTTTTTTTTTGTTGATTCGATGTTTTCGAGACAGAATCGTGTATAAGAACATGTTTTTGTTGCTTTATTAATTTATCTGCAGTGTTCCGAACGAACTGCTTATGACAAAAATCTAACCTTCACCAGCGCCGAATGAAGATATAAATTATGCGGCATGATGACGGCGCCAACTGCGGAAATCGCTTGCATGAATTCTTCTTTTCCACATCCGCTACACCAAGGAATCACAGTTCCACTAATGATCGCTGGTAGACTTGGTTTAACGACGACGAACTGAACTCAGCGCAACAAATTTCAATAGTTCCTTTTCTGCATTGAAAACCTCGTATCCAAATGAAGCAGCCATAATTGTAATCAAGAGACCAAAAAACATTTCCAATTTTCGAACACCGCATCGATCGATAAACAAAAATGTAAAGGTATCAAGAACCGTTATGAGGACACCAACGAACAGTGGAATTCTGAACAATGGCGTTATTCAAAAAGAAATATGGCAAAAAGGAACTAACGATCCTCTAGATAACAAATAAAACGCAATGGCAGTTCCGATAACTTCTTGCATGTCACTGCAGATGATGGCAATCTCAATCATAACCCACAAGATGATACGAGGAATTTTTGGATAGAAATGGAATGCGATCTAAACGTGTCGAATTAAAACGGTGAGAATTTTGTTCACACTTCTGCCATATGCTTCCCACTGACGACTCCAAGCCGAGCTGACAATCTTTGCAGCAACATTCCAATAATATGAGCCCACATAAGCACCCATAAAAGCTAAAAAAATTAAACGTTGTTCGGAAAATGAAAGATAAATTTTTTACTCGATATTGCGCTTTGGCACCGGATTGTAGATCACTTTCGATATTTCCTGGATCCAAATACGCAATGCTCATTAAAAATCCTGGCCCGGTAAATGCCCATAGCGTTTTGAAAGAAAACGCGCGATTCTAAATGGCATATAAATAAATCAATATAACTTCAGAATCAACTAACCAAATCTTGCGGGACTTCAACAGTTTCTGGAAAATCATCGGCATTAATATCGTCACTCACAAGACGACTTTCAGCTCGTTGCCTTCTTTCCTCATTGTTTTGCACGGAATTACTAACCAGTACGTCACCCATGCTGAAAAGAAAAAAACGAATAAGAATAACGATCGAAAACAACAGTGTTGACGCAACGAATGGTCGACATAGGCACAAAATAAAATCGAAGTACGCTCCAACTATGGCAACGATGGAAAATATTATTATTTTTTTACATTTATTGACAAAAAATCTATGAGTCGAAAGGTTTTTGTTCAAACACGCGGTTGGCCGTGGGCATCCATCTATTTCTTTGCCCCGCTTTCTCTAGGAAAACAACAATGATAAGAAAATGGTGAACAAGCTGCCCATGTTTCTATTTATATATATATATAATTATTCAATGAGTGAAAAACTCTTTTGGTTTGCAAAATGAAATAAATGCATTTTTATTCTCTACACGAAGATTAAACAATACAGATACTACAATTCTATTGAAATCAAAGTTAGTATAAAATAATACTTTAAAATATACGGAATTAATCAAAATACAATTCATAATTACTTCAAACAGTCGTTTTAAATTATTACTGGGGTGGTTTGTAACCCAAGTTCATTCGAAGTTGCTCGAAGAAGATAAAAGTGAGAACGGTGTGAGGAGCAAGACGAGCCCACGCTGGAATGAATCCTTTGAAGAATCCCATTGGCCCTAATTTGGCGGTGAATAAGAAGCAGTCCATTATTCCTTTGAACTCTCCAGGAGCGGCATTCATCATTCTAGTCTTCATGACATCAAGTGGCTGAGTGAGAACCGTTGCAGCACTGGCCTGAAAGGTTAAACGCTGTGTTGGTTAGGTTGCAACTCTAATTCACTTACAGCACTAATCGAGCTGGCAAAATGTGTCGTGAGGTTGTCTTCAGCGATTCCGCTTGAAATCAAGGTTTGCTTGATTTGATCGTAGAAGGAAAGTTGTCCAATGGTCATTAAAATAGCACGAGAAGTGGCCATTGTTGCTCCTGAAAGTAAACAATGCAAAAAATACAGAATCTCCAGTATTACAAACCATTAAACATTTTGAAAAAGCCTTCCTCACGGGTAATTCTAATAAGTCCATCAAGTGCATGCTTGTAATTTCTTCTCTCAGCCTTTGGAAGCTTAACGAACAAACATTAAGGGCATTACAATATAGTTTGTTAACCTTCGAATCATTTTGCATGCGAACGTTGACCAAATCCGCTGGAGTTCCGACCATTCCACCGCAGGCTCCGGCAAATCCAGCAAGAAGTGCTTTCTGATAAAATGGCAAAGGCTGATCTGAATAATATTGTTTTCTGAAACGCTTATAAATGAAACAAGTTTACCTTGTGGCAAACCCTTCTTCACAGTTTCGTATATTCCGAAACGTGTTGTCGAATATGTCAATTGTCTCAAAATTGAAGCCGACACTCCGTTGTAGAATGCGAAAAATCCATCATTCTTGTAAATTTTAAGCGAAAGCTGACCAATTGACATTTTTCCTTGCTGCTGTGTTTGCAGTTGAACCTGAAATTCAAGGCGTTATTATGAAGAAGAAAATTCAAAACTACTTTTAAAAGATCCAATGGATGAGTGCAGCAAGCAGCCATTGCTCCAGCAACTCCACCAAAATACCATCTTCCGATTCTCTTTGTTTTGTCTTCAGCCATCTAAAATAATTATTAACAATATTATAAAAGGAAAAAAATAATAAAGATAGCGTATCGGTAATATACCAAATTCAAACAAAACAATAAGAAAGACATTAGATCAGTCACGCATTTATTTACAAATAAATAAAACAATTGTTGATAATTCTGAGGATCATTCTTCTCCGTCGTAGTAATTCTGCCAAAAAACGATGACGACCGCTGTCATCACAAGTATCCAACAGAAATCACGCTGCCCATAAGACATAGCCCATTTTTGCAAATGAGACATCAATCTCTCAAGGTATCTACGCTTCGGCTTTGGAGATTCTTTGACAAGCAATCTGGATTGTTCGAGATAAGCGATCAAAGCTGTGTTCTCTTTGTTGAACTCTGACATGTAAGTTTCTGCGTATGTTCTCGACCAAACTGCCGAGCTGAATAAATTGACGTTAATCTCTGGAATCAATAATTTAGTCTTACTTTGTTTTTTTCGTAGAAAACTTGTAAACAAAAAGATGTGCACGAATAAAATTCATTTGTTTGTCCTTATTCTTAAATGGGTAGTTTGAAAGAAGATTGACAACTTCTGGCGTGTTTTCAAGCAAATGATACATCAATGACATAAAGAACGGATTCTGCTGATAGGTTCCTTGAGCTGCCCACGACATCTGCCAATCCAAACGTGGGTGATAAAATGCCAAGAATGGTGGAAATTGGAAAATATTCCCAGGTTTTGCGTAAAACTCGATCTCCTTCCACGTGTCGTTCAAAGAATTGGTTCCTTCAATGATGATCTCATAGCGAACGTCGAATTTTCCATGCCTAAAATAACTTGCTGGTAAACTACAAAACAAAATTTTCAATTTTCGTGATTTTTTTTTAATTAGCGTCACATCGAATCAATATACGAATATAATTCTGGCATAAGCCTTTGTTATAGTCGTTCTCGCAATCTCTCTATTTCGCATTTTAAAGTTCATCTCGATAATTTATAATTTCAATAAAATTAAATGTAAGAGCATGTAAATATGAAGGAAAATTTAAAAACCTTAGAAATGCAAGGAAATTACAAAATTCTGTCAGAAAAATAAACTATTTACTATAAATAAACTGTTTTATTTAAACTAACGAAATTTACATTTGCATAGTGTAAGCTTTCGGAAAATCCCACAAAAACTACTTTACCTGCGTTTGTGACCGTATTGGTTAGCGAGGTTCCACTCTTGCATTGTACGCGCATTTTTCACAATGTTCGAATAAGGCCTTAAATGAAACTCGAAGGATTTGTTGAGCGGAGACAACTGAATCATGCCGTAAAACACAAATGTTCCGATTGCGAATGTGGAAAACAAGAGATGGAAGAAGTTTGAGACTGAGCGATCGTCTTGAAGAATTCTGAACCTAGTCATGCTTTGGGCTGAACCTCGAACTTACGAGATTACCTCACGACAGCAGTAATAACCGTGAACAAAAACAGCAAGAAAACAGCCATTAAAATAAGCGGAATGTAGAAATCTAGGAAACCGTTGAGCGATTTGAGCGAGACACCTAGATTACTTAGCTTCTTTTCAACTGATTATTTAACTATACCAAAATTGCCGCTGTTATCCGACGGAATGAAATCGAAAAGAAACAGAAACAGTCCTACAGATACAGCTCCAAGCGAAATCAGCTCAAATAATGGATCCTGCGGTCGAACTTCCAACAGAGGGATAAGAAGGACGATCGCGTTGAATGGATAGAAACCGTAGTTGCCAAATATCACCATGAATACAAATGCGATAAGCTACAAAAAAGAAACTTGTGTTTGTATATGAAATCTGTTCTTACGTAGCACATGAAGAGTCCCCATCGCAATGGTCGCAGTGGAATGAGCATAAATGGTGGCGCCAAAAGTTCAAATGACAGTGAGAGAACCGACAGGAACATCTTTGATAGGCTTGGAAGGCTGTGAGCCAAAAAAGACATTGTGCTTGGTAGAGGTTGAGTCTCGAATTGGCGATTGAACGCTTTGAAATCAAAGTAATCTGCCTCGCTTGTTTGATATTTAGTTGCTCCAATGGAGAAGATCAATCTCATTCCCAGTGTGAGTAATCCATATAGTGGAATCTGCATATTCGTGTAATAGGTTGACAAAGAAACTGTAATTGAACAAACCGAATCTGCCGGGCCATCTTTGAACCACGCGAGAATGGCCACGTACGAGGTTGTTTCGAGCAATAAACTGTCCCATTGATATCCCATGAACACATCGCCGCCCTGAGAAGAATAATGTGTTAGGAAGAATAACAATTTTTGCGGTATTGTGAGAATAGATGAAAATTAAAAATTCGGATATATTTTGGTAACGATTCTATTTCAGCTAATTCGATGACAACAAAATTGTCATACCACAACCCAAAGTTTAAGAAAATAGCGATGTTGTAATAAAATAGTTATCAATGTAAGATTGAGAGAAAATTTCGTGGAAAATTGTGTGTCTTATCAACTAAGATAGTGAGATTTGAAGTGGTCATAAACAAGTATTTCAAAATGGTTGAAAAACGGAAATATTGTGTTTCATAGTTAAAAGTTAAGGATTCACATTGCGAAAAAATTTGGAGAAAAAGAACAAAAAGCGAATTTACTGTGACTAAATTTTTATTCGAAATAGGTCAAGAGGATTATGCACTTCTTCCAAACAAGTAGTTTTTATCATAGAAAACACGTTACCTGATTAATTGCTGAATAGAGCATAAACAACGCCATGAACATCGGCAGGTTGCGCATTTTGGGAATAAATGCAAGAAGAACACAAATGCATATTCCAAGGGCTGCCGTGAATTGAAGAGCTCCGACTGGCGACAGTGACAATTTTCGAGAAAAAATTTGAAGAAGTGGCAGTCGGCATTGCAATGGCGAAGGGCTGTCTGGAAACATTATATTGCTTTATCGATCAAATTCGTCAATGAAACCAATAAACACTGATAAAAGGAATACTCGTACACAGCACTCGACTTTAGAACTGTTATAAAAAATGCTTGTAGTGTTGAAATGCACGGTTTAAGAGGAATTCTAATGAAGCATAACATAGTTTGCGGCAATGAGGGCATACCCCAACAATGTTGTAGACGCGAATTTCTCAACGAGACGCAGAGCGCAAAAGTGGGGAAATCGCACGCAAACCGAGACTAAAGGCAGAAACAACAAGAATTGACTCTCTGAGATATAGTTCAACAACACACGTACAATCTGTTCATTGAAATAATCGAGTTCACTCACCGCAATTTAATTTTGGAGCAATGGGAACGAGACCGTGATCACCATATAATCCGGGAATTTGCCAGAAAATTGAGGAAAATGCGGCAAGGAGCACGAATGTGTGCCCGACGAGCACCCATTTCTTCACAATATCGGTATTGTAAACGTCCATAAACACTGAAAAAAAAATAAAGAATGTTAGTTGAGCAATGAAGGGAAGAAGGAATGAACATAAGATGACTCAATGGGTCGATCGAATGAATGAATGAATGTGCAAAAGGGAGGACCACACATCGACAGTTTCGCGCGCGAACCATGTTGTTCGTTCGTTTTTTTTCGCGCGCCTAACTATGATCATTAACGCGCATCTCATACATTTGGTAGTATGTCTTGGATAAAACGTCTGATTTTGGTGATGATTTTACATATTGGTGTTTCTCAGAGTAACTTCAATAGGCGAATATTTCGAATGCCCATAAACTGGCAATATTTTGGATAGATTCCCGATTACGAAATACAAAAGTGGTGAAATAATATACTTAAATTGAGCAAAATAATTTATCAAAAGTTTAATAATGTATATAATAAACCAGTAACACAAATTCAACTCAAAACTGATTAAGAACAAGTTTTGAAAAATTAATAAAATATTTCGGCCATTATTGGCAGAATGACAGCGGAGTTGCTCGATCCCTTGACGCCTTTGCCATTTCCTTCCGAGTCATAATGGGAAAACATGAACTTTGCGTTTTTAAAGGATTTTGCCGTAATTGCAATGAGATTGTTTTTCAAAACCGAATATTGTACGTGTGCAGCATTCTGCATTGGCCCCGACATTTCGGAATACTTTTTCAACGAGCCTAGCAGAAAATAGTTTGCTGCAAAAGATGCTCCAACTTTATCGGATTCATGGAAGCCCAACCTTCCGTAATTCTGAAATATTCCGATCAAAATGGTTTGCTTAATGAATTCTTACTGGATTTGTATCCAATGTCGACAGAATCGTTTTAAGATGTTCTGAGTTTGGCTCAAACTGGCCCAAAATTAATGGAGTAAATTTATCTGTTGGAGATAACGTGTCCAATTTCTGTAATGTAATAATAAAATTTTTTAAAAATGTAAAAATCACCAATAGCTCATCTTTTATTTGACGCAATTCTCTAAGTTCCGTCTCATAAAGGATTAGATCTTTATCTGATTTTGTTATTGCGCTCATCACAGCAGCAACATCCTCCAAAAGCGAAACTAATTCCAATGAAGGCGAATTTTTGTTGGTGTTTCCTTTTCCAAAAATTCCTGTTCCTGTCCCTATCCATGTATAGTTAGATTTTCTCGAATTCCTCAACGTCTCTGCCGCAATTATGTCAAGTTTCGAATAAATTTCAGCTAGGAACTTATCGTTCGCTCTTTCCTGAGATAAAAAAATTTGTTTGAATACCAGCCACTCATAATTACATTATTCAAAGCTTTCACCAATTGGAAAAGCATTGGCTGTTGAATTTTATCTAGCGCATAATCTCCATTAGATATTGCTGAAGCTCCTTCATTAAGTTCGTTGATTTTATTTATCCATGACACCAAAGCCTGAAGATTTTTAATAATTGATGTTTAATAAATTTATTCACATTTTCTACAGTGTTCCTATCAATTTTCAAAATAGCAATCAGTGGGAAAACTTGTTCGTCCACCAACTCTAACTGACTGCCAAATTTAGTTGAGATAGAAAGAGAATCATATTTGTCGTCAAAAACTCCATTTCTCAATCCAGAATATTTCGAGATTCCTTCAATTTGAAGGCTGTGAAGGGTTGATGCTAGTGCTGCCTTTCCCATGTCTTGATAGAATTTCGGAAGATTCTGAAATTTGTCAAATTTAAAATCTGTAAATATGAAAATAAAACCTTCTCCTTGAGCTTATAAATATCATCAAAGATTTTGGAGAATTGCTCCGAATAAATAGAGAATTTTGCAATTGCATCGTCGTAATCGCCAAAAGTCTGAATAATTCTTAATAAAATTATCTAGTAGTTCCAAATTCATACCGAATTTTGATCGTATGGGAGGTTTATGGCCTCTTGAAAACCATCGACGATATTCAAAATGTTCTCGGATCCATTTCCTTAATTAAAACTGTTTATAAAATAGTCTTCTGTAATTCGTAAACCTGATAATATCAGCATTTCAAAAAATGAATTCGGCTCAGAGGGATTCGAATTTTTTGCATCAATTGCTACTGTCAATGTCTCAGCTTCCAAAAAATATACGACATTAACAAGCAGATTTTTGACTATAAAATTATATTTTAAAATAAACATTTTTTCCTAGGTTTTACAATGAAATTGCAGTTTTCCAAAAGAGTGAGCGTCTCCTTCGAAGAATTGGAACCAATCCAAACTAGAAATTGGAACAGGTTCCTAAAATCAGATATTTTTTATGCCTAAATAATTTATTCAAATCTGGAATACCTTTCCATTTACTAGTCGAATTTTACCAATAGATTCTTTCGTTGGTAAACGCAGGAATCCAATAATCGAAGCATTATCAGCTACAACTATCATCCTCTGCAGAAAAAAATGAACGAAATTAATACATTTTGATTTGTACATTTTCATAGTCTAACGGGAGGCGATTTGGGAATGTTTTTTCTTGAAGAGGCTTTATAACATATTTCTCGTAGACAATTTGTACCAAAACTCCAATGGCAACAGCTGCAACGGCACCTACAAAAATTCAAATCACAACTGACTTATTTATGTAAACCAACCAACTAGACTGAAAGTTGCAATCTTTGCCCATTGAATTTCGTTGGATAATTTTACCTTTTCCAAATTCTCTAACTGAAAATAAAATTTAAAAAATATAACATACCAATAAACATACCTTTTTTGTTTCACGCTCGTTTTCGTCGAGTGTTTCCGATTTTTTGCTTCTTTTGGCATCCGTTTCACTTTTTTTTCCTTCGACTTCTTTAGTCATCTGCAAATTAGTATTAAAAAAATATATAAAAATAAGGAACATTTAGAACATTGCCCGACTTTTAATATCGATGGCTAAGAAGTGCACACAACTTTACAACAAGCTACGGTGACCAGACGCGTTTTTTCGAACATTGGCACACAGAGCTCGTTCTTATATACAAATGAACGAAGAGGTTGTGGAAAATCGCTGTTTATTGATTGAACGATTCGGCCAGCCGGCAACTGCAATATGCTATACGTACAATAAAGTAAAATTGAATGACAATATAATATATCATTCAATTTAATTTTAAGAGTAAATTTTTCGAATCGCAATACCAAAAAAAACAATCGTTTTGCAATAAAAGCACTTGCATGTTCAATATAAAAAATGTTAACATATTACCATCGCAAATTTTGATTTAAACAAATGCTATAAAAAGAGGTCATATCATTTATATGTATAGTGGCCCTATGCAGATTTAGAAAAAATCTCAAATAAACCACATGAAAGAAACAAAATGCAGTAAAAAATTCCAAAAACTACGGGTCAGGATTTTTGAAGACGAAAGTACCACAAAATCGCTTAAACGATCATACACATATGTATGTATGTTTTTAATCGTTTCTATTCAAGCAATTTTTTACCCGTTTTTTTAAACTTTTCCCAGTCTGCAATGAGCTATATTTTTTTATTTAGAAAAACAGTAATATGTTATAAAAACACCCCAACTAATATGTTGTCAATGTTCTTGTTAAAGATCTCTGCAAATTAAATATAAACAATATATATAATTTTGATTAGACCATTTTTCCGATAAAAAAATAAATTGCACTTAAAAATTTTTTACAATTTTTACATTAACTTTTACTGTCAAAATTTCGAATTGCGTAAAAGTCCTTCTATTATAACAGGCATGTACAATGCATTTCGTTTTTATTTTAAGGGGAAAACATTTATAGTGATAAATTGTCCGAATGTCAAAGATACAACATCCCAGATCATTTTTTGTTTCAAAATGTTGGCGTTATACTGATAATTATATTTTTAAATGCTTTCAAGTGTTTTAATTCCCCTATATCCCCCGGACTTTAAGCTTTATTCCACATCTTCGCGACGTATTTACATATAATTCATCAATCCGGAGATATAGCAACCAAATGGACAGATATCCGAAAAGAATCAAGCTGTACGAATAATATTTCACTTCCCAACATTTCCGCCGACGTGTTATTAGTGCTTTGCACATATTTAGTTGGTCATAGCTTTAATATTATATTTTTAGTTGGGGTGTTTTTATTATTGTTAAGTAATTACTTTTATTGCTCCCACGTTCTCTCCTTACAATTCATTTTTTGCCGATATCAATTAATAAATTCCAATAGCAGATTTGGATCCGTGGTGTGCAGTTTTTTTTTAAAACTGCGGTTTGCATTTCAAAAATGAGCAATATACGTTCGTGCATACATATGTATATGTTTTGCCATTATCATGTAGTTTCTCGCTGTGAAAGAGGAAGTAATTAAATTGTTTGCAAGTTTCATTTAAAGAACATTCTAAGTGCGATACTACTATGAACTTCGTACAAATTGTTTTTTGAAAACAACGTATGGCTAGTGTCGAAAATATAAAGATTCTCAAAACAACAGCGAGAAATTAGTTGGAAATTAATGAGCTTTGTTTACGCGATGGAAGAATTGCGTTTTACTTAATTTTCCCCTCGTCTTTTCTTTCAATCATCGGCAATCGTCTGAAATACTGAATCATCAATGATAAGTGTATAATTAGATTGATCTTCGATGAGCAAAAAGATGCTAGATGATTAAATAAGTGCAAAAGTTATATTTGCTTGCGTATGTAATGATTTTGTGATCTCAAAGGAAACATCTGATGATCGGAATAATAATACATGAACGATTACATATTTTTGTTTTTAATTGCACAATGTTGATCTTTTCAATGTTAGCAATTACGCATGGTACTTACGAATTACGCCCAAATTTAAATTGAATTCCAAATATATTTTAAAGAATTAGGATTGATAACACAACATCTCATGTTTTAGTTTTGGTGTGCACCAGTGGTTCGACCCCCCCCCCTCCCTACCCATCTGTCTGGTTTAATTCTTATCAGTGGTTTTATACAATAATGTCTACGAAAGATACTTTCTAGATGCCTTATTACGATGACGTTTTTAAGCTTATAATGTTCAACGTTCTATAAATGAATCATTCTTTACAAATTGAATGAAAGCATCAGTAAGCATAATTAAAAAGAAATTTATTTATTTTTAGAAATTTACTGTTAGAAATCATAAAAGATGAACTATTACAATTTTTTTCGGTTTTTAAATTGATTATTATTATTCATCTCAAACTTTCAAAAAACTTGAGGTTTTAATAGCTTAAAGAACCTAAACGTATACGGTGTCATCGACCTTTCGTTAGGCAGTGTCATTTAAAAAGAAGGATATTTTTAATCCAATTTCCAATGAGATACGTTTGCGCGAATTTATTTGATGCATTAATTCTCGGCCTTGAAGCAATCATCCATTGGTGGTCTGAGTTCATAAACCGGGCAATAACATCGAACGAATCGCAGGTCTAGACGAAAATTAAGGTTAATGAACTGGTTTATTTACTCACGTCTCGATAACATTATCATTTTATTTATAAATAAAATTGCATGGTGTGACGTAATATCCGATTTGCATATAACATGAAACGTTTTCAAAATTCACATCAAACTCATGCGCAGGTTCATTCAATTACGTAATTCGACCTTCTAGAAATGTACTGTGAATCACTCTGTTGTCCAAATTTGTCTCGTCAAATTCAGTACGTTCTGCTTTCCGGCAACCCATGTGATTTCAAAATTGAACCTACCATTTTTGTTTGGAGATTCAATTGTGACAAACTAGTTTTTGGGCCGAAAATCATTAGCAATGAGAGGCGATCTTGAAGCATGTCTTAAACCGTTTGGACCACATTTACGTCATTGTGGTAAATGTTTTATGTTTGCAAAAGGAAATATGAGATGTGAAGTGCGCATTATTAAAAAAAAACGCAGTCTATTTTTGGAAGTTTCATGACATCTTTAAAGGATCTCGGACACTTCCGAATCGAATCTATCTCATATTACTGACTGAACTTTACTCAGGTAAATCAAGAAAACTTTATCCAGATAGTAAAATTACGAGAAAATAATATTTGTACGCTGCTATACTCACGAGTTTAATAACTTATCTATTTAGAACTTAAAGGATTTCGACAATATTTTTCAATTTTATCTCATTTTATTGTTGATACTAATGAGAGAAATTATTCACTAAAATACTTTATTATCCAAGAGTGTATATTTTGAGTGGTAATTGTTTCTTAAAACTGATTAAGAAAACATTGAAGCACGTGATCGAAACAATTTTCTAAAGGATATTATGTCACGTGAAATCGAAAATCATTTTACATTTAATGTTAATTTGCACTTTTTATTCCATTATTATTTATTTCTGAAATTGGTCGTATCAATAGCTGTTTAATTGAACGACAATAATGTAATAAAGCCTTTCAAATACACATTAATTTATACGATAATAAAAAACCAGGATTTCTGGACAATTGGAATATTATGGAAAATAGCGAATGATTAAACTAAATGCGAAACAATTTTAAATCTTCCAATTCTCAATTCCCCTTGCAATTGTTTTCGCTATCATCATAAATGATTTTTTTCCACATTTTTAAAGAAGTTTGCAACAGTAAATTTTTTACCTATATTGCAGCAAGGCCACTTTCTGGGGAATCCCCACATCTTTTCTTTCAACATTTTAGTTGCATCAAAAATTGTGATGATAACAACAAATGGTCAGGTCGCTGATAAAACGTCTTGTCGACCAGTCCTCCGGGGTTACCCTCAGACTGATAAAAATCTTCAAGCGTCTTTTGACGCGTCGCCGCCGTGGGAAGTCCTTATTTTTAATCAGAGAATGAGAGTGGCCAGAGAATTCAATTGTTAGACGGCAAAATGCAATAGCATTGCATGACTGAATGAATGACGGAAAATTGTAATATTCTTAGGTGACGATGAACGATTAACACAAATACATCGGTTGCGCAGTCACACTAGCTTTATCGACTTTTCGATGCTACTGGGTTCTCATCATAAATGAAAAATATATTGTTAAACTCCCCATATTGTGATATCTAATTCAGTCTGAAAGGCAACATTAAAACTTCAGCAGAATTTGTTGTGATTCGTACATACACACGCGAGCACCATTTGTTTTTGTTGTCATCCAGTTGCATCGCAGCTGTAGTAGTAACTAGAAGCCACTTTCGAGAGAATTCTTTAGTTTTTTTTTTTATTTCTTTCGACGTCTCTCTCTCTCTCTTAGAAATAAACAAATGATGCAAAAAAACATGAATGAACACCGAATGCTGAAGGAGCTAAGGAAAAGGTCTGATGTTCTCTGGGGATTTTCGCCCCGATCGCCTTGATTTAATTGAAATGGTTCCTGTTAGTAAAACTCGCTGGTTGTCCGACAACAGAAGAAATTTGCTTCTCTGCATTTTCAATTGAATGAGTCGAGTGATGTTCCTTTCCGCCTCGCGTTTCAAAACCGCAGAACTGCGTCATTTTCCGAAAAAAAAATATCTCGTTTTTTTTTGGAATGTATGTACAGCCTTGACTGACAATAACAACCACGAGAATATTAGGACTGGCTGGCTGAATGATTCCGTTTTACACCCAAACACTCACGCGATGCGATTCATGTGATGCACGTGCATCGAATGATCACAAAGAGAGACTACTGAGGGACAAAGTCCGAAACCCGTGGTCGCACGAATCGGCGCATCGCGCGCCATGTGGATCGTCGTACAGTAATCATCATCGTACGATCATGGGAAACCCGTGGGTCGCAACTAGAATGGCTATTTTTAAATGATTCATTGTAGTTGCCGATATCGTCCTAATTCGGAGGTGATCGCAGAAAATTGATATTGTACACGTTTCTATCCTTGTTGATCGTTCCTTGTTGAGTGCTGATAGCATCCGTTATCTATAACGGGTGCACGAAAGACTCACATGTTGAGTACATGAAAGTTGAAATTGTGAAACGCTCTATGACAAAAAATTAGGAGTTTATTTTAGTCACGTTATTTGATTTTGTTATCAAGTCAATATCACGTGTGATCAAACTGCCGGAAACATGAACCGAAAATATGTTTCTCGAAGCTCACTTGCTGGATGTTTCAGATTAATTCATATATGTTGAAAAAAACAGAATGATTCGTCAATCCCTAAGATATTGTTAAAAGTGAAAATCGTTCTACTAATGGGCAGCATTAATCCTTCAAAATGCATTGAGATGTGTGCAGAATTTTATGGAATTAATACGCAATTGATTATTCGAAACCTTGCGTCATTCTATGTATACCAATTCATATAACATTAGATTATTTCAACCGCCGGAAATACAAATCTTAATGTTTTTTGCTCGGCTCTCTCCCATACTTAGTATGAGACCAGCAAGCTTGATGTGATTTCTTTCTTCTAGCAGACGGTGACGGGAATTTTCTTCGTTCTTTTCATACTTTAACAACTTTACGTGGAGAAAAGAGAAAAAAGCGAATAGAGAGAAAAGGAAATTCTACAAATGATATTGTTGTTTAGTGATGCTTTTGCCGACGGCTTCTACGTCGAATGCAGCGCAAACAACAAAGATTTTGGTAGATTTTTAATGAGCTTCAAATGTTCCGTGTCATTGCACGCTTCATTGAATATTTATGTGTACTCGGCTGTGACGAAAAAAAAGTGTTTGTCCTGTTGCAATCTACTCAGATAATAAGAAATAAACAATTCAAACAAATTCTGAAAATAGAAAAAAAGCAAATTCGGAAATTTAAAATTGATAATAAAACCTTGTACGCTTGACATCATTCATGATTATTTCCATGAAAAATTGTGTTTGAATGGAATTCGTTAGAAGCAGACAATGATATCGTAATTCTCATTTTCATTTGACCTTTTATTTTCAGTGTGAACATAAATGAATGGCACGTTTTCTAATTCGGAAGCAATGCATTTTGTATTTCAAAATTGTGTCTAATGGGAATTCCTGTGAGAGTTGGTTTATTCCTCACGTTTAGTCTTTTGAGATTTGAGAACCGCAGTAGGCAATGCAATCTTTGCACCCAGTGTGCTTCAAGCCATTTTATTCTAATTCCGGCCGTAGATTTGTTGACTTTAAAATGACTTTCGAAATATTGTAAAAAGAATTCCTTGCAAGAAGGGTCGCACGTGACTGATTGGGGAATGCCTTCAATCTGCAATACAGTGATCACGAGTTTGGTACCCGTTGTGTTCAAGTACACGATGGACGGGGGTTTCCCGTTGATAGCGCTGGAGTGATAATGGAGAAATGAAGAATCTCCTGTTAGAGATAGGAAATGATACAGACAACGAACCCCCCCCTTTCCAAACGATATTTTCCGAGGTCAAATTTTTGTGCTCACTCAGTTTAGGGATTTTTAAGAGCTATAATTTCGCACGAACTTTGTCGCGAGTGGTTTCGCTCCAATTGGATAGTGGGGTCAAATTTCGTGATTGACTGCAAATAGCAATGACGATTCTCGCATCCGCGCAACGTGCGTTTTCTTGCCGATGTCACTCCAACATCGACGCAATATTTCGGCGCGCCGCAAGGGAGGACCCGGCGTCAATACATGCGCGATACACGTGCACATCATCACCCGACCCTCGTCCCTCCCCCTTCGTTCTCTGGTGCCCCGTGTTGTGTGTGTGTGTGTATGTATGAGTGTGAGCGTGTGTGGTGTGGCCCGCCCTGCATATCGTCTCTCCTAGTCACCTCCTACTTCTCAGTCAGGACGCAAAACCGACCCGCTAGCATCTCGCCTCGATTACCATGGACTCACAACTCAGCATTGGAACACTTTTGACTGCAGCCCGACTCATTGAGTCTCATCTTCCTCTTGCCACTTCATCGGCTTCAGGAACAACTCAATTCGTTTTCGATGGTGAGAATAGCAATGCATATTGAAAGCCGTCAATTTTTCAACTTCCATTTTCTTTCAGAAAATGAGCTTCGCTCGATTCTCAGCGGAAAACTTAAGATTGATAAGAAGCATTGCTTCAAGGCTTCAACCTCATCGGATCCGTATTGTACTACGCCACCTTCGAGAAAATCATCAAAGCATAGCCGGTATCATAAATATTGAAGACAGATCCCATATTGTAAAACTTTTTGCAGTGCGGCTCACAATGAGCTTGAGAAGACTCGAAGAGCCAATCTCCGAGGATGTCTCGATCAATTGAAATCGCTTGTGCCGTCGATCTCGGACGCCGCTAGAAATACCACACTGGCCTTGTTGACGCGCGCACGTGACTACATTAAGGTAAATAAAATAATTCAATTAGGAAACTAGTTTTGTTCACGTGAACAATCGATAATCTTAAACATTACCTTCTTGTTTTCCAGGAGCTCGATGAAGACAACGCCAATCTTCAGCGGCTGAAACAACTCAAGGAGGCCGAAAATGCCGCTTTGGCTGCTGAGCTTGAGCGCCTCCAAAAGGCGGTGAACGATACAAATTCGAGACCTGAAAGCTGCGCTTCTTCATCGTACACGGCCAGCAGCCCATTACTTATCGAATTCTCTCCATCGACAAAACCGCATTATCATAATGATTCACCGAAACCCATAATTATTGACCCCATCGCTGATGGTCTCTTGCCGGCTGTTCCGTTGACCTACCCCAGACCATATATCTACCCTCAAACTGTACTCGATCTCTTAGAACTCCAGTCTCCCAAACTTGACGTGTCTCGCTACTTGCCAATCAATCTCCGCGTATGATCTTTGTATCTTCTCAATACTCAATTAATTAATCATCATATTAAATTCATTTCATTCATTATGATAAAATCGTGTTTCAACAGTCAAAACCGATCAATGAATAAGAATAATCTTTGCGTGTCATTATTTCTTTATATATATATATATATATATATATAAATGCTTCCAACTCTCTTAATTCTATTTTCATAAAATTTCGAGATAATGTCTTTTGGGGGAAAGCAAATTTCTAAAAATAAAGATTTTCTATATTTTTATTGATTGATGTTATTTGAGTTCAAAAGACGCAAATGCAAATAAAAAAATTGAGGCGGAAATGGAATATTTATTGATTGCTGCAACACGACAATGATATAATCTGATCTTTAGATATCACACCGCGGACACGTGAACTGGGAAATTTTCCGGTGAGAGATAGCGCCGACGCACTTAAACGAAAAAAGAAACCAGTATTCGCCACGGCCGCCTTGATTCCTTATTCGATCACCACTATCAGCATTGTCGCCGCTTTTGTCATCATCAACATTGGTGTCGAAAGGCGGGTATTGGGAATTTTTCATTGAGTCGTCGGATGATATTTGTGTCGGGTCGAAACTACCAAACAAAACTCTCTCCAACAAGCAAAATTACTAGAGTCGCTCAACCATTTTCGTTTTCAAAAATTTTAAACATCCAGAACTAATGTCAAAATTTTTTTACAATGCAAGCATTTCGAATATGTCTCGCTGAGACGAAACGCTTTGCATAACCCCATCAAAAGCTTCCGAGTTGAATTAGCTCATTTCGTTTTATGTGTCATATGTATCAACGTCCTTTTTTTACGGTTACTGATCATATTCTTTCACACGTTTTTCTACCAAATTATTCAACAAAATGTCTCATCAGCTCGCGCCAAGGCATTGACAATAAACAAAAACAAACTTCGTGCCAAAAGCAGACACGCAATCTTTTATTTTTCCTCACTTTACCCCAGCAAAATAAAAGATCAAAAAGCATTTAGTTAGAGGGAGAAATTTTTCGAATTAGGGAAACGTCTGGAGTCTCCAGCGCCGAGCTTTTGAGCCTCATTATTATTTTTTTATTTCCCGAGGCATTTTCGCAGCCAACCGTATGCTCGAGAAGACAAACGGCAGGAAATGGGGAGTCGCTTCTAAGGGGTTCATCCCGTCAAATGGCATTCAATTTGATGGTATTAGAAGTGAACGGATCGGGAACAGAAGAGTTGTTCGAGATGTGCGGTACATCAAACACCATTTATTTGCGCCTTCTCTCACGCACATACTTATTTGTTTTTTTTTTTTTTTTTTGAAATCGAATAATTTCCTTTGTTGCGACAAAAACATCAAACTAAATTCATTCGCTCGTGGTTTTTTTTCTGGGCAGGAAGAAGAAAAAAGCCCTAGGGCCAACTATATTCGCGACGCTAGTCATTTCCTCGGCGTATCTTCAAAAACAAGCCAGTCGCATGTGTGTTCCCGATGTGAAATTTACTTGACTTGAGAAAACGCAGAAAAACTTTCATTTTATTTTGTTCTGGATAAAATTGAGGGCGAGGGGATCAGAATACACAACAATGAAAATAAAAACAAGATTATTATTAATACGATGTAATGTTTGTTCATTATGGATTGATTAAAATATACAGGCAGAATATTTCAATTAAATAAGTTATAGGCTTGTTAATTTAAACTGGGATTCGGGTACTGTAGTAACAGTCAACCGCCATGTCCTCGGTTCCATTCTCTTCCTTGCTTTGGTGTTCACCATCGAGCTGCAAAAAAGCCCATAATTCTCCCGCAAAACAACAGGTTGTTTTCAATAGTGTTTCCGTCCCAGCAAGTGTGGTCATAGTATCCAACCGACCAGACTAAAAATACATTCAGCAGAACCTCCATCAGCCTATTTTCATTTTCGATATTTGCGGCGCTATGAAGAATGAGTACCGGTTTTTCTCGGGTTCACGTGCTGACGAAAACAATTGTGTCGATACAAAACATTTCGCTATGGGTTCTGATGCAAAAATAATGATGATTTTGCTATTAAAGCGAAAGTTCATTTTTTTTTTGAGAGCAGCATTGAATGATTTATGGAATTTTCAATTTTGTGGAAAACGTCGAATTGATCAAAGAACTCGCTCAATATGTTCACTTGAATGCCTCTTTTCACGGTCAACGCCAAACATGGAATTTACCCTAGAGAGCAAGGGGTTTAAAAGAATTTGGGAGTGTTTCGTAGACTGGAAAAAATAACAATAGGACTTTGTACTTTGTATTTTCGTTAATAATGAACATGAATTTTGTAAAAGAACGTCTACTTCTTTTGTTCTGATCTTTCAAAGTAGTCCGAAAGTTTTCGAATGAGCAACTTTACATTCGATTAAATGAGAAGTGGTTTTTCTTTTGGTTTTTCTTTTCCGTTTTTTTTCAAAGTTGACATTCTGGAAGTTCCCTCCTTGTGCGACGCGAAACTTGTTGAAGCGATGAGTAATTCGACAAATGCCGATTTTTTTCCGTTTCGTGCGACACTCTTCATTGACTTATATGCAGACATTGCGGCGCAATACCGCTACGTCAACATCCAAAAAATCAACTTTGACTTTTTGCGAGCAACAACGAGACACACGCTCGTCCGAACGGCGGCGGTCAATATTATTCGCGACTCGGCTCACCTTTTTTCAATCGTATTTCTTTTTTTTTGTTTGGCGGGGGAAGGTCTTCGCCTCCGCTCGACTAGTTTTTTGGAGGGAGAGACGTCCAAAACGAAAAAATTCAAACGCACCAATTCCAGCTCGTCGCTTGTGAAAAGGATTGGCAGGAGTAAGTGTCGGCCGATGATGAATGCACTAAGAACCAGCGGGAAAAACAACGCGGCAGCTAAACAGATTCATCATTATGCGCGTTCAAACGAGCAGAAAAGAAACATGCTCGTCTTTTGCTTACTTCCATTCATTTTAGTCATGAAGATGCAGAACACAAGGAAAAGCTGGATGAGTGTGAAGAAGACAACACGACTGAAGGGAATCTGAAAAATTGTTGTGATCTTTGAGAAATTGATTGTATTTCTTGTTCATAATGCGAAATGGACGTGAATCCTCATAATCTTTTATTGGTGCTGCTAAAGAGCACCATAAGTACATTTTACTGCCATTTTTATTAGCAAAGATAATGCACTTTCTTTATTTTAATGATTTGTACACTATCCTTCGCCCGTGATCATTTTCTCCGGCCCGCATTCAATCATTATCAGTCAGTGCGACAATGTGACGAAAATGAACGATGGAATGATGATGCAAAATTGTTTGCATTGCTGGTAATTGGTTCCTTATCACGTGTTCTTTTGAAGAATGCTATTTCAGATTGATAACAAATGTATTTTGTTCATTAAATGTCTAGCCAAAAATATGGCTGGAACTGAATAGCGAATATATATATATACAATCATATATGAATATGATTAATGGAAAATAATAAGGAGAAAAATAACTGAGATGAGGTGTCCGAATTTAGATCCAGCATTTGAAGGTGTCATTTGACAACCTTCTTCCGGTTACAATTGTTTTTTTTTTACACAAAAACAATGATTCGTAAATTTTTAAACTGAGATGATGCAATCACACGATCGATTCACGTGAGTTAAATTTTCCCTCAATACTTTAAGTTTACTTCCAAATCATAATATTTGTGATAAAATCAACATCTTGTGATTATGGCTGTACTTCATGGATTGATCAAAGAACGAATACATTCTGTTTCATTAATGCGTCTTTTAAAAAATCGGAGAAGATAAGAATGCTATGCACGTGCCAAGTGTCATCGAATCAATGGGTTCAACAACATTCGTAAATAAAAAAGATCAGCGGGTTCTCTGTTTTATCAAAACTATGATGATTCTCTTAAAAAGGCAAAACATTTTTTTACGAAACCACCGCGTTGTCATTATTAGGAATATCCTTTCTGTTCGGAGACTTCTAGATTCGGCCTGTACGTGACTACATTGGAAAATGGATGACCTTTCCGTTATACTATTAGTGTGAAACGTTGCAGAAGATTTTAAACTTCGAATTTAGGACGACAAGTGTTTTGTAATTTGAATCTTTAACACGTACAAAACAATCAACTTCTTAATACGGAAGGGACCGACTCAACGCTACAACCTCGCAACGTATAAAGTTTTTAGAGAGAAATTTCCCATTTTTAACATTATCTACAATTAAACTGCTATTAGAAATTCTGAGTTTATTCACATCGTACAATTCTCCTCTACATCATTAGTGAAATGCGAATGCTTTAAATATTTCGAAGCTCATCACATTCGTTACACGTGTTTCCTTTTTCCAAAAAAAAAACATTTTGTTTATTTGAGGCAGATCGGAGACTTCGGAGGCACAAATGGGGGTTGCCTTTTTGTCGCGTGCGTGCGTGCCTATCCAAACGCCAACCCAACAAACACGAGGTCTTTGGCGCGTCGTCGCCTCGGCCGCCCGCCCGAAATCATCACATGAAACGCACATGGTTTACGACAGCGGGGACGTCGGTGCGGGCGTCCCCATCCGACGGGCACAAAGAATGTTTAATTGAACGTGTTCGAGAGATTCGCCGACGCGTGCTATTTGACCCGCGACACTAAACAAAGAAAATGGTCGCGTGGCGACCGCCCGGGCGCTGTCTCTCAATCTCTCAACGGAAAATAGTTTTCAAAAAAAAAAACGTAAACTAAGCGCGTCGGTTTTTTGCCCACTCCGACATTTTGATTCATATATGTGGCTGGCAAAAAATCACGTTCTAGATAGCATTGCAAAACAACCGAGTGTGCAGCGTCAATAATGGGAAAAGATGCTGAAGATACACACTTCCGTCCATCGGAAACTTCGTCGCTGCCCGCGGTAATAAACACACTTGGGCCCCGGCCATAGACCAATTCGCAATCGCACCGACTATGATAAATCATTTTGACACAAATTGGCTTTGTTACTCTTGATGTTTCGGAAATGTCGAACTACTAGATGAACAAAGGTTTCACGAAATGTTAGGTCGTGACTAATAATGCAGCGCAGTCATCAGATGCACACAAAGACAATACGCTCTTATTAAACTAATTATTTTAATAATCAGTACAAACTACATAAGCCAATTTAGACAGAAGTCGAAGCTATTCCGTAATCTCGCCCACGAGAATACGTCATCATATTATATATATATATATATATATATATATATATATATATATATATATATATATATATATATATATATATTCAGCATCCGGCGACAAATGCAAGGGGTATTATTGGGCGCGCTAATTTTGTTGAATTGTTTATTTATTTTTTTTGGTCAATTAGTAAAGTCTTTGCACTAATAAGGTAATAAATATTTTTTTATTATCGAAATCAGCCATTTTTGGCGAAGTAACCTGTTACTCAGCATGCGCCGGATGCCGACTATAAAATTGTTTCGATTTTTAATTTCAAAATTTCCCATTTTCGTGACATAGTGGTAATCATCTTATAATTGTTTTTGAGAGAGATAATGCTAAAACATGAAAACACCTCATTCTAATATTGACAATAAATAAAGATTCCGTGTAAATAATTTTAATTAACGCATTCATCTATGTCAACATTTTTTTTTGTTTTTACTCATAACCTCGGTGTTAGTATTCAATTCGGAATGAGGGGGATTGATAATCAAGATTCACACACCTTTTCAAGGAATTTGGTATTTCCGCGATACTTTGCCGGCAAGAAGAACATTTTGAGTCTCTCCATACATTTGTTTCCGGACAAATTCATAACTCCCAGATACAAGAACACTCCGAACAATGATGCCTTCGGCACATGGATGAAATATCCGAGCATGGCGCAAAGTCCCATTATGAACGAGATAGTGAAATTGGTTCCACGTTGCTCAATCACCGCGACGGGCTCTAGAACACATTTATGTTAGCCAGATAATGAGTTCCATATGCTTTACTAGCAGCTTCTCCTGGAGCCTTTTTCTTCAAAATAGTCAGGGACGAAGCATGGGCAATTGATTGGACAGCAGCTGCGCACATCCATGGAAGGCCAAAAATCGATGCGATAAGAATAACGAAGCCTAAATTACCTTTTCGCTTTAATTAACAGCTTATTTCAATCATTATACCCATTAAAAGCAAATCCCAGTGAGAGCCGCCACCTTTTCTCAACTTTCTTTCAGCTCTCATCAACATTTGCCTAAAAAAGAAAGAATTTTCATTCAGCCAAAACCAATGAAATGTGTTGCTTCGTAATCTACTTACTCGGTGATTTCAACTTCAACGAACAATAAAATAAACACAAGAAATCCAGCTGAAATAGCCACTGGAATCGTTAGCCAATTCACAAAATATGGACTGATGAACAAGCCATGGCCGCGGCGATGTCTTTCCGTGAAATCAACATTCTGTGGGACATCAAGAGTCTAAAATTTCGAATTTAATAGATTGTTGCGTTCATATGAAATTTTGAAGAACCTCAATGGAAACCCCAGGAAACACGAATGATCTAAAAGTAGACACAATCATAATTGCAAAGAAGACTCCAAAATCACCGCAAATGTTGCGGAACTGTAATAATGATTTTAAAAACTTTTAGCTGAAGTCTTAATTCTAACGTTTCTTCCGAACCAACGGGAGCGACTCATGAGTCTCAAGGAAAATGCTATCGCGAAAGTGACAACAATAAAAATGACCGACAAAAGGAAAGTGTTCGGGTGTGCAAAATCGCAGTTGGCTGAAAAACTAATAATAATATGATATTGTTTTTGTTTAGAACTGACTGGCAATAGTGGTGTCGTTCGCAACTGTGCAATTAATCGTGAGGTGCTGGTTGTAATAATACTCATAGTTTTGAACCGGATTTGTAGTCCATTCCTAAAATTTTGGGTAATTAATACTCAAATTTCTCAATATAACTTACATGTTTGACGTATTTGGATACTTCGGAAAAGAAAATCAAAGAGATCAAAATGGAGAAGATGTCCTCAGTAAAAACCGTAACGTATTTGAGAAGTCTTGCCCCATTGAATGCCGTAGTGATAACGCAAAGGATGAAAATCGCAATTCCAGCATATAAGCGAACGACCATGAAGCGCAAATCAAGACTCTCACAGATCTAAAAATGTTGAATCGGAACACTCTTATTAATTTATTATGTGTCAAAAGTATTTCAGCTATTTGACATACCAAGAAGAGAGAATGCTCAAAAATCAAAAACGGTCCAGTCGGCGAAAGAATAATCAGCGGCTGAGCCGCGAGAAGCGACCAAATGATACCACCAACACATTGTGAAATCAGAGTCTCGAATAGCCCCATAGCCCCATGAGTGTAATGAGCTGAAAATTGTGATGTGATTTAATAACCATAAACTATATCAAATTTAGTATACCAAGCAGTCCTCCGAAAGTGAGAGACGGAGCGATACAAGCGCAAATCATAAAGATTGTAGAAGTGAGTGCCTGAACCTTGAAAGTGTCGGTAATATCACTTCTGAAAATAATCAATTTTTGATAGAAATTATTCCAAAACTCTACGAATAATATTTCGTTCGTCTTCTGATGTCTTTAACCATTCCACTGAACAGCCCCCATTTTTCAGTAGGTTCTGTCGTGTGAGAAGCTGGTGCGGCACTTTCGACATCTTTGCCTTTATCACCCATTCGGCGCTCTGTAATAAAATATCTTACCATGTTTTTGGCTGTCAACGGCATGTTAATTTTGTAAAAATGTTATGTTTTTACTAACAAACGACAATAGTACAAAATTTACAATTTGTCTTGCGTCATGTATTCTCACAAATAATCGGGTTTGGCCATTTTTTTTTTTCTATAGTTCAAATAGTGGTAAGCCTTTGGACTATTTATCCTCTAATTTTCAATTTCGATGCAAATAAAAAAAAGGTAAAAATAAAAACGCGTTCATCTGGATATCCGACTGGTTATGAGTATATGTGGATTCCCATATTTTTCCTGTCAAACAATTTTAAAATTAGAGGGATAGCAAAATTATTGAATCGGAACAAAATTTTTTGGAATAAAAACATTTGGAACAACACTTGATGGTGATTTCAATTACACAAAATGATCTTCGGTCAGCAACACACAACATTCTTTAATGTCATAAAATCTAAGTCTAATAGGCATTTATTACCACCAACATTATTATTGAAGAATGGAAGAAGTGCCCGAATCAGAAATTTTTGTTGCAGCGATTTCAATGTTTTTAGGCAGAAAGATTCACATGCAATATTTAAATTTCATCGTCATTTCATTATCGGCGTAACTTTCTCATTTTGATCTATTCCTAAATTTTCGTATCTTTCATTTAACTTCAAACGAAATGATGACAGTAACTTAAATATTACGGGTCAATATTTCCAAAATGCAGATGGCAAAAATATAAAAAATTTGCTGAAAATCACATGAAAGATCATTTATTGAATATTTTGTCGAAGATTCTACAATCACTCGCGATAGACAGTTTCTTTCGACGCACGTAGAATGATCTATTATTGGAGGATAGACTATATGATTTTCAAATGTTTTTTAATGGGACAAAACACATCGTTTGCGGAAATAAAAGATTTGTCGAAAAACATTAAATCTCTATCAGTTACCGATGATCCACACACATTCCTCAAAAGATTTAGATACTAGAAGCCTCATAAACAAGGGGTGAGCAAAACATGGATTCGAATTAAACTAACCGTTTGCCATCAAGTCTAAAAAACGTTAAAAAAATCTAAAAATCAGAAGTTGGCCAGAAAGAAAATATTTCAGAATGTTTTGAATTCCCCCTTAAATTTCCCTTCGATGAAAATTAAGAAACCGGCTTCTGCTCCTTTCAACCAATTATTTCGTCTCGTCAGAGCGGTTTTGCGCGTTATCATTAGCATTCCAAAAATTCAAAAATATTCACTGACCTCTACGGTTACCTCCTTGAAGACGATCTGCTCTTTTATTGATGACCTTGCGAATGAAGTCGCCAGAGAGAAGATGCTTGCTTTCAACCTTACCAGGCGCGAGAACGATCGATTCCGTCAAATATCTAAAAATTATGAATTTCTAGCTGATGACGTTTATTTTTAGATCTTTACAGGTCGATAGCTTGGGAGACTCCTTCAGCGTTATGAACGTGCTCGAACAAACCTCCGAACTCCTGAAAGAGAAAATGATAAATAGCGCAAGTTACATCAATGATCAGTGGAACAGCAAGCGAATGACTTTTAAAGGTTTTCAATCAAACATCGCCAACCTTTAAAGGCAGTTTCTGTTAATAACAGTGATAAGATTCCTAGCGCAATTAGTTTGACGAAGTAATCAATGAACAAGAGAACAATTGTTTTTCCTCCATGTCTCCAACCACCATTTCTCACCATTTCTTTATAATCGGACTGACTATCTCATTAATCAACCCGTTTATTATCAAATCATTTCGTTGCAAAAAGAATGGAGAATCGACTCTTACCGAGTTTGACAGAATCGATCCAAAAGCGCGTCCGATCTCTACGTAATTGATGTTTGGCGCGCTCGGGCCAAGTAGGAAGTACAATGAACGAAAGCCGTTGACGTTGTCGCTGATCTGAAAACAATTCTAATAATCGAATTATTTTATCACAAAATCAATTATTTGAGAGAATAGATAAACTATAAATTTTCAACAAACCTGTATTAATATTTTTATCGATTAAATTCTCTAGATGAAAATTTCTATTCATTTTCGACTTTTCTTTTGATTGTAATTTTTTTGTAGATTTTTTTAAATATCTCGAAAGTCAAAAGAAAACAAGCAATTAAATTCCAACCTCCTTGAAGTAGCAAGTTTTCTCAAAGCGGATGACAACCAATCTGCACAGCTTCAGATCGGGTACATCACCGACAACCAAAATAGCCGATTCGCATTTCGATACCCATTCAACGTCCTCCTCAGGTTGAACTCTTAAGCATTAATTTTTTTAAATATAATTCAATGACTTTTAAATACCCCAATAGCGATCCAAACTTGATGTGAGAGAAAGCTTGACTAAGCTTCTTCGGATGATAGTGAACCAAGCTGCCGAGATTGGTCGGAACTGACATCATGTTGCTTCTTGGGGAAGGAGCAGCTCTGACATGACGGAACGACTGGCACGAAGAACGTCTGTTTTGCTCAACATCACGGTTTTCCGGATATGTTCTGCAAAAATGGTATGTGCCTCAGCTATATAAGTTTTTGAGTCCCACATTTTGCGAGTTTGCAAGATCTTCGAGACCGTCTTTCCAATTTCAGGAATTTCCGGATCGTGCAGGCTCTCAATCACACTCAAAAATTTTTCAAAGTCGACGCAATTGAGCGGCGGAGTGACAATGGCTGGAATTTTCGTTTTTTGTTCTAAACAATCATGCTGTTTCTTTAGTTAATACCTTTGGTGGCGATCAATTGAAGTTGTTTGTAGTATTCCATTGGAATACATGGCACATGGGGCTTTCCGTAGTGATTGTCATAACCCTCGCAATCCTAAACAATTTTTTTTAATCATGTCTCATAACTGGATAATTGCACCTCTTCGTATTTTATGAATCGCGATTTTTCAACCCATTCAACTGACGTGATGTCATCACCGCGTTCCAATTCGTAAAGATCAATCACATTCTGAATTTTATGGCTTAGGAAAAAATTTTCGCTTATCATTTTACCTGATTCTGTCGGCGGCGGCTACGCGGCGAATTTGGATAAACTACTTCACGAACAAATGGCGTCATTTCAACTGAAAAAAATTTTATTTAATTTATGCAGCTAAATGACTCCTGTAAAACCGTAAATGCAATGTTCGCATTGTTGCGAACAGAGTTGAAACAAGAACTTCCTACTCCAGATGAGAAGCTTAACAATCGTGTAACTAATATTCTTAAACAGTTAATAAGCCAAGTTCGAAAATTTTTGAAATCTATTGGAAAGCTGCTTCATTCCTTAGTGTCAATGATATGTTTAAATGGGTTGAATATTCAAGGCAAACCTCACATTTATTTAATTGACAATCCCAAACACATCATATATGCTTTTGATAAAATTGCCCAACTGTGAACTAAAAATTAATTTCGTTTCGATGACAATTTAGATGTTCGCATTAAACAAACGTTGTCCTGAAAAAAATAGGAGACAACAATAAATTTCTAGACATTTGTCTTCTTCAATTCATCCCAGTAATCTCGTGCAAACGAATACACTATTTATTCTGCTTCAGTCTGTCAGCATATGAATTAGATATGTAGAACAGACAATATAACTAAGAACACCAAGGAAGTTTTTACCCACAGTATAGGAAGAGAAATAACTCAGTCAAGAAGCAGAACCAAACAGTTTCTGAGACCGCATTTAATAGGTAATTGTGTTTTTTTTATTCTACGCAATTACATAAGAACGAATTTAAACAGAGCGCTAAAGGCTAATAAAACGCTATTCCGGTTAGATTTTAATCCAAAGAATGATCAGTGCTCAAATTGATTTATTGAAAGTACACTAAAATGAGTATGTATATTTCTCATTAAAAAAAACTAAATGAGTTTCGTCAATCGTCAAAATTGAGGATGTCAATTTCCTTTTTTTCGTATTAAATCTAATATTGAAATTTGAAATTGTTTGTTTCAATGCATGAATTTTTTTGAATTTTCACAATTGCTGAACAATAGCCTTGCGGCATCCTTTGACGCAACGCCTATTCAAAGATGGAATTTGTATAGATCGGCATTTCTTTGATCCTTTCCAAAAAGAAATTCAAAATTACAGCAACCCTATTGTCAACAAATGGTCCAGAAGGTAAATAAAAAAAGAAAAACACAGCTCACGTGGCTTATCATCGTCTTCATCGATCTCCTCCAACAGCGGCTCGCAAGTAGCTTCAGATTGAGACGTTTGATCGACAGAATGTGGGTGGCTACGGTACAAGCTCGCAAGACTCGCTGAAATGAATATTTTTTGAACATTCAGCATTACCAAATTGCAACCAACCATTTCCAATAGCAAATCCAACGCTTCGCTCGGTTTCACCACGCGGTGGGCTGCTCATCGTGCTGCTCCTACACATGGAACAAGTTTTCGACGGTTTCTCAAAAATGATTTTATATGGAGAATGTCAGGAAATAAGTATATTGGAAAATTTCAAATAAATATATTCCAAAAAATTGAAAAGTACAAATTGATTCATCTTTCGCTGTGTCACAAAATAAAGGAGTTCTGTTAACATAAGCGTCAACCAAATTTCGGGTATGCAGAACATTTAAGCTTATCACACTCCGATAAAATTCAGCTCAAGTTGATTGATTTAGCAAAGAACTTTTGATAAAAAACCTGTTGATTAAAAACGTGCACAAATGCACCGGAATCTGTTGACGTAGAAGAGGATTAAAATAATGACACAATTTTCATTATCAGCGGGTCTATAAATCGTAGGCGATAGTTCAGTGCATTATTAAAGATCAAATATATTTATTATCTATGATGGTTTATTGCATTTTTTTTATCAGTTGCATTAAGGGAAAGAACGAGACCATAACTCAAAAGTGGCACGCATAGAATCATTTCCGACGGGCACAAGTGTGACAATAGTAAGAAGCAAATTGAGACGCTGATTCACGGTTCGCAAAACAATGAAAAAGGTTTCGCTACGAATCAAGTCATTTCCACAAATGCGCCTTTTAATTTTCAGAAGTATCAAAATCAATATCAAGGAAGAAATTGGGTTGAGACCGATTGACATGAGTGATGGAAAAAAAAATGGCGCACGTGCTCGGCCGCTTTATGGTTTGGCTGCCACCATCTTGCCCGCTCGCGCCATCCGCCCATTTTCTTGTTTTCTCGCGCCATCTCATCATATGCACACATCGCGTATGGAATCTGTCGTTGACATGATCCGATGGTTGAGGGTGAAGTTGAACGTGCGTCTTACAACAGCCTATGGTCATAAACGCGCAGCTAACAAGTTGGGCAACAAACACCTCTGCCGACGAAGCTCAATGTGGAAAACACATGGTGATAGTAATTATGACCGCGAGCCATATTGTGCACCTGTTCGCGGCACATTTGACATATGGCCGAGTCATAAACAATTTGAGATAAAAATATTTCGGCATGTTGCAATTTTCGAATATTATTTGGACATAATATTCAACCAATCAATGAAACGCCTGACTCAGAACTATTTTCTAAAGGAAAATGTTGTAGTTGGAATAAGAGGCATTCATAACTCTTTCTGTACTCGAAAGGTAGAAATTAAATCAATCAATTTCTACCTATTATAATCATTCTCAAATATTTCGTTGAAAACACTTGCTGGCGGAACAGTTACGGATTATTCCATACTGATAAAGGGATTTTGCGTCACTTCTACTTGAATGACATTGTACTTTGTGAGCATACTAGCAGCACGGTGAAATTTAAAAAGTGAGAACATGGGATTGTTTATGCTTAACGAGGATGGTAAAACTCACGTTGGTACCGTAGGAACAAAGGTGGCCCGAATCCCACGGCATACGAGTACGTTTTATTAGTGAAACAATGAGTTTTTTTCCACATTCACCGTGAGAATGTTGTACGCACGCCTAAAAACCACGTTTAAATAATAGTATCCCCAATCCTTTTGACAAGGGTAGCGGGCAAATTTTGAATCACTTGTTTCTAATATGAACTGTGTTGTGAGTTTGCTTACTTGTTGAGCAACAATGCAAACCATGTACATTCAATGACTCGATCTTTCAAAAATTGATTTATAATTTATTAATTTTCATCAACGTATATATATATATATATACGCATTGGAAAATTTCGAGATCAAGCTGAGGAAGAAGCGTTTGTTATCAAGCCAATGAAACCGTTGGGGACGATTGAAGCCAGTGCGTCAAATAAATGGTTTTTGGAGGCGGTTCTAAAAAATAATAGTACCTTTTTCTAAAAGCGCCTTTCAATATTTTTTACCTTTTGCATTTGACAAGACGAGGAATATGTAGATACCAGTACTAATCCATTTAAATATGTCTGTGCAATATTTGCGAATTTGTTGGGGGAATGAAATAGAAGATGGATTAGTTTTCATCGATGACTTCAATTTTTAGCTCAGGTAACTGCGCCTTTGTTGGTGATCCGCTGTCTGAGCACTCTTCCTCAAGATCAGAGAGTGCCGTGCTGGGTCGCGTCAGGTCGCAGGAACTGCTGGAAAGAAAAAATACAATTTGAATAAGAAAATTTCAATGAGCCGGAACCTTGTCCGACTTTTATCGAGCTGATTACGCCTCCTCATATGACTTGGAGAAGCTGATGCTGACGGACTTTGAACAACTATGGTTGGAGGGCATAGCAGTCCAGCTTCACAAGTGACATTCTGCAAAAACTTCAATTCATAATAAAAAAATGTTTTGCTTCCTACTTCTGCATGGAATTTCGAGCGATGGAATTGTGATGTCGATTGAATACTGTTAGGTGTCGATGGATAACTGTATGGAGACGGAGACGGAAGGGGTGTAGAATCTGACGACCGATTCTCTTCCAATTTGTGTTCATGACTGTCGTGACAGTAGTAATCCTTTGGCTAGATTGATTTTTCTACATTTTTTTTTACAAACGCTAATAGTACATTAGGTTTTGAAGCATAGAATTCTGCAGGACTACAAACCGGGGTTTTGACGGAATAAGTGGCGTGGAATAAGTCGTAGTCAATTTGATATGATCCATTTGATCTCTGATAAGTCACGAGCTTTCGGAATCTAGAGAGTTTATTTGATCGTTTTACTCGATTATTTTTTCAAAACTCCATTACCGATGTCCCCAAAGAATTTCCGATGGTAGATAGCTGGTTTTTGCTTGTGCCGTCATTCCTGTAGATTCGACAATGCCTTCAAGTAACACGATAATCTCAAATTGAGCAGACATAAGGGTTTGTTGATTATAACTGTAGAGTGGGCTGCGGCTATCGATGACGTGGCACAGTGTCGTCGGCCAAACCTGAGTGTTTCAATTATCTTTTAATCACAAGAACAACCGGAAGGTATTTATGTCACACCATACAAAAATTGATAAAAATAGATTCATGTACCATTTTTTTGAAATTTAATAATATATGAATCGCTTTATTGAATTTTCTGTCCGATTATTTGTTACACATTTCGATCATTCAATTTCAGCATCAAGCATATACTTTTTTTCGGCAATAATAACTCAATGAATTCTTAATACTAAGAACCCAATAGACATTTTTTGCTGCTCTCCGTTGGTCCTCTATTTTTATAATATCAAATTCTTTTCCTTTCTATTCCGATTTTCATCGTTATGATCCTGACCATGATGCCGAACAAACAAATAGACCAGTGAAAAACAAAAGAAACCTAAAAGCACAGACGAACGACACAATAAAGAATCACATAGGCGACACATTCGTATAAACAAATAAAAACTGACCAGGAATAAGCGATCATCGTCTGCAACCGAAGGGCCAACTTTCATTTCGAATTGATGAAGCGGCTCAATCTTAAAGAAAATGAGAAAAAATAAGTAGACACAACAAGACAAATGAATTACCTCTCCCTCCGAAGTTTCTCGATCCGTAATGAACTGGAGGCGAACATGCGCTTCCACCAGATGCGTATTCCGCATATCTCCAACTCGGCAAAGAAAACACAATTGACCGTCACGAAGACAAATGACTGCTTTATCGCTGAATTTTGTTGTATATTAAATAGACAACATCTTTTGAGTAAACCTGAAAATTATGGTTTCAGCTCTTTTCTTAGGTCGTGCCATTTTTGCAAAGACTATTCCAACCATAAACGATTGTAAGAGCAACGCACAAACTGCTTGAAGACACACAACAAACCCGGCACTTAAGCATTCAGTAGTGATGTATCTGAAGAAAACCAATCATCTTTGATAGAATGCATTGATATTGCTACCGATGTCCATATCCTATGGTGTGATGCGTTTCGACAGCAAACAAGAATGCTGAATAGAAAGAATCTAAGTTGACTACGCAATTTGTATGGTTCTTGGATTTATTAAACGACAGATCTCCATGAAGCATAGCTATACTATAATATGTGGTTCCAAAGACGCTCCAACTGAAAACCACAGATTTAAAAAATGAATGAGTTGAAATGATATTACCTTAAAACGAAGGCTGAGGCAAAAAGAACAAGCATATACCGCCATTTTGCGTCAATCAAGGTGGTGAAGATATCTCTGAAGTTCGATATTGAATTTATAAAAACTAGCTTGTACTCTTTGAACTCTTTGAACGGAATAGGAATTATAGAAAATACAAAAATTTTATAATGAACAGTATTTTAGTTAAAGATATCGACGTTTCTAAATAACTCAATAAAAATCAGAATAAGAGAATATTATTTTTTGTTTCCAGTCGATCGATAGTTTGTTGAAAAGTATATTCATATATATTTCATTTTCCTTCATATCATTGTATTTCGAATTCAAGAGGTTTTTATTTCATGTTTACATAACCTTCGCCTAGGACCACTACTCTATGAAATTGTTCTCAAAATTAAATATTACCTCAAATATTGGCGATCTTTTTTCGGCACATTTGTGTTATATACGTTGCAGATGCCATTTTTTGCCACTAGTCGACTCTTCTTGAGTTTCTTTGTAGACTTTCGATACAGCGGTGATGAATTACGGCGAGCGGTGAACGCCAGTGTGCGAATGCTTTCTGAGAGCGTTGCTATAAAATCAAATCCCTCAATTGATTGATGCAGCATTTATAGTACAGTGGAAAGGTTACACAAAACAAGTATATAACTTATAATAATTGTTTTAATTACCCTGATTTCAAATATTACTATAATATTACTAAATGCGATATAAAGTTATGCGTTTGTGATAACCAAGATATTTATTTTGGAACACTTCGAAATGAATACAATAAAACAGAGTGGTTCAAGAGATATGGTGTGCTTGAGGCGAAAAATAGGGTGAGATTTGAAATTCATGAAATGCTTGAATCCTGGGCATTCGTAATTGCTTTATTGCGCCGCTGGCTCGAAGCGTGATTGAATGTGCGCCATCAAATTAAGTAATGACGCCAAAAAATCAAAGCCAACAATTTCGTCGCATCTCAAAAATTGAATCAGGAAGAAGAATCAGCAAAAAAAAATCGAAAAAAATGACCATCTTCAATTATGCATACTACTTTCAAAATTCATCGCAAAAAGAACGAATTACCGTACAAAATATTAGGAAACATTTAAAAAAAAATACACAATTATTCCTTATTCATTATTTATGATTTTAGTGATAAAACTTTTAATAGTATCAAATACAATCTTTATTTTATTGTCCATTTGAAAAATTGTGAATCAAATTAATTTCAATTCATTAGAAATTTTATTTATTTTTTGCAAAAAAAAAACTATTATATTTGCTGAAAAAACACTAAAAATGCAGCAAATGTTGGAAATGACTGTTCGATGCAAAAGAAATGAGGAATGAATGACAACGATTGCGTATGTATACATCCTTTTTTATATTCCCGTTTTGTAATTACTATGCATTATATGCGATAAGAACCGAATAAATGAAAACATGGCTGCCAATGGAAATAACAGCAAAAAGGAAATTGAAAGAGGACTTGAATGTAATCCTCCTTGGGATAATATCGAACAAATGTCCTTTCCGTAGCTAAAAAAATGAAGTGGAAAAACCAAAATTCTACTGTTGTTGGTGGTTGTTTTGCTGAACCACCGAAACATCCATTAAAGAGCAGATGACGGGAATTGAAAATAATCTCGCCGATGAATGACATTTGTGTTTTTCCCTACCAAAACCAACAATCCTCAATTTTTCCTTGAGTATTGTTTGATGTCCTCTGGGTAATTTGACAATTAGTACCCAATGTACATAAAATTTAACATGCGAATAAATTAGCCAATTTGATACTCTTCATTTGCACTAAATTCATTCCACGCCTACTAAGGCAAGAAAAAAATGAAATATGATGAGAAAATGTAACGTTTCATTAGGCACAGACTTTTAATTTATGGTAGCTTCATCCATTTTCTCAATAATGCGTTTTTGTTTGAATAAGAAAAATATTGGATGATTCAATTATGAAAGATCCAGAAGGGTGACAAACACTCGATGATGAAACAGTGTTTTTTTTTGCGTTTAGGATCTACATATAAAATTCATTAGTCCACTTTAGGCATTTTCTAATGAAACATAATGTTACTAAAACATTATTTGTTGCTTTCTGATGTTCAACATTTCATTTCTAACTATTCCGAAAATTAAATTAACTGAAGAAAGTGCACTTCTCTACTTTATGTCAGCTTCATCTTTTAATCCAAGCTAGAGGAAAAATAGGTTCTACAAAGGTTAAAGATTTATATTAAAAGTTAGAATTAAACCGCAATTACATTTTCTTCAGATTTCAAACATTTTAACCGCTAATATACTTCACGTGCACACAAATTATAGAACATCATCTTTTGAGTATAAAATAAGCTTGTTTTCAAAAAAAGATTCCCAAAATAGAATACCTGCCAGACTTGTTCGTCGCGGCGGCGGACTTGGTCGACCATTGGCAATCAACGGTGCACTTCCCAAACTCATTTTGCGGTGCTGAGTCATCCGCATGCGGCTCATTTCCGCACAATCTGGAACCGATAATGTCATCGATCTGAAAATAGATTTTATTATTCATGATGTTTAAATGAACAAACTACTACATAGAAGATTTTCCCATAATTGGCGAACAACCAAAATAGCTTTGATGTCTTGAGTCTTAAAACTTATGTTAATTTTTCGTGAGAGATTTGCTACACATTATAAACAATAGTCGAAGAAATTTCAAATTTAGCAATTCATAAACCATACTCACTTCGGTAGCATTTTGCACAGTAAAAGCCGTCTGTTTTTCCATTCCACATAGGAAACTGGGCGGTCATGATAGGAATAATGTCTGCGCATTGTGTTAGCAAGTAGAATGCCATACACCCAAATGTGTATGAATTAATTTGAATCGAATTATTAGAAACACTCGAATGTTTTAATGGATGGGTTGGCTGGGAATGCACTGGGTGTGTATAGAGGCGAGCGCTTCTCGAAATGTAGCAAATTGGCTGGCGTTCTGGCAAGCTAACGGTGGGACCCCCGACAAAAAAGGCAAGTCGCTTCTCTCGGTTTGTGGCCTTGGGCCCTTATTAAAATTCGTGTTTATGGTCATGCACAAAATGCGAGAAAATGTGTGTTTTTTCCCTCATTTTGGTTGTAATCCGGGTAGCAGAATAAAGCAAAAAAAACAACTGCGTGACTTTTTCATGATTTACTAATTGGATTGAGTCAATTGTTTGAAAAAAAAACGAACAAGAAAAAAAGAAAATCATAACAAAGATCCAAATTTCTGCGGAAATTGGAAATCTACATCAGAGGATGCCTATATTTAGAACAATTGCGTATGAGCGGCAGGAAGTTTATTTTTGCATACCGGAAACGTTCAATGTTCTTGAAAAATAGTCGTATCGAATTGAAAGCAGCGAAATGAACGAGAGTTGGATTGAATAGGTTCATAATTTGATGGAATTCTGATGCAATACATTAGACAAAATTACCACCAAAATCACTATAAAATCTCGTATGATATGATTAACTACTGCAGATTGTGAGATTAAAAACATATTTTTGAGGAAAAAACACATTCTTATACCATATGAATAATGGTTATTTACATCGCAATCATACCTAGAATTTTCTGATATTTTTGTAGAGAATATTATACTGATTGAGCTTCTGTGAAGTCAACCAAGTTTAACTTTTTTTCTGGTGAAAGTATATTTATGAGCCTGTGATATTGAAATTTAATAATAGCTAATAGTTATAGAATGCTTAATACCTTCCGGAAATAATGAGAATTGTTGTGACGTAAGCTTCTAAATACGGATTATGGTTACAAACAATTCGAAATATTTAATCATTCGAATCGGATCGTAAAAAATAATCATTTGAATCGAATCGTAGTATTTTACATATTTAAAGATTTACCATGTGTATCTAAAATAACATCTATAAAATGTATAAAAAACAATTTTAGCGTGAAAAATTACCTGATTTCTTGGACATTTTTGGAAATTTCCGACACAAACATGGAGAATAACGAATAATAAATGCGAAAACTAATTTTTAAAATCTTTGACGATAATTTGAAACTCATTTAAAAAGTTTGCTCGACTAAAAATTGGCTTGAAACGTTTTTTTAAATTGAAATATTGATTTCAATATTTTTAAAGTTAAGAAAAAATTTTGAGCTTTCAAAGGAAATTAAATTATTAATTATTTGTATGTATTCAACACCACCTTTAAATTTTGTCGGATTGAGCAACTGCCTTTGAATACTAAATAACAAAAAAAGTGAGGTAGTTGACAGTCATATCATCTTATTAAAAATATATATGACAAAGTCAACCCAAATTAAATTTGCGAAACAGACACAACACACATAGTGGAAGATTTCGCACAAAAGGTATTTAATTTTATTTGCATTGAATGCTAAATAATTTATTAGCTCGATGCTCTATTTATGCATTGTTGATGCATAAAAATTGCTGAATGCCCGCCATTAAATAGGATAATAACTACGATTGACATTTGAATAAAATCGATGATCGTAATAAAAACTCTGTTCAAAATGAGGTTTTGAGATGATTTAAATAAGGAAGTACTTAAACAGGTGACTGAATAAAATCGATATCAAACATGGTAATTTTATTTTTTAATTTTATTCTTCCCATCAGACCAAAGAATCTGATCCGTATATATCGAAGGGGATTAATTTGTAAGAAAAAAATTGATACTGCTCTATTTATCAAAATACTGATTCATTTGCTTGATTTTTTTGCAACTATTTGAAATAAGCTAAATTGTCACAACGACTACGGCCATCTCTCTCTCTCTCTCAATATATAACTAATAAGCTTTATTTCCCGATCGCAATGATTTTGAAAATATTATGAGCAATTTACGAAAGAGAATTTCTTAGGAATCTTTAGGCATTATGATGAAATACATATAAAGAAAGGTGACAGTATAATAAAGAAAAATTAGAAATTAAAGAATGTACAGCGATAAGCATTTTTTTATTTATTTAAGGAATCGTAACTTTTTTTGGAAAGGAGTTTTGGAAAATTATGGTCAAATTCATTGTTCATAAACACTTACGATTTTTGAAATCCAAAAAATGAAAGCATAGAGTTTGACTATATTGCGTACTCTTGGTGTATAATTGGTTTTTTTAAGTCGGGGAAGATGGATTTGTTGACTTAAAACTGTAAAATTTCAATAGTAAAAGAGCAAGGATCTAGTTAAAAAAAAGGAAATAAAACATGTAACATAAATATCTTAATTGTTTTGGTGCCCAAAAATACTCTTCAAATTTTTTTTGCAATATAATGGATATTCAAATTTATGCAGTATTTAGAAGACAATATTTTGGAGGAAAAATATGGAAAAAATAAGCATGCAGAAATAAATTGGATTCCCCATAGAAACACCAAATTTAAATGGAAAATGGGAAATTTCCATTTTTTTTCTGATTTTTGCTGAAATTTTTATAGCGGTCATTTATGTACATTTTTGAAAAAGAAACTTTAAAAACTGTAAAAATATTGAAACCATATGGAATGAACAAATAGATTTTATAAAATTGCAATTTAATTTCATTGCAGAAATTTCAAGTGGGATTTTTTTTAAAATTTGAATATCACATTTGACTATAATTGAAAGATAGATTAGGTTAACAATAGACTCACCGTTTTCTCAGAGGGAACATTCTATTTTTGTTTGGTCGGTCGAACCACTTAAGTTGATGTCCAACGATGATAAAATTAAAGACGGACTGAATCAGACTCCTCAATAAAAAGACGTGTATAGCATAAAAAAGAGTGAGGTAGATCCTGAGGACCTGCACATATACACAGACATAAACAAGAAAAAGACGTTTTGCTGAACGAGTGTCCAATGGGACCGACGATTTTTGACGTAATGAACGTCCAATGTTCAATAGCTGATCGGCAACTTGCAAGATTCGTTATGCAAAGCTAAACTGATTTTCACCGGCGACGAGCAGATTTCGAAAAAAAAAAAACAACAACAACGAGACGGGCACAATAGAGGAAACCTATTTTTACATTGAATCAATTTTCGCAAGGATTACTTCTGTTCAAAAACACACATTCTTCTTTTTTCTGCTAGGAAATTACTGCAAAAGAGTGCTGGAGATGCACAGTTGGTCAGTTAGTTTTTAACACGTCACAAATGACCCAACCTCGCGAAAACAAAACACATGTTTTCCCGATTTGATGCACTATTCAACACATCTCACTGACTTTCCTTTCAATAATGGGTGACAACTCGAAATGTGATTCTAATTTCGCAATGTGTTTCTTTTTAAGAATGTTTTTGAATTTCACGTCTGGCATCTCATGAATTTATGTGCTGAAATAAAAAAGGCATGTATGCATAATGATGCGTTGTTGTTTACCGTTTTGGTGAAAATCTTAAAAACATCAGTTTAACGATCACAACTCAAGATCTCTAAAGGATTTTGAATGATATGTAACTAATGTTTAACTTTTGTTAATTCTTAAGTTTCAATGGGAAGAATAGCAAACGTAATTCATCAGCGGGTAGATGCGCACGTGTTACCGAGGGTTTAAAGGTTTTCATGAAATAGTTTCAATATGAAAATTATTTGATTAAACTTGAAAAATTTTTTGGTTTCGGTGTGCCCGAAATAACAAGTTTGACATGATCCGACGGTTTAAATTGTTATAGAATTATTTTTCTTTTCAATTCAAAACTAAAAATTTAAACACAATATTGAGTAAAAATGATTTTTTTACGGAAGTTATACATATTTGAAACTAAATCGGCTATAACATCCGAATATTCCCAATAAACACGCGAATTTTTATAGTAATCTTAAGTTAAACAAAAATGAAGTTTTGAATTAACCTCAAATTTTTTTAACTGAGAATTTCTCTAAACTTAACTTAACAGTAAATAAAAACCTACACAATTTTGCAAAAACTTTGAAATATTTATCAAAAGATAATTAAAAAACAAGCTTCAAAGTGAAAATGATCCAAGTGGAATGAGATTCCTATGGCACCAATTCCGTAATTGAAACAATATGAATCCAAACTGCAAATATGTTTCGTGAAATTTACAACAGTCTCAGTCTCTTTCAAATTCCCATGTTGATTTGCTAAAATGGAGAAAAATTATTTTTCCAACAGCATTTTTTGAGTTTCGTTGCATACGAGTAGATGCATTTTAAAACGTTTAATGTATGAATATAAAATGTGACACGAATTCAACTTTTTATATTAATGAAACCTGCTGATAGACAAAGATTTTCTAGTCTATTAGTAATAAAATTGAAGTGTAATTAAGCTATTAAAAATTGCCGGATTCACGTGAATTTTAAATATAATTGTATAAAAGAAAGGCTTATAGCGCGAAATAAATTTGATAATGAGTTTTCAATCAGTTTTAAGTAAAAAAAAAAACTATTTTGATCGTTTACGATAATACATATCAGTTTAGTCGACATTGAAATAAAATAACATACGAATGCAAATTTTGAGAGAAGAAGCCTTTTTTCAAAATAAAAGGAATACAAAAACAAACACAAGTAGACGTTTTCCAAATAAACTTCATGTGCGTCTAATCCCCGACGATCTTTTCTATGCAATATAACTTTTCTCTCTTCTTAGGCTGATTTCAAAGATTTTTAAAATCATATATCTTTATCCGAAATTGTTTTTAAAAATGTTCCAGAAGAAATCGATATCAACAAACATGTTCATTAGAAAAAATTATAAACAAAACTTTTTAACCAGCTTATTTTAACGAATTTAATCGAGAAGACGATTTCCAGTTATTTTAAAATTAAAACATGATGGAAAAAAAATGTTTTCTTTCTGACTTGATTTAACTGATTCAAATCTAAAATGGAGCGACGTCATAGAAAAAAAAAACACAATACGGAACATCATAAAAAAACATTTAAGGAATGTAATTAAAAAGAAAATGAGCATAAATCGAAATGGGAATTTTTAAAGAGGTTTGAAGTTTAATGATATTCATTGATTCGGATTTTTGGAATTTTCGAGAACAACTCATCAGATTAGAAGAAAAGAATGGAGCGTAACGAAGTGCGACAATGACAACCATTGTTTAATTGGGGGTTCCATTCTCTCTTCTGAAGTCCGGCTTTGCGGCCGTGCTTTATTCAAAGAAATATTCGTATTTCCGCGGACTATATATGTCTAAATTTTTACATTTATTGGTAATAGGAAAGGGAGAGAGAAAAATATGCTAGTCGTTAAAAGCAAAAGGTTTCAAGCATCAAAGGTTGCTATGTTTCATACATTGTTTAGCTCTCTACATCAGGAATAAATAATAGATTGGATCCCAAAATTAATAATACTAGCCTTGACAAAGTCATCATTGGTTCATTTCGTGCTTCTCAAGCGCGCTCAATATTCTGTTGATTCCATAATAAAGAATAAGAAATATGATAGGCCAGAACGCGATGAGCCGGCTGAATGCGCAGCTTCGCGATATATCATCTCAAGATTGGTTTTGAAACCATTCTCGAAACTTTTTATTATGTCATTATACCTCCGTAATACAATAGCGGTGGAAAAATGTGGTGAAGCAAATGACGCACCGGGTCCTATTTCAAAAACGAGCAAAAAGTTGTCTCAAGAGGGAAAAAAGAAGATGGTTTTAGTAAGTAACATTTGTTCGCATATGGCTATGAATACTTGAACAACAGCGTAGGTATTATATCATTCAAAGTTCTACATGCGAATGTTTATAGGAAAGATATTTTTTGAGCGTTTGATTAATTATTCCGATGTAGACAGGTGAACAAATATTTTGCCGATATTATAGCAATTGCATTTTACATGCAGACGTTAAAAACATGACTTTAAGAGTTTCGAAAAAAAAATTTAAAATTTAAATGAGCTTTGAAGAATTTTAATGAACACATCCCTGAAAAAACAAACAACCAAATTGACTAATCAAAGTTCTCTAAATAATGTTTCTCAAAATAGTAGGATGAGAATTCGGAATACTTCAAAATGCAACTTAATCTTCTCACATGTTCGACATCCACTTCAAAGAGATTTTCGTACAAAGAATAACATTGTTGACTAAAGAAACCTTCTCAATTGAGTTTAGGCAAAATAGAATGAAGTTGCATGAAACTGGTTTTCTTGATGGAATGAGATACTTACATAACTTGGGAAATTTCGCATAATTGTATGCTGATTTAAAAAAAATTGGCAGAAAATAGGTCAAAAGTAATTTTGCTTTACTTTGCACGCGTATAAATTCCAACGATATTGTTCTTAAATTATTTTTCTTACAGTTAACATAGTGCGAGTTTCAAATAAAAACGTATTATCTTTGAATTTGGTCGTAAAACCACTTCTAATGAATACATTTGAAAACTCCCATTTTGAGTTTTTGATTCGAAGAAAAATGGTGGAGAAAACTATTGAGAAAACATTAATTCGTGAAAAAAAAACAAAAGAATTGAAAAATCTATCAAGCTTCTCGCCGGCATTTCGAAAGCCGCTGCAAGTAAACCACTTTAAGATAATTTATTGGTGATGCCAATTCTCAATGGACAAATGACCTATCATTGATAAAGCGTTTATTTGAGAGACACATTTTCTAATTTGAAGAAAGGATCATCCGAACCACATGTTTCTGAATTTCAATTATATTATACTTTCTATATGAATGCTTGTTTCTGGGAACCCAAAAGAATTTAGTCATTTAATGCAGTTTTCTAATTTCTGATGAATTAAAAATAATTTGTTATTGGCTTTTCAAATCTCGATTTTCAGGCAACCATGACAGTTTTTTGATCAAATACCGGAGATATTTCACGATTTTATTTGCATTTGATTATACTATGATGCATATCGAATCGTTGCTTGTTGCTTGCATGCAATAAGCTTATTGAAATTCAAATCATTTTATTCCGTTATAAATGGTGATTCCTGTCAAAACAAAACCATAGGACATTAATATGACGCACCTGCGAATTTTTACATTTCTCCTCATCATTGCAGCGAACCCGTGGCCGGTTAATGGAGGTAAGAAATTAACGAGAATATGTAAAACGACATGCAAACGTGTTTGATAGTTTGAATGAGCTTCCTCTAAACACTTCAGAAGACCTTGTTGCTGCTAATTATAGGGCTTTGCCACCGAGCATGCATCAGCCGCGAAACATTTTCCGTGTCCAGATTGCCACCACTTTTCACTTTTTCCAGCACACCCGCGAATTAAACGGCAAGGCGGATACGGATGGAATGGTTGGAATGAAAATAATGCAATGGGAATGGGAATGAGGCCTGGAAATCAAGGACCACCTCCACCAGACGATACCATCAAAGGAAGTGTAGGTACTTCAGAAAGTTCTAATTCAAACGGCTCAAATATTAATAATAGCGGACCATGGGAACCAAACGGTAATTCATTTATTTTTCGATTATCTTAATTCAATTGTCAGGAGAAAATGGTTATATTGGTAATGTTGGAGGATATTCAAACGGATGGAACAATATGGGACCAGAACCGATGCCTGGAACAAACCAAAATACTATGAATGGAAACTGGAATGGTGAAGGAAATAATGAAAACAACAATGACAACAAGGAAATTGTTGGAAGTGTCGGCGTAGAAGAGCCTACTACAAGAAGACCTATTTCTGGTGATAACAACAATATGAATGGATACAATGGTGGATATGGAATGGAAAATAATTTTGGAATTGAAATGAATAACAATAATTGGGGTCCTAATCCATGGGGTGCTGCACTCAAGTGAGTAATTTGCATTTGACAACGTTTTCCTTACACAATAGTATGTCTGTAAATTAATACTTTTTGTATTTTTGTAAATTAATACTTTTTGTAACTTTTTGTAATTTTTGTTTACTCAACAAGTGCGTATATATCATTTATATTAATAAAGAACAAAAATCCGCAATTTAAAAAATTCATAAAAAAACAATATTGTTAAAGAGAACAACCGTAGTATTTCATTTGTTCATAAAATTTGTGGTAACATTACTAAAAAAAACATCAACAAGAAATAGAGAAGGCGAACAAAAGCAAACAAGAATCTACATTATGAATTACAATTAAATATGTGAATTGATTTTTGAGATTATTTATTCTTTTGTTTTTGTTTTTTGCAATAACAATATGGCCGCAAATATTCGGTATCAATGCAATCTGCTGTTTTCCCATAGCGGTTACTCCTGTCCACAGTGCCTAACACCGTGATAATTCCATCAATACCCACTCGAATTTTTGCCTAGACACATCATTAGAGTTTCAATATTGCACACAAACCTTGAAAGCTGCTTCACTTGGTTTTTTTGTAATAATATCAACATTATATATCGAGGCGTTGTTCAATTTGTCATCATACAAGCTAATTTTTGTCGTATTATCGTAATCCATTGCAATACATTTTTCTGTTAGATTATTTTGACGAAGAAGACTGTTTACTTTTTCAGTGATTGCTTTTCCCGCTTGAATCGATATGTCAGAATTTCTGAGAATTTCAGATAACATGGAAAATGACGTCATATCACTTACTTGTTCTGTGGAGTTGAAGTAAATTGACAAATACAGTATTCCATTGGAATTGGAAGTGTTCGACAGGTTCTCTCAAAATTCGGCTGTCTTCGCAGTAACGAATTGCCGCGAGCTCCAGGAATGTCAATTGGTTCAGTTTCCAGAAATGCGCTTTTTGGCTGATGCTGTATTATAAAATGATTTAATTGTTCCATTAAAGTGTTAGATTTTCTACCAACAACAGATCTAATAAAGTTGCGCGAGTATCATAATGGGTTTGCAGTTTCCTCGAATTATCTTTCAAAATATCTAGAATGTTCGTCGTCTTTCTCAGTTTCTTCGGAATAGATATCATTGTAAACGGATTGTTGACATCAAGCCCCCCAACAAATGTTGATCTCACCTATAAATCCAAATTTGTTCAAATTTAAGATAACATACACGATAAAAACTGTGAACTTACACTTCCAAATCGCAACCCGTGGTCACCCAAAATTATAACAAACGATTCATCCATCTGAAATCATGCATTTAATATTTTCATTTCGAATTAAAAGTGTTATTTACCACTTTTCGATTCCTAAGGAAAAAATTATGAATGTCTTTATCAGAATGGAAAATTCCGTTTTCAGAGTTATGACCCAAATGTGTCGCCCATAACCATGCAAATTTCCTTTGATCTATAAAACATAGTCAATATGGTTTTATTTTAAAGCGACATTCATTCGTATTAATAATGTTGCATTCTATGCTCTTACCTGGATAAGCATTTATAAACTGTTCCATATAATCCAACAGGGTGTGATGATATTCTCGGCAATATCTTTTGCCGTCCAAGTGTTTCTTCGTCATTTCAGTTCCGCTTTTTTCATAAGCAATTTGAAATGGCCTGTTATTTAAGGAAATGTTTAAAATCTTATCTCGAGTTACCTCATGTAGTGGTGTGTTATTGGTTTCTCAAAACCTCTGCAATTTGGCCAGTTTAACGTTCCGGCAGCCCAATCTTCAGCTAGCAATGTCTATTGAAAATGGGATATTTTAAGTGATATTTGGCAAGAAGAAACCTTGTATCCATTATTTTTGAAATCGGTGAAGATGTTAGATTCGTTATCTTTAAATGTGTAGCAAAAATACTGATGTTTCCAGTCTGGCTCAATCGATGGTTCACCGAACAATGAACGGTCAACCTTCTCTAATGCTTTTCCTAAATTTTTAATGTTATTTTTTACACAAACAGTTTAAAATCTTGAAAACCTACCAAACCAAATTGCGACGCCATTTGGTCTACTGTTATCTCCAACTTTGTTCATATATGGAAATGGAACTGCGTCCATATGACTTTGGAAGTACGAAAGAGTTCGCGGAAGGGAACTGAAATACAAAAAAACTATCAATGAGTTTTAAATAATTTGTTACCGTTTCGCCTGTGAATATGACAGAGAGTCGATAAGAATTACATAAACGTCGTAGTTTGTTTTTGTATCGTTATTACGGTTTGTATTGTTATTCTCAGAGTTTCTACAAATTAGAGTTTGATTCTGTACAACGCGACATACTTACAGAGGATCGTGAACTGGGAGTATTTGTGAATGAAGATATCCATAAATTTCTTTTCCATCTTTTGAGCAAGATGATTCAACTATTTCGCAGTTGACCTCCTTTTCATCCGAACTCCAATCACTTATAATATTGGCTTTCTCGCTTTTCCTAGTGTGACACCTAAATAATTTTGAAAAAGTTGTAATGAACTTATAACTAGCCTCCATTTACACTGCATTTTCTTGTCATCGCTAATGACCTTCCATTTTCCGTTCTTCAATTCAGTCAAGGGTTTCAAATCAGGGTCACACTTTTTCAATGGGTTCTCGTTGGGATTGACATACTGGAAAAATACTATTTGAAATATATTAATAGAAACATGAAATTCGTCAATGCAGATTGAAACTCGAAAATTTTTCCTATACAAACTAAAAAAAAAAGTTAGACTCTGCAAAAACACCCATTACCAAAAAAAAACTCACTCTGATAATTTCTTCTGCCCAAACGTCATATTTCGGTAGAACACACTTATCCCAAAAACTTTTCTTTTTATCCGGTTCCTCAAATGACATGAGTGCTCCAATTGGTTTGTAGTACACTCCGTTCGGAACTGGACTAATTTCATTGTCCGGGTAATATGATATGACAGTTATGAATACTATGTAAATTAAAATGCACCCTGATCCGACTAAAACTGATAATGGAAACCGTAGCATAATCTGGAATTTGTTTTAAAGTCAAAATAACGATAGAAAATATAATGGATTTGATAAGTAGTAAAACGTGAAGTGAAATTTGATAGCCTAATAACCGTGGAGAATATTTGATGAACAGATATATTGAGAAGCGCACGATAGTTGCTCGATTTTGTTTAACAACTTTCAGGAAGTCAGATAAAATTTAATTTATTCATGAACTATAATTTTCGTGCTTTTTGTGGAGTGGAATGTAAATCAATTTATCGAATGAGCTTCTACTTCCGACAATAAGAGTCTTAATGCATTCCTAAAAAAATTGATTTTTTAGGACGAGAGAAACAAAAATACATATGGCAAGACAAAACAAGGAAATTAGGTCTCCATGGATTCGAAGACCAGAGTCTTCACATAATATAGTACCTCTAACAACTCTTCTCCTTAGATAAACATGACGCTAAAGTGGGTGTGGTCATATCATTTGAATAGGTCTGATAGTGATAACAAAATGAGAGATTAAATTCTTGACGATATCGAAAAATTTTAAATAATTAGTACTTGAAATGTTCATACAGAAGTCAGTTTGCCAATTTTTCGACTGATTCTTGTGAACTTACCACTTTGAAAAATACAATGGTTGAATGCAATATAAAAGAACATCTTGACAATTCAATATTCTGTCAAGGTAAAATGTTTCTTTTGAGTGCACTTTCTAACAGTGATTGATTGAATTCGTTATAAATAATCATTTTCCAGTAATCGATTTATTTTTTGAGTATTCGATTAATTCGCGTTACTGTATATATATATGTATATATTTATTTATTTATTTATATACAATATGTGCAATGTTTTTTTTTGCATTTAAATCTATATAAAAGAAAAAATCTTACAGCAGCATACTATTTTTGTACGAAAAAATGCATTTGAATTTGCGCGATTTCAGTCATTTGAAACAACAATGTTTTTATAATAATTTCAGGGTGGGTTTCTCGTGAACATCAATGCACGAAATGAAACAGTTAGAAGGCAACGACCGATTAAATTTTCTTCGGAAAAAATCAAAAACACATTTTCTATTTAAATCGTGAAGCAAGAAAACGATAGTTTAAAACCACGATATAATAAATGAGACATGGTAGTTAAAAAAAAAATAACGAAAAAAAAATGTTAAAAAAATGATTTAATATTTTATGAATTTGGATTTTATGTCGTATCTCTCAATTATAAGCCTTACAACGGTTGCATCATGACGGCATCGGTGAAATGACATGATTTAGTCTGCATTTGATTTCCGATTTAGGTGAATTCAATTGAATAGTTACGGGGTATTCATCGAATCCGTCATCAAATATTATTTCATTACTATACATTGATATTTATAACAAAAAAGAAATAAAAATTAAGCATTATATCGTTCTGTTGAATCAGACAGTCAAAAGAATCAGCATTGCTAACAAATATTTGCAAATCCATAATGTATTCATGAATCTACCGTCATAAATTATGTGAATTCTTCAAAAATCAATACTATTTTTAGAATGAGATTCATATGATCTTTTGAGTTTTTGAATTCTATAGAGACGGTAATATTTATTTGAAGTTCTTTTGGAAGGCATAACATATTTTCTGTAATTATAATAATTAAAAGTAAAGCATTAGTTGGAATTATTCTGGTGATGGTTTGTGTTGAAACAGTTCAAGCCGAATGGAAGAGCAGATGCAAAAATCTGAAATAAAACCATATGTCGACCATTGCAAATGACGTTTTAAACCGGATTAAACGGCATTTGGCTGAGTTGAAGAGTTCTGTCTTGAGCCAATCGCTTACATTTATATCTTCGATTTTGAAACCAAATTTTGACCTGCAAATGAAATAAAGAAAATAATGATCAAAATTGCAAAATTTTTTGGTAGAAGCCGTTATATGTTTTTTTAATCATATGTGTTGGAAAAAAAAGGAGTTATTTTCGAATATAATATATATATTTTCTAATTCATCAATTTTCTATCAATTATAATGACAAATATCGAATATTGACGAAACATTAACTATAAAAAATAATCATTTTCTGTTTTGAAACACTAGTGGCATTTTTCAATGTTTCATTGCTCACCCTTATCGTGACTTTTTTAAGACTCATAATAAATTTCAATATTTGAAAGATAATTTTTTTTCTAGAACTCTTTTTAAAAAATCCGCATAACACAATACCTGAGTGGCCGTCAAACCAAGATTTCGTGCTAACTCTTCACGTTCACTTGCAGTCACGTAACGTTGTTTTTTGAAACGATCTTCTAATTCGTTTACCTGAAAGAAAAATGAACGCCTGGACGCTATTTCTTCGAAAGAGATTACCTGATTTTGTGTGAATAAAACACGTGGTTTTCTTTTGTGTTGCTGGCTTCGAAGATTTATTTTCGGATATTTTTCCTGCGACATTTCGAGACATTTTGGTGGAATAAATGTCGATGAAAGGGATGAATCTAAAAAAAAATATTTATACTTTTTGAATAGACAATATTTTGATAGCATACTGTAATAAAATGGTGAAGTATCCTGCGGTAATTGATTAGGTGACTGTAACTGATAAGAATTAGGTGGAATCGGGAAAGTTTGCTCGAAACCATCAAACATTGGAAATCGATTACAAGTTGACAAATTAGGTGCTTTAAAATTAGTCTCAGATTGTTCAGATGAAGGAGCAGAGCTCGGTTGCATGACGAAACTCAAGCAATGATGTGTCGAACTGGATGGGCTCCATTCGAAACTTTATCCAATGACGGCTATTGAATATCCTAATTTTCACACTCACCAACTGTTTGTTATCCATTAAAGGAAATTGAGATTCTCGGGGACCCACTTGTATCTTCCCATTTCTTTATTTTCTCCCACGACATTTGCCGACAGGGAAATCTGAATACTAGAGAGTCTGATGTTAAAGTGAGACTGTCAGTATTTTAAAAAAATTAAAAATGAATTAATATGTTATTAAGAATATGTTTATACAAATGTACAATTTAAATAAAGTGAAAACAAAAAACATATATTATTTCAAACGCATGAATTATAATGATTGAAACTATTTTTGTAATGAATCTATTGCCTAAAAAAGTTATCGTATTTATCATTTAAGTCAATTCAATCCGATTTTTTTTAATTGAAAAAAATTAAAATAAATAAATTTTTAAGTGATTGTAAAATGTAATTAACAATATGTGTTAATAACGTTTTTAATGGATTTCGTTTTTTATAAATTAAAAAATGTTTTTTTTTTCATGTTAATAGATTGTTGCTCATTCTCCGCCAAATTGAATAGAATAAGATCGGGATACATATCTGAAAATCATTTCAGGTTATGTGAAAAGTAGCATGCCACATACCATTAAAAAAACACAACACATGCTCCAGTTAACGCCATTCAAATATTGAATGAATTTTGCTGTTTTGTAGTTTTCTTAATGAACAATTTCTACATAGTATTTTGCGATTTAATATTTAATTTACAAATATTACTAAAAAAATTAAAATTATTATTGAGCACACACAATTTCATATAAGAATTTGCTTCAATTCGATGCAGAATGAAGTTTCCAATTGTTTACTTTGGTTCCTGCAAATCCTAAAAGTCGTATTTTCTCATTCCAGATTTACGCTCGACATTCCTTTGCCATTTCGCCAACCAGCCTATAGCGTTAAAAATCTCATTCCGTCAAGAACAAAAACTGTGAGGCATAAATCTTCAGAAACACGAAATTAATTTCAAAATAAGGCCAACATGTGTCTGAATGGGCGACATTTAGCTGTTTATTTGATGCCTTTCTTCCTCGAGGACCAACAAATTTTGCATTGTTTGAGCGACGCCGCCCATCGCGTTTATATATGATTTTTTTCGGCTCGAAATTGATTTCTCGTTTGAACGACCGAATTAAAAAAAACCGGCGAGGAAATTTTATTGGCCAAATTTTGTATCGCAGTCTCTTCGCTTCTTTTCACATTTGCCCATTTCGATCAAAATTTGTGTTTCGATGACGTATTGTTTTTTTATGAAGCCTTGATCAAGAAACAGTTGCTAAACATCGTTTGTATTCGAAATCAACATTTTTGTCTTCGTAACCAACTGAGATCCAATACACAAATTTTATTTTTAAATATTCTTTATAATCTAACTATGTCTACAACACAATTTTATTTCAGGAATTCACTGCATACCGTTTTATTCTTCGGTTTTTGAATTCGACGGACTCTCGAATTTCATTGATCGATCATGTTCAATCTGCTGTTCGGCTCGAAAAAGCCAATTCCACCACCTCGTTTTGCTCCAAACTCACCAAGTTCGTTCTACTAAAAAAATAAAAAAAAATAAACAAATGGTAGAATACAAAAATTGAATCTGGCACGAGTATGCTTTTTTTAAATAATAGTTATATGTAGAGTAACAATGCTTCTATTTCTCACGATGATTTTATTTAAGCCATTTCAACGCAGACAAACAAAATAATCCGAACAAAAAAGAAATGAATAGGAAACTGAAGAATTGTCCGATTTTGTAAATTTCGCTTTACTGTTTATTTAATTGCGCTATTTTAAATGCTTTTAATGACTTTTCAATGTTTGAGAAAAACTGAATCAAACAGTAAACACATATATGTAAAAATTCGCGATGACGTTCCCTATAATAAAAAAAATAACTGTGGTTTCAATTGATACGTGGATGTGTCATTTTAATTGATTATTGAGGTTTACTGAAAAATATTGTACTATAAGTTTGTGATGTGTTCCTTTTTTAAAACGAACAAATGTGAAAACAATTTTCACTTCATTCTTCGAAGCACATAATATCACCGGTTTCAATTCTTTCTAATTATTTACCAACCAACCGAATTGGCATATCATCTCCAAAATTCATCATCATTGGTATCTATAAATTCTATTGTCCCGTTTAGTCATTTTCGTGTTTCTTTTTCAGTTTTGCGAATATTCTGCCATACTTAAGTTTTCAAGTTTCGAGAGTTCCAGTGGTAATTTATGAAATGATTCATTAACTGATATGCTTCCGTCATATTGATTCCCCCGACGTGAGTTTCCTGTCGAAATTTCCCCCGATTTTCGATTTTCTCTTGAAACACAATTTGTTTCAAAAAAACGAAGATGAATGTGTCAAGTATATTCGAATGGATCCGAATAAGAGCGGCTCTTGAATGTCGGTTTCGTTTCGAAATTACCAATTTTAGTCGTGTTGGCGTCAAAGCCTTTTTGTGTCGGGATTGGATATTAAATTGGCACCACATTTTGCCTATTAAAAATTGTCGTTATAATTTCATTCCGTCATATTTCGTGAAGAAACTACTTCCATGACGACAAGACTTTTTGCACTATCCAGATCAATGAGCAATTCAGCAAGTGAGCCTATTATTTTCTCATTTATGTTAACTGAATTAATAAAATGTCACATGATAATCCAATAACAATGCGAAAAAAGTGCGACTACAATAATCCAATATAATCTTATTCTAACCAGTTATCATTTTGATTTGGATATGGATTCTGGTATCAGCGGTATTGCAATTTCTTTCGGCACCAACCAAATTTCAGAATTTGTTCGTGGTATGTCATTTATTTTACATTCCGTTTTTAAATTAACTTGTTTTCTCTAGTGGCTCGCAATTTTAATATAATAAACGTTAACGGCACTTTTCGTAGGTCCTTATAGTCGACGTCCGGCAACTGCTGTACGCAGGTAGACTTACAAGTACATCTTTCGAAATAGTCTCGTACACACGCTTTTTTTGAACTTCATACAAGAACAGTTTAAATTTTTTGATGAATATGATTTCCTTAAATACATAATATATTTGATGTTGAAAATTAACGAAAGTCCTCTAAAATGCAAAAAAATACGTATCATTTGAATATCATGAGATGTTTTACTTTGCCTACTACATAGTATAACATATTCTGTAACGGAACATAATTTATTCTGAGTATCCCTAATGAGCTGGGATTATAATCAATCTGTTAGTGATTGATTCAAAAGGATAATGGAACAGAAATTTCATGGAATTGAATTATGGATTTAAATTCAAAGTAAATAGCTGAAGTTCTTAATTAAAATTTTCACAAATTTTTAAGAAACATTTCTAATGAAATAAGTTACGCGAATTGAATTATACTTCTTGGAGTCTTCAGTTTACTTTTATTTTTCAAAACACGTCCCTCATATCTTATTTATCTCTATTTCTTGATGGGATTAGTTTTCACCGGAAATCATCAGCGTTTAGGATCATGCTTGATGTAATTTCTCATTTAACAAGAAATTAAGTCTGTTTTATTAGGCTTCTTAGAACAGTTAACATTTTTTCCAACTGTTTTCTTTGCAGACAATTCAAAACAATAAAAGTGTAGAGTGAACTTGAGAGTTTATTTGACAACCTCTCCTTTTTCAAAAATTTATTTACAGGAATCGATCGTCTCACCGGCGAACCTCTCCCGGAGCCTGAAATGGAAGACCCAGAGGTAGTAACGAAATTTGCGTTAGGAATATACTCAAAACAATTCGGACGGAAATGTTCTACATCAATTCAATGATATTCATTTCGACATGAGGGCTCACTCAAAAATTTATGATGACAGAATAATGACCTCCGAACATGTCCAGCTGTATCGATGTTTTCTTTTTGTTATTTACGGCAACAAATTACAAATATGTTACCCGAATTGACATACTCTACCGCCACTATTTGAGCGTGTCATCAAATTACTTTAATTTTCTAGGTGGCCGCTGCTCGTCAGGAGCAAGAAAAGCGACGTCTCGAGAAACATCGCAAGATGGAGATGGAGCGCGAGAAAATGCGTCAGCATATTCGCAACAAGGTAAGTTCTGCTTACGTAACTGAGTTTAATTGTTGGTTTTGATTCGTCGGTCATGATCTTTGAATAGTATGTCATTTGGGAACTTCCTGGCCAATCATGTTGTCATGACGGATACTTTAAACCAATGTACAATATTATTTTTATTCAGTACAACCTCAAGAAGAAGGATGACCAGAGTGAGCCTCAAGAGATTGCTGGACGGATTGCGGGTAATCGCAAAACTCCCGAGCAAGTCGCGATGGAGACGTTGGCGGATGAAGATGAAGGTAATTATTTAATTCTAAAGCCATTTCAATATTATTTTCCTATTGTCAACACATATATCAGTTACGGTGTTTGCTAAAAGAAATCAAAAAATGGTCTTTAAGAATTAAAATGTAAATTGAAACGTTAATTAGCCCCACACCTCATATTTGATGTGAAAATGTATCCGAACCTTTTTTTTAATTACCTCGGCAAAAATGATGACCCGATTTTTGCCTACTTTTATAATTTTGAAATGTGTTTTAGCTGAATTTGAAACCTCTATATAAAATATATTCAAAAAATTGCAATTTCAGGAATGATTTCAATTTTCCGAACAAACTTTATTGATATTTTTTGAATTGGTTTAAAATTTCATTATGATTGAATACTTCGAGGAATGTTACGATAAAAAAATCATTTGATTTTTTGGATATCACTGTTTTTGCATAAAGTCATTAAACCTGAATGCATTTTTATTCAATTTATGAACTATGATATAACTAAAAATTAGCGATTTTATTTTAGGCATCTTGGATCAGCTTGGACTCTCCGAGACCTACGAACGAGCGAAGAACGCGGTTTCATCGGTTTATAATGCGGCGCGGACCTACTTCAGCTTCAAATAATTCTGCATACATGAGATTTTTATAACTATTCACAGAAATGTTAAAATCCAAAAAAAATCTGATCCCTCCCTACTAACAATGTATATTTCTACTCTTTAGCCCTCTCTACAGCCTCGTTTAAAAATATATTTTTTTTTAAATGTAGATCTGTGAATAAACATATATATTCGTTTTGTTTATGAGAAACTCTATCAAATCGGATTCTAATTGCTTCTGTAAAACGTTGGTGTGATTTTCAAATTCAACAAATTTGGTACATGAAAATCAAATGATGCAATACATATACGGGCCACATATTTCTAGAACTTTTTTCGCTTTCCTGCAATTGCGAATTACACGATTTGATAGAGCTAGGTTTTATTTGTATTTTTTTTTAAATAAAAATCTCTTAAGCAGTATATGGTTTATCGAAATGTCTGAAAAAGGCGTGGATTCAATAGGATTTAGTTTTTTAGTTCACAAGAAATAAAAATAATAATAGGGGGGCTTGCATTTTTCGAGATAAATCAGTTTCTCAATTTACAGTTAAATTATGATGAAACTATTATAATGTATAAATTGCAAAATTTATGTTAGTTCTCGCACAGCATCGGTTTTAATAATTTTTAAGAATTTCGTTTGAAGCAACTTTTACTTTTTGTATAAATAACTATTATGTATTAAACGTCAATAATGTGAAAAATCAAATATAAAATCAAAAACTAAATATATTTATTTGATTTTTAATATTTATCGATTATTTTCTCGGAAAAATACATCCTAGGATTTATGCTGGTCATTCAATCTCTCACTCATTCAGTCAGTTTTTCTCGATTTCCTTTTTGGACTTGTTCGCCGTGATCGCCATCAATTTCTCTCATTTTTTCAGTTGTGTCTCACTGTTTTCTATTCTGAATCACTAACAATCATGGGCGTCGGCCGCGCATTTTCATCTCCGTTTTCTGCATTCCATGATCAGTTTGTTCCCTTTTCATTAATAAAATAAATTTCTTATAGAAATCACAATGGGAAATGCTGTTTACACCGATCAGATGGTTTGCCATGAGACATTGGACGAATGTAATCAATATTTGTTAATTTTGAAACTGTTTAATAGTGCGTTTCAGGTCGATCTCATTGCGATAAGTCGGAATGTGTATTTGTAGATAAATGCAATGGTGCTGCCAAGCAGTTCATCTGTGTTCCAATTGATCCAAAATTCATGATGTTAGTGTAAACTGTGATTAGGCCACAATATCTGGTGCAAATAATTTCTTAATACATAGTTTTATGACAGTTGTCTCATGGCTGTCAATAGAAGAACATTGTAGTTTAACTACCCATATACAAATTGCGCAACTGATTGAAGTTTCGTAAGCGCATAAAAAAGAATTTTCTTTTTATGGTTTTAGAGGTGTAAGCCGGATTGATTCTATCTTAATTTTTTTTGATTTCTGTTTTTATAACATAATGAACTTCATGTTCTGTTGGGTAAAGCATACAAAGGCAATAAATAAACAAAAAACCTATATACCTCCTAGTAAGGCCCCTTCAGTATTATTTAGTATCGTCATTGTCAAATGGGCTAATATTCGCGTTTCTGTTAGCCATTGTTTTATGAGTTTTTTGGAGCAATCAAAATATCTGAAGGGTTATTTTGGATTTCGAGGGACTGGTAAAGTTAAAACAAATGCGTGTTACATGAAGCGCAAATGTACAAGAAACATGTACGTATAAAAAAAGTATAAAAAGTATACATATATATATATATATATATATATATATATATATATATATATATATATATATATATATATATATATATATATATATATATATATATATATAGAATAATAAAATATATTATGTATAAAATATTAGTATAAACTATTTTTTGCAATTTTTATGAAAATTAAAAACATTTTCTTACTTGTTCAGGTGGATTATGATTGTATCTTTTCTAATCGTTTTACTGGTATGTTCATCATTGGTTGCCTGTTACATCTGTCGCGCTGTTCGCCGGTCATATCAAATGCAAATTCAATACAACTCAAATCGCGAAGTAATCAGAATCTGTCCATAAAAAAACTTTCTGAAATTTGTTTTTAGGTCGTTTTCAATAATCCTGGAAGAGTTCATCATATTCATTGCGACAAGCAATATTCTAATGGTCCGAGACGCCAGTATTAAGAATTTCTTGTGTACTATAAATTGAGTTAGGCACTAATAAAGTCTTAACAATTTCTTAAGACACCGACCTTATCGAAAAACGCAACAAAATCGTGATGCATTTGATCTTAGTTGAAACCAATAAGTCAAAAATCATTTTTCTATTACGGTATCATTTTTATAAATTCATTCTGAACAGTACTAAAAACAACTTTTCATTCGGTTCGGAATAATGTAAGCCGTTTGATGTTCTTGTTTGGATGTTCTCTTTAATGATTAATAAAGCAAAGCTTTAACTATTCCCGTTCAAGTATGATAAATTTATAATTAAAAAGAAATCCTGAAAAATTTTTAGGTGATTTTAAACAGTTTGAGATTTTTACAGCTGTGATCTCTCTCTCTCTCTTTCTCTCTTTATACAACTGAAATCTTAAACTTAACATTTTCACATGACGGACAGGTTCGAAAGCCCTAGGAAATACCTACCGATTTTTTTAATGAATATTATTATTTCCGAATAAGCCAATACCATATATTTGTACGTTTTTCTAAAGTATTTTTTTTAAATTGCAAATATTAATTAATTTAAAAAAAAATTTGTATAGTTCTTTCCATTTAGTATTTCAAATGAAAAACGAATTTCGATTGAAATTGGTCGCTTTGCAGTGTTCGCATTTTCTTGTTATAAAAAAACTTGAAAAAATGTCCAAATATATTTCATTGACTTATTCAGAAACAATAAGTCATATTAAAAAAAAATTACCATAATAGTTTTCTACTGAAGTCATTTACGGTCAATTAACATTTTCTTAAATGAATATTAATTTTTTTTTAATGCGCCTCTTCAAACTTTTGAAAAAAAAATGGCAATTCAATAATCTGCGATGTCTATTGTAGATTTAAATTGTAGATCTTAGTTGAAATTTGGTAATCCTAAAAATGTTGTGAAATGTGGAAAATTTGAAAAATATTCATTTAGGGGGAATTTTTCAATTTCATTAAATTAAAAAAACGTTTTGAAACTTTTAAAAAGTCATACAACTTGTTAATCATAAATGGTTTTTGCCCTAAAAATTGATATTTTCAGTTTTTATAGTCTATATTTTTTATAGTTAATGATTTTTTAAATTTATTTTATTGATAGTAACCATTTCAATTCTTCATTAAAAAAACAGTATTTGTTCTGTTGGTTCCCCGCATTCCACTAATAAAATTATTCACATTTAAACACTATAAAATCGAATTATCGTCAAAACGTGTTATGTGTGCTTAAGAAGTGCGAAAATTTATTGAAAGGTGCCGCCTCCGAACATGCATGTCTCAAAGTGTGAGAGTAAAGATTTTAATTGCCTTTTTATCAACATTTTGACGCATCGCATAATTTTCTGATCCAGACATGTAGCATACTTATACATATATTTATATATGCTAAGCGGACATTAAATTTATAATTGCTATCATTTTATTCAGTTTTTTTGTAAAGATAGAATAGCAAATGTTTCAGCCATGCGGAAAGCTTTAATATTGAGCTTACTTGCCATCGTAGCTCTTGCTGCTCCAAACGACACAATCGAAATTTCAAAAAAAATGGCGGCGATAAATATTAATAGGTAAGAACAGTTATAACATTTCGTGTGAAATATGAAAAATATGTAACCGGCACATTGTTTTCTATGTGATTTTCTTCTGAAAATATCAACATTTTTGAAGTAAGAACACAATTGGAATGTTGCTCAATTTATCGTAACTTTTTATTGCAATATGCAGCTTAAATTAACATCTAAAGTATTAAACTTGTTTCACGGAAACTATAATAAAAAAAACTATTTGAAATAATTTTAGAAATGGCACCTTTCAATGTTCCAAATAATGCTATTAATATATACACATATTCTGTTAACTTATGTGTTTCACTACTTGTCGCTGGAAAAAATTGAACGTCAACACTTACGATATTTATTATATTATTGTTGCAGAGTTTTAACTTAGTTCAGTTTAATCTATTGAACAATTCTCACAAAATATGTTCTCACATAATTCTCGGTGCAAATTGTAAATTTCTGAACTTCAACTATGGCGAATGACGTTGTCAGGAATCTGGTCGTAAACTCTAATCACACTCAATTAATTGCAGAAGTGAGCCTCTATCGACGTCGACCAGTGAACAAAATGTTCATAGCGAAACGGAACCATCACACGGGGTTAAGGTTGCTAGTTTCAAATGGGATTATGTCAAGGAACCTCTTGTGCTTACATTTTTCTTCATTATTATTGGAATATTCAAACTAGGTAATGCTCATGTTTTTCGTTATCATATAACCTGACTCACCCAATCAGCTGGAGTTGAAGTTTTTCTTTTCATCTGACCGAAATTGGCGGCATAGTCAAGAGATGACTAACAAAGCTCTTTCATTGAATAAATAGCATCGATATGAGCAAGATCAAATGAATAGTGATCAAAGAAGCATCATTTCAGTATACCATCATACGCGATACACAAAAAAACTCTTACCGGAATCATGTCTTCTGATTCTGCTTGGAATGCTACTGGGAGTCATTTTCATGTAAAGAAAAAACTGAGAATCCACTGTAATTATGCATATCTTGTAGAGGGGACAAAACCCATGAATCTATCAAATTTCTGGAATTCAATTCTAAAACATTTTTCTTTTTCTTGCTACCACCTATCATCTTGGAATCAGCCTATTCCCTTAAAGATAGAGCGTTCATTGAAAATTTTGGAACAATCGTACTTTATGCTGTCGTGGTATGATTCTTATAGTTTATTTTTATTTAAATATTTTGTTTTCACAAATGTTTTGAGCGTTTATTTTGTTCCATAATACTAATGGATCTATAAATTATAAAGTATAGACAAGTTTTACGGCAGTTTTAACAAAATAATTGATTGTATAACTCAGGGAACTGTTCTCAACATCGTTCTAATTGGCGGCATGTTACTTCTACTCGGTGCAATTGGTTTAATAGGAGGAATGAATCTCTCCGTTCTTGACACATTTGTATTTGCATCCCTTATTGCTGCCGTCGATCCTGTTGCGGTAAAATTACTTTATTTTGAACGAAATCGCAATTAATTTTTTTAGGTTCTCGCAGTGTTTCAGGAAGTTGGGGTCAATAAAATGCTATATTTCATGGTGTTTGGAGAATCCCTACTGAATGATGCTGTTACTATTGTTTGCTACAATTTGGCCATTGAATTTCAAGAGCTTCCCTATTTTTCGTTTGTCGATGTTATACCAACAATGAAAACAATACATTTTTTTTCCAATTTTCAGTGCGTCCTCGGATTTCTGGCATTCCTTTGCGTCTCCCTTGGTGGCCTTTTAATTGGAATTGTATGCGGCGTGATTTCTTCATTTATAACAAAATTCACTCAAGATGTTCGAGGTCGATTCATGTTTGAATCAAAGCAAAATAATAATTGAAATTGTTATAGTTGTCGAGCCTGTTGTTATTTTCGGAATGGCATATTTAGCTTATCTTATTAGCGAATTATTCCATTTCTCCGGAATCATCGGGTATACATTATCGAAAATTGAAAGTGCTAAACTTTTTGATGAAATTTGCAGATTAATTGCTTGCGGTTTGTTTCAAACACATTATGCATGTTGCAATATTTCCTACAAATCGTTTTCAAGTGTAATGTATTTTACAAAAGTTATGAGGTATGAACAACTGAAATATCAATACAAATGTTTTAATTATATTTCAGCTCACTCTCGGAAGCTTTGATTTTTATTATTCTTGGAGTCATGTTGGTCAATGAGCAAGAATGGTTCTGGGAAGATTGGCATCCGATATTCTCATTATGTTCCGTTATACTGTGTGTCCTTGTTCGGTTTGCTGTCACGTTTTCGTTGACATATGTTGTGAATCAGTTTACTGGTGGCGTCCGTCATATCAGTTTTCAAGAGCAGTTTATAATGGTTAGTTTGATATTTTTCTACCAAAAATATCGTTTCGAATTTTTTATACGAAGAACATGTCATGTTCAGTTTAACAGTGTATCATAATTATAATAAAATTTAGGCTTATGGCGGTCTCCGCGGAGCGGTCTCCTTTTCATTAGCGTTCATGATTACTTCAAACGATGATGTGAAAAACACGATCCTGGCAGCTACTTATATGGTTATACTGTTTACGGTCTTCATCCAAGTATGATTAACCAGTTTCGCTAAAATGCGTTATTCTACATTTTTTAGGGTTCCACAATGAAAGTCTTGGTAAAATTGCTTAACATTAACCTTGCTGGAAAAGATAATAACTACCGCCTTTTCTTGGAGTTCAATAAGGGCATGATTCAACATTTATCACAAGGAATTGAAGATCTCTGTGGCTATAAGAATTACAACTGGATTGTATGGATTAAGAGAATTTAACACTTCTATTTCGCATATTTAAGAATCAAAGCAGCGAAATTTCGAAAAGATATATTCGACCAATATTGGAGAAGAATTACGTTCCAGAATTAAAGTCCGAGGGCAAATTAGTCCAAATGGATAGGGCTTATACAATGAGGTCCATTAGTCAAATTGTTTTCCAACAATTAATCCTTGTATGTTTTAGAGAAGCAATGATCAATAGTCCCTCGCAAAGCTCGTTCAAGAGGCAGCAAACAATTGACGAGTTTGCCGATGCGTAATTGTATACTTTATTCTAAATTACACATGTTTATCATTTAGTGGGGTCCTTCCACTTGATATGCTGGATGATGAGCGTTTCACTGCACCCATTTCTCGAGAGGAAATTGAAAAACAAACTGAAGCCCTCACGAAAAACGTCGAATCAATTCGGCAACTTTTGAGCAACCCATTCGAAGAGGTGATTACATTTTTTCTTCTAGCTCTTATAAAACGGGAGCCAAACAAAAAAAAAATAATGTGTCGTTCAGTGTTATCTCGATCGCAATCTGACACACGAGGAAGAAAAAGAGAAGAAACGCATTGAGCATGTGAAATTGTTGCAAAATCGAGCAAACAGCATTTCAGGAGTGTGAGTTTTTTCCAAGAAGTATATGCGAAAGTGTGTGAAAAAATACGGAAAATGTTCTCACAGCAGTTCCCGCAGATGTTTCTCGGTTGCGGGCAATTCTAATTAACATCCGTTTGTAGTTTGGACTAGATCTAAGAAATATGTGTATGCGGAGCGGGCTGCGAATAATGAATTCTGCGAATATGTTTATGAGCTTCAGTTTCTTAATGTGTATATCTTACACATTATCTGCTCTGATATGTTGGATTAACAGGGGCTCTTTTGCACCAAAAACTCAAATTCCTTTTTGAGAGTTCAGAAAAAATAAATGAATTTCTTAATATATGAAATAATTGAAAAATCTTTGGAATTTTATGGCAACATTATTTTTCGTTTAATGAAACAAGAAACTAATGTTTTATAATATATGCTTTTTGCGCATCTTGCTTCGTTTTATTCGCATTTTCAAGAAAAAAACCCTTTCCTGCTCAATGTGACTAATATAGTATTCACTTGCAAGCTATCAAATTCTATTTATTTCCAAATTTTATTTCATTTCGCTAAATGCAACAGAGCGTGCTGCTCAATTTGTATATGTTTTCAGCAAATTGCTGGCCTTTTTGAAATGAAAATAGAAAGTGCGCTTCGAATTAGTGTTTGTTCAATATAGTTCAAGTTTCTAACCGCTGCTTCTTCATAATAATAATAATAATAATTTTTTAACGTTTTGATCATCAGAATGATGAAACAATGTTGAAATAAAACATCAATAAACTGAAATATGACACAATTTGTTTATTTGTGCTAGTGTCTAAAACCGCCATTTGATTTCAGAAAGAAAAAGAAGAACAGAATGTTTGGAAGAAAGACATCCGTCAGGACAAATGCCACAGAACAAGGACTCATTCATTCAGCAATTGCGGCAATTGGTATTCAGTCAGTTCCACGTCAGCAGCCTACTTCATCAGGTTTGTCGTTAATTGACCATACGGCGAACAAGTTTTCAGGAGGTGACCCAGATGATGCCGGTCTTTCTATGACAACAAATGAGGACCATCCTCTTATGACGATCACAGAGACCGATGAAACAGCGTGCTAATCTACTATATGTATAACTCATTTGAATCACTTTATTGTTTTCTGTCGTTTTTCCACAAAGTATCATTTATAGAGCTCAAAGCGCCATTTTTTATTTTTTCTTCAGCTCTTGTTGTGTTTGAATGCGTGTACCTGTTATTACATAAAGAATATAAACGGATGTTTTGCGTGTTTGAAAAAAAAGATTTCCTTTGCCGACAAAAAGAAACAAAAAGCCTGCGACTTTGAAAGACTTTAATGTGCATTGTTTCCTTTTTTGGTGAAGAATTTTTCCGGAGGCGAAATTGAAGAAAGCAAATGTACGAGAATTTTCAAAGTCACATGCAGACATAATCAAGTGTTTTTTTGGCGTTTTTTGTTGAAATATATTGAAAGAAAACTGTTTAGCCTTTCGTGGGTTCTATATGCATATCTGAAAATTGAATATGCAGAAAATCGCAGATATGAATAATGCATGATTACATAAATCAAGAAAATTGCTTCTGACCAAAGAACAATGCATGTCTAGCCGCTCCTGTGGTCCGAAATTGAAAATATCAAAATTTCATGCTTCATTTATTCTTCTTTTTCCTAGCTCAACACTTTTCCCCCTTTAAAATGTTATTCTACAGGGTGTCATTTATGTTCCCGCACAAAAGTTTGACGTCATGAAGAGCTTGGCTGTCGCACTTTTCGTGAAACAATACAATTTATTTTTGTTAAATAAGGTATATTTTACTTATTTTCCAAGTTTCACTTCATTCGGATGTGTTTCCGAGAAATGGCGAAGGCTAACATCCATCGCGCTTCCATTATCGAACTTCATAAGCAAAATGTGAGCCCGAGAGCCATCATTCAACGCCTCGGTGTGCCTCGTAGAACGCTTTACGACACCTTCAAACGTTTCAAGGAGCTAAATACGACCAGTGACCGTCTCAGACAAGGAAGACCCGTCTCGGTAACCACTCCTCAGAAGATCAACGCCGTCAAATCGAGGATCAGGCGAAACCCCTACAGGAGCATGAGAAAGATGGCGTCAGACGTGGGAATGAGCATCTTCGCTTTGGAACAAATCGTCAAAACGAAGCTTGTACTGACCCCATATCGTGTCCAAAAAGCGGCAATTCTATCGGCCGTCAGCAAGCAGAGACGCTTCGAAAAAGCAAAACGACTTCTTGCGCGCACGCGGTCTGGAGAACACCTCGTCACTGTCTTCTCCGACGAGAAGCTATTCACTATGGAGACGGCATTCTACTCACAAAACCATTGAGTACTTGCCCAGACATCCCAGCAAGCTTCTGAGAAAGGAAGAACAATTAATCGAGCCTCACATCCTGCCAGTGTGATGGTTTTCGGTGCCATCTGCTCAACCGGGAGGTGCCCCCTGGATTTCGTGGATCAGGGGGTGGAAATGAACAAAGAAGTCTACGTTTGGGACATTTTAAAGAAGCATGTGATGCCCTGGACTCAAACGCATTTCGGTGGGCAGAAATGGGTCATTCAACAGGACAGAGCACCCGCCCACAATGCCAAAACTACTCAGGAGTGGTGCCAGACCCATTTTCCCGACTTTATCAAGTCATCCGAATGGACTGATTGCTCCCCAGACCTGAATCAGCTTGACTTTTCCGTGATGGGGTCTTGCAGGAGAAGGTCAACGCAAAACCCCACTAAAGTGTAGAGGCTCTGAAGAAGACATTACTGGCGGCATGGCACAATCTTTCCATCGAATACCTGCGTACCACAGTCGCATCCTACCCGAAGCGTCTCTGTGAAGTCATAGCTCCGAAAGAAGGCCGAATCGAAAAGAGTTAATATAAAATTATTTGTTATACTATAGATAAAAAATATTTCAAGTCTCGTTTGATATGGACTTTTAGTCTCAGAAATATACGTCTTCAAAGTTGTGCGGGAACTTAAATGACACCCTGTAGCGGCAAGAAGAAAGAAGTATGTTTCTGATTTTGCCCATTTATCCTATTGTTAAGATAAATGGAGCTGAAAAAAGCGAAAATAAAAATACGAGCATCAGCTGTCGTTAACCGCAATCAAGATTCTAACCGCAAATATATATTTAATTAAGAACAATTGTTACGATATCAATCAGCAATCACTATGGCTTTTAGTTCTAAGACAATATGTGCTCTTAATTTATCGCCAAATCGATTTTATGATCCAATAAAGTGATATTCCTTTCAATTATTTTTGAACAAGTTTTATTTGCAATCAAATATTGTAATCATATAACGTGACAATTGATATTGAGAGAGAGAGACCAACTGGATTATCAAATTGGAGAAAATTAAAAAGATAAAGAGCGGGGATTGGTAATTATGTGACTATTACTAGCAGATTATTAGACAAGCATTAATAAGCGAAAAATCATTTGTACGTGCAGATTAATTAGAATTATAGTATTAAAAAGTTAACAAATAAAGACATGACCAGCACAACGATACAATTCAAGAGGGTTTTGCCTTTTGTACATCATACATAGTAAATGCAGTACGTCTGTGATTGCATAAATATTGTTAACAGTTGAAAATATATTGTGGTGAGGTAATCGGCAGGCTAAATACATAGCGAATTTTTTGGTATAAAGCTTTTTTCAGATTTTTCTGTGAAACAACGTTGGAGGGAGTTGGGCGATGAAAGTGTTTCTCGTCGTTGCTCCACGAAACAGATGGTGTAAATATGATACAACTAAGAATACGATTCTAGAGTAACTTTGTGTGAACTGGTAAAGAATGAATGTGGTTATCTACAAAATGTTTAGAAGTGGGCCAGTAGCTTTCTTGATGAGTTTTTCGATGGTTCCCTCTTGTGAAATAGACATTGGTGGCAAGTAAAGCTTGGCGAGCTCGGCATCGATTTCTTCGCTCAATGGTTTCGGCTTTTGATTTTCATCACATTCGACTTCAGTTGCAAAAGCTAGCGGCACGAAATCATTCCCCGAATCAGTTTCGACATCGTTGGCATTGAAAATTAATGGCTGCTCAACCTTCTGTGGAAGTGGGTTGTATTGGGGAAAGAAGTCGTAGTGACGTGATCTTCTTGAGCGTCCTTTCTTTGGCATTGAATACATATCAATTTCAACCCGATTTCCCATATTAGGATCGTGTGTGCCTTCGTAGCTGCAAAAAAATTAATCCTATTTTATGTTCATGTGTAAATTTTTAGGCAAAACGCAAAATTAAATAATAAACATACCTTAGTTGGAAGGCTTGGGTATCCTTGATGACATTATGAATCAACAAGTCCCGCCGCATATCTACTTCTACGCGTCTTCTGATAAAATGTCGCTTTTGGCGAATGAAGGTGCTTTGTAGTGGCACCGGAATCAATTTTTCTATTTTTAATTTATCCACCGAAGCCTGCACGATCGACCAGCTTTTTTGATACCCGTTTCGTCCTTCCATTATCCCGTCAAGATCCTGTTGAGTCGCTGTTTTCATTGTGGCTGGTTGGGTGTAATAACCTGCAATTTACAATGTAATGATTTGGTCAAACTACACAAAAAGAGAAACATGAAAATAGAGTTGAAATGAAACCGTGTGCTATCACGACGAAGGCCCAAACAAATATGTCAGGCCACCCGCCGGTGGAGGCGTGGCCGCAATAAATAGAGAAATGGAGGGCTGGCCCCAAAGCCCCACCCCTGACAGAGCTAGGCGTGCAGATGGTGGGCAGTGACGCAGTGTAGGTTCTGCGCAAAACGGGCCGACGGCTTTTGTTGCCGGCATTACATCAGAATGAAACGCGACATATAATGCAGAAATGGAGAGAGGGACGATTGAGCACAAAAAAGGAACACTACTGTAGGAATGGAGATGCAAGGTTCGATTAATAGCATGAGCGTGTGAATCGCACGAATCTGATGCAATATTACGCACTACCGACGATGTGCTCTAATTGTTCTCAGAATTCAGATTGTAATATCATTAGATATATATTTTGTTTGTTTATTTATTTGTGAAAATGATATCATACGCAGAACGATTGGTGATAAAGAAAAACAATAAGTTTTGGGAAGCAGCGATAAGTATGTTTATGAATATTGTGTAATGCCAACAAAAGCGTTTGCGTTTTCGTTAAGGTTCTTATCAATTGATGCGATAGTAGCAAAACAACATGATTAAATAATCAGACAAGATGTCTCCCGGATCGTTTCACATAATTCCGAACAAATATATCAAGAAGACCTTGAATCCGATCGTTTTTTCGTAAAATGAATTGAGCAAACAACATGGATGTATGGAATGAAAAATGAAAGCAAAACGTTCGGCAAATCACTAGAAGAGCATTTATGCAATGCATCGACCGCTACCCTCCATGAGAAAAACAACGCCTTAAAAATACTTCAAATGCAAATATAACCACGGTTTCGTGTGGTAAATAAATATATATATTTATATGCACGGTGTGTTTGTCTTTTTGATATTAAAGTAATTGAACTGAATATGCTGCATATTACATATATAAGTCATCATCATTTGAAGGTGACCAAAAAGATTTCTTATTGCAGCATTAGTTCTCATCACATTAAATGACAAAGTGAATCAGTTCAATGGAGTCAACGCTGGTCAGTCTGCTTCAGACACCTAGGACAGATGGCAAGTGCAGCTCGTCAAATGAGTGGCAACACACCTTGCCATGCAGAGAGACCCCATGTCAAGTTCATTAGTCTGCGACTACCGGCTAGCTCAATAGCAGTGGCAGCGGCGGCGTTTCTTTGTTAAAACATCAATTATTGCAATTAACAATGACCTGAAATAAATCTCTTACTTGCCGTTGTATTGAACAAGATCCAATTCCATTTATTGAAACAAGATTCCTAATCGTATTTTTGTTGATGTTTGTTTTTTTTTTCAGTTGAAAAATATTGACTTTTTATACTACAATACATATGTCAACATCAAAAATCATTGAGGTAAACGATGAAAGTCGATCTCTGACACTATACTGGAAATTACTCTAATGGCACCTCAAATGTACATACGTGCAAAAAGAATTATTAGCAGAATGAGATTTCTTGCACCATCTGCCGTGTTTAATACTAGTCAGATCGACCTTCGCCGACATGCATTTTCCCCGTTTTTGTATGTCCCTGTTGTGATACCAAAGACGAAGTCAATCACGAACATCGTAAATAAATATTTTTTAAAGGCAACGTTTGTCTCACTTTCAAAAATAATTAATTTTTGATTGTTGATTCCCTAATTACTTAATTGAAAAAATGAGGAAACTACGTGTTTTGATCGTTGGGAGACCAAGTGCAGACGGGCGCTTATTTGTGTTGCGACCCAAACAAAGGATTGTTGAATGTGGGGTCGACGTTAGTAATGGAGTTGGATATCCGTTGACTTTGTTCTCACGGGCTCAGGGTGCGGCCAACAATATTTAAATCACTAGGCCCTTTTCGAATTAACTGTCATGTGGAATTTCGATTTTTTTTAATGCGTCCATTCAGCATAATGCAAAATAATTGAGCTATTTTTATAGTCAGATTTGACAAACGTTAATACACTGGGACAAATTCGACAATTTTGAATAGCACTGAGTAGATCCATAAGCGCTTTTCATCATGAACTTCGGACAGCGGCAAAAATGGGTTATATTTATTCAGGCTTTCCTCCCGTCTTTCTTTCATCTGGATGCTGACTGGCTGTCGTTGATTGCCAGCAAAAGAGACACTTGGAATCTTTCAATGAATGAAAATTGGGCATTATAAACATTAAAATTGCGCTTTTCAATAAAAAATATTTCGAAAACGGGAGGGAAAATTGGTAGATGTATTATTTCAACAGTTTTCATCGTAATTGCAAGTTGTTAGTTGTCGGTCCGGATATCCGCACTAGTAATTTTATTGGTCGTTACTCGTCAACGGGTCGACATAATTATGTGTGGTCATATAAGGGTCTGGTTTGGCTGGAATCTCGCCTCAGCAAATTGCGGCAAGACATGGATATGAATCAGGAGATTTTTACGTCGATCAACAAAATGAAGTGTATGATTTCAGTGAAAAAAAAACGGTATAGAATGTTGTTGGTGACAGATTTCATCGTACTTAAGGTTTTTTGACATATTTGAAAATTGATTTAATTGTCGCTACATTTGTTTGTCGGAACCAAATGGAATAATTTTTTTTTTCGAAAATGACAAATCTGATCTTGTGTTGCAAACATGATTTATATGTTGTCATGATTTATTTCTCGTTGCTCAACCACAATTCTCATGCGCACACTCGTGTGTTTCTTCACAAAAACGGAGAAGATGAAGAAAAAATTGCTGACGCGTTTTTGCATTTCTCATGAAACACTAGTCGTCCACACAAAAAAAAGAAAAGCGTTTTTCACATCTTGATTCGACGTCTACACAGCGGGACGTACATTCATATTGCGAATTTGATAAGCCAGTGTGTGAGGCAAATCGTGAAAATGAAATTCTATGCATTTTGTCGCCCTCGACCTCTGAAGATCAGCTGATAAGATTCGGCGCCGGTCGCTGCGAAATGTTACGGAATACGTTGTAAACTCGAATGATTTTTCGCGGCCACCACATTTTTCAAAACCGATTGCAAATATTTGAAATGTGGAAATCAGTGAAAACGTGGTGATTTTCACATGCTCTCAACGTTCTTTGCATGCATACATTGGATGCTTGTGTACTACTATATGGTTGTGTACTACTATATGGTGACTATATTAGGCTTGAAACACGACGGAAAAACGGCGGACAGAAACAAGAACTGCTCGAGACAAGAAAAAAAAAAGAAATGTTTGGTCAGCATGAGACGCGAAGGCCGCTCAATTTTCGACTCAATTTTTCCAATCCTTGAAGTTTTCTAACTCAATTTTTGTTAAAAGGGTTGGCTTAAAATAGCAGATTTGAATGATCAATTGACCAAGCGTCAAACTAAGCTACATAATAGTTTTTCGCAACGATTGTAGTTTGTAGACTAATGGTCTAGATTAAATTATGAAAGAGCGCAAATAGACAATAGAACTTAACTGGATTTAAAAATGGAGCGCAATGGCATTTTGGAAAAAAAAGAAATCACTGATCATTAAAATGGACCCAGTTTTTTTCATTCGCCGCATTAATATCACATGTCACGGGACCACCTGACATTGATTTATGGATCAAGATCAGACGGATGGTGCCTGCCGTCTCAGTAATTCAGTAACAAAGAGATCAGATGGCGTAAAGTTTATTAACAAAAGCAGGGCGATTATAATATGAACACTTGTTGGAATGCACAGGTGGATATATTATACATCCAAGGCCAACTTAAATTGTTGGTATATATTGTGCACCTTACTGAGGAATATTTACTTATACGGTAAAAAGAGGTAATGCTCTTTATTCACTGTTTGCATAGCCGTTTCTCGGCGAACTTTCAATCTCATCAAATAAAATTTCTCGGTTATATTTTCAACGCTGTTTCGAATAAAGCGAAGCATTTATCAGACGAACAAGGCTTCCTTATCAATATTGTTCCAATCCATAAAACGACAATTTCTTATCAATTCCTCAATTTACGACCTACAGTAATATTGGCTGTACGTTTTAAGAGTGAAAGATTGGGACGAGTTTTTGAAAACCGAAATATAATTTAATGACCTTGTTGTACATATACTACCATAATACCAAATAATTATAAGTTCCTATTATTATCGATTCACCTTGTTATGCTTTCTGCGCTTCATAATTCAGCGCTATCTATATAAGGTCTTCTGACCCGACCCTAATTTCTCTCGATTCCTCTTTGAAGAAAGAGCCCCGTGTGAGCACTCACACACAACACATGCACACACACGCGCGCACACAGAGAGAGAGAGAAACATTTGCTGGTCTCAGCCAGCCCCACACAGCGAGCAATTATTATTCCTGCCATGAAATGTGCAATATTTGCAAATAGGAAGAGTCCATCGAAAAATAGGCTAGAGAGATCAAAAGAACATATCTGTTTCGGACATCGCAAATAAAAAGGAAAACCCGCTGCAGGTGCAAAAACCTGTCATTAAAAATGAAGTATTATTCCAAAAATCTCGTCATATGTTTAGAATATTTTTTTCAACGAAACTATAGAAATTTTAAATTATTTAAATTAACTACTAACACTTATGATTTAAAGTTTCGAATTTAATAGGCAGACAACAATAATGGTGTTCATAAGACTTCATAAATTCTTCAAAACACACCCCTGCTTCTCAGCATCTCAGCCAGGCCACACCAGGTTGATAGGGGAAACACTCTTCAACGCGTTTGGCAGCTTTATTGGTTAAGTCACTACTGTCAAACTTTTGGCGAGTTTAGTTTTACTTGTATAAATTAAAGCCAGAATCTTTAATAACTAATATTTGGAAAAATTCGACATATGTGGCTTTACACTGAGAAGGTAGCATCAGAAATTATTTCTGACACTTTAATCTTTTTGGTTTTATAAAAACTCTCCCTTTCACGTGAACGGGCACTTGGAAAAACTAACACCTATCTCACCTCATGACCCGTTCAGATAAGATCTGATTGCAAAATATGAAACATTTTTATCAAGTAATGATGGATGACTCTACCTTCGCAGCAAAATGACCGACAAAAAGAGAGAAAGAGAGGAAATGAAAATGTGCGAATCAAATTTGAAACCAAAAATATATTGGGGGAAGTGATCTCAAATTCAATTTTCCGGGAATGATGAGCTATCCGATGAATACAACGTTTTCTCAATATTATTGAAGTAGTCGGAACAAATATTCAATTAGAGCTTTTTTTTTACAATTGTACATCTACCTCAACAACACAGGTATATTTGTCGTGTTTACATCGAAAAACAAATTCTGGAGATAAATAAAATTGTATACACAATTTGTCTAAAAATAGGCATTTGGAAATTTGAAACCTCTCATTCACACATAAATTGTTTGGATTTTTTGGGCCAACGGAAATTTTATTTCAATTTTTTTGAGGGGGTCAATTTTGTCGATTTTTTTTTTACTTTTTCACAACCCATTCTAAATAAAATATGAATAGAAACACCAGCAGTTCAATTATTTTTAATTATCACTATAAATGGACAAGTTATTTTTTTTTCGTCGTCAATATTTACGATTAAATATTAGTTTTAAAAAAAGTAGTGGTAGAAAATTAGAGAAAAAACAAACAAGAATATGCAAACAAACAAGTCACTATAAGCGTTCGTTAAGTGGAAAATTGAGCTGGAAATGAAATGAAAGTAGTCGTTGGAAATGAAATTCAACACTTGGTCAAAATAGAGCGATCGAATAATCAACCGAAGGAATTATGCAGAAATCAAATTTCCATTGGCTTCATTTCAGTGTTTTGCCACATTATTTTGAAAACACACTTTTCGATTTGAAACTTATTCGCTTATTTAGATAAGCAAGAGAGTATTGAAAAACTGTTTCGCATTCCCTAAATAAAAAATTATTTCCTTTTTGGCAACTAATAAAACATCCCTTCTAAATAGTGAAGAAGGACAATTGTTGATCAAAATCCTGAGTTTTCTTAACTGATCATTGAATTCTCACTCATTTTCGTTTGTGAATTAAATCAATTTTTCTCCAAATTTTATTGCGTGTCATTCTCCTTCTCATTTATCCATCCAATTATATTCCAATCGAATCAGATACGCTCTGAGCTAACAACCTCATGAATAATGAGATTCATAAAATCAGCCGACCATTAGCACTCAGGCGCACAAAGAATACATATATTGGGGATTTTCTCAATTCGCCATCTCTTGGTGCACTTTTGTGGTTCCGAGTGTTTCGAAAACCAAAAATAATAAATTTTTCTG